TTTTGAATGTCTTTACTGCCCTCCGAAACACTTTGCTTTAAGAAGGGCACGTACTCCTAGACCCTTGCAAGTCTAGCCCGGAAGCCCAGGAACATGGATGCCTAGAAACATGGAAGCCAAGAAGCATGGAAGCCCGGAAAAATGGATGCCCAGAAACATGGAAGCTCAAAAACATGGATGCCCGGAAACATGGAAGCCTGGAAGCCTGAACATATGGAAGCCTGGAAGCTTGGAAGTGTGAAAGCCTAGAAGCTTGGAAACATGGAAACCTGTAAGCTTCAAAACATGGTAGCACGGAAACATGAAAGCCTAGAAGCCATGAAAGCCCGGAAACATGGATGCACAGAAACATGAAAGCCCGGAAACATGGAAGTCAAAACATGGAAGCCTGGAAACATGGAAGACCAGAAACATGAAAGCCCGGAAACATGGATGCCCAGAAAAATGAAAGCCCGGAAACATGGAAGCCAAAAAACATGGAAGCCTGGAAGCCTGAAAATATGGAAGCCTGTAACCTTCAAAACATAGTAGCAGGAAAACATGAAAGTCTAGAAGCCATAAAACATGGAAGCCTGGAAGCTTGGAAGTGTGAAAGCCTGGAAGCTTGGAAACATGGAAACCTGTAAGCTCGGAAACATGGAAGCCAGAAAAAATGGAAGCCCTGAAACATGAAAGCCCAGAAACATGGAAGCCAAGAAACATGGAAGCCTGGAAACATATAAGCCAAGAAACATGGAAGCCCGAAAACATGGAAGCCTGGAAACATGGAAGCCCGGAAACATGAAAGCCCGAAAATATGGAAGCCCTGAAACATGGAAGCCCAGAAACATGGAAGCCTGGAAGCCTGAAAACACGGAAGCCTGGAAGCTTGGAAGTGTGGAAGCCTGGAAGCTTGGAAACATGGAAACCTGTAAGCTCGGAAACATGGAAGCCAGGAAAAATGGAAGCCCTGAAACATGAAAGCCCAGAAACACGGAAGCCAAGAAACATGGAAGCCTGGAAACATGTAAGCCAAGAAACATGAAAGCCCGGAAACATGGATGCCTAGAAATATGGAAGCCCGGAAACATGGAAGCCAATAAACATGGAAGCCCGGAAACATGGAAGTCCGGAAACATGGAAGCCCTGAAAAATGGAAGCCCGAAAACATGGAAGCCCTGAAACATGGAAGCCTGGAAGCCTGAAAACACGGAAGCCTGTAAGCTTCGAAACATGAAATCTCAGAAATATGGATGCCCGAAAACATAGATACCTGGAAACATGGAAAACCGGAAACATGAAAGCCTGGAACCTGAAAATATGGAAGCCTGTAAGCTTCAAAACATGGTAGTAGGAAAACATGAAAGCCTAGAAGCCATAAAACACGGAAGCCTGGAAGCCTGGAAGCCTGGAAGCCTGGAAGCATGAAAGCCGGGAAGCTTGGAAACATGGAAACCTGTAAGTTCGGGAACATGGAAGCCTGGAAGTATGGAAGCCCGGAACATGAAAGCATGGAAGCCTGAAAACGTGGAAGCCCGGAAGCCTGAAAACATGAAAGCCTGGAAGCCTGAAAACATGAAAGCCTGGAAGCCTGAAAACATGGAAGCCTGGAAGCTTGGAGACATGGAAGCCCGGAAGCTTGTAAACATGGAAACCCAGAATCATGGAAGCCCGGAAAGATGGAAGCCCGGAAACATGAATGCCTGGAAACATGAAACCCTGGAAGCTTGGAAACATGAAATCCGAAAACATAGAAGTTAGGAAACATGGAAGCCCAGGAACATGGAAGCCTGGAAACATGAAAGCCTGGAAGCCTGAAAACATGGAAGCCCGGAAGCTTGGAAACATGGAAACCCAGAAATATAAAAGCTAGGAAACATAGAAACCCGGAAACATGGAAGCCAGGAAATATGGAAGCCCGGAAACATGGAAGCCCGGAAACATGGAAGCCAAGAAACATTAAATCTTTGAGATGTGGAAGCCCAGAAACATAGGAGCCAAGAAACATTGAAACCCAGAAACATGGAAGCCAGGAAACATGGAAGCCCAGAAACATGGAAGCCCGGAAACATGGAAGCCCAGAAACATGGAAGCCAGAAAACATGGAAGCCCAGAGACATGGAAGCCCAGGAGCATGGATGCCCGGAAACATGGAAGCCCAGAAACATGGAAGCCAGGAAACATGAAAGCCCGGAAACATGGAAGCCCGGAAACATGAAAGCCCGGAAGCATGGAAGCCTGGAAACGTGAAAGCTTGGGAGCCTGGAAATATGGAAGCCTGGAAACTCGGTAGCCTGGAGACCAGAAAACCCACTAGCCCAGAAGCTTTAAAACAGGAAAACAGGAGGCTTGGAATTCAGGAAACCCAGAAGCACAGAAGCCTTGAAATATAAAAACCCGGCAGCTCGGAAACCTGGTAGCCTGGGAACTCGAAAGCTTTGATTCTAGCTTTGTCCGTGCGATATACTTTTGCTGTGTAACAACCCCCTTTCTTCCTTTTTCTAATTTTCTTAGAGACGTACAGCAAACGAACAGTTGGTACCACCTGGAAATTACTAACTAGAAATTCAAGAAAGCTATTTTCACTAGCAATTGCTCTTGGTAAAGACATTTTTCAAATTACATCTATTATAGCGACACCGAATAAGGGATAATTGACGCTTTTTCTGGCAATCATGCATTCAAAATATTGTTGATTCATGCGTAACCAAGACCGTTAACAACATGTGTTGTCTTGATTCGATTTGGTGGTTACGCTATGACAGATACTCAAACAACACTGGCGTCCTCGGTGGCTGCAAGCTTGTTATATCACAGTTCTTCAACTGAGAAAGCACATGAATGTGAAAGCTTAAATTTTTAATTTTACAACTCTTCACCACTTTTTTGCTGGAGCTTCTTAAATATTTAGAGACTTTGCAGAATTTAGCAATGTATTGCTAACACGCCCATCCCGTGAAAAAACATTTCTTGCATTCTTGAATAGCTGATTTTTCGAGTTGTTTATAAATAATTAATAGGAACAGATCAAATTGCCCTTGCTTAACCTTAATATCCGATAGTTGAAAAAGAATTCACGGTGCAACGGAGAGGAAGAGGCAGGGTCAGTTATCAGAAGCAGGTATTTCATTAAAGCTACATCATTTTCAGTCTCTAATCCTTTCTCTTATAAGTCACAAAGGCACAAGGTTGGTGTGTCTGTTTTTATCTGAAGGTCGTGTCAGCAGTGGAAGTGATTATTTGATAGATGGGAAATATTCTTCTCTATTTAAATGTTATATCAGCAGTGCAAGCGTTAAATCAAAGAGATAAACAAATCTTGTTGCATTAACATAGTGGCTGTTTTCCCTTGATTGGTCCAATTTGAGTTACTGCTAGATCATAATTGTGACATACTTGTGGGTTGCTCCAAGTAATGTTGTTCGTCACTTCGTTTATGTTGATTTAACTTATTTTACATTTCTTCTGATCTTTGAGTACATACACCTCTCCTCATTGTAAATATAAAAAAGAGAAGAAGTGATAACTTTAAAAAAATCATTTTTCGTTTACGCCTTGCTCATTATATTGTGGAAATCAAACAAGATAAATTTGAAAATGAATAACAAACATTAAACGTGATTGGAATCACAATTTGCAGGTGATTCAATCAATGAATCACTCCGTTGATTTGTTAATGTCACTTATTTGGGACTTTGACAACAAATAAAATATGTATTCTACTGATTTATAAGCTCTACTACTGATTAATTAGATAGCAGTTAATCAAAATACCTATGTATACTACTGATTAATAAGTTAGCAACTCTAAATTGAAACACTTTCTCACTTTAAGGAGGAATTAGAAATGTTCTGTCATTTTGAAGCCATAACTACACAATCCACAGAGTAAAGGGAGTTACATTATCATCATTCCTAGAGCGCATAAAAACAATAGTTATCCTGTTTAAACTTCTAAGAAACACATCCTTTTTAAACTTCTAAGAAACAAATTAAACTTCTAAAAAAAACACATCCTGATAAATATACATTTTTTTCTGCTTTTCATGTTTTCTCTATTTTCCTTTTTAAACTTTAAACATTGTCTCTCATTATTTTGCAGTATTTTTGGTAGCCATTGTTTACAGCTTTAGAAGTTGCTTAAATTTTTTCTTTTTGCCAAACCTGGCCTTTGAATATAATTTCTTTGTGGTATAAGTTTTTGTGGCGTTTTACGCAAACACAGTAAGGGATTTTCATGATGTTGGTTTGTTTTGGTGATAAATGAGGAGTAGCTATAATGCAAACAGTAATGAATTCATCTGCCTTGAGAGATTTCACCGCCCTGCAGGTTTACTGACAATATTATCGAAAATAGCAGCCACACGATTGTGAAAGCCTATACCCAGTAAATGCATGCCAATTTAGAGCTCTTTATTCAAATTTATTGAAGTTTTGAAAACTGTAAACAGAGAACAAGACTACAGGCATCAGCATGAGGTACACTTTTCATTGAAGACTTTTAGTCTCAAGAGAACAATCCAAGCACGCAAAAGAAGTCTCAGAAAATACTTTCAAACGTCTATAAGATTTTTATGCCAATAAAATCATATTCATGTTGGACTTTATTGAAATGGATAACAAGCTGAAATTAGAATCTGCATTAGCAGCTCTTTGTCAAAGCTTCCGTAGCTAATGAATAAATTAAACCATCTAATTCCATCTCAGTTCTTTTCAAACATGAACCACCAAGATCTAGTTAACGAACACTGGAAAAACTAAAACCATCTAGATTCTTTATTTCATTCAGCAAATTTTTACAAACATTTCAGATTAAGAATAAAGTTGATTAGAGTACACACCCACTTAGGCTGGCGCCTCTGATTTATGAGTTGTTAAATTATCCTTGCTTTTCAAAAATACGATTTTTCTTGCTGTTAATCTTTGTATGAGTTATGTTATAATTGCAGCAGTAACTTCGAATAGTCTAGGGATAATCTACAATTGAGAATCTTTTACTGAAACAAACATTGCCAACCCAATATTCTATCCTGAAAATTATATCCAAAATATGATAGATTCCAAAAAGACTAATGATTTATCATATATAGATAAAGATTCAAAATAGAACACCCAACAGTTACCTTAGCAAACTTTAACTTATTTTCTATATTTAGGAGTAAAGTCCAAGCACATATTTAGGAGTGGACAGACTGTTATTCAAACAACTACAAATAGCTGGCTCTAAATGAAGTCTTTTGATTTTGATAAAACGGCAAAAACTGCAAAAAACTAAATTTTATAATATGTTCTGTAGAGGTGATCGACAGGATTGCAGCAAAAACCACCGTTTGATCAGGGATTTCACAAGCTTAGAATTCCAGCTGGTTTTATTTTGTAGGAGAGTCGATTTCAAAATTTTTATTTTGGAGGCTAATTAAGTTAATGTCATAGCCAATTATTAAGATTCTTGGAATGAAACGGATATTATAATATGTAATAGTTATTGGTGGTTGGAGAGTAGCGCTTCGTACAAGATGCTATTGGTCTAAAATTCTTCCTTGCATTTGAAATGAATTGCTATTATATTATGCAAAGCAACATCATCAAAAAGTATAATTTAAAAGAGAGAATTCAATTGAACATCCTCAATTTGGAAATAGAAAGTTGTTATGGTGGGCTGTGGTATCGACTAACATATTTAACTTCGTTGCTACTTGGTTATTATAACAATCAACCGTATTAACCGTATATTCCTAGGTACGACAATGCTAATTTAGGCTGTGTAGTTTTCCATTATGCTGCTAGTGTCTAACATTTAGTTACTGGCTGATTTTCAGACTAATGACGACTGATGGCCTAATCTTGTTAACTGCAGACCTTTGTGTGTATTCCTTTGTGTGTATGCCTGGTTTTCGGAACAGTTTTTGGAAGCCTTAACGGATATTACTCTATCTCTATCTCTCTGAATGCTTGTATTCTTAATCATATTTTGTTTATGGCCAACTAAGAAATAAGATTAAAGAACATTTTGATCTAAAAGACTATTTTTTGCTTAATCTGTCGATCTAAATCTCATATGTGCTAGCTCTGTTGTCCGTTGTTTGAATAAATAATATTGCATAAGAAATTCTTACATAGATTAAACAGGATTGGTTCAAAGATTGAGCCTTTTGTAACACCTTTTTTTATTCACATTAGAATAGAGTTTTGCTTTTGTTGGACAGTTTTGTTATCAACAACAGTACCCATAATCATTATTTGCAATTAAGTACGCATCATTGATAAGTATCTTTGCATGTTTCAAATTTTTATTGGAATCTTTCATTCACAGTGTTCTCCATGTCTTGGAATTTTGCTTACAGTTAGACTGACTCTGTTAAGGTCTTACTATTAAACTTAATACCTGAAGCATTAATGGGTATCTTAATGAGTTTTACATTGTCTGGTTTATAATTCCGCGACAAGCGCCGAAGATCTTCTAGTGACTTTACGCTAATCAATCATACCTTATATCTCGCTGGATTTAATGGCGTTGATGAGTAGATTCAAATTCTTAGAATTGATAGCAAGCTAAAAGACATAAATGGACAACGGCAAAGACCAATATCTTTAGAACATGTCGAAAACTTATGATTTTTTCTGAACATTTGAAAATACATTGGCATGAGATTGACTTAAAGATATAGTGCAGGATATATTACAAATTACGTCGATTATTTTGTTAAGTAAGACAGACTTGCTTCTCGTGTTTCCTAAGACTCATTATAAACCTTTACTCAGATGTTAACCGTTAGATTAGAAAAGCACTGTAGCCAAACCAAGCACATCCACCATTTAGGAAGTTGCTATAGTTTTCCCTGCATGTTATCGAAATCTGATTACCGTAATCAAGTATTCTCGAATCTTAAAAAGTTTTGCGTCTCCATTGAAAGTAGAAGAGATAAAACCACTTCAATTTCCTATACATTTAAATAAGATTCAGCTGTCCAGCATTAGAAAAAAGCTGAGAAAATAAGACTCCCCGCAGTTCTTAACTGGAAGCACAGCAACTAACAACGCACTGAAGTGCAAAAGCATCAATAAGTATTTATCACTGTTGCAGCGAAGTATCGCGTTGTATTTTGTTTAATCTTCATTTTAGCATATATGCCTTATGTATTTATTTTCTCATGTAATCCTTTTTATAAACAGTTTTGAAAATTTTGCATTACAAATGAAATTAAATCGTCTTCATTTGTATAATACAATAATGCTAGTGTTGTACCATAGATCGCTAATCTTTAATACATTTCAACACATATTTTCTTTGATTTTTATTTGATTTCTTTGATTATTTAGTAAAAATTTTATTTGCCCAGCATGGACTTTTGGCACCAGGGGCACTATTTATTTTATTGCTGATTAGAAAAAAAACCAAGCAGTTTTGCTTTTGTTTTTAGAAACAAGAAGTTGCTTCAAAATCAGAAGTGCAACACCATATCAGTCATTTGATATGTTTGATAAAAGAATCTTTGCTGCTTCTTTCAGTACTGTTCCGTTTGTGGCACATCGGGGAGTAATGCCAGCACTGTATACCTTGATCATCGCCACTGTTTTTTCAAGTTGTACGTCATTGCATACATCAGTTGGAAATGGTAAGACAACAACCCCACGGGTTTTGAAGAATGCTTTCACTACCATGAACCCAACCACGGTTTATGGCATCAAGACGAGGAGGCGCAATGAAAGTCACGTGACCACCATGTAAGATCTATAACAGCGTTGCTTTGGGCTACTAATCTTTGACTATTAAATTGTTTAGACAACAACAAATGAATACATCAACTAGTTTTACAGACACTAGAAACATGTTGGTCAATCCCTAGAACTATTAACTTTGTCCAGACAGAATCACAGTTTTATTATTGATTCATGTAAAATACTGATGAGAATAATAACAACAGGTGATCTTTATCACTGGCAGCGTTATCAAATTCAGAAAGGATGATTACTTTGATAAATCATTCTTATCTAGCCAGTTTTACAGCAGTGCACATCATATAAGCACAACTACTAGTTCAAGTTTCATACGCTGCAGAATAGCCAGTTGAAATGCTTCAATGCAACTCTGAGGTTTATTAATGCTGAAGAAGAATTTTGATCAATTTTTATGACTGATTTCCATCTGCCATCAGATTGTTAAAAAGATTAACACTCCTTAACTTTGTCAATATTTGATTTACTGGTTGATTTTGCAAGAGAAAAAAAACCTTCCTTTAAAACAGGTGATAGTCTTACATTGTTTATTGCTTGCACCCGATCTAGATACGGAAGAAGGGTTTTCTGGGGCAAAATGTCTCATGCTTTCCAAAAAAATGGGAAGGGAGAGGCTTACAACCGTGTTTTCGAATAATTACAATTTGTGAATAGAACAAATTAATGTTTCTTCAGTTTGATTCAAATAGGCTATGTGATGAACATCCAAGAATTTTGAAATATATGACATGTACTTTGAAATATCTGTTTATACTGTGTACCAAATCATTTCAACAATAGGTAAAATACAATGCTGTGTTGCAAGGTCGTATCTTTGTAATTTGTCAAAAGTTCGGTTTAGTTTATTTCATTTATAAAAGTTTTTCACTTATTGAGGTCATTTATCAGATTTTAAGTATTTGAAACTCGACGTATATTAAAAAGAATCTACCGAGCATGACATGAGCCCATGGTATATTCTATGATAAAGCGGTGTGTGTTATACATTCTGTTTCATTGACTAAATATTCTTTACTGTAGGCCTAATACAGTGGTCCCTACAATACATTATTCTGCGGTATCGAAGATATACGCCCAGCTGTTGTTATCATATGACAAAAAGTTTCGACCATTTTATGGAGGTGAGAACAAAGTGGAGCATTGCTGATCAAATTTATTTCTTAATAGTTATAATGTTACTTTGGTAGTAATTAAATATTTTTTTTGTGGAATCGATCTAAGCCCCATTCATCAAATACAAACCATCTATCTACTCTAAAAACTCCCTTCTTACATAAAGTCGCACCCAACCAGCTGTTTACACGGAGTCGTATCCAACAAGCTGTTTACATGGAGTCGTATCCAACAAGCTGTTTATACGGAGTCGTATCCAACAAGCTGTTTACACGGAGTTGTGTCCAACAAGCTGTTTACATGAAGTCGTGCCCAACATGCTGTTTATACGTAGTCGCCGTTTGCCAAAGGACCTCTTGCATTATGAACAGACCTTTTCTGTTCTGTTAGCACAGTTCTGAAAACAGTTCTGTTAAGGTTCTGTCATTTCTGGCATCGATAATAATCTTGACGTGACAAGGCACAAGGCTATGTTTACACGGGGCCTATGAAACCGTTTAAAGCGCTTATGCCTTGCATTTCAATAGGCCATTTCTTTTTGGAAATGGACAGGGCTCTCCATTGGTGGACACAGTTGGCACATTCTGTACATATGATAGAAAGGACAATTTTTCCATTAAATAAATTAGTCCCTGAAGTAGGCACGAATAGTTTACATCTTGAATCTAGAAAAGATACCAATAATAAGAGGATAATGAAAGGAGGTATTGGAAAGCTTTGACTAGCTTTTGAGAAACCTTGTCTTGCCACCATGTTTCTCTTGGCCTGACGCTGATCATTATTGGTGATGCGCCTTACTTGAAGGGCGGCTTTTTATCCTTAGCCCATTAGCACTTTCTAATAAAGAGGTTGAGACTGGAAAGCATGCTAGCAGAAAAATGTCACAAAAATTTATTCGGACAGTATGCTCTATGCTGAGATAAATGATCGGGAATGGTTTAAAACCACATTGCAGTAAAAAAGTACTTTTAGCCTGCGTGTAGACTGTACTGTGAACTTAAGGTTTTATAGATTTAGAGTCTGCAAGCAGGCTGGGAATTGTAAACTGTAGAAGTAATAGAATGGAGCAGAAATCTACGAAAAAAGCAAAAAAGGATACTACCATCTTTGGTTATCAAAGTCCAGTAAATGGGCAAACATGCCGCAAAAGATCACGAGGGACGCAAATGAAAACAAAAAAAATTCATCTACTACACCAGTCCCTGTTTACATTTGAGGAATGTTTCTAAAGCTTTGGCTTACTGGCCAGAGGAAAGAAGAACACTTTTGTATGCCCTAGTAACGAATCATCCAATCAAATTGTTTCCTATCTGATCCTTTTTGGAAATGCTAAACTCTTTGCACTGAGACCTCCAAAAGAAAAGTATCGAACAGGATCCGTTTCAAAGTCACATAAGAATACTTTCAAAAGGCATCAAACGGGTTCCGATTCAATGCCCAAGTGACTTTAGAACACTTTAAACAGTTTTCTTTGAAACACAAACACAAAGCCTATCCAGATCAACTATGAAAAGTTTTGCAGCAGACTAGAATAAGATGGTCAAGAACTATTTTACAATCCTGATTATTGGCATTTGTGCAAGATATCAACGGCATAATGATGGCAATTTGAACGAAAAGTGGAATAAGCTTACAAAATACAAGTGCAAAAGATGAAGCGAAGTTAAAAGCTGAACATTCCGATAAATTTTGGTAGCTACCTGATGCCTCATTGGTTGCATTACACAATGGCTGCTTCCCAATGATTCCCACTGGTTGCTTAATTTTCCAATCAGAAACGTGGGCATAATTCGCAACAACTTATTTTTCTGTAAATGTTCAACAGAACCTGTTTTGTATATTTATATAAACTATATAAAGTTGACAAAACATAGTGGCTTCAAATAATGAGTTTTATCTACCGACAATTTTAAAGCAATGCTTTGCCAAAATACAATTAGAAATGTAGAACTAAAATCAAAGGTTTTAATTTTGATACAACTCTACAGTCATTTCTCCATCATTTTCAGAAAAGCCTGTTGAAGTTATCATAGACTGTCATGTTTTATCATTTGGTGACATAAACGAAGTTGAAATGGTGAGTTTCTATTGAATCTATTAACCTGAAAACCAAGATGAAGGAAAAGTAACAAATAATATGCTATTTGATTTTAGCATTACATGACATAGAATAAACTTGCAGTATCTCATAACGAAGTTATAAGAAAACTGTCAAGTCCATTTTGTGTCAGTGTGCTAAACCGATTTCCTTTTCTAATGAAATTCTTTCAACCATTGTTATTAAAGTTTTTAGAGGGTGTTAAAAAGTAGCTTTTTTGCATTACCTGGTTTTCTAGTACGGCTGGAAAGTCAATGTTTGCTTGACGATCCAGGTGTCTTGGTGATTACAGCGAAATCCTCTTAAGCTTTGCACCATCACTCTGAATTATTTTTGTTAAGCCTTTCTGTCGCCATGTCTGTAAAGCGACGTAAGAGAAAAGAGTTTCTTACATTCACTGTGTTTATAAGACTTTTTCGTTAAGATTTTCATGGTAACACAAAGTATACTAGCCAATAATGTATGTACAGTCCTCCTATGTCTGTTTGAGTTATCTGTTTGCTTTCAAGGAACAGGCAATGTTTCTCACAGGTCTAAATCTCACATGATTTTTTCTCAAGCTGTAGGAAACAGTTCGATTTACAGTCTCTTCTTCGAGCAACTATTTTAATACCAAAACAAATAAAGTTCAAGCCTTAAACTGTATTGGATAAAAATGAAAGATGCTACCGTTTTATATTTAGCCTATAGCAAGCAACCAAGTCATGACATGTGCAACATTCTCTGTGACTATTTTTCTTGTTACTGAGGTGTCGCTGTTGGCCTGGAGAAAATCTTTGCTATCCAATTTAACTAAAACCTACAAATAAACATTTTAGGAATACACATTGGACGTTTATTTCCTGCAAATCTGGTTTGATCCAAGATTCAATGTCAGTGACAAGCGATATGAGAATGCAACAGTGGAGCTTATTGGACCTCAACTGCAAGACCTATGGTTGCCGGACACCATATTCGTAAACTCAAAGAGATCAAAGTTTCATGCTATCACTATTGACAACCGATTTCTTACCATCTATTTAAGTGATGGTATGATTGCATACCATTCAAGGTTTGTTGTTACGAGATGTACTATAGAATTTTTGGTCATTACAATGTATTGTTATTATGTATAGCCCACAGCAGCATGCCAGCACGTTTCCAGTAAAAACCTCTATCAATAGATAAATGGTATAAAAGGACACCTTTAAACTGCATACCGCGTTCTTTGGTTACTATGAATGGCCCGTTAGAAAATTTAGAAACGTGACGTCGTAGTAGTTCAATTCGTGTTTATTGGTCAAATTGGTGGTGGCTTCCTTGGTACATGATTCGACAGAAATTCCTTTCATCTTCTTGTTTTCGAAACATTATCATGAAGCAGACCAGTAAAATTTTATGCTCAAAGAAATAAAGATAATGAGGATTTTGCTTTGAATCAGCTATTTAAACCTTAATCGCTCAAACTTTCATTTTGATTACAAATGGTACGAGACTTTGTTTGAAGTTAAAGTGGGTGGAGCAAGCCAGAACAGCAACTGTACATCAATCAGTGACAACACCAATCTATTTAATGACACCCAAAGATTAGTAATCTTGGCCAAAAAGACACTATACGTACAACCAAAATGCCTGAATATCATAAGGCGAACCAAAATAACCATTAAAAGCATATGTTACAGTATGGTAATACAAAGTAATGATCTGTCTAGAGATGGATAATTAACTTTTGTTTATCAGTCGGCTTTCACAATTTTCAAGAAAGTTACCACCATATGAGTCTGTAGGCGCCGAAAGTTTTTGGCCAGCTGCCCGTTAACTTCACAAAATCCCAATAAACGAGGTTTTTCCGCAATTTCGCAAAGGCTAAGACTGCAAGCCGAAGGGGAATATTAAGTACAAAATACAATAGCCAGCAAAATGTGTGCTCACCTTTGTAACTTGCTTACAACAAAATAGGCCACTTTGCATATGTAGCTGCTCTGGAAAGACGGCAAAATAAAACCCACAAATATAAACAATAAACAAATTGAGACGGAATTTGCATCACGCGGGAACCAAATAGTCTACGACAGAGCAGCGCGTGGTGGTTAAGAAAGATCCGATTTGGTATAAAAATATTTTCAAACAAAAGATTCTCAGAATAAATGTATATTTCACAAGGCCTGGGAATTGAGATAGACACCTGATTGGTCGAATGCTATGGAAATGTGGACGGAAGGAATTTGACACGCTTTCTGAATGAGTTATTGTCTTAATCAGCAGACACTGCCATTTGGAATAGGCCTAGCAAGTATCAATTAAGTTTGATAAAACTCATCCATATAAGACCACCGTTCCTACTATGATATAACTAAATAGTTTTCAATACCAATATGAATGACTTTTATGTAAAAATCATATGTATTATTTTTTTGGCAAAGTATGTACACATTTCCACAGAATAACTATGACAGCGGCATGCCGAATGGACCTCCGTCGCTATCCTTTCGACACACAACAGTGCAAGTTGGCGATTGAAAGCTGTGAGTAATAGATTTTTAGTCATCAACGTTTTTGTTCTGTTTGAAAGTTTCGAGTTTCGTCTCGTGATACACTTGTAAAAATAAAGGTTTTGTGAAATTTCTGCCTGATTGACCAGTGGAGTCAGGAAGGTATTGAAAAATTTCAATGATGTAACTACTTGTATATAAAAAATTGTGAAGTAGAGTTTAAAAATAGTTTTCAAAAAACAACAAATATTTTGAAAAATAAATAATCTATAATTTAGCTTCACTCCGAGCTAGAAACATAACTGTCAATTTCTACAAGTCTAGCCATCAAGAAAAAATACATTTAACAAAAACATGATCTAAAAATTTGTAAACGACAACAATTTATGGATAGAATAAAAACTGCTGACCTGTGCAGACCAAAATTCTATACTTTGCAATAATTTGTACTGTTAGAATTAGCACTAAACCATTCAGTGTTTGAATCTGTAGCATTTTGAACCATTCCTTGCATACACTTTGCATCACACTGGATCATATTCTGCTTAATCTATCTACAATCCGTTAGTCTCTTATAACGATCAAACGTATTCAAATGCTCTTTTTACATGTTCATGATCGCAATCTTTTTTGAGTTGTTGAGTTGATCAAACATTTTTGTGTTTTAAGATGGGCATGATCAAAATCAAGTCAAGTATACATGGAGGCAAGACCAAGGCTGTCGACACGAGTGTAACAAGGTATACATCTATGACAAGGACATGGCAAACTTTGAAATACTCGAAGCCAAGAAAACCAAGGAAGCAACAGTATACCATGCAGGTAGGGCACAAAATATCTTCTCAAACTTTAATAAAGCTCGTAGGTTGGAGAAAGGATCAAGATTAGATATAACATAATAGAAATAAAATTGATACTCTTCAAGATGGCTCTTTTCTTCAAACAAGCTACAGAACCATTTATTTTCTTCAATATTCTGTTATTTAATTTATCTATCTTTATCTCATAATCTTTTGGATCTATGAGACTTTCTAGGTTCATGTCTACTGCTGGGAAATGCAAAAAAAATAGGCAAAGATATCATAATCGCGGATTATTTGGTGAAACTTTTATCGCTTGTATCGATTGCAAAGAAAATTTGCAATGAAATAAAATCCATTTCGTATAAAATGCATTGCTCGTTTGTTTAGAATTATGTCTGCCATACTTTACTCAAAGGAACTCATTAGAACTGCTCGAATTCTCCTGAACGGATAAGGTAGGATACAGTGGGTAAAAATACTTATATATACTGCGAGAATGAATCTGAGCTGCGTGGGAAATATGTGATTGTAAAGGAAAGGACGTTTTCCCTCCACAGCTACTTCCCAGTGTAAATTTTTTGCTGTTAGGATTTATAGAAGAATAGGCTTTTGGAACAGAGCACTTGAGTTCCAATTCTTAAAACTTTCTTACGGTTTACTGTTGTTAGACGAATTTGTAGAATTTGCGCCTTTAAATACTTTTTTGTGCAGCGGAGCTTGTCCGTCAGCTCTGTAATATCTTTGTTGCTTCTTAGAGAATTTTTCAAAAGCAACAGCATCATTTGTCTTCAGAAGGAGGCGTCAGTACTTCATCTTTCGCATATATATTCCTTCGATTCTCATTGTTATGGTTTCATGGAGCACGTTCTGGATATCCCAGGATGCAGTGCCTGCTCGAGCTGGAATTTGCATCACGACCATCCTAACACTAATCACGATGCTTGGTGTAGTGAACACCAATATGCCAAAAGTGTCATACATAAAAGCAATCGATCTCTATCTACTGGTCTCGTTCATATTCGTATTCTCCTCCCTAGTGGAATATATAATAGTCTTGAACTTTGAAAATTGCTTTTTGAAGAAAAGAAATAGAAAGGACAACACGAAATGGAACGAAGACCACTCACATATCATCAAAACAAATGTGCGTATCCCTCCATTTTATCATTTTACAGAGATTGATTTTAGCGATAAATATAAGCTAAATCAACAAACTTTCTATTCATTCGTACAACGATTATCGACAATTAAAATTTTCAGACGAATGCTAAGTTCGATAACAAGTTTTTAATGTTTTGGGCAGCTAACACTGAGAGGACATTTTTGAGGTAAAATCTAAGAAATAAATTAATGTGCATCTATCAGCCGACAGAGGCTGCTTGAAGATCTCTGCGCTAGTCCTTGCGAGAAAATAAAGGAAAATTAAAACAAAGCTGGGGTAGGCTATAATGAATGGTTCTATGAAAGCTATATTACCGATAACTGGTTGTTATAATTTGTTATTTATCACGTAGCATTATTGAAGACTTTTCCATTGAACTCAAAAAATTTTGAACTTGCTTACCAGAACTCTTTTTTCAAAATCCTGAAATCCTTTTAGATCTAGAAACATTCCTTGCAAGTAACTCTACGCTAAAATGAGTATAGAAAAGTCCATATCGCTCTCAGAAAGCTCAAGATTCTTGCAATCCTACATCTGTTTTATTTCATCAAAAATGCTGTTTTGCCAGTCGGCCATAAAGAGCTCTATAGTGTATAATCAGAGTTTTACACGTTTTGGTGTATAGAAAAGAACGGTTTTAGGCTGCAGCACAGGGTTTCAAGCTGAATGCGATCATCACGCATCCTCTTTGATCCCTTTTATTTCATATGCTCAACATTAATATAGCATAGTTTCAAATCTTTAATTGGCTGAGCGACCTAAATTCTGCATACGACATTGACCAATCAGAATTCAAGAATATGACAACAAACGTGCCTCGCAGCTAGATTTAGGTCTATTTTGCAGGTTTATATTTTTGTGGGTAGTAGTAAAATCGTGCAAAATAGACCTACTGCGAGGCACGTTTGTTGACATATTCTTGAATTCTGATTGGTCAATGTGGTATGCATAATTTGGGTCGCTCAGCCGATCAAAGATTTGGAACGATCAATCAATCTATGCTCATAAATATCAACCTTTTTTTATTAGGGGAGTATCAGCGTCACTGTGAAAGCCGAGGAAGAATTATCAGAAGAACAACCGTTGGGCTACTTCGGAGGAAGCAAGGGTTGTGTCCGACGTCAGTCAAGCATATCATCAACACATCGCAACAACGATCTAAGCTTGGAGGATAAACTTGCAAGGAAACTTAACAAAATAAAATATAATTGGCAGAAGCCCGCAAAAAGGCCTCCACCACATCTAGTTGACTTGATCGCAAGGGTGCTATTTCCGTTTATTTATGGTCTTTTTAATTTCATCTATTGGTGGACACAGATAAGATAAATAAACTGATCAGTCATGAACTTTAAAATTGCTGGAAAGCAAAAATTAATTCATAAACTAAATGATGTGAACAGGGTACACTTAAACATGAATGATGAAATCAAGAAGATAAGAAATACATTCATTGTTTAAAAACCACCACTTAAAGAAAATTAACAGACAAAAATCGTGTTTAAAATTTCATTCAATTTACATAATTGCTGAGTTGTATCTGAGGACATAACTGCGTGAACTGACTCGTAACAAAGCGGAGCTTCATTGCAACTTGTTGCCAAATTTTCAGATGTTGATTAACACATTTTTACATAATTTGATGTTCTTTGAAAGACAATTTAGTAGTGTCACATTCTTCATAAAAGGAAATCTTGTAGGAAAGACCTGGATGTCAACAAGGATGTTCAAAATTGTTTGCTTTTGAATAATTAATTATTTTTACTTAATTTCAAATCAAACAAATGAAAAATTAAGCATCACTTTTATAAGGGATCGAGTCCAGAAATTTCTTTATCATTCTCCCAGCAGTACGACTGTATTTATTCAATAATAAAAATAGCAGACTTCGTCGAGCTGTAAAGAAAATCTTGAGAAAAAGACTGCATTAAATTGACCTGGAATCAAGACCCCTGATACTAATTTAAGAGGAAAGCTTTTTGTAAAAATGAGCAGACTTATGGTTCATTTTCAGTACAAATCTATTGATCTCCCAATGCAAAATATTTCAGGTTAAAAGAAACTTCAAATTTGCAGGAGTCTATTAAAGGCGATTTTAAAAATGGCTAGCTTCCTGCCCTGGCATAATGCTATTTTTGAAAAAACAAAATTAAAAATATGCTTTTTGGATACCCTCAATGTATAGTTATAAAAGGGGAAAAATCAGTCACATTTATAAGAGCTGATATTAGATGGGTGGCAAGTATTTTACATTCTTTTATACTTGTGTTGTGAAGCATCAAACAGACAGTCTGCCAATAATGACCTTTTGGTGCCATATCTGAATTCTTAAGGGTGGCCAAAATATTGCTCATCCTTTATTGGGTTGTCAAGAATTGATAAAAAACAGTACAGATCTTATTTTGAGTCATCTTAATTGGCATTGAAAATGATAGTTATCATCCACGGGTTTCATAGAGCAGGAGCATCCTAAGCAGAGCATTGGAAATGAATTTTTGAGTATCACATGGTCCATAATCCCTTGAAATGTCATTACCAGATACTACCAGATGATTTTGATCAGCGATTACAAGAGTGGTCAGTGCATATGCTCTAACAATCTAACAAAAACGCTAACCTTTGTTTTCTCAACAGATTCTGTTAAACTAAACTCTAAACTTGAAAATTTCGATTTGTATCTTTCCAGAAAATCCTTTGTTGTCACATGATCGGTGACGTCATTTCTGGTATAATTTCAGTGTTTAAATGGCCATAACTCAATGGTTATTCGTCAAATGACATGAAAGTTTACACATACTAAAAGATCTTGAAGAGCCCTTTTTATTGATATACATATTTACTATTTGCTCAAGTAAGCATTTTGTTGAACATGTGATCTTTTAGATCTCTAGGGTTTAAATGGCCATAACTTGATCGCTATTCGGTATATGACGATGAAACCTGCATGTAATGCAAAATCTCAAAGAGCTCTTTCGACTGCTATATTCAGTATTTGCTGATGTCAGAATTTCAGTTATCACCTTATTTCAGATAGCTATTAGATACAAGTGCTCCATAACATTGTGTTTATGTGATGTAAATTTAACTTTCCCCCATAGAAATGGTATCTTAAAACATCACTTTCATATTTTACTCCAATAAATGGCATTCAGTATTTTCCCACTTAATACAGACATGTCAAGTTTCAGTTTTTAAAATAAATGAGTTGTTTCAAAAGGAAGTGAAAATGTTTGGTCATCATGAGGGGATCTTTACCAATCCAGAACGAATCCTGACTGCCACATACGAAAAGTAGAGTTCAGAAGCCTAGCCCGAGAAAGTTTTTTGCCATGCCCATTAGTTCTTCAGGTGGGGAATTGAAAGGGGCTTTGTTCTTTGCTAATTTATTCAGTTTTTATTAAGAAAAAAATTATGACAGTACATGTGCTCCTCTTTCACATTTCCAATAAATTCACAATGTGTCATAGTCGCAAAAAAGCTAACCTGCTATTTGTGTAGGCTTGCCAATAAATGTACCATCACTTAACCTGTGTAGATTCGCTGTTATCCTGGTCATCTAATTATCTAGTCACTGCTATTGTGCTAAAATGCCTTGTTGGGAAAGAGGGATTTTGCTAGGACTTTGAATAAAATTGAAAAATTTAAATAAACCAAGAAATTTGTTGCAAAATGCGTGAGAATTCTGCTTTCATGTGTGTGAACGTGAGAAAAGACCTAAATGCATATGTGTCTCACTCAAAATGCATGTGACTTGGTAGGTCTGTGTATAGTAGGTTTACATGTGTCTTTTGTGTGTGAAAATATCAAGAACTTGTCAAAACTAAGAAGATGTTGAATATTACCAACCCTAGCAATGCTACAAAATCATGTATTTTATAGTTGTTTGACATAAGTTTCGTTTGAAATTGTATCATGCCTAGCATTTGATGCAGAGTTCCTGCTAAGCATAATGGGCATATCTTTTACCAATAAATATTTACAAAACATCCTAGCTTATCACTTGATCTCATATGCAAGGCATATGATCTTTATGCCAAATAACACCATGGAATATTTGATTCTTTGAAAAAATTGAAAGACAAATATTTTTGCAAAATGTGTAGATATACAAAAATACTAGATCATCTAAAACAAACAGTATATTTATTTACAAAGTTTTGCTAGCTTACAGTTTGAGTGAAGGAAGTCATTTATTGAACATCTCAATCATTGTTACATCTTGAAAAAATTCATCAAGTTTCCATTATAATTTCTTGACTATGACAATGTTTGTCCCCTAGTCACCTAAAATTGAAATATGCCAGGTGAATCAGATAAAACTTACATATGATTTCATAAGTATGATATCATGAAACAACTTTTAAAAATAGCATAGAGCACCCAAAAAGCACTGTAAACATAATTCTAAACCCTAGTAATTTTACAAAAACTGAAAATTGCTGAGAAACAAATGAACTATTTTGAGTATTTTCTTTGAACCAAAATAAATTCTTACTTATTATCCTTGACAAATCATATTCAACTGTTTCAAGATCTGTTAACAAAGCCTGCCAAATTTTTAAATAGTAAAGTAAAGTCCAAGTCTATCAACTGGCTGCCTTCAAAGTAATCAAAGTGAATGGAAACCAAAGTAACTGAGTGCTAGGTTTGGCATAACTTTACTCAACTATTATTTAAAAAGTGAACAGTCTAAATACCCCCCACATAAAGAAAAAGGTCTACCATTTTTAATAATGACTACTGCATTTCACTAAAAATCAAACACTACAAACCCTTGCTTCCACATATTCAATCTTCTGCTCTAATGATGTGAGCTTTGCATTCAGATTAGCAAGTCTTGTGCGACAGGAAACATCTACAAAATGAAATTTCAACTGCATATCATATACCACTCTTACTGGTACTTTTACAACACTTTTTATTTAATAATTAAAACAGATTAGAATGGTTACACAGTAATCCATGCAATAAGAAATAAAGATTGCAACAAACAAACAACTTTAAAAATTAATGTAGATGCAATTGTCATCTCACAAAAAGGTCTGTCTCTTCAAGGTTAAGGCCATCATTTGAGCAAAGCAGGGGGTACAGAATATGGCATACAAAGTAGGTAAATAGGTCATCAAGTTTGTGGTTAAATATAGCTAACAGATCCAGACTGGAAAGTACAAGCTGCACTATTGAATGAGATCTTTGGTGTGCCAGAAGCACTTCGAGAAAGTGTGCTACTAAAAATTGGTTTGATTTTCCTCAGGGGCACTGGGCAGACATCCAGCTCAGCTGGGAGACAAAGGTGTCTATTTATTATGAAACAATTTTTTTGCGGTACAGAATTTGAAAATGGCTTTGAAAAAAGCAAACATTTTACGACATACTAAAAGCTTTTTCGTCTGACACTCCTCAGAGCATTAATCGTCAGAATAAGGTTCCGAAAGAACACGATGGAAAAATTTTGGCATAGCCATTGAGAACTACATTTTTCTGTAAAATAAAGTGAGCTTCTTTAAATTGCAAAAAATATTGAGCATTGGGTGTGCTAAATATTCGTGATTGTTAGGACCTCAGATGCACTTCTTAAAAATGTTTAAGTCTGGCAAAGATTGGCTGTACCTTACCAGACATGGCATATTTGAAATTTTCAATCGACTTAGTTTGTGGTGACCCATCCAAAGAGAGCAACATACTTCACTGGCATACTAGAGATGATTAGGCTTTGAGATAACACTTGAATTTTTGCAAAACCTGGTACCAAGATAGACATTTTTTTGTGGTTGTTTACCTAGAATCCATAGGTGTTTTTTAGGGTCAGTGTCCTGGTCCTTCCTCTCAATGTGACCACACCTTGTGATTCCTATGCCTGGAATTACAGGGGTCTAGCAATTCTCTTTGCTCTAGATAAAAGTTTGATCATGTCAGGGACTCGATCCCCAGACCCATGGATCTGTAGTTGGCAACCTTAACCATTGAGCCATCCTCCAAACACCAGAGGAACCATCATTGCAACTTTGATAATTGCATAGGCAAGCTATCTGAAGATCTAAATTTTTGCACATATTGAACCAGAACCTTGCTTACATAATATATGTACATTTGAAAATTTTTTACATATAAGCATGTACAAAAACTGGTAGCGACTGAAGAGTTTAGGTTTAGACTAGAATCATGCTGAAATAGTTCTATTAAGCTGCCACTTTTCACAGCTTGATTGGGAAGTGATGGCAGAAATGGCAGAGGTGGGAGATCTTTTGCATCTAGTAATAATATAAGGAGACATATTCTCTAAAATTCAAATTAGATTTTTATTTTGTTCTATAACTTAAAAAGATACTTGGAATGGATAAAAACTTCTTTTTTGGTGTTTCATAAAGATACTAGCTTTTATATGAGTTATAACATTTATAGAACACTGTAACCAAGCTCTGGCACTTCATTTCCCTGAATTTGATCTATATCAGTTTTAATTTGTAACATGAATTTCCTGGCTAATCAGAAAACAGATACATGTTGGAATGGATGAAGCAGCTCCAGTGTAAATGGGAAGCCTATGTGTAACTGTCACAATGGCATTGATCAGTTTGGATCCATAAGCATGTCATTTTTCGTACAATGCAAGTTTATGATAGGTTTGCTGCCAAGACACCTTAGAAATGCGCAAGGGTAAAAATTGTGCATTCACTATTCACACTTTGACACAACAGCCTCAAGACCCAGGCACAATAGCCACGCAAAACCCCAGATCTCGGCAAAAAGTTCAGCACTTTCCAATCCATCCAGGCAATTTACCTGCTCTATTTCTGGTCTTTGAAGATCTGTGTTAAATCCACAAAACTTTCATGACCTTTTGTCTCCGTTTTGCACTTAACCTAATTTTTAAATAGCAGACTTTGAAAGCTTCTTTTCGAAGCCTCAAGACTATAGTCATTTTTTAAACAGTACAACGATGCTATTCAAAAAGCGGAAATTATTTGGTTGGGCCTAAACAAAACAATTAGAAAAATTGTAAATATATCCCTCATAGCTGTATGGCATCAAGTTGTTATATTGAACTGGAATTCTTACCAAAATTATTTAAGAAGTCTGCTAATTTCTTTACTGAGCATGTTAGAGTTTCAACAAACTCTCTGTTTTCCCAATCAGCTTGAATTTGATCTCTAATGGTAGCCATCTTGGATTCTTAGGACCAATCCCAAGCTCCTTCTCAGTCACAAAGATGCAACTCCTTCCTGAGGTAAATTACTCCTTCCTCAAGTAGAAGATGCAACTTCATCTTCATTGACATTCTACTTTAGTAGATCAAACATACAGGTGGTAACTTTTTTACTTGATGTTGCAAAAACAAACCGACCAATGACACCGGAAAATCTAAATGTTACTTACAAACCGGGACTCTGCAAGCCCCTTAGACATGCACCTGCCAACGTCAATAAAGATAAAAAATACCTATATTTCAGTATCAATATTTCCCTGTTAAAGCTAAAGAAGGAATCTTTTTCATAACAATTATGGTTGCTGCTACGTATGCTCCAACATCCTGGGACACTGACTGCCCAGGACATCAATAATGATTGTGAAAAGTTTCATCAGATTGCTGCCAAAGTGATCTATCCAATACCCAGTGGTGTAGTGCTGTCTAAATAACAAGGGGGGCTCTTGCAAAAAATGTTGCGAAAAATAATAGCAAAAGTAGAAATATGCAAATTTTAGGCACTAACAAGGGGGGTTCAGTCCCCTGAGCCCCCCTAGCACTACACCAATACCGGACTAAACAGAGGAAATAATAGAGAGGTTGGACAGTCTGGATTAAAACTGTAAGATAAAGATTATAACAATTATGAACAAGTTTCGGTATAAAACTATTATTGACGTTATCCAAGGACGTATGTCATTAAAAGACCATTTCAGTGGAACCATTTACATCTGGAAGCTAGAAACCTGATTAGAGTTATGAGCCACCGTTTAAAGCAGGTTAAGAATAAAATGTAAATAGGATTGAAATCGTTTACATCAAAAAGTTTTGGAAAAAGCGTCAAAAACAATAAGGTTTATTTTAGATATTTACATTCTATTTTCCTTTTAAGCATTTGGAAAAGCAGCATATTTATATCAGCTTCAGCTGACACATAAATTATAATCCCCTTTATCAATACATGATGTTTGTATGTGTGCGTGAGTATAGATAAATTCAGAGTCTGTTCATAGAGAGAAAGTTCCCCGGTATTTTCTCGTTCAATTTCCTTCCTCAGATTTCTTTGCTAAAATTGCTTTGTCCTCAAGAAACACTGGCCTCTTCCATACAAAATTCCTGGTTACGCCACTTAACCTAAGACTTAATGGCAGTGATGAAGGGAAAAATTAAAATAGTAAACATACTGCAAATTTTTCCTTTTCAAGTATATTTCAACATTCAGACGATCCCTAGAATCTTCAGTACACTAAGAATCCCCCTAAAATGGTTTTTGATTTTTGAATGTCCGTCCCGGGATTTTTGTGGTCCCAACTCTGCAATCACGTCACCGGCGTCTGTGATCTATTGGAATGATAGAGGACCGCAAGAATAATGCATCGTCAAATATAACGACAGTAATAAAAATATTGAACACATGTAATACGTATTTATCAGTTGCATAGATCAATATAACAAAAAATGACCGTATGACAAAGGTCCAACTTTCTAATTGAAATCTAGATAATCAAACTATATTCGTTGTAAATACAGAAAATCTAAACGTTATACAGAGATAAAAATATGACACATTGTACCAGCGCTCTCTACTATATCTAACCTGACGTTGGATTACAATATACTGTTGGAATGGTTCAACAAGACTTAAAATGATTGCCCTTTCCGAGGGATTGTGGAAAAATACTAAACTTCATGTTCTTGTGTTTGCTATAAAGTCCTAGGCATGTTCTCGTGTTTGCTAAAAAGGCTTAAATGTAATGTTAGCATACATGCAAACAGGCGCTAGTCTAATGCACAAAAGCAATGCAACGCTACTTGCGTCAGTATTACACATTTAGGTGAAATCAGTATTGTAGAAAATTTAACAGAGCAGTAAAATCCCCTATGATACCATACGATGCAATGAACGCAAAACCATGTATTACAGAAACCCCCTTAATTTAAAGAAAAGGCTTCAAGTTTGAGAGATCTGAAAAAGACATTCATGTCTTGAGAGACAACAAAGTGATACAATAAAACTCAACATTTCATAATGAAATACAATACAATACAATACAATACAATACAATACAATACAATACAATACAATACAATACAATACAATACAATACAATACAATACAATACAATACAATACAATACAATATAATACAATTCAATTCAATACACTTTAAAACAATAAAGTAAAATCTGATACAATACAATACACTGTAATGAAATACAATACAACATTTACTAATGAAATTCCACAAAATACAATACAATACAATACAATACAATACAATACAATACAATACAATACAATACAATACAATACAATACAATACAATACAATACAATACAATACAGTACAATACAGTACGTTACAATACTATGCAATGAAATACAGCATAATATAATGCAGTAAAATAAAATACAATACAATGAAATACGTTAAAAGGCAAAACAATACAATATGGTTTGACAAACATCGAAAATGAGAAAAATCATATTGAATTGGAAGTTTAAGTTGTGTTGTAATAAAAGTGGGAAAGAGGCAGGTTTCAAAATAAAAAAATAAAATTAAAAATCATTGTGCAATATGACATCTTTGAAAGTAACGATCAACTGGAAAAACAACCTAAAACTTTGGATCTGTTAATGGTAAATTATGCTGTTACTGTAATATCATTAAGAATAGGCTTTAGGTTAAAATGTTTTACGTAAAAACATGCAACATAATCTTCAAGTATATATATAAATATTTGCTTTTACGATTGCAATCGCAATGCTATTAAGGCTTGATTATTTTGGCTCATCGAAATTGCAGTAAGGTATAAGCAATATTTTCATTACAAAAATGTTCCCAAATATACCTCAATTAGCAGCAAAAATGGATAAAAATGTTCATAAATTACAAATAATCTTCGTTTTCGCTGGTGGATGATTTTGATTTATAACTTTCTTCCATTTTTACTTCCCTGGATAACATGCTTGATTCAGTGAGGTCCAGCACAGCTTTTTCAGTCTGCAATTTAGAATATGCGGCCCTAAACTGCTCTGTCTCCAAGACTGCTTCAGTCAAGCCTTGGTCTTCAAACAGCCTACGCGAAGCCTGAATCAAAACGAAAATGCATTTGTTATTTAGAAATGAATATCTTCATACGAAGTTAAGTTTTCGAAAACAGTCAAAATTAAAGCTAAGAATAAGAGACACTTGAATCATAAATAAGAATATTTGAAAAGATAAGAAAACTTTTAAAAAACTTTAAAGTTCACAATGTACAGTGAATAATCAAATTAACCTTTGGTACCACAAATTTGAAGATCGCATTTCCTGCTTACCTTTGGATATTATCCAACGTTTATACCCAAAAAAATTTTGGTATGATATGCTGCTGCTCTTACGGACAGTGAATAACATTATATTAAAGATTCCAAAATGTGCTTTGAAGCACAAAAATACACAGCAGAAAAGATTTACCTCGATTATACAAGATAGCACATTAAATTGCTGCATGTGTAAAGGTAGATCCTGTCTCTCTACAAGCCAATCACACCACATTTGACAGTGTTTGTCCCAGATAACCTACCAATATGAATTGCGAAAGTTGAAGTAATTTAAAACTACTAGAACAAAAGTTGTATCAACATGAAGTAATTGGTAAGCATCAACATGTCTTATAAACATGACGTAATTTTCTTAACTGCTCTGGATTGTAAACGTGAATACCACGGGAGAACTGTAATTGATTCACAAAAGTAGCTGTTAGGGTAAACATTTTGCAAACGTCAAATTCAAATCTAGCATTGAATCGATTACTAGTTTTAAAAATTGTAACACTTCTATTGATAGAAATAATAATGAAACTACATATATGTTTGAGCTTTGTTTCTAGAGAGACAAAGATCCAAAAGGCCATTTTATAAACTACTGCTAAACATAAAACCGAATTGACGTAAAGATCCCATTGCGTCAAGAAATTTCAGACAGAAAATCTGGTTGGCACTTGGTTGACACCCAAAAATTCATGAAACCATGAAATTAGTGTGTTTAAAACAGCAAACCTAACAGTTTCAGATCAATCATAGAGGTTAAGAGTTAATTTATATATTGTTCAAATTCTCAGCTGTTAATATATGCTATAAAAACGAAATCCAAGTCATAGTTAATAGAGCGACAATGGTAGCCTTATTTAAGCACAATATGGTAGTCCATACCTTAGACACGAAATCCAACAGGCGCTTTTGTCTAATAAACTTCCTGAAATTACCAAGGTTCGAAAGAATGAACTCAATGAATTTGTCTGCCGTTTCTTCACTGTTTTGCTGAAAAACAGTAAACTTACTATGTGACCATTGTTTACATGAAGAGTAGGAGCAAGGATTCTATTTTCACAAGATAATGAAGATGATTTGTAAAGCTTTGTAAGGGAAAAATAATATAGTTGGACAGCTGAGTGGAAATAGGTGTCTGATTCTTAGCTCCAAAGCTCGGAAAAACGCTTAAGTCCAGGATAGTTTAAAAGCATCTGTTTTATCTAAAAACGAGCCCATCCAACACAAGCCTTTAGATAAAAAAGGAAACCCCAATTTCCTGGTGCAAAATACAATAGTTTGTTTAGTAGGAAAAACCTTGAGCATGCAATTTCATATTTTAAGCTAAGTACATGTAAATTTTATTATTTTTTAAATTTGAATTGATCGCAGACATTCTCGTGGCGTGTAATTTGAGACAGACTGTAGTAGTTTATTTTAACCTCTGTGTCTATGGCCCCGGGGTAGTCATAGTCTTTTGCTCCTCGGGGTATCGTCCAAGTAGTATTGTAAAGTAAATTTGTAAGTAGCGTAGCTCAATGGCGGCGCCAGGCACTACGCTCTGGGGGGACAAAACAAAAAATTTTGGACCACGCCCCTTTTAGCACCAGAAAACGCCCTTTTACTAACAAGGAACGCAATTCTTACCTGAAGGGAGCGCCCATTACTCACTTTTGGCTATGTAAAGGCAGTTTGAAAATCATAGGATTACATCAAAAAAAGTACGTTGCCAAAATATTACCCCTCCCCCAACATTTTCTCATCGGATTTAGACGAAATGCAAAATTGATCCTGCGGAAAACTGGGGGGAGGGGACGTGTCCTCCCAGTCTCCCCCGTGGCGCCGCTACTGGCGTAGCTTGTATTTATGTATTGTAACTTTTAAATGAATATAAAAAAAATTTATTATGATAGCGCTGAAGAATTATTTGTGATATTAGACAAAATTGAATCTTTCAAGCTTCAGCCAACATTGGCGAAGAACCGCTGAGGCCCTAAAGTCCATACCTCAAAAACAACACTTTGCGAGACAGTCGATTGGTTTTCTCAGTCAGGTCATCCATATCACCTTTCAGATTTTCCCAACCACTGTTTAGCAACATCGACAAAATATTCACAAATTTTCTAAATATAAGTTCAGGGATCAAATTAAAGTACAGCATCTGCTTGAAAGCCCATAACGGCGGGTGAATAAGTCAACTGATCAATCGGCTTGTTAATAAGGCTTATTGCAATGAAAATTAAAAATCTTTTTATGAAGACTCTACAGCGAAAACCTAGTCGGTTCACAGCAGAAAATAAAGGAGAAAAGAAGCGCATTAGCAAAGGTTTACGGGTGTTTTTGAAGGGATTCCTCGACAATTAATAATGAAAAGAGATTTGCATACCACGACTGAAAACACGTAAGAAGTAATTTTTCCATGGTCCAAACGTGCCAATTTCTTAAGAATATCATCCATTATTGTGCTTAACTGTTGAGAAGAAACAAGAAATTATGTTATGCAACAAAATATTATGAAAGCAGTTTTGAAATCTGAAAGTTTCTAAGCCTCATGGCTTTCATTAATTTTCTTTCAAAGAAACTTGTCAACTCGGAAAGAGCTACCAGGAGAAGGTAGTGACAACTGGAAATAATATGTTTAGGTCAGCAATTAGTTACAATATAAAGTCCCTATCCTACTCTAATAATTCATGTTTTGTGTTCTTATTGACTGAACCTCGATAGAGATGAAAACAGAACCTGATTAAAATGGATAAAATATCTCTGATGTACCTATTGAGCCCAACAGTTAAGTAATAGCACATTCAATTCATTGCATGCAAACAATAATAGAGGCCCCCCTTTAAACCAGCATTTGGTGAAGGGCTACCCCTACTTAAATTATTTGAAAATTAAAATAAATGAAAAAGAAACAAGAGTATTGGTAACATATACACGATGAAGTCTACTTTGCCTTTCTTAGCAAAGAAAAAATAAATTTTATTTGCATGAACAACATTTAAAGGATTTTTCAAAGACTTTAGAGATTAGAAGATACAAATAAAAATTAACGTGCTTAGAGTGTAGAATTGCTAATCTTTAGACAAAATGATAGCCTTTCTTTCTGTATTTATGTAGACTTTTTCACAACTAGAGTGAAGACATAAGTTTGTTATTTCATTAAGTAAACCATTTAAATGTTTGTAGTTACCTTGTTGGAGATAAGCTCGCATACTGTAGACTCAGCAACATCCAAAACGTGACTTGCAGTGTTGTGATAACGGTACTGAAAGGACGAAACTGGGCGCTACACATAAGGTCAATGTTATTTCGACTGGCAAGGTGATTATTAGAGGTTCTCTAATAGCTGACACAAAAAAGAAGACGATTTTATACAAGACTAGAAAAGACGAACAATATTGATTTGAGATAAATCAACATACTTCCTCAAGAATTGCATTTTCGTCGACGCAAAGGTGCTCAGCCTGTAAGAAATATAGACATAGAATTTAAAACAAATTAATAGTTTTGTTTTAATCTTTTCATTCATGTTTTTTTTCAAATTGAAATGACTACAGTCTCTTTGATAATGAAAGGAATAAAGCTGCTTTTTGTGACAGTTTCATAATATCTAAATATATTTGTTTTCATTCCTCAGTGCTTGCAGCATCGGATTTTACAAAACTAGCAAGTCAGTTTTTGCATGAAAATATAATCGCAAGAAACAACGGTTAAAGGTAATGTGTTCAGCCAACGCAAGCAACTCTGCGAGGGTTTTCAGAAACGTGATTTTTCATGTCATCGTCCCAGCCATCGTGATCGTTCTGTTTATCTGCAGAGCGAGGCTAACTTTTCATGTAAGCAGTTGTGCATCGCAAGAATACTGACAAATAGCAAGCCGATATTTTGATGTTACTTGACAAGATGGGTATACGCAGCCCTTTTATATGGACACGTTACTTTTAAGATTCGCTTTTGATTCGAATATCCAATGCTACGACAATATAAACAGAGTTGAAAATGTAACCAAACCTGGGTCCGGGCACTTGAAAACACGTTGAGCATGACGCAAATTTCTCTGTCAGTCATATATTGAAAGTCAACTTTAGCATCCTTCAAAAACTGTTGAGCAGCATGCACAACCCTGAAAGCATTTACATTACACAATTGAGTTGTATCTGCATAGCTATCATCAGTATGCGAATTACACTAGATAAAGCCCCATGTAAGGCGAAATATAAACTAAATATTGTTCGTATTACAGATTTTCAAAAAATTAAAAAAACTTTACAATAGCAAGATTCATTCCCTTCAATATAGTACCAAAAATTGAAAAATATGAGAGGTTACTATCTCAATTTTTATTTAAAGATTTAGGCAATCTTATAAATGGCCGATCTAGCCATATAGTTTGATCACAGCTTTACGGCAAATTGACTATTATTGCCGTGTTAAACGATCTGAAAATGTTTTCTTCATCTTGACTTTTCCCCTAAAAAATTCTGACTATGAACAACACTTTTATAAAATGTACCTCTGAGCGACTGCCTCGATCATATCTGTTGCCATTAGCTTCAAACGTGTGTTCAAATGACCCGCCATCTCTTCGTCTGGCCAATGCAAATCTCGAATAAAAGCTTGGAGCGATTTCAGTTTCCAAAATACTTCTTCTGATGCAGCACAACCAAGACTAAAATCAACATCAACGAAAGATATCTAAAATTGATTGCCAATGACCAATGTCAAGTCAAGTCAAGTCAAGTCAAGTCAAGTCACGTCATGTCATGTCAAGTCAAGTCACGCCAAGCAAAACAAGTCAACTCAAGTAAAAAAAATAAAGAAAGTCGGAAGATGCATCGAAATCGTACACGTAAAAATATATGTACGTCAGAATCAATATTATATTTGACCAAATTTCAGAAAAGTAATCGTAAAGATTTAAAACTTTAAGGCGCATATTAAAGCCTTATCTTCACATGCAATTTTTCCTTGACAGTTTTTCCTTGAAAACCTTTCCTTGGCAACTTTTCTTCGCTACTACTGTCGTGACACCAATACGTAACAGTTTCTTACCAGTTAACGAAGTTGTTTGCCTGAAAGCTTTGTGGCAAGGAAAAATGCAGACTTTGCTAGAAAAACTTGTCAAAAACTTGTTGGCTTAGATAAGGCTTTATTTGAATTGTTTTAGATAGATCTCTTTAGATAGATAGATCAGCTGTTGCGTTAATGATTTACGTTTGCGTTAATGTTTAAAGCATGTTTTACTCCAAATCAGTAAATTGGTCAAATGAGAGATGATAATCGTGAATATGGGTGAGATTTACATTGAAAATGGTCCGTCTGTGTTGTGTAAGGATGAAAAAGTAGCATTTTGCAACAATAACACTGAAGAAATTGCAAGTGAAATAAGACGCAAAATTTATTCACCCGACTTCTGTCCAGGTTTCTTTCGTGAATGTTTTATCCAGCGATCTTGCAACGGACGACTCCATTAAATCGATGTATCGAATCACAAGGGGAGCAAACTTATTACGCAGATGGCAGTGAAATGGGCCTTGGCACAAAGTTGCTGTCCAAAAAAACAAACCACTAGAAATTTCAATCTAAGAAGCAGTACGAAGTGAAAATATCAAAAACTTCAACAGAATTTAGTATAAAAGCGCAAACATCTGGGCTTAAATGTATGATGGTAATAAATGCCATAAGGGCCTTAAGTGGCAGTCTATGTCTAAACTGGCATTTGTTGCAATTCTTAAAAACGTCATCACATACGTTGAAATAAATGAGATATCGACGCAGGGAAAAGATAAATGATAAGAAAGGCGCTGTTATATACTCTGGAATTCTGCCTCAAACATTTATGTGAAAATATTATGGGCAATTTTGAAGTTGCAAATGGAGTAGCGAAATCGTATACAATGCTTCGTCATTAAACCATACCAAATGTTTCAAAGTCATATTTTATCTCCTAAAGGATGGGCTGCAATATCCCGATTTGCAAAAATTACTTTCAAAATGCTCTTTTAGTTTATGATAAAATATGTTTATGGTTATACTGACAGAAAATGTGAGCAACTGACACGACCTTGGGTGGACTCGAGCCTACGATCAGTGACACCACATCACCGCTTCACAAACCGAGCTGCCCGGTCATGTGTTCAAACTCAAGCGCATGCCAGTCCTCCCCTGGTCGTATCATTCGCTTACATTTTATCTTTTCTTTTCAAATCTTTTCAAATCCTGTTTTGTACTTACTCATGATTATATTGTTTAATTTAATTTGACCCAAATCTCTCCTTCTAAATGAATTTAGATTTTTGTGGGAATTATCATTTTGATGCGCACATTGCAAAGAGTTGCATATTGGAGGAATGACCTTTTTGGAAGGTCACCCAAAGATTTGCTGTTGTAAGGAATCCCCAAAGAAGAAGATGGATAAACCAGCCTTGGCTTAAAAATTGCAGAAATACTCACGCTCCATGCGAAGGTAATTGTTGAGCATTTGAAAAAGAACGAAGCTGTCCCAAGTATCGATAGGCTGGCAGGCTAGAACTTCGTCCATGTCAACAGCATAAAGACTCCAGAAAATTTCAGTGTGCTCAGTCATTAGCTCTGAATACCAAGCCAAGGCCTAGTAAGAATTAGGAAAAAAGTGGGCATGGAAAGTTGCGTTTTCAACGAAGGGAGGAGAATCGTTAGGGAAAATTGTGGGCATATGCAAAGTGTACTAATAACGTCAAAAGTTCGATTGAAATCATAAGGCATATGTTGCGAACAATACATGGAAATTAAATTTGAATCGAACTAAGCTCTATGAGCTATGAGCTAGGGAAAGTGTTTTTTACCAAAGACAATCGTTACCAAAAGCATCTTTTTCCCATTTGGAATACACACTGCCAATTATCATTGACAGTTAGCAAAACATTGAATCTTTCATCATACTAAGTTAATATTGAACGACAGCAAGAGACTACACTGCCTTCTGTAGTATGTTAGAAAACATCAGGATTATAATAGCCTTCTCCCTGCTTCAAAATAAAGACAGCAACAGGAAATCAAAACAGCGAAGTAGCCTAAAAAACAAACTTAGATTTGGAAAACAATGAGAGACAAACCTCAGCATGGTGCTCCTCATTCTGCTGAATCAACTCAATACACAGCTCAGCTAGCTGTGTGACCTTTTCCAACTTTTCTGATGGGCTTATATCAGCACCTGAAAATTCTGTAAGATTCAAGAAGAGTCTTCTCAGTGTGGTCTGCACAAATACGAAGAAGCATGTGATAACATCCAAAAAGTTTTTATAGTTTAATGTGAAATTTCGCTAGCGAGAGTGCCACTAGGAAAAACAACTAGTACTTGACAGCTAGCAGAAGATTTAAGCTTCAGTGATTTCGCTAAAGGATGTAAATTAAAGACTAAGCTGCTTTCCAAAGTGACATGTTTTATCGTCTTATCAATATCTTCATTTTCTATAGCTCGAAAGCTTTCTTGAGTTTTTTCCAAGCATATATTGTCCTTGAAACAATCTCTTCGATTTGATGCTGTTTTTAAAAGTAATTCTGGTAAATTGCAACTAAATCTTGATGCTGACTAAAACTGAGTTTGAATTTGACTTTGAGTTTCTGATCTTTCAAAACACCCCAATTTCCAATTTTCCAAATAGCGTTCCTTTTCAACGTCTTCCGTTACAATCTACAAATATTTGACCACTCCTAGCCTAGAATACTAGAGAATTACGTAATAAAAATGAAATGATAACAAAAAATAACTTGTTTAAAGTTGGAAAATAAATCTGATAGCAACGTTGTAGCTATTTAGGCCAACCAGCTGTACTATCGAAAACATTTACAATGAAAGAAGTCCAAGTAAGAAATATTTTAATCACAATGTAAAATATGAATTAAAAAGAGATTGAAATGAAAGGAAAATTTAACTAAGAAGGGCAGAAAAGTTGAGGATAAGGCTTTTATCAAAGACCTAGAAATGTATGTGAGCTACCTTCTATTCTTGCGTAGCCAGAAAGCCTTGTGTAATTCACAAGAGCTGCTTTGCGTAGACAGTTTCGAACCGAAGAGCGAACATCGGCAGGATCAACAGGGGCAGCGGCATCCTTTGTTAACACCTTGGGACAGAAGTAGTCAGGTGCTTATTTCTAACGATATTGGAAATAAGAATAAAGGCTAGTATTTTTATTCTCCTTTACGGGAAATGTGCAGTGAGAAACAATTCTATAAGGCGCAATATAATGCAATTGAACGCAATGGAACAAGTCGCAACAATATACAATATATGAAATCATTAACTTTATAATAGGAAACTTTATATAGTACAGAATATCGTGTTGGAAAACTGACAAGAGCTACACACACTTACTGGTAATTATTTTGCAGTCAAGACTTGCTGATAGAAAGGTGTTAAAAAGCAATTACGTGGATAGACAAAATGAGAGAATGAACTCCGTTTGACTCCAGAATAACGGTCTGTCTAAAGAGCTTTATGTAGAAATGAATTTCTTAACAAACAGTATTGTTTTCTATGATTCCAGTAATTGATTTTAACACGTTACCCTTTCGTACAATGTCAGTGTGCTTTTAAGAGCGCCTTCCGGTCTTCCGAATGGAAAACAATATCTGAAGCAAATAAGTTTACATTAGAAAAAAATATTTCAAAAGTAGTTGTATAAAGACCCGAGGAAACTATCAGAAACGTCTTACTACAGAGTATACAGTACAAAAATTCATAGCTCAAGTTTTTGCACTCTTTAGCAAAATTTAATGAACACTATAGCTAAAAGAGAAAACTCCACAACTAGTTCAGATCAAATATCCATCATTAAATCATTTTATTATGACATTCAAAACAGTAAAAACTTTAGGCCAGCTTAACAGCCAAAAGAAAATTACACAGAGGATCTAGAGGATCTATGATTTATGGCCATTTAGACATATAAATTTCAACAATAAGAAAACTCACAAGCAGGTAGAAAAAGGAATGGAATGAGGTGAAATGCAAATGAAAATAAATAGGGAATCAAAGCTCTCATATTTATTGAAAGTTATAGAAATTTAAAATCTATATTAATTTAAAGGTCATAAAACTTCGAGTCCCTTTTTTAAATATGAATATTTTCTTTCAAAGAAGAAAAATTGCATTTCCACAAAGAAAAATCATGTTTGCCATATTCATGGCCACTCGACCAAGAACCAATAACTGGATCAAAACTCACCGGAATTGAGTGATCTGATTGGCTAAAAAGTCTCTCAGGCGTTCTTTGATCTCTTCAAAACGCTGCTTCTCATCAACTGTGACTGTGTTTACACCATCTGGCCTATTATAAAACAGCTTTATTAAGAGACGGTTTATGGGCAAAAGAGGCGGTCTTCTTCAACTAAAGAAGATTAAACGAACCGAGGCTCGGAAAAATCCGTGAAAATATCACCTGATCTGGCTTACAAAATTGAGTTTTCAACAAATTACCTTGACATCATGTGCTGTTGTAAAATGAATTTTGGTACCAATATTCCATGAAAATGTCACTTTAATGATAATCAAGAACCCATTCTTATCTTTAGCTCTTTGACTCTTCAGTCTTTAAGGGACAGTCAGTACAAGATATAGAGCACAAGAAGCATAAAACTTCAAAATACAATTAAACCGCTAATAGAATTAAACTTACAAAGAAAAGTGATTCACACTTTCTTTTAAAATAAAAGAAACATTGAAGCTTTAGACATAAACATTGTTTGACTGCAAATGAAAGCTTGAAAATTTATCTTCTTGTACCTCCCAGATACGAATAAGAAGAAGTGAAATTTTTTGCTCTCAATGAAGTATTTATTCACACAACTTTCTACTGATCTGACTATTTTCATTTTCAACGAGCAAATAGGTAGGCCTCGTAAGTTTCATTTGACTATTATTACTTTACCTTCTCGTTGCTAACAGTAGACCTACGTGTGTTCTATTGTCGCATGTATGAACCTGTATTTGTTAGAGAAGCAATGAAGGAAGCAAATATCGAACTGGTGACCAGAGTGTGTTCGGTTACAAAGGAGCAGTAGAGCCTTCTTCACATAATCCTAACGACCATAAACTGAGGTCAAACTCTTCACAGTTTGAAATAAAATATATTGAGTTGCTTACAATTTTTTATAACTGTACTTTTTTGTTTCGTAGAGTAATTTTTTTAAATGTGAAAATGCACCCCTGTCTAATGCGCAAAAACCAATGATTTGTCCAGAACAATGTTTCAGAACTAAACATCTGATTTATAGACGAGGATGGTCGCTAGCAAAATTAAGGCTTCAACGGTGCTGAGACGGTAAGGCTGAGATATGGGAGACTTACTTGTTGCCAAGGACATGAGATGCACAGAAAGCATAACTATAGTGAAGCAGTGTTGGATCGATCATAACGCCATTTTCAGCTCTTTCAAGCAAGTCGGACAAGTAACAAAGATGTCTATGGCAACCTCTGACACCATATCGGGAACAGTATTCATCAAGAACAAACAGTTGGCCAGGGGAAAACCATCCCTGAAATCATGGTGAAATCAGGATAATTTTATAACAGCATAATTGGCTTCGATGCTTGATTAAGAAACAACACAAGGAGAATCAAAGAATATGTTACGATTATTCTTAATAGCCCAGGAGCCTTGTCAGACCCAAGTTGAGACAAACCCCTTAAAAATCGCAAAACCCCTTAAAAAATCGCAAAACAAGCATTGATATTTCAAACATACCAGGATACATCGGTTAAAGTCAGGTTGTTTGAATAAAAAATCTGATATTTATAAGCAAAATAGACGATGCAGTGTTGTTGCGATACTGAATTTGAGGTGGGGTGGCGGAAGGGGGGGGATGGTCTAGTAAATTTCTCATCAATTAAACTAATCCTTGATCGACTGTGTTTTGACAAAATTATTTTCTTGGATGAGCCTGCCCTTAATTCAAAGGAACGTGAAACCAAATAATCAGACAAAAACGCCTAAGTTGAATTAAATCTAAAATACCTAAGCGCAGAACAGGATTCGAAAAATATGTTGGAGGAAATGCGCATGAGTGACACAACCAGCGCAGGACTCCAACCTATGACGAACGACACTGTAGGTCGTTTCTTTTCCACAAAGCTACCCGGAAGTATCTCTAATAATGGTTGCGCGAGACCAAAATTGCAAACTGAATAGGCTGATTAACAAATATACTAGATAGAAAATCAAGAAAAATGACAACGGCAATATTAGATGCCATGTTTGCGATACTTACTAGACAGGTGTAAGAATCATTTAGGCGATGAAGGAGGGTCAATCTTTGTAGAAGTTCAAATAATTTGAAATGTAAGGCTTTAACTGGGTCTGCTTGAATGACTTCATCAAGACCATGTTTGCGAGCTCTATCAGCGTCTAAAGATGAAATGCATCATTACGTTAAAAAAGAACATTAAAATCAAAGCTTCGCTGAATTTAATCAATGTATCGCTGCGTTCAAAACTATAAGATGGCAAGAGTGTGACGTCATGCGTGATGAGGTATACTCGCAAGGAGCTCGATGATAATGAAAATAATATGATGTATAAATAGAAGTACTATTTGATGTTTCAATGTTTATAACAAAATTTTAGTGTATGGTGCGTTGTTTTTTAAAATATTTCTGCACAATTTTGCAAGGGTTATAAGGAAAATTGCAAAAATATAGGGGAATGTAGGGGGAAACAAGGAGCTGGCCGTAGGGAAATGTAGGGTAAAATACATGGGCCATTACATGGAATATAGCAGGCGTTGAGATGGGGCAATGGAAGAAGGAAAGAGATACTGACAAAACGTAAAAACATAAAAAGAACATCAAAAAATATTCATGCCTGCCAAATTTATTTTGGCTGGCTCTTTGATGTCATTTGAAGCTAAATCAAAGGTAGAGTCACCTACTAGCAACCTCTTTGCAATTAATGGTATTTTCCATATTCATAAATATGAAACTTCAGTAAGAAAAAGAGATGACAATGGAGTAATGAGCTGAAAATCTAGGTTGGCAGAGTAATAAAGTGTAAAACATCTATTTTGAGTAGCTTTAAAATGCAGTTTAATCGAAATTTGTTGGTATAGGCCCAAAAATACAGGTCTTTCCCTATCAAAACCCTTGTAATATCAATATCAATTTGTTATAAAAATTTTCAAACTTTGTCTTTTCTACTGGCCATATCACCCATCCTAACTAACTTTGTACATTTAGAGGGAACTTTTAGTGTGTATGAAGATACATGGTTCAAATAAAAATCATTAAAACAAGACATTTTTTAATGTTATGCGTTTGCCAGTAGATAAATAACCTTTTGGCCTTGGCAAGGTGTCTCCACCACTGGCAGCTACAGCATTGTCAATTTTGGGAGCAGCAGGCTTGAATGATTGTCCAGTTGCATTGTAAAGTTTGTAAACCCAATGTTGACGGTCAATGTCTTCGTCAGACGCAAATTCGACAACATCGCCTTCTTTGACAGCCCGGAAGAAAAACCTACCTCCCTGGTGTTCGTCATCTGTCAAAGCAGAACAAAGCAACTTATTACTGGCGTAACAGATTTGATTAAAAGGCCTGCAAATTAAGCATCCAGATGTCGGTTTGCAGAACTAAGGCATTTACAAAATCTCTATGTGAAGAATTAATCCAAATCTAAAAACGACGCGTTTTCAAATATTTGATAAGCTTTCAAAATTCTTAACTTTCCTAATATTGTTTTGAATACTTTGGTTACGACGAGAAACGAATTTTACAATAAGCCTCAATTTGAACAAGTAAATATTTATCCAAATACGCATCTTATCAAAAGACTAGTACATGGCAAAGCTTCTCCTTTGAACGATCATCGACAAATGATTATTTTTGTGGGGATAAATAAGAACATACGTTCATGAGTAATATGTTTACAGAAATAGTAAGACATTATTGTAAAAGACGGAGGAGAAATCTACAGTTTCCTAGATAAAATAAGAAATGCAGTTCCATGCAATAGTAAATTGATTATGTAGTACGCAAATGTGTAGAAATTGAAAATGTGTAGTACGCAAATTAACTATAAGTTTTGAGTTGTGTCAAAGAATTACAATAAACTTTGTGAGCGCATGCGTTAAGAAAGTACCAAAGTGTGACGTCATAAAATTGTATTTTAGAAAATCTCAACTTTGACAACATTGTCTGCAAGATTAGGAAAAGTAACTTGGAACATGCAAAATCAGTTTAATAATTTCAAAATTGGGGATGAGATATGGCCAATGAAAGCTTTCGAGTTTGTTCTAACGGATTACTGCTATTCTTGCCTGATTAAAAAAGTTATGAACCAAGACCAAATTACAGAGATTTGATGGGAAAAGAACCTGCCTTCAGGCCGTATTTTTCAACCAATTTGAAGACATTCAACTGATTTTGCGCATTTAGGGGCATTTTATAATGCTCCTTGGGGTATTTTTGTCAGGTTATTGGTCAAAATTGAAAAATTCTAAAGCTAGATTTCTATGACTTTGGAACTCTTTTCGAATAAATTCAATCCAATATTCATAAATTCCGGCCATAAATATATTTATATACAAAACTGCAGAAGGAAATCGAAGGAATGGTCTTCGAGAATCAATGACTTTTGAGAATGAAGACTATGAGAATCAATATTTGCCTACCATGCTTTTGTTCTGCGAAATCCACAGTGTATCCTTGCATATTCATTTTTTCAGTTGGATGAGCTCTCTTTGGTCGATACGAGCACAGTGTGAAGTTGTATTGGCTTACCTAGGAAGATAAATATACTGAACTGTCATATATTGTTTGGTGACGTACACGCAGAATTTTACACGGCTCTATCAACGTTTTCAACAATAGGCGCATATCACCATGTAGAAAGTTTGAGTTTAACAAAACATAAAACATGACAACATTTATAAAAGAACAAATAAATTGAAGAATGAACAGTCCTGAGTTGAAAATCAAACTAAATAATAAAGTGACAACTGATTCTCTGCACAAATTCATTAATAAAGGAAAAACCTATAGAACTTGGCATTGCTTCACTAATCCTGATAAATTTTGTGGCATATCATATCAAAACAACTTTATGCTTCAAGCGCTTTATCATCCAGTAACTAAGCAAATGACAACATGACTTTGAGAAAAATCAATTCTTCTGAAATTTATTTTAACCATGTTATCAACTTAGAAGAAGCAAGGATAACTCTTTTGTGTAGATTTTTTACGTTTTAACAAATTTTTTATGTGACATGGTTTGTGAAGGAATAACAGGACAGACAGTTTGAATTTAGTCAAATATACAAACAGGACGGACCATTTTTATTAAATTGATGCAATTCATTCAGGTTTAGCCTTATGAATACGAGACTGAAGACTAAAAAAGCCCCAACAACATATCAAGCCTAGGGGAAATTGTATTGCAATCTGATAGCTTCGCAGTTAAAAAATTATTTCCAGTGCACCTAAAACAACTTTGCAGCTTCACGTTTCAACAATGCAAAGAAAGGTATTTTCTAAGAATAAGGCGTAAAAGATATAAAGAAGACAAAAAGCAGATAACAAGAGAATAATAGCATACAAATATACCTGAAATACCTGATACAATATACTGATATATACTGATACTAATATACTGATATAATAATATAATATACCTGATATAATAATATAATATACCTGAAATAGCATACAAAATCTTTTCTTCCACTTTTTCCACTTATTTTGACCTTTTATATACAGAAACCTAAAACATAGTATAGAAATATGTTTGTTAATTTTCACGCTTGACAGTGCTTAATATGTTTGTATGTTGTGCGCAATATATTTTGAGAGTTGAAGAAAATCAAACTTTAATTCTTATCCCTACAAGCCCGTCTCTTGATTAAAATACTCTTTAAGAGATTGAATCTCCAGAAGAGTGGTATGATCACAAAAAGGCTTGTATCACAGTTCATGACAGATCACAAAGCAAAAAAATAGTTGAAAATAAATATTCAAGAAATATACACAGAATATTCAAATGTCCATAAAAATAATTGTGACCTAAACAGCTTTTGTGACGAGAGGCAAAAAAATCATTATACAAAGACAAAAAGAGCTTTCCAAGCAGCTTTATCAACACAAAGGTTTTTAAAGGAGCATGATGTAAAAATGGAAAAATAGTCGACGTTATCAAGGCGTTTTCGAAGTCATTAGAGTTGTGCAATTAAAATTCATACCCGCATTTCTTGACATTCTGTGGTTTTTCAAATTTCACTGATACTTTTATTTCAATTGGGTCACCATTCCAACCTTTTGAAGGTACCATACGATACCAATCGTAGCCCTCTGACATTCCACAATGCGGATTCAATGTAAACTGTTAAATAAAAACATCAATTTATTTTACAAATAAATTCAAGTTCAATGTGGAACAAAATGATGATTAAACTAAACTTATAACAACAAATAAGAGCGTCGTTTAATGTTAACCCTTCAGGAAAAAATTACAAATTTTTAGGTATTTTGAAAAATAACAATATATTATTTTTCCTACATGAAGAATCACCTTTACTTTGCTATATGTCTGTTCTTTCAAAAATACCAAGAACATAAAAAGATTATAGTGCACTCTGGAATAAATTTAATTTTGAAGAATTTTACAAAAAAAAGAGCTGAAGCACAAGAGCCAGCTAAAGTGTCACTTGACTATAAAAGCTATTAAACCTTAGCAAGCTCTTTGTGACTGTCTAAAGCAAACATTGAACTGTCCTCTGCCAGCAATCGTAGCCTTAGTTCAGGCAGTGGTTGATTTAATGTCCAATCGCCATGAGTTTCCCATCTGCAGAAAAACAAAGAATCTCAGAGTTGGCAGTAAAACTTTTAGTAGAATAAAATTCATAAGTCAGAAAACACGAATTATTTGCAGTATCTGCCATCTTTTATTTGCAATGACCTTTACATTGTAAATTGTACTTTTTCACTTTCGTTTGAAGAAACCGAGAACTTCAAACTTATTTTGTATTTCATTAGGTAACAAGTGAAAAAACCATCGTTTGCTTGCATAAAAAAGCTGAAAAAATTTGTTCTCGCGTAAAAGGTATTACAATGTAATATTATTACTAAGAGCCTAAAAATATGCACTGTTATACATTCTGCTGAAATTTTTTCAAATTTTTTATCGTTATAAGCCTTCGAAAATATCTAGGACAAAACTGCCAGAAAGCGAATATCTCTGAGCAGATTCTGAGCAAAATTTGCAAAACCCCAGAAACTTTGTCTGAGACAAAATTTCGGATTTTCGCCTAAAGTACATATATACCCAGGTGTGGATCAAAAGTAAAACAACACAGGGAAAGAAAAACCTAAAAAATACAACAAGTAGGTGGAAAAGGTAAACTGAAAAGAGGTAAGCATTAAAAAAAGTTTAATGAAGCTAGTAATGCAAATCGGAAGTTGCTATACGTACACTGGTTTTGAGGCCTCTGCCTGATCTGTTTGTAACTTTTCACCACCTTCGAGCTAGAAAATGATGTTGAATCAAAATAACTTGATTTGCATATTGAGCAGAGTCATACCACAAAACTGAACAAGGAGAAAATGTTGGTATAAAAGCTTCTTGATATACATCATGAAAAAATTGGACGAATTATTATTTATTTGCCAATTGAATTTTCCGGTATATGGTAACTGTATGCAAGAATGCAGCCTTCTTTGTAAAAATTACTTGTAGAGTGAGTAAAATATACTTGAACAATAAAGTAATGCCTTTCTACAAAGTAGCAAAAAGGTCCAATCAAAAGGCTTTGCAGAATTAACAAAAGAGAATGTACTTTTCTTTTCCATATTGTCGAGACAAATTTCGCTAGTTCTTAATTAACCACTAACGTCAGTTGCAGTTCAGCACTTCTAGATAGAGTTGGTATAGAATGATATAAAACTTCTTTTTGGTTGATGTTAGTTTGCCTTGGTAACAGATAGGTGTTAGATAAAACCTTGGAAAACTAGTTAGCACTGTTGTTTGAGATTAATGACTTGAAATAAACACTAATCAGATAGCACTGACTCATTAATTGCAAGAATATTTGATCGACATCATTCAGCCTTGTCAAACAATAAATTAAGTCATTTATAGCTATAATGCTTGCCAAAAGTCTTGGTACACTAACGTCAGTTTCCAAGCCATTCCCTTTCTCCTCTTTGGAAAATGTTGGTTTACTACAAAACCACGTAGGGAATAGGAAGAACGCTTTTTTGCGACTTCTGTGTTATTTTTCTAAAATATAATCATTGTTTAGGGGGTAAATGGGTGCGAAAATAGGAGTATCCAGGAAAAGAATGGATAAATATAAGAACACAACGCAAATTGCTTGGTGTTCCAAGTACTTTTGGCAATGATTGTAGCTTTCCAGCATATATCAGAAAAGTTGCCCATTGATCGTATTAAGCGTAAGGCCCTGAGTCACGTCCTAGACCTGCACTGTTCTATACACCAAAGCGTGTACATCTCTATCTAAACAACATCGAACACTATATGACAGACTGGAAAATTTGTAACGTCCATATATCATAAACCTAGTTATTGCCTCGCCAAAAAGGTTCTCATAACTTCAGCTTTCCGTATAGTCAATGCACGTGACCAGTTTATAGACATACCTCCATTACAATGAGAACTGTTCGATTTGGAGGCAGAATCCCAAGCCCTCGTGCTTCAGATACAGTAACCTAAAATAAAATAGACATAAACGCTGACTCTTCTATAAAGACAATTAGGTAGTACGGTCAACATAAAAAATATAATTGTTTTTGCAGTTCTGCTTGAAAGAAACAAATTAGAAGAAGGAATAGTTGAAAGAATCAAGCCCTTGTTTTGATGTGAAACCCAGAACGAGACAGCTCGCGAAAAAGCTTTAAATAACGTTCGTTAGAGGCTAGAGAAGACTGACTGGTGAAAAGAAAACATCCAATACACTTTCTCTCGATTGGCAAAATTCCATCTATATTTACGTAAACTGAATTGATGTGAAAGATGAACAAAAAAATTTGGTCCTTACGTCAATTTATTATCTGATTTCCGTAATGCTCTATGTAGAATTCTGGCACATTTTTATCAGTACGGAAGCAACAAAGCAATCTCATCCAGGTAGAACTATCAAATTACGAAGCGCCTATAAGCAACAAAGTAGCAATCAAAAATAAATTACCTGAAGGGAAAATGTTTGCGAGTGAAACTTTTCTGACACTGCTTCCCCATCTTCATGAACATCCATCATTGTTATTGCCGATGTCTGCGCCCTTATGAGAGAGCAAGGAATACAATAGCAATCTCCAGCCAATTACAAACAGCTCAATATACTTTGTTATGTGGTACACTCTAATCACATTGTCAAAAAAAGAAGCTTACTCTTACAAGCATATAATTTATGCCAAGCTCCTTGATGCTACATAGCTTTTTAATATATCCCAAATCTATAAAGAATGCCTTTAAAAAGGATTAAGAAAATGCGAAGAAATTCAGAAGGCCTAATTTAGCGAGAAGGAGCAATTAAAGGTTTGGCCAGTTTTCTGTAATCTCTAGTGAAGGAATAGGAAGGACCGGAACACTACTCAATGATCAAATAGAGAGGAAAGACAAGGACACCACTCAATAAGCATGGCTTCTCAGAATCCTTAAAACTACCTTCGGATGCTAGGTACAAATGATCTACCCAAGTGGTCGAGCACGTTTCCTGCTAATCATTATACTCTCCACAGGAAAGAAGTTAGTCTTGTAAACGAAGAAACTTCAACTTTTCTTCTGCACTTAATGTGGTTAAAAAGTTTTTATTATCCTTACTTTTTCATTTTGTAGAGTGCATTTTTTCCTTCTGATCCAGTTTTTCCAACGGGACACTGCTCTAAATTCATCATCAACTGATTAATAATCGTTTTTTGTTCCTCAATAAAACTGTTCTCCATATCTTTGATAAGAAATTTTGGCATTGCCTACAAAATACGAGCAACTTCATCTAATTATTTGCAGTACAGTTCAAAAGTACTAACGATATATTTCATAAAGTACACAGTAACCCAAATACATTCTTAACCAGCAAAAAATTTATATTCATATTCACAATTTCATATTTTAATAATTGAAATATCTCTGCTGTTTCGATGTAATTATAAAAATCGTTATTCTTTGATATTAAGCAAAATCTTTCTATATTGGTTGTACTTGCAACAGAAGTTGCCATCAAAAGTCAATTGCTTTAACATATATTATTTAGAAATAACCCTCTGAGTGGTGACGTCGATATCATGAACTGTTTGTAAGGCAGGATTCTTAGGCGAAGTAGGGTTCGTTTATTCTGCTTTAGTATCAAGGTTCAAAGGACCATCTCGATTTGTAAATTGGACTTAGCACCACCCTCCTTCAGTTCAACGTTGAGAATAGCACCACCTTAGTTCAATGTGGATATCTCTGCTTTTCAAGAAGACAAAAACTTTGAATTAGGAAGCAGGTGGACGATGGATTTTACATTCAAGCTACCCTGCATGTGATCAGCATTTGCTTAAACAGCTGTGGCCAGAACTGTAAATACCATGCTTTAATCACAATATAGTTAAGCCGTAAAACTACAAATCTAGTAGATTTTAAAGGTCCCCTAAACAAGCCAGGAAAAATAAAATTTAAATGCTGTATTGTGCCAAATGACTGAAATATGAAGGCATTCGCTGGTGCACTATAAGTTAAGTCTAAAAACCTTTCGCATTGCAGCTCCATCATCCAGGGCCTTTCTTCTCGACTGAAGTTCTCTCCTAATGCAAGCTGCTTGTTCGTCAGCGTTGTCAAGCTTTAAAATAAAGCATGTATTTAATAACAGTGAAACTTTACAACAGTAAAGCAATACTACATAAAAACAAACGCCAGAGATGCCGTGATTGTTTGGGAAATCAGTAAGTTGAGCTGTCCGATTATCCTTGATTATAAAAAGGGAAATGAGATATGAGAAACAAAAGGGACTTGATGAAAAGATATAAATTACAATATTAATGAGAGTTTGAAAATTAATCAAATTCTGTAGCACAAAAAATAAGGTTTTATTAGAAATCAATCAATGTCATAAGCAATAGAGCATGAGTAGTGTTTCTCGCTTTTTATAAGGCAACTAGGAAATAAAACTGAAACTCATTGATTCAATTTCATTAAAACAAAAGTGACAAAAGAGGGACACAATCTCGAGAAAAGTCTATCACAAGAAGGAAAATTCATCCCTAAAGCAGCATTAGTAAATGGAGCTACGTTCTACGGCAAAAGCATAAGTAGGCAGGGATTTATACCGTAATAGCCCAAAGAATGCAACGACCAAAGAAGGTCTAATGGAGTTTCTTTCTTTTAGACTTTCGCGGTCCGTTAAATATGAAGACACTGCGAGACCCTATCTACATACCCTGCCATAAGTCTTTGCTACGCTCTTTTACTTATGTTTTGTTTTGTGTTTTGAATTAACTGTTTTGAGTAAAAAAGAATGACACTGGATTCGTCTCTCCCCTAAATCAATTTTTGTTGTAGATTTAAATATCATAGTTATATGAAATTAATCAATTGAGCAACATCGAACGTTTAAACGTTTAATATAAGAACATTGTTCGCAAGGGGGAGGGAGTGCAGTACAACATATTCTAATTTAGTGTAGTGTACCAAGACTTTTGGCAAGCATTATAGCAGAATAATTTAAGAGGCCGTCCATGACAGCACAAACCATGAAGGCAGAAGCAATTAGAGCTGTGGTACTATAACAAAAGACATTTAATTGGAGGTACCTGGCATGCGTTGTAGAGAATAATGTGTTCATACTTTCGCACACCAAGAATAGTTTGGAACATTTCATACAGTTGATCTTTGGATAGAATGAGCTCAGCTGCAGCAGTGGCAGCTAAACGTGCTGGTGTCCTTTTCTGGTCTTCATCACCACGGTAAATTGCATCAAATTTGGCCATCCACGAACTCAGAACAGTCTCTTTACTCAGCCCTTCAATTTCGGGGAGATTTTTAACACGCTTCTCGATATTGGCTTTGAATACTTCCCGAAAGTCGTTAGATGAGTAGCCTCCACTGTTAACCTTCAATTTAAAAACTCAAAAGTTTTTCATTAACATACCTGGGGAGGTCATTGGAAAAATCTGTCGCATAGAAGGGAGTGGGGGGAGGGAGTTTATGGAAAAAAGGGTTGGATGGGAAACATGAGGAAAACTTCTTCGGACTCGAGCACCTTACGAAATCTTGCTCAATCAAAATACGAGAAGAAAAACGGAAATGAAGGCTTCCATAGCAAATATAACAAAATGGATATCCCGAATTAGCCAATAGAATAATCTTAGGATGGATACAGAGGAACCAAATGTAGAGTATATTTCGGAAAAAACAGACTGGGTCAATCAACTTTGACTAGATATATGGAAAATATGTGTTCAGGAATTTTATATTAATATATGGGTTACAAAGTCATAGGCCTAAGTTTAACATTCATTGATATACCGCTTGACCAGTTGAAGAATGATTTTCACATTAGAGATATTCTGAATTAAATTACTGTCATTTATACAAACCATTTTAGCAACCCTATCGCTGCAAAGAAAACTTTCATGGTAGGATCTGACAGCATTCTTCAAGGCTTCATCTGCCGGAATGTTTGTTTTTCCATCCAAAAACGAAGCAAACCGTTCTTTTATTGCTATTAAATTTTGCTTGGTAACTTTTGCTTGCCTTCTAGTCATATCGGTTGGTTGCTTTGCATTGAATGGATATGCAATACATCTTGAGATGAAAACGTAAATCTGCAATTTCTCCTTTCTCTCTGCCTCTTCATCATATTCAGCATCTTTAGATGATCGAATGGAAGCCTGGGAAGATGTTCGTCGAATAATTGGTGCATTCTGGCGTGATAACAGAGGGCTTCCTAAGAATAAGGAAGGTATTTTTCATTAGTAACGTTGCGTATGGCAAGCAAGAGCATAATACCTTCAATCCTTGCAAAAATTGCTAGAATACCTACACAATTGTCACAGATTTTCAATTTTCACCCCTTTCACATGACAATCCTGCTAAATTGCAATACTTTATGGTGGCGTTTTAAATTAAGAAATCTACATTGTGCAGGGAGGGGGGGGGATTAGTGACAACACTGATAACTTGGGGAGGTGTACAAATCATTAGGCTATTAACATTTAAACTTGAGCATTTAGGTGTCCATCTTTGGCAAGGGTTGTTCCTTTGACTGGACAAGGATTTCCTAAAGTTTTTGCCTTTGTGTAGAAAAATGCATTTTCCAGAAAAACTTTTCAAGATTTAATTATTGCAAAAGATACTTTCCCTAAATAATTTCAACTGGAAATTCCAACAATTTGACAAAAAATTGATATAACAGCATTTTGTGAGGCCAGTATATTAAAAAAGACTTTTTTTATCACAATAAAAACAAATACAAAAAGAATTGATCACACCCAACCTTACAAATATTCCAAAACTTAACGCTATAAGTACACTATAAATACACAAAACAGAACAACACAGCACAATACAGCCCAATACGATAGAATGAAGTACAAATACAGTACAATACTGTAAAAAATGCAACTTTGTATAGGTCATCATGTTAGTTTGGGACAACAGGATTTAATCTACCAGATATAGCAGACAACAACTAAGGAAAATTCATTGAAATGGTTTAGTTTGCTTGACATATTCAACTGTGCATTTCAGTATTAATTCATTTGCTTTCTCGTTGTAAGCCATGCTTCCAAAAAGAAGTAGATGACATAAATGGTCGTCAGGCAGTTGAGTAATATCATTGCCAACTATATCAGATAACAAACTATTATATCAGATAACAAACTTTTGCCAACTATATCAGATAAAGATGACTTCAAATAAGAAACCAAATTTTCTTGGGGGAAAACAGACATTCCTTTCAAGGGCAATTATGCATTTTTTTCCAACAGTACTTCAACAAAGTACGGTATGGTGGCTGCTAGTTTCAACATACATTTTGCTGGTTTGCCAATTGATTTGACCAGATCAATAATAATGATCATATGACCAATAAAAAAGGTGCAACTAGTCGACAATAAGCCAGGCCTCACAACACCTAGCAAATTTCAGCAATAATATTTCATCACACTACCAAGCGCAAAGGTGACCAGAGAAATGAGATTGATGAAAAACTAACATGCCAGGGCAAAAATCAACACAAACAGACTACTGACTCACAGAGATTTTTTGCTTTATTTCAAGCCTGAAAAACTAGGATAAGTTCTACAACTGATTAGAATCTTCATACTGAATTATTGTAAAGTGAATAAAAGAAAACAATACCAGTGTCAAGTCCTAATCTTGCTTGGTTTTTCAAAACAAAGGAGCCTGATGTGTTACTTTGCCTGTCTGGTTCTTGGGCACTGTGCTCCTCATTAGCAAATTCATTTTCCTCCTCTTTCTCTGATTCATGCCCAGATAATTCATCATCAGTATCTGATTCAATCATTTTTCACTAAAGAATAAATAAGGAAGATCTTTTTAGAAGTCTGCAGGTTATTTAGCTTTTTTACCACCATGGGTAATTTTACAAACAAATATGATGATATCTATTAAGAAACAAGAAAAGGTTATCTATTATATATGAATTCCTGAAAAAATGAATTGAAAATGCACCAAGGGCTATAAAAGCTTGAACTAAAATATCAAAAATAACTTGAACATCTCACTCAAAGATTTCAATACTTTGCAATATACTAGCTTGATGCATGCCAAACAAAACAGCAAAAATATTTCACTTAAAAGGGCTTGATCATGTATTGCAAACAGAGAACCATTTTCCAGGTAGCTTGCATTTTGGCTGGATAATGTTTAAACTGCATAAAAAGGTCATCAATAAAATTACCAGTTTGACAAAAAAGTGTATCTATTAGATAAACTTGTTATCAAACTTCTGAACATTTTATCTGGTTCATATTTTCTATGAAGCTCTGCTGTTGACTTTCTCTTTTGATCACTGTCCTATAACTGTACTTTCTGTATCAAAGAAGGACATGGCAGTTAACTAATGTTCTGCCCTTGATAACCATCCTTTTTTATTTGGCAGACCTGTAATGGTCAGATATTTTGAGAACCTTTTTGGTTCTCTCAGTTTCCTGGGCATCCTAACTACGAATTGTATTAGATAAAACATATTGTATCCATCAATCTTTAACTTTTTAGACCTATCTTTTATTACTGTACCTTGTAAATATGCTGCTGAATAACATAAAATTAAATTCGAATTTATCTAGTGGGTTCACATTTGCATATGGCTTGCTTGACAACTTTGGTTTAAAAAGAAAAATGAAACATTTTACACTTGACTTTCAACATGAAACAATTTTTACCTTCCACGTCCACTCTTTCTGTCAGATTTTATCAAATGTGTTTCGGTTTCGATCATAATAGTCTAATCAACAGCGTCCATGAACTGTCCTCTATGATCATGTTCAGATTCATTCTATTTTACGAGTCCACATCACAAGGAAACAAACAGGAATTTTTCCTGCTTTTTATTCAATACATGTGAGGTTTCGATTGTATTCCATGGCGTAAGAATTTTGCGTTTTGCATCCATTAAAAACGACAAAACACCCAAAATTCTCGCGAAAAAATAAAATCATACCTTTGCTCTTCAACTGATACCATTCCAGCGGAACACTTTGCGTGCGTATGTTAGGGCCTAAAATAGTACTTGAAAATAGAAGGAAAAGGTCCAATCTCCGCTATCGAATGCGTTTATTAATGCAATGAATTGACACTAACGGATTGTTCTCAACTTCAAAAAGGAACCTTTTTCGCACCTGAGTATTGTTATTATGTTAATAATTTTCTATTTTCAATATTTGCAGCAAACGCCTCCCTATCGTTTGCTCACATTTGCACAGAATACTGAAAGAAATGAAAGCAACAACAGCAGCAATCAACAATAACAATTCAATTCAATTGGAGTGGTGCAGTCGAGGTGAAGAAAGGAGAAAGGAAGGAAAGTCAAGCAAATTCAGGAAGAATCTGGTAAGGTTGGCTAGTTCTTGCGCTGTAGCAACATTCAATAAGATTTCCCCCTCACAAAAAACTGGGCCTAGCTTTGCACGCCAAAGTTTGAAATTGCACGCAAAATTTAAAATGCAGTTTCATATAAAATCAGCATCCGTTGTTGACAACTTGCTATTGATAGAAACTGTTTCGTTAATCAGTACATGGTTGACCAGTTCCAGGTCAAAACTAATAGCATTGCAGCACAAAAATCATGACTCAGCAGATTCGGGAACGTTTGGGTATACCCTCTACATTTTTATCCTGACTCAATGCCTTTAAAAATTTCTGTAGGAGGCATCCGTAGCTTTTGCTTTACTTTATGGAAAATATGCCACATTAAATATATCTATAGGCATTCAGTGTTTTATATAGGTATTTAAATTTGAAATATTCAAATTCTTGATACCAATCTCCAAAACCCTATATAAGCAATCTTTTGGTGGTACAAACTTGAAAATGGCTTTGAAAAAAGCAAACATTTAAGGCAACTAAAGCTTTTTATCTGCCACTCTTCAGAGTAGAAAACATCAGAACATAGATTGAAAACTCTACGCTAAGAAATTTACCCAGTTGTGGGTCGAAATAGGCTAATCAGAAACTTGAGCACATGACTTTTGAGGTTGCCCAATCAGTGCGGCTTGCCTATTGAGAATGTTACCAATGGATTTTTAACAGGAAAACAAACTCCTTTTGTCTACACAATAGAATATTAGTTTAATTTTCAGATCTGCAAGACTGGGGTCTGTATTTCTAATACTCGACAGAACATGCTGTTTTATTCTATCCTCCAATTTTTGGGTAGTGTGTCCTACATGGCCAGAATTGCACTGGCAGGTAAATTCATAGATAACAATAATCTTTTAGGTGGTAGGAACGCAATTTGGTGACATGTTATAAATGGTGCATGGCAAGGGTTGAGCCTTTGTCTTTGTTGTTATTATCTTTTTGTCTTGAAAATATTTAATTCCATTTTTAGACTTTTTCATCATAGGTTACTTGATGCAGTAAGATAACAATGGATGTTGTTAAAGAAGTAAGGCTTATGGTCAATGGTTTGGAATATGTCGTTGTCAACCCTGATCCTGATTTGTACCTCACAGATTGGCTGAGAGACAAGGCTTTCTTAAAAGGTACATCATTTTTTATAGGAGATAGTAGAACTACCATAAATCCTGGAGGCTTATTTATTTTTGATATTTTTTGACAGGGGCTTATTAGAGAGGGGGGCTTATAGAAGGAGGGGGACTTATAAAATTATTGTAGACATTAACGGCATTGAGTCATGATAAATAGACTGGGTATACCCAAAGTGCCAAAATCCGCTGATTCATGATTTTTATGACTGCAATGCTATTGGTTGACCTTGAACTGGTCACATGAACTCACCTCGTACTGATTAACATAACAGTCTCCATCAATAGCAAGTTGTCAACAACGGATGCCAACACCACATGAAACAGCAGCGATCACGCCGAAACCAAATGACCCCCTATAGAGAAAGCCTATTTACCATGACTCAATGCCTTTAAGAAGACATTTTTAAAAGACCTTGTTTATTTTAGTAGAAATTTCTTTAAGAGCATTTAATTAATTACTACCCGAAGTATGAATTTGTTGTGGTAATTCAATAAAACGCCAAAGGCAACCTCAGGTGGCAAAAGTCATCAAATGGAGGGGTCCAGTTCAAGAATTTACAGTAGCAGTGGGGGCTTATTCGAGAGGAGGCTCATTGACAATTTGTAGTTCTAGGGTGGGGGCTTATTTGAGTTTGGGGGGCCAATTCGAGGATTTACGGTACACCGAAACATATCTGGCCATGATTTACAAGGTCATGGATAATCTCACTCTCCAGTATACTAAGAAGGCAATCCCACCACCTCATGAGTTTCAAGACTCTCTTCACATCCAGGATGCTATTGGGCGATTAGAGGCAAGATCTGAAAAATTTTGATCTAGTCTTTAATCCCAACTGCATATCTGAATGGGATAGGCCCAATTCTGAGGCTTTATCTATTCAAGTCTAAGCTTCTCTCAGTAATTCCCCCCCCCCCCCCCCCCCTCTGCGAAATCTGTTTTTGGAATTCATGACCCAACAGGTCTATCATATCTCACACAAATTAGAGTTGGTCTCAGCAAATTGAATTTTCAAAAATTCAAGCACAACTTTTGGGATACCATAAACCCAATGTGCCCTACAAACGATGGTATTGATAATACATAACACTTTTTGCTGCTCTGCTCTTCCCTCACAGTGCCAGGTAGAGATCTCCTTGCTAGAGTTTTTGCTCTATTGCGACCAATTGGATATACAAATCTTAAAAATAATGTGCTAATGCAGTTTCTATTGTATGGTGATAAAGACTGTCCTGACAAAATAAATAAAAATATACTCCTGCTAACACTAGAATTTATCCAAAAATGTGGTCGATTTGATTAGAAAATTTAAACACTCCATAATAAACCACACAGATGCAACCAACCACCCTGTCCCATTTTTGGTAAAGGTGTTCTCCTTTCCTTCTATTTTTTTTCTTTGTTTTTTCTTTTAGGTCATGTATCTAACATCTATCTGCTGATCTTAATAGCTGTGTCCAAATAGCCATGGGGTAGTCATAGCCTTCTGCTCCCCGGGGTATCATAAAAGTAGCCTTGTATAATTGTATAGTAATTTTGTAAAGTAGTGTAGCTTGTAAATCTGTTTTGTAATTTTTTGATGGGAAAAATAAATTTTTAGAATTTAGCTTTGCTGTGTAGACTTATTCAAGGAAACATTAATATGATATTGTTGGGTGATCAAATCTAGAAAGGTGCCTTGGTATTTGATTTTGCAAAACTAAATGTCACATTTGATGGTGCATTCTCTGTAGACAATATTTTCAGAGGGTGCCACATGTAACAATAACTTCAAAGTACCTGGACATCAAATTGGATTTGAATACCGTCACTTGGCGTTTGGGGAAAGAAATGTTTGCAAACTATGCAATGTATTATATGGATGGGGCCAATTATCAATAGCCTTTTCTCCAAATTGAGTACGGATCACATGTCTCTGTGATTCTGTGTCATGTGCTTCATTGAGTTTCTGCATCATATTGACAGGTGTAAAGAAGCTTTGTGATGAAGGAGGCTGTGGTAGCTGCATAGTTGCAATTTCAAAAGATGATCCAATTGCTCATCCACAGTCAATTGTTGCTGTTAATTCTGTAAGTTTTGCAGTTCTTTTGTGAAGTTCATTAATAATCTTTGAAACTTTTTGCTGTGAGATTTATTAATCTTTGCAGGTATGAAGTCAAATTCTACTTTTGCAGCTACGTGTAAGAATTGCACAAACAGGGGTATCTGGTGGATAACTTTATAAAAAGCTTTCATATTAGTTTTGTTTATCTTTTATATGTTTTTTATCCTTGTTTAGCTTATTTACTTATTTACCCTTGTTTAGCTGAACCGCAGTTATCTAAGCTTCATTTATTGAAACACCATTTTAACTGTGTTTTTATATCAGAACATATTTTCATTTGATAGAGAACTAATTTCCCATTGATTTCCCATTAAACTTGAACTCTAGAATGAATCCAGGAAGTTGCAAAAACATTTAAACGATTCAATCTTCTTGAAATCTCTATTAGCAAGTCTATCTGTAAGATCAATGAGTGTCTGGCCATTTATTATCTCTACATATTTTCCCTATGAAAGAATTCAAACATCTGACATATTGATCTAATCTAGTTTCATTTGTATGGAATGGTTTTAAAAAATAATTTGCCACATATTTGGTTGTCTTAATCAATTTGCAACTTTTCTGCTCACTGATTCTATAAAATTATTATGTATAGTGAAACTTCCTCTTTTTCTCCCAAGTGTCTTCAGCCTGTTATTTCTCTTGATGGCTATCACGTTATTACTGCTGAAGGCCTTGGAAGGTATCTTTGATTTTTCTCATATAAAATTATGTCTGTTTTGAAGTTATTGTATAATAGCAGTCAAATTTTTTCAAAAGTTTATGTTTTTTAGAAAATCTGACAGTGTGGCTGCAGATAACCTTGCTTAACTTGTTTAGCTTGAATATGTTTAATTTTGAGAAACTGCTGATACCTAAGTAACCTGTAGATCCTGAAAATCTTTAACTTTGCTAATTTCTGACTTATTCAATATAAATATAAGTTGAGTTTTGCCTAAGTTGAAAACCAATCGCTGGCCCCAAATGATTGAGCTTGTGAAATGTTTTCTGTGCTTGATTTTTATAGCAAAAAAGATGGCTTCCACAAAATTCAAGAAACATTTGCAGAACAGTTTGCCAGTCAATGTGGATTTTGCACTCCTGGGATTATAATGAATGGATTCAGGTATTTTATTCTGTAGCAAAAAAATAGTGGTTTTATAAGCAAATGAAAAGGTAAAATTATGGCCAGTTGTTAGGGTCACAGAATACAGATCCAAGGGTCTGTGGTTCGAGTCCTTGACATGACAAAACTTTCAGCCCAGGGTAATGGGAGTTATAGGATTGTTTGAAAACAAAGTCTGCCAAATGTCCTTAGAATTCCATGGAGCCAAATCCCTGCTTTTTTATTGTGATTTTCTGAAAAGCATAATACAGATCTTGCATTCCCTCTCTGTCCCCAAACAGTCTTTTTTGAAAAGCTAGCACATATAATCAACAGATTCTCATATGGGACAGTATGTTAAAAACGAAGGTCAAAAAGAAGGTATTAAGCAATATTGTCATAAGATAAAGAATTAGTTTTCTAAAATGTTTTTGCAACTTGTTGGTTTAGCATCAGGGCATTCTATGTTTCTTCATGGCATCTTCTCTGTTCACTTTGAAAATAACATACCTTCAAGAACTCTATTGATAGCATAATCAATTGATTTGTTGATAGCTATCTTGCCAATGATTCAAATGGAAGAAGCAAGGAAGAAATTGAAAAGTCATTGGATGGAAATATTTGCCGGTGCACAGGTATCTATTATGATGTTTTGGTAGATAGAAATTTTGTCTCATTTCTACAATATACTTAATTTCAGCAATCATAGTTGTTATGAAGCTGGCTTCATCTGTTCTCTTAATGTAAATAAGTGCCTTTTTATTTAGGCCAATACTTTTTCCTTGTGACAAATTTTGAGTGTATCTAAACCATATGCAAATTATTTTACACTCTAGGCTATAGGCCAATATTAGATGCCATGAAGAGTTTCTCAAAAGATGCAGGGGTAATTGATATTGAGGTGATGTATCGTTTGTTATGAAAGCGTTTACTAGTTTTTAAGGTTTAAGCATTTTCTAACTGGCCTTTATGATCTGGTTAAACTGCACAAGGTTCGGAAAAACATTTTTTCTCCTCTAAAATGTGACTTGAAGGCCGGAATACCCAAACTTGAGAACTGTGTTAATTTTGTTTGACAGTCGTTTTTCTAATTACGTCATAAAATAAATTTTAGTGATTATTTTTTAGAACTTTCTGCAAATTTACGCAAGTATTGTAAGTCAGGATGTATTAACAAAATGACTGAAGCCCTTATTGTCCTCAGTTACCTTAACCACGGCAATGTTCAACTGTTAATCAAGTCATTTAAGAGATATGATAAAGTGTTTTGTTACTTTGCAGGATTTTCGTAAGATCAAGTGCTGCATGAAAAACTGCACGAAACAAAAGCCAAAACTCGTTGACCTCAGTCTAGAAAAGCTTTCGACTAGCTCTTGGTACAGCCCAGAGTGTCTCAATGAACTTTTTGCAACGCTGAAAAAGCTCAATGGAAAAGCAATCAAGCTTACATCAGGAAATACAGGAGTCGGAATTTTCAAGAATGAGGGCTCTTTCGATGCTTATGTTGGCCTAAAGCGAGTAAAGGAGTTAAGAGAAATGAAGGTAATTATTTTTTATTACGATGATGTCATTTATCAAAAGAGATAATATTTTCAAGCTTATGATGCTATTTTGACTTGTTATTTGCAAATGGTCGCTGTATTGCGTTTCGTTTATATGTTCTGCAAATCATGGAAGCACTTCCATGAGTCCCGGCGTTATTAGAACCGTCTCAAATAAACCCATGAATGAAACCTGATGAAATTTATAAACTTTTTATTATTTGTTTATAAAATTACATAATTAGATTAATAAAAACGTTATTTGTCAGGTGAAAGGTGACGTATTTCGTGGCTAATTTCCAGTTGCTTTTGTAAAGTTTCTTTGGTTTACTTACAGAGTCTCTTTGATTGCTTGCTAGGGTTTTCAATTTACGAAAAACGCACGATAAGATGGTTTTTATTTTCCATACAGTATATTGCCTTTGTTTTTAATCAAACTATAAATTTGTACTTTTCAAACAGAATGAAAGATTGATGTATAAGATGCTAATAAGATTGAATCAATAATATTTTCGAATATATCAGATGGAATGTTTTGCTTCCAACAGTCATTGGAATATTTATTTTACTTGTTCTTATTTTTGGTCAAAGAAATTCACATAAGAGTCTATTCATATTGGTCGTTTTATTCTATGTTTTTTACCTTCTCTTTCTTTCTACAGATGTCTGAAAATGAGGTTGAGGTTGGGGCATGTGTGACGCTTTCTGATCTGATCTTGTTTCTCAAGAAAAACTTTACACAATCAACTGCATTTTCATCAGTTGTGGAGCACCTTGAAAAGGTAAATTCAGTTTTGTTCTAGCAATTACGTATCAAAAATTTGCAAAAATTATGCGCTTTGAGTTCTTTTAATTAGTATACACTGAATATACAAGTTAAGTCGGCTTCAAGAAATAAGGTTTTTCGATTCAAATCGTGCCAACGCTGTTATTATGGGTGCTATTAAAGTTTATACAATATGCTCATGGTTTTACAATAACGATCAATTTTTTGGATACAATCTCTGCTTTTTTGTAGGTACTTAAGTATTCTAGGAAAATTTGGATACTTAAAACAGTAACAGCTAAACATTTTAACATTCTTGAATTTCGGTTTTTCTAACATTTTCCTGGTAGTTGCTCTTAACAAGAGAGCCCCATATTGAACAAAATTCAATCTGTTAATTTTTATTCACTGATAATAGAGGATATTTCACGTCCGTTATATTTGCCACAGGTTGCATCTCTTCCAATCAGGAATGTAAGTCGAATAAATGATATATATTTCAAACGTCCTTTTGAATACATTTATTCTTTGAAGATGTGTATTCGTTTTTAAGTTCTACAGTAAACACCGCGTTTATTTTTAATTGATATTTTTAATTGTTTCGTATCACGTGCATATGAAATCCTCAAAAGTTTTTCTGTTTGGGATAAGCCGATAAAGGCTAGGACAAATTTAGCGAAACCCTAACCGAGGAATGAAAATTCTGTTGACCAAAGTTTGATATTCCTGTAGACTATGGTGATTTTTATAAACAGCAATTTTAAAGTCGCAGGCAAAAGGTGGATATTCTTACTTGCTGAATTCATGCTTCAAACTCTGATATACTTTGAAGTTTTTTTCAAGCAGCATCGCGCAGCTTTCTTGATTAAATCATTGTGAATTGTTTCTTCAGGTAGCTACATGGGCAGGCAACATAATGCTTGTTAATCTTCATAAACATTTTCCATCTGATGTCTATGTTATCTTCAGTGCCATTGGTGCCAAACTGAAGATTGGTAAGTCAGCATGCTTACGCTCATAGTATAGTTACACATTACAGACCAAGGGTTCCGATATCAAAACAAGCAAACCAATTTTGAAGATTTGATAATAAAAATGCTTGCATTTTGTATTGATAAGCCCATTTTTCAAATGCAATTAGACAGTTTATTTTAAGCAAAAGAAACGAACAATCATTTTTAAGAGGAAAATAAAAGAAGCTACATGCCCTAAATGAGGGGTTGGTAGCAACAGAGTGACCCAAGCATGGAAGAACTTAGTTTTTTCAAGAAATACATTTTGTCATGAAATAATTTTTATTGAATTATTTTCTCCATATTTTATTTGATTGTTATATGGCTTTGATTGCCTGTCGATAAGCTAGATCTTATCCTCAAATCGCTGTGCCATTTCCATTGTAACAGAATCGTCTCTTAACGTTTTATTCTTTTTTTTCGCAGCTGACACTACTGGCGTGACTTCGTACTTCAGCATGGAAGAATTCTTCACTTGTGACATGTCGCACAAGGTTCAACACGATTCTTTTCCTAACCAATTTTATATTCATGATATTTTACCCCAATCTATGTGACTGAAAGCTTTGTTATTAAAATCGGTTAAAATTACCAAATTTGGTGTCATGTGTAGACTTTATCATATCCAATCCTTCAACCTGAAATATTTTGTCTCTTGAAAATTATCGCACAAATACTGCGGTATGTTAGATACGCTTCAGACATTAGACACGATTTCTTCAATGACTGCATCATCAAAAATCCACACTTACATATTTTTTGCTACCAGATCTCGCATCATCACCTATAATATAATCTTTTCACTTTCGTTTTTTTCTGCAATCGTTGATCTTTTCGCCAAATAATTTTTTACGTTGTTATTCTAGGTCATTGTTTCTGCGTCCTTACCTGTTTGCAAGGCTGACGATGTTCTGAAAACCTTCAAAGTTATGCCAAGAAAACAGGTGCCGTTTTTAAATTGATATTTTGAATTAAAGTGCAAAATTTTGCAGTGACTGACCAGACACAAACTTGACTATTTCTCTAATCTAAATATGCTCGCCTCGTTTATTGGTTTCAAATATAAAGCAACTATGGATTACATAATGAGTTTAAAAGTAATAGGTTCAGTTTTCTTTCAGACTATCTGATGTATTTCTATTCATACAGGTTTTTTATCACATTATTTGATATAGCAGAATACGTTTTCTCTAATCTTCCTAACTCTTTCATCTTGGACCTACTAGCCTGCGTGCAGACTCTGTTGACAAAATTGAAAAAAAGCGGAAAAGTAGAGTCTGCGAAGCCGGGCCAATTTTCTTGTTCACAGGCTCCTCAAAATCAAGGAACCGAATTTGATTGGTTGGGGGAATTTCAATTGTTTTTTTTTCAGTTTTCAAAGTGGAGCCTTCGAGCAGAAGTATAAATGAATGGTATAAGGATAATAAAATAAGTCTGTTCGTTCTTTTGAACAACTAGAATATCAGAAAAACATTGCACGCTAATGGAGTTGTTGTTTTAGTGCTTAGAATAAAATGTTGATGTCAGCGAACAAGAAAAGTAGCTCTGTTGCGCAGACTCTATTTTCTCTCCTCTTTTAAATTTCCAAGTCTGCACGCAGGCTGGGACCTACTTGTTGTTTAATTTTGTACTCGCTTCTAGCTAGTTTTCCTATCCTAACATCTATTTCATTCTTTTGCTTTGTATAATCTTGTATTGTATGCCTATAATTTTTTAACTGCAAAGAACTATTTATTTTTGAAGAATTTTAACCGCAGCTGCGTTAACCTTGAAATGTTATGCCACTTCTGTAATCCACTTTTACATGACTCTTACTTTCCACTTTCTAAAAATGATTTATGTAGCCATTTTCGGTGTTATTTTTCCACAGAATTCTTATGGATATGTCAACGCTGGATTTTATGCCACTTTTGATAAAAGCAAGTTACTGTTTACAAAGAAGCCTCGTTTGATTTTTGGAGGTGTTGGCCTCGAAATGGTAAATTTCATCTTGAAGATATTATTTGATTAAATACCTCTGTAAGTGATCGTGTAATTCACCATTTAATTGTTTTGGTCAAATATTGACAGTGTTGAACATTTTTTTTAGCTAAGAGCAACTGATTTGGAAAACTTTTTGGAAGGAAAAAATCTCGACGAGCCAGACCTTTTTGCAAGTAATTGACTGAGTTGGAAAATGACTCCTTTTTTTAATTTTTCACGATCAAATCTCCATTATTAGAATTCCTTATAAGGGACACCTCAAAATAAGGACTTTGTATCAAAATACTGGTCAATGTCTAGAACAAGAAGCTCTCAGGCCAAAGAAACCTCTCTACTGTGCAGTTTGTAATGCACTCACTATTCTCAGTGCTATGTCCAGCTGTTTATAAATTGTTGACTGAAGAAGCTCATGTTTTCATTACTATTTTTAGTATGAAGTATGAAACTTTTATCAAAATACGTGGATCTGTCATTCTTATGTAGAAATAAATTTTTTTGTTAGTTTTATGATTTATTTAGCTCTTTTGTTTTTTGACTTATTCTTACAACTATTGCATCATTAACCTTTATTTCCTCATTTTTTATTTCATTTTTTTAATCTTTTTACTTTTAAGAAACAGGGAACATTAATTCAACTTAGCAGAACTTTTTTTTTCTCTAGATGCTGCTAAAATGTTGCAAAACTGCTTGAAACCAAACCCAGAAAACAAACTAGTCAATTTCGACTACTGCAAAAATGTTGCAGTGAACCTTCTTTACAAGGTAATTTTCTGTTTAAAATAGTTCTATTAATTATATAAAAACCTAAACCTAACAGTATACTCTGGTGTGTAGAGCAGCATGGTTTCAATTTGCTTAGGTAAATTTCAAGCTCGATGTGATCACCAGGCAAGCCTTTTATATTCGTTATTAAGCCCTCTGCAATTGACCATTTAACAGTTACATTCATAAACCTAGAGCTATATCGAAAGTGTAAAGATTCACTGCATTTGGCAGTAGAGAGTTTTAGAAAATACCGCTAAATGCTAAATGTTTGTAAAAATCAGTTATCTGTTCTCAAACAAAAAAATGAGCAATTTTCGTCCAGAGAAAAGAGTTGCAGCTTTGCTAAAAGAATTGCTTAATTTTTTAAATTTCTCAAATATATATCTTCTTTAGGTTATAATGAATCTTAAAATGTTCAATGTTTGTTGGCTAGCCTTATATGCTGAAATGCTGTTGATTTTTGTAGTTTTGCCTGTTCTTGAACGAAGGGAGATCATCAAAGAGATCCTTAAGTGCCATTGAAAACTTCGTCTCTCCTGTTTCGTCTGGTGCACAAACATTCCATGTTTCAGAGGATGAAAATTCATCTGTTAACAAGCCATTCATCAGAATTGAAGGCAAAGTCCAGGTATATATCTATTCACATTTCAATTTAGATAAAAGAAAAATATAGTGCAGACTTATAGCATTTTTTGAATCATTTTAACCCTTTATGGTTTGTCGATTTTGTATAGTTAGTGCATAACCATTTAAGAGCCCTGTTGTTTCATTCTTTTTAGACTTTGTCAGTTGAGGCTTTCAATGCCTACTTAGTAACATTGCAGCCTTTTGTCTTCAACAATGTATATTATTCTTACAGCCACTATACGTATTTATTGTCAAAATTTTAAGACTCTTTTGCACACACCTAGGCATCTGGAGAAAACCAGTATGTTGGGGACATTCCTCTTCTTCAAAACGAGGCTTATGCTGCATATGTGCTATCTCCTGTGGTTTGTCTTTTTTACAAATCTCACTTTCATCCTTTTCTTTTTTCGTATTTCTATTAAATTTAACATGATGAAGTTTAAAGCAAGATTCACGCGAAGATGTATTTTTCTTGAAAATGGCTTAAATGGGAGGGCTGAGGACAGTGCTTAAAAAACGAGAAATTTTAGGAAACAAATGGGAAGGCAGCGCCACCAGTAATCTTCAAAATAACCAAATTATAGATTAACTTTTATTTTTTTCTCTTTCTGTTCAATTTTGTAGCTGTAAGGCGGTGCATTTTGAGCCTACCTCTAATGTAAATATGAGTCAACTGTTCTTTGAGCTTTAAAGTCTTTCCATTTTTGTCATTTATAGGATGTAGGGAAATATTTGATTATATTGTTATTTTCATTTTTTTTAATTTGTTAAGATAACTGTTTCAACTTTTAGGCCAGTGCAACTCTGGAGGGTATTGATCTATCTGAAGCCAAGGTACAAGCTTGTTTAACTTACTTTCCCTCTTACCTCATACCGCTTACATTAAGTACCAAAGAAACCAGTGCCATAACCTTCGGTGGATTATTTTTGGTGGAAAAGATTTTGGTGTGAATTTCGGTGAGAACTTGAAAAATATCGTTGCAAAGAAAACATTTCGGTTATTTTTCACCCGTAGTTGTTGAATAGGTACTGGGATAAGTCATTCTGAGATATGGTGAATGCATAGAGTCTATTACAGATATGGTGAATGCATAAATCAACGATCGATTGATAAAGAGGTAGCCATGGAGCTGTAGCGAAAAAATCTTATACACCAAGAAAAATTAATAGAGCTTATAATTATTTTCATGACAGCTTCTTTCTGTCTAACATAGATTTTTATTTCAGAACCACCCTGGTTTTATTGCGTCCATTTCTGCTAAAGATGTCCCTGGAGTGAATAATTGGAGAGGTCAGCCCTCTTTTGAAGAGGTTCGTGTTTTTGTATCAGTTTTAATAAAAATATTAAGTATATTTTAATATCATTGATCTTCTGTGCTTTTTTGCAAATCTGGGCACGTTTATTTATATTTTTCGTATCTCGATATTTTTTCAGATTTTCCCTACTAAAGAAATATCATACTATGGCCAACCAATAGCTCTTGTCATTGCAAGTATGTATAAGATATTGTCTCTTCCTTGTATTTACTATAGTCTCCAATCTTTCCTCAAATACTTTGATTCGGTAAGAAAATGTGTACTGCTCTGTAATTTAGTTCTCGATTCACTAAAGGCAGAGCTATATGCGCTTTGATGTGAAGAATAGGACACTTCTCAGTTGCATCCCTGAGATTCACGCTTCAATGTGCTTCAATCAAGGAAACTGCATCAAAAACGCGCCGAAGCGACAGAATATAAACATAAAAATTCTCTTTTGTCTCAGTATTTGTATAAGACTCAAACGATGGGAGAATTTGAAAGACGTACAATACAAGATAAATGTAAGATATATGTTCTGCACCACCTTTAATCAATGGTTTAACTGACATAAAGGAGGTCGGTAGATTCACCTAGCTAAGCTAAACAGGGCGATACATCAGAGGGGAAGTTGAAATAAGTAAATGAAATAAACAGAGGAGTTATCATCAAAGAACATTAGCTCAATTTTTCATGCAGCTATTTCAAAAACTGTCTAGCTCATCGCCAAGGAATAGCTTTTCCCAATATGCAGCCTTTGAAATCGATCGTAAAAATGCTTTCTTTCATTGTAATGAATCTCCTCTCGTCTCATTATGACGTTTCGTCCTGCTATTAGTCTCTTTTCCTATCATGTAGACAATTATATTCTCATTTAATGTTTATTAAATGCATTCATTTTTAAAAAGATGCAAATATCGTCGATAAATTGTTAAAATGAGACACATAATTCAAACTTGCATTGCCGCTAAAACTTATAGCCGAAACTATTAGGAACCTTGGGGCAAGTAATCATATGTGCACTTTTATTACAAGTAAACGTGGTTGCAAGTTTTATTGCTTAAGCAAAAAAGGCAACGTTGAATAGACTTGTCCGAAAATAGATCTACTAACAAAAAATGAATAGATAGCAGAGAAAAGTTTAAACAAAGTTAACTTTGTACTTGTGGAATAGTTAAGTTCTCAGCGAGTGTAAATATCAGATGATGACTTAAGGTAAGCATTAGTTTATATCCAGATGCCGATCGAAAGTATTGTGAGAGGATGAATGGTGATTTTAATCAGTTCCATGTTCTTGACAAAGCGGAGACCACTAACCTCTTATTCAATGGAAGATTCCAGAAGAGGTCCAGAAGAGATCTCTTTCTGTCTTTTGAAGTCGGGATCATTTTTCATGAAAGCAGATTCCTAAATACTTGCGAGACAACGGCGTTGCTTGCCTGATAATTCTGTAATGTCGTTATAATACATTTTTGGGCACTCTGTATTCTTGTCTAAATGCTGACCTATGGCCGAATCGCATTTTATTTGGGCATTGTGATTTTTGCAACTACGCCTTACCTGTTTTTTGCCTAATGTTCGATGCGAGGGACCAACTAACGTAATCGAATACCAGATACCCTACGCTTAAGTTTTACAGTTCTGCTTCCTGCGCTCTTGTGCTCGCCACTTTTTTATCCTTCTTTCAGCATTCTTAAGATAATGGCTGTCTATGCTAGAAATCAAAAACCGTGCTGTTCTTGCCCAAAAGAATGTTCGTTGTAAAATTAGCTTTCATAAAGATCTGTTAGGAATCAGTTCGATAGCAATGAAGCCCTGAATATTTTAGAAAGTAATTGTTTTGGTTAGTATAAAAGGATGCGATAAGTGATTTTTAAATGCTTTAATCCGGCCTTGTAGCTTCTGTAACTACATCTGATGATATCCTGAGCAGTTTCAAACGCTCTAGTTAATGATTAATGAATGTTATAACGTAGCAACGAAAACTGGAAAGCAAACATTCTTGATGATATCTTCATTTTTAGCCTCGAGGCCTTTTCTAGCCGCAGGGCCATTTTACATTGCTCCTAGTACTTAGATTTGGTGATTTAGCAAAATTAACTTTCGAAAATTTGAAAGGCACTTCTGAATCCCCTCCTTGCATTCGCCCCCTCCTCTATTAGACCAGACCGAAATGGCGGGGAGTACTACTTTTGGGCAGGGAAATTTTGATTACCGGTTTCGAGTTCTTTATCAACTGGGGATATTGAATTGTGATGGTAAATGGGGATTTGCCGCTGTTTTTTGGGGGTAAAATGGGAGTTAAATCAGGAGAAGTTCTGCTTATCCTCTGCGAAGGAGAAACGTGACTGGATTGACGTTTTTAACACGTTTAAAATAGTAAAATGTGTTTTAGTTATTCACGTAACGTCTAATTACCCCCATGTCCTTATATGGATATCTTATTAAAATGCGCAAAGCCAAATTCATTTTAGCATGCAATTAACTTTCAAAGTTTTAAGCAGAGACTGTCGTGGTACTCAAACTATAAAAAAGGGACTTTTTGTCGTTTTTTCCAACCTACATTGATAGTTTTAATTGGTCTTAAAGAGTATTATTATGCTAACACAGATAAGATGAATGTGAAATCTTATTGAGGAAGTCAAGAGCTAGAGCTGTAAGTATGAATGATAGGTAGGAACAGCATACTTCTACCAAAAAATGCCAGTACATCAGTGTGTGGAATTATGCTCAGGTATTGAACATGTGCTCAAAACCGTAGACTTGTCCGAAAGATATCTGATAACATATCTTGGACAAATGAATTTTTAAGAGATCCTGCTGCCACCAGTTTGTGCAAATTGATGATTTTGTTCATTGATAGGCTCCTTTTGTATGAGTAACTGCGCGTAGACATGGTAAAAAGGATAACGAATTTTCTTAAGAAAAAGTCTCTATCCTGGGACAAAAATTATTTAAGTTTGAAGAAAGATTGGAATACTTTCATTGCTAGTTATAAATTTGAAAACAGTTTTTTCCAAACAGCCGGTTTAATTCCATTAAGTTTTATAAAAGGTTCTTACATGAGGACATAAATCCTCGACAAGTTTTGCATAAACTTGGGGCAGAGGTCGCACCCGGAAATTTCCCGGTATTCCGGTGGGCCAGTCCGCTTCTGCTCCTATGTATCCTAGTCTGAGCTGTTGAGCGAAACGTTTTGAGCCATGTTTAAAAAATTTTGATAGTTTAGAAAAATATTACGAAATGGGCTGGCCCAACGGACTGTAAATGAGACTGTAATTACCACTTCGGCCACGAAAAGAGACTGTAAATACCACTAGTAAATGAGCATTGTTCCTAGGGGGAGAAGGGATGACCGAATTTTCCTTTGAAAGCCGATGTTAGTGTTCCAAGATTTTTGGCAAGGATTGTAGCTTGCGTGTTTAGTACAACTTTTACATCCGACCTGCTGTCCTTCTCCCATTCTGAATAAGAGATCAAGCATATTGGTTGCAGAAATATTAGACTAGTTGCAAAATTTCATCTCCATCTATCAAGGACTGGAGCTAATATTTTCATTTTCAAACAACATGGAGATTTTGAATGCTATTGGAGAATGTGGATAGAGAAGACTCGGTATTGTGAAAACACGCAGGGGAAAGTCTTATAAACTTCTATATAAAAACAAAATTCCCATTGTATGGTTTGTGAAAATAGTACTCTAAACAATTTTTATCAACTTTGGAAACTGGTTTTTTCTTAAAAAGTTTTTCACCCCCCTATTGCATTTTTTCTTCTGCCGTTTTTGGTAGCCGTTCACATAAATGTTGACTCGCTGACTCGTTATTTACCTTACAGATTTTAAGACCAATGAGTCTTATCTTCGTTTGATTTTTTATAAACACAAAGCGGATGATAAATCAAATAGAAACAGGAAAGCAGCAGCATTGGATATTTGAAAAGGTTACTGTGGAAAGGGGGTGGATGGGAGGGAGGGGTGAGATAGTATTTGTACGTTAGCATCGAGCTGAACCTTTTTTCCCCTATTTTACCTACGCGCAAACATTTCTTGTAGTAATGAATATTGGTATACAGAGTCCTGCAAAAGATTTATGAAATTTTTAAAGAGCTTTTCTTTTCAATCAACGATTTTCTTTATACGAATAAACATATCTATTAGTTGACTCTATTGGCTCACCCATGTTGCTCACTAGTTGCCATGCCAAGAAAGCATCTGTCAATCTTCCAAAAAAATGCAGTTTACAGATACCATCTAAGATATTGGTACCTGTAAAGAATGCCACAGAAGTTATCATTATCAATTTACTGGTTTATGTTTATAGAGAAGGCGGTCAATTTTCAAAAAAAACATCCAAACCGCATAAGACATGAGCCTCATTACGTTTCATCGCATAGGCGTTCCGTGCATGTCAGGACACGATGCTTATAAAACTAGATCTAATTACGGTACCATTAGCCTACTAATGAATGAACCGTTTGGTATTAAGTATTATTCCATGTCCGTTAAAATGATGCATGTTTGGCTGTTGCCTTCTTGGCGTTTTTTAATTGAAGATTCAAGTAGCTATTACATCAAAGCATCTAATTATGGGGGTCGCTTCATCGTATATTGTAACTTCTTAGCTTTTGCTGGTAAGTGGTAATATTCTAATCATCCTTAATGGGCTTTGTATAAAAGAGACTGTAATGCAGAAGTTTTTCAGTTGTGGGTCTCCGGAGCTGACAGCTAACTTTTTGGTGCTCAGAGCTTCTGGTATGTATTACGGTTCTTCTGTTCATTTTTGTTTATCCTTAATTTTTTCATTGAATAATTCTTTCAGGGAAATTATGACCTCTCTTAGCAGTTGATAGTTTCTTCTGCTCGAGTTCAAGTTAAAAGTTCCGATCGGTTGGATATACTGAAGATAGTTTGAAACATTTGGTGATGCATTTGTTTGCAAACTGATCATCGTATATTTCTTTTAGATTCGAAATGAAGGTGCTGTGCGTCTTTCTAGTGTTTGGCCTTGTTGCATGCTTGCATGGTATGTTGACATTCGAACTAATTTTACATATGTATATGTTTTATTATCACGCTTGTAACCTGATTATCTTTGCAAATTTTTGACTGCGTATTTAAAATCACTAGAGAATTGCAGGCAGAAAATGATAGTTTGTTTGATACTTTGATTAAGCTGGTTAAGTTGGAAATTTTTTGCTTACAAATAATTCTTAGAAGAATAAAGTGATGTCATAGTGAAATCATCTTACAGCAAAGAAAATTTTATAATTTATGGTATAAACATTTCACTCCTACAATTTTATAATCTGTAGAGAAAAAGACTGCAGGGGCTTCTTCCTTGTCAATTTTGTAAGTTATAACGTGCAAATTATGTTGTGCAGGTTTAGTGACTGGAATTGCCAATTGCAAACAGGAATCAATTTGCTTAATGTGATTCGCAACAGATCGAGATAAACTTATTCGTAGGCGATTCTATATTTGCCAATTTCACAGCACCTTAGCATGTCCAATAACAGGTTAGGAAGTTAAACATGTACGGGATCGCTAACTTCAATTTTTCCCGTGAAAAATGATCTATGATTCAATTATTCTGTTTCCTTTTTCGGTAGCGGAAGTATCAAAAGACTCGTCCTCTGCAAGTCCCTCGGTAGAGTCTAAGGATGTAGCTTCACCAGCAAACGACATCAGCAAGGATGTCAAAGAAAATCCGCTAGAAGCATCAAAAGTCGAAGCTTCTTCTGATAGCGAGGAAAGTGATAATCTCCAGGAAGAAAATGATGACAATGTAGAGGAGGACGACTTCCTGGGAAACGATTTGGAGAACCCTGAAGAGACTGATGAGGAAGATGAAGACATTGTAGAGGCTGATGATTATGAGGACGGAATTGCAGAGGCTGATGAGGATGATGATATAGCAGAGGCTGACGAAGGTAACTTCCCACAATAATGAGCTGATAATGTTCCTTTTCCGGAAGCATTATATCGCAAAGTTTTTCATGCTTTGACTTACGAATTTGCAAGCAATCAAATCAAGCCCACTCTTCCAAACTGTTGTTTTCTTAATAACTTGTTCATTCCTTTATCAAATCTCTTTGTATAGTTTTTTAATGATTTGCCATATTTATTTGAGTAAATATTTAACAATTTCACTTTATTCTATTTAGACGAAGAGCTGGCAGACGCTATGTTTTACTACCCCAAGAAGACACACTACTACCCAAAGAAACCATACTACCCCAAGAAGACTCGCTACTACCGAAAGAAGCCATACTACGCAAAGAAGACTCACTACTACCGAAAGAAGCCATACTACGCAAAGAAGACTCGCTACTACCCAAAGAAGTCATACTACGCAAAGAAGACTCACTACTACCGAAAGAAGCCATACTACGCAAAGAAGACTCGCTACTACCGAAAGAAGCCATACTACGCAAAGAAGACTCACTACTACCGAAAGAAGCCATACTACGCAAAGAAGACTCACTACTACCGAAAGAAGCCATACTACGCAAAGAAGATTCACTACTACCCAAAAAAGCCATACTACCCAAAGAAGCCATACTACGCAAAGAAGATTCACTACTACCCAAAGAAGCCATACTACCCAAAGAAGCCATACTACGCAAAGAAGATTCACTACTACCGAAAGAAGCCATACTACGCAAAGAAGCCATACTACCCAAAGAAGCCTTACTACGCAAAGAAAACTCACTACTACCGAAAGAAACCTTACTACCCAAAGAACAGTCACCATTAAGAAGGGTTGCCAGTATCTTGAACAAGGCGCTGCTACCATAAGAAGCCCTCCAAGAACAGAATAATACATAAACTTTGCAATTCTCGTATCGACTAGAATTAAGATGCAGCCGATAATGCTTGAGCATGTATATATCACTCTGCATGGTTATTTGAATGCTGAAATTAGTAAAGGAGTTTCTTTTCTCTTCTTGCTTCTATATCTCTCTCGTCAGGATGGTGAAGCTCGTATGTGCTTAAAGCTAAGTTCGTTATTCAATATACAGAACATAGTTTTTCATGCTTGGTTTGTCGTTTTATTTGCAAGTAATACCAAAACTTTAACAAAAGCTTTATAAAAGTTGCTCAGCTTCTTTGCTTCTAACATAACACTTTCTTGTGTTATATAAAAAAACTTAATATAGAAACATCAGTGTCTTGTTAAAGGCAACAAAGACCGAAGATAATAAAGCAACATATTTTCTTACATTTCATTATTAACGATGATCAATAAACCAATTCAAAAACTCAAGTTCTCATTTTCTCGTTGCTTCTAGTAAACTTTGAAAATCATTTGCCTCTGCTTTTTTATGATTTTACCTGAACTTCTTTCAAAACAAGCAACAATCAACAAACTGGGCCCTATCCCCTCGTTTACTTCCCTAGTTAAAGATTTGATTGTAGGTCACTTTTGACACTACCTACAGCTTTGATAAAGATTATTGAGCAGCTTGCCTGACTGCACAACGAGTTCTGTTTAAAGCCCTAACATAAAAAAAAATTAGAATAGCCGTGGTCGATTATGATGTTGTGAAGTTAGCCGACTGATTAACATAAGTAGCCATTCAACTAAAACGAGTATGCTTACTTTTTGTGCTTTGAAACTTTTTACCTAACTGTCTCAAACAGAAAATATTTAGTTTTCCGAATTTTCAATATCGCACAGTTTCAAGATTTTGCTATGAAAATTTCAAAAAACTTTTGGCCACATTGCGGTGCTTAAACTTCCCCTACCTAATGCATAAATACCATTTTTAGATGAATCTTGGGCAAAACTTGTATTTCCCCTACCTAATGCATTTGTATTCATTTTTAGATGAATTATATGGATCATGTTTTAATTTAAGTGGGGGGGGGGGCTAATTACTCCCCATAACATCCCTTGACTTTACCACTAATACCCATAGAATATCAGTATACAAATCTGTCTCTCGTGCCACCGTTCTAAATGTTAGTTGACAAAGTAAATGAGTTGAGATGTTTATTCTGCCAAACCGGCTGCCCTTTTGGTAGGCAGCTTAAAGTTTATTTGTGAATTCGTTTATCGTTTGCTGAAATATAGTACGATATTTCAAGTGTTCGTGCAATCATAAACGATTTAATTTGCTTTAAAATGTCACTACCAATTCTGTTTATTAAACAACCATTTTGACTCGATCTGTATAAGTCATATATGTTTATTCTTTTTAATATCTTTCAACGTTAATTGTTGTAAGATTGACTGCATTTTGACGTGAATGTGGTTGATCTGCCAATAAAAAAGGCTGTTGAAGTCTCTTGTGTTCTTACCACCGATTATCTCGGCTTTCAGATTCACAAAGAAATGCAGAAAAAATTGCCAAAATGGTTAAAGTCAAGTACAGTAATGTGAAAGAGCCAGTTACGACATTGGAGGAGGCGATTAGAAAAAAATGTTTCCACCCTACTCGCTTTCCAGACATTAAAGTTGGAGACACAGATGGTAAGAAGCAGAATCTTGATATTCCCCAATCATCATCATCATCATCATAGACATCATAATCATAAATCATTATCGTCATCATTGATCATAATCATCAATCGCTATTGTCTTTATCATCATACAATCAACCAATCAATCAATTATTGCATTCAATCAGTTTAGCAATCAATCTATCATCGTCCTGGTCCTCTCAGTATTATTAAGATGAAAATTTTATCTTGGTAGTATCTGTAGCGCTAGATCTATTGAATCGTTCAAACATATGTTTATCCAGCAAAATCCTCAAAAGATTGAAGCAGCAAGGTATTTGAAATAAATGGAGAAATTACTTCTGAAAAGAAAACTATATCAAACGAATTCTGCATGTTTTTCGCGACGATTGGCAGAAAATTGCAAAATACTTTACCAGCAATAGTGAATCAAAGTTTGGAATATCACAAACACTCAACATTGGATCATAGAAAGAACCCCAAAAAGGTAACCTTCAATTTCAAAATGACAAACATCAAAGACATCAGAGACATTTTAACGAAACTAAAAAGAAAAAAGGCTGCTGGTTGTGATGATATACCAACAACGTTGATTGTTGATGGGGCAAACGAGATAGCTGGTCCTCTCTCAAATTTGATTAATCGATGTCTTGAAATGGCAATCTTCCCATGTGCTGAAAAATGCTCTAAAATTACACCAGTCTACAAGTCAGGTGAAAAGACGATCATGGATAACTATAGACCAATTTCTATACTCCCTGTTATTTCAAAAGTCTTTGAGCGGGTTGTGCACAATCAGCTCTATGACTATCTTGAGGCTAATAATATGCTTTCGGAGAGACAGTTTGGTTTTCGAAAGCGATCATCTACTCAACATGCAGTTACATTTTTCTCAGATTTCATCAGAACCAATATGGACAGGGGCCTTATGACTGGAGCTGTATTTATTGACCTGCGAAAGGCTTTTGACACAGTGGACCATGAGAGACTCCTATCTAAACTTCTTAATTATGGTATTAAAAACAAGGAGCTTTGCTGGTTCGAGAGCTATCTGTTTGGAAGAACGCAAATTGTATCATATGATGGAGCCTTGTCAGAAAGTCAAGCTATTTCCTGTGGAGTACCGCAGGGATCCATATTGGGTCCATTGCTTTTTACCTTACTAATAAACGATATCGATGAAAATTTAAGCCAATGTGAAATGACCCTCTATGCTGATGATTCTGTTTTGTACGTTGCTGGTAAAAATTGTGATATTATCGAAGAAAAGTTAAACAGTGATCTAAAACAGATTGCTTACTGGCTTCAGCAAAATAATCTCGTTATTAATCTTAAAAAGACCAAGACCGAGTGCGTCCTTTATGGTACACACCAGAGAACTCTGAAATCAAAACCTATGGAGATCAAGATCAATAACACAAAGATCACAGAATCTAAAGAATACGAATATCTAGGTGTAAAGATGGACAAGAACCTGACATTTTCTGATCATTTCGAAAACACAATAAAAAAAGCCACATCTAGAGTAAAGTTATTGTCGCGTATACGGCATGCAGAAACAAGTCCTTACACAGCAGAAACAATTTACAAGGTAACAATTTTACCAATTCTGCTTTATTGTAACAATGTGTTCCTTCACATGGCACCATCAAAAAAGATGGTGTATGAGAACATTCAGAGACGGGCACTGAAAGTAATAAATGGCAACAGGGACAGTGTACAGCTGGAGAAAGTCAGTAGTATACGAAACAAGATGTGTGCTCTTGAAGTTTTCAAAAGTTTGAATAGCGTATCGCCACACGCCTTTCGAAACTACTTCACTAGAGTAAAACACAGGCAGTGTACTCGTGCCAATGCAAAAAATATTGTGTTGCCCAAAGTACAATCAGAAGCAGGCAAGAAGGCCTTCTACTTTCAAGGAGCAAAGATTTTTAATAAACTAACAGACGAAATGAAGTGTGAAACTTCAATTCTAAGATTTAAGACTTTTTGTAAAAATTTTAACTTCGACTTTTAAGATTTCATTCTCATCATGTATTTAATTTTTATTTCTGTAATCCATGTATATTTTAGACAGGTCCTTTATTGATAACAGCACGTTGTTGCTGACCAAAGTTAACCTGTATAAATATGATATTATTATTATTATTATTATTATTATTATTATTATTATTATGAAGCCAATCATTGCTAACATGCAATCTTGATTTCCATTACAGCCGCTTTTACGCAGTGTGATCATGTAGTTGAGGGTGAAGCTAAATGTGGATCACAACATAATTTTTACATTGAGCCACAGGTAACCTTTATTGAACATCGATACATGACACTTGAGAACAATCAATCATGCACAATCATGCCTTTTAACATCAACCAATCCGGCATCACCATCTCACATTTCAAATTCATTTACTCGTTCGTTTCATTTACTCTGATGAAGCCGGGGCAAAATATTAGTATACGTTTAATTTAATTTATTTTGAAAATTTATCTTATTACATTGGATTCTCGTCGCCGTTTTGCTTTGTTCCTGAATTTTATCCTCGTGTTTATACTTTACTCATTGCAAGATTTACAGTATCCGGCGGACAGCCGATCCTGCGGCTCCTCCTTCTCGCACATTATATCAACATTAAACTCAGGTCTTGATCTTTTTGTGCGCTTGCAATAGATGCATATTCTATATTGCAATGTGTACCATATTCTATAAAACGGTTGTTGTTTTTCAGACCTGTCTAGTTGTGCCTCAGGATATTGGCTATAAAGTATACAGCACTACTCAGTGCTCCAGACTTGTTCAAGAATATGTATCACGTGCTCTTGGAATGAAAGCGAGCAGGTTTCTTTTAATATCATTTCCTTCAACACAGAGCTCTTTGCAGCCTCTATGTATCTTTTTGTAACTCAGTGCCTCGTTAATTTTCACCTATATACATTCTGGCTGTTTTAAAATTGGGATATGAGATGTTAAAGCATGAGTACGTATTTTTGTTCATTTGTTAAACTTATATAAGCTTCTGTCCATTCCAAAGCATTGATATCCACGTGCCTCGTCTCGGTGGTGGTTTTGGCGGGAAAATCGAATACCCTTCCAAAATAGCAAGCGCTGTTGCTGTTGCTGCTCACACTTTGGACAGGTGTGTAATTTGATTAATTGAAATAGCAGTTAGAAGGGAATTTTGTACATAACTGTGACAAACGTATCTTTTTGTGCTATGAATATTTCGTACATTAGTAATACTGTCAGGCTAAAAAGATGCAGCTCTATAAAAATATTTTGTTGCTCAATGGAAAATGATCGCGATAAACGCCCAAGCCGCGCCTCTTTTTTGAAAATTTTGAAAAGGGCTGCGAGCTTTAACTTATTTGTCACGATTGCTGGTCTTCTTTCATGGTTTTGAGTCCAATGTATATGTTGTCAAAACATATTTTTGAAATGCCTTGTTTCTCTAGGCCTGTTCGTATGACGATGACATTATCTGACAATCTGAATATGGTTGGCAAGCGTGCTCCGTTCATAGCCAAATACAAGGTAAATGTTTATCTTTTATGGTAAATGCGCTTAAGGCAATCGACAGGTACTACAGTGGCTTAAGCTATATGGTAATGAAATGGGCCAACTCACACGTTTAGTGACTGATAGATGGTTCAAACCATTTTAGTATCTGCCGACGGCCATTAACAACAGTTGGTATTCTCTGTACAAGTTGATTCAAATTATGCAAAAAGGTTTTGCTCAAACAAACGTTAACAATTTTGATCGACTTTTTAATGTTTTACAGTCATATCATCTGAAAATTTGTTTCAGTATGCTTCAGTTATCAAAATAGTCTCAATGAAAATGATCAATAGTGCATATTTTTCGCATCATAAAAGCAGAGCTAAAGATCGAAATTTGTTGCTTTCAAATGAACATTTTAAAATAGTACTTAATCTGTAGTCAACACTACGCAGCCTTATTGTAGAAATTGAAGTTTTGCTATCTAATTGCTATCTAATTCAAGTTCCCTTTTTCGTAAAGCAATCTCTCTTTACGATTGGATTCTTACCTGTGTCACCTAGCAATAAAGCCATGACCCAGGGTGCACTGACCAGAAGAAAGGGATACAACCCCCCACCCTTCCTTTAAGCTGGGGGGGGGTTGTAGCCCCTTTTATTACCTCGATGGACACATTGCCAGATTTGACTGATGGTTTTATTGTTCAAAATTATCCAAAACAAAAATAGAGATCTGCATTTTCTTTTCTTGCACACAATTGTACGTCTTTAGAAAACTTGAGATAAGCAAGACAGTTTCTTATTTCTTTCGCCTAAAGGTTGGCTTCTCTAAGGAAGGAATGCTCCAGGCATGCGATGTGATACTTTACAATGACTCTGGGATCGCAGGCGACAATTATGATGGTTACCTAGCTGGACAATGTCTTGATAATGGTGAGACTAAAACAAATTCTATTTACTGAAGACCAAGATGTGGAGTTTTTTAAAGGGATGAACCTTGAAAATAGGGAGAAATTCAGGCAGGATTTTAACCAAAGACCAATCAAATATAGTGCAGATTGAGGGGGTAAAAATTTTTGGGGGGAGGGGGGGGGTCAACTTGCTAAGAACCAAGAGCAAGACGTTTTTGGTTTGGTTTTTAAGTATAATTTTGAAGCAATTTTGGGAAGAAGCCCTCTAAAAATTTGCTGAAAGAAAAAGAATTTGCTGGTCTGTCATAAAGTGCTCGTTTTCGTATAGAAAACGCTATATACATTTGTATTTGTTTCTACCTATCATCCGAAGGTAGTTTTTAGCACACTGAGAAGCGTATGCTTATCGAGCAATGTCCTGGTCCTTCCTCTTGATGTGACCACACCTCGTGATTCCTACGCCTGGAATTACAGAGAGCTGGCGACTCTCCTCACTCTGGATGAAAGTTTGGTCATGCCAGGGACTCGAACTACGGACCCATGGGCTTGTAGTCAGCGCTTCTAGCAACTGATCCATCCTCGCACTAGTATAAGATAATATATACGTTATAAGATAATATATACGTTCTAAGATAATATTTACGTTATAAGATAATATATAGATGCCTTATTGCTTTCAAATTGTTGTATGGTGTTTATTGTCAAGAATCTGGTTTTTTTCAGCATATTATTGCCCCAACTGGAACATTCGTAACATAGATTGCAAGACCAACACGCCTTTCAATACATTTGTGCGTGCACCAGGCAAGTGTAATATTCAGAAACAAGATCATTTACTAAACAATTGAATTGTAACTCACCAGATTCTATCATTTACTTTCTGGATTTCTAATAGTTGTTTCATTCGTGGCCAATGAAAGTAACTGCCATTTTTTCATAACTTTAGGACACGTGCAAGGAATGTTTATTGGTGAAACAATCATTGAACATGTTGCATCATTTCTTGGAAAAAACAACTCAGTTCAGATAAAAGAATTGAATCTTTACAAAAATGGACAGGTACTGTAAGCTCGCCTACAAATTATCTATTTTTATGCTAACTTTTTTTCAAAAACACAGTATATTTATAAGGTAAGAACAACATTTTTAGCTATAGTTGTGCTAAATGTTAAAATCTTAACGAATGCGAATGTTTCGTAATGCCAAAATTTTTCTTTTGGTAATTCTTTAGAAAATTTCCGCGTCCACAGATAGCTTATTCACATAGAATTTACCCTCTCAGAATTCACATCTCTTCTGTAGTTGTTTTCTTTAGATAGGCCAACCAGTTTTATGTCTTTGTATTAAAATAATTTATGAATTTGAGCTTACATACATAGCATATCGAAAAAGATGCGGATTTGGGAAGGGTATTCATCGAATACGTATGGACTAAAGTCGAATAAGATGAAACAGATTGTGATTAAAACTATCCGTATATGTATGGACGGGGCCTATGGCGCTACTCTTATCCCAGTAGAATGCCGTCCCTTAAATTTTTATACTATAAAATACCCAGAGTTTTTTAGCCATGTGAATCAATTCATTTTTCGATGTTCAAACACTCAATCTCAAAAAGTGTCAATTTTTGTCCCGGAGCTTCTACAAGATGCATCTATTTTGAAAATGATTTTTATCAACTGTGAAATGGTTTGAGAACTTGTTTATTCAAAGACAAAACTTCTTGCTGCTGTAAATTTATAGAAATTTATAGAGATCCTTGTTTATACTTTTTTATTCAGCGTTAGAACAATAATGATATTTTATATTTGTTTTGTTTGTGTTGACAATCAACACTTTTGTTATTTCTTAAACTTGATTATAGATTCGTTGTAATTACTGCCTAACCTATGGTTCAGAAAGAATACGGTTTCTTCGTTTTTGCAGGGTGTTAGCTTTTTGCTAAATTACTCCTTTGCTAAACATAATGTTTATAATTTTCATTTGTTAGGTGTCAAAGAGTGGGGTAGAGATTTCAAACTGCTTACTTGACAAGATTTGGAATGGTCAGTTCCCATACGATTTTACTCTGTGTTTCAGTGTTTAATCTTTTTTATTCCTTTCTTTCGTGTTGATTGACAAACACGACGATAAAAAGAATGCTAATTTATACCAACCAGTTAGACTGCAAGACATACAGGATAATTATTCGGTTAATATTTGCTATTTGCTATTGAGCATAATGCTCAGACAGGAGAGCATTTGAAATATTTTCGTATTAAAAGCATCTTTAATACACAAATGATGAAATATCAATGCATTTGTTTCCTTTTTCTACTGTAGATATAAAGATTACATCAGACTACGATCAAAGAAAAAGTCAGATTGAGCAGTTCAACAAGGTTGAAGAAACTACGCCACATTTCAAATCGAGCAATAATTGTTTCGCGAATCAGCCAAATTAATTTGCCGACTTTTTTTCTGTTTTTCCTAACCGATATATTTTTCTTCAGGTGGCCGTAACGAGAGCAGATAATTGGGGACGGAAGGCTGAAAATCGTTGTCTAGTGGAAAAATTCTCCAGATGTTTTTACGGAACGTCCCTTCTGGATAGAATGATTAATTTTACAGTGACATCACTTTGTTATCATCTGATATTTTGAAACTGTACACCATAGCCGCAACGACCCTGCTTAGCAAAAGTTGCAATACGTTATTCCTCCTCTTCTAGTCATTCTCAATCCCTACCTAGATATGAATTTCAGTTAAACTTGTGAATGTTCTACAAAGTCTCGCATAGGCAAAGAAGTTTTGATGGAATAGTATTTTCCTTCTGAAACAAGATCTAGTATGTTTATTAAGCTAATTATCGAGTGTCAATAAGTAAGCCAAAATCTTGTTCTTTCTTATTCTGTTTAGTCTCACGTTCAATTTGTTCCAACAGCCAGCCAGTATTAAAAATTGAATTTAATTTCCCAACAGGAAAACCGATGGAAGAAGAGAGGCATTTCAATGATGCCTCTGAAGTATGACACGGCATATGGATCCTTCAATTTCACAGTCGTTATCTCAATCTACCATGCAGATGCAACAGTTGCGGTATCCGTGGGAGGCATCGAGATGGGCCAAGGAATGAATTCAAGAGTATGTTATCTTACCTAATACTTTTTAAAGTTGTCTTTCTTCTTGATTCGCCATTTTTTATATAGGATAACCGTAAATCTTCAATAAGCCCCTCTAAAACCTTCGAATGAACGTTTCATCAGAATGGGCGCTCCTCTAAAGCATGGAAGAATCGATTGAGCCCCCGGGGTGGGTTTATAGCAACAATGCACCAATTAAACTTGCAGCCTCATTTTGAAACATTCGGATTAAGAGCAAGAATTTGAGTCTACTTGGAAGTTTTCATTTTGTTATAGCTCAAGGTATGGATTTTATGACGTCATAAAGATGAAATTTTATGGGATTTGAGCGTGATTATCGACCAAGGGGAAAAAAAGTTTCACCCGGAAAAATTTGTGCAGTCAAATCTCTTGCAAGTTTTCAAGCTTCATTTCTCCGTAAAATTTGAAATAAACAATATGAGAAATTGTATCTGGTCGAAAGTCGTACAATTAAGTTTTGAGTAATTTTCAAAATGAGGCCGTAAGTTGAATTGGTGTTTTGTCGGTGGCACTGTTTTTGATAATTAGGAATGACATTAGAAAAAATACTGGAAGAAAGAATACCTTTAAAGGTTCTGATATGGCTTGTTGCTGTGTCTGAAGTTTTTTGTTAAAATTGCTCTGCCATGATTATCTATGCTTTGAAAATTGCACGGAAAAGCGGAAACATGTCATACTAAAGAACTTTTCAACTCTGTCATTCGTCATGTTTCCGCTTTTCGATGCTATTTTCAAAAATTGCGGTACTAAAGGCTTATTTACTTGAGTATGCCTGTTCTTTTCTTTGGTTTTGAATCATATCTATGCTTGTATGCTTTCTGTTTTAACTTGTTTGTAATGATTTCATAAAGGTTTGTCAAGTCGTGGCCAATCAGCTGCAGATACCAATGGATCTAATCACAGTTAAGCACCATTCAACCATAACAACTCCTAATTGTATGTATAAAAACATTTTATTTCAAGCAATATCAACTTGATAACTGCTACTTTGTTTAGACAATCACACATAAACTGGGTCCTGACGTTGACTGTTTTGTGCTGTTTTTAGAAAATTTTGCTGACTCTTTTTTTGCTTGAGAGATTGCTATAGTCTATTGGATACAGCTGTGATTCGGGATTTTTCACGTAAATATATAAAATTCCTTTGTGTGACGTCATAATATTTATATTCTTGGCTTTTGATCATATAACCTCGAAGAAAACCAAAAATGCAACTATGTATGCAAAATCAGTTAAATATGTTAAAAATTGTGCGTAATATGCCCAATGAAAAATTTGAAATTTTCTAACGGATAATTGCTATTTTTGCATGTTTACAAAGGTTTGATCGAGAAAGAGCCTGTGCTTATGTGGCCATATCTCAGCCAATTTCTAATACGTTTAACTGTTTTCGCTTATTTAGAGGTATTTCATGGTGCTCTTTGGGTATTTAATCGAAATTCAAAAATTCTTGTGATAGATTTTTTCGACGGCATCATTTACGATCTTTATAGTATTGTAAAACTATTCTATATCGTATGCGCAAGACAACAAAAGTGAATTTTTACTGTTTTGTTTGCTTGACTGTACTTATGATGTCTTATTTAGGCTTTGAAACAGGCGGCAGTGTTTCATCTGAGATCAGTTGTTTGGTAAGGAAAAACTGTTAAAATCTTTTATTAAAGCGACACAGAAAAACCAAGCCCATGTCGTTCCATAGAAATACAAAGTCGCTAAGTAACAGGATTGGGGTATTTGCCGTATGTCTTTGTCATATGAAACGCAAGAAAAATAGCAATTTTAAGCAAAATGTCACACCAGTGATAGATGCCGCCTGCCCGTCCTTACATTGCTTAAACCTTAACTTACATCATAAAAACTCGTGAGGTAAACAGAAAAACTTTTGTAGGTTAATTCTAAATATATTTATAATTATAATTCGTAGCTCGTAAATATCTCCCTTGTATTCAAAAGGCTCGACAAGTGGTGGAAGTATAGCATCCGAAATAAATTGTCTGGTAAGATAGCAAATCTTTATCTCCGAGCCCTTTAATTTTTTAAAAGGACTTGAAAATTCCCTCTTAGATTCAAATACTTCGATCATGTCCCTTACAAACCCTGATGGGTGGCTTATTTTCCCTAAAAAAGATATCACCAGCTTTGCATTCCCATATGTTATTTTGAACACTTCCTTTATTTACTCCATCATACATAATACGACCTTGTTTCTTGAAATATATGTTTTTAATAATGTATGTACTACATTGCATGTATATTTTTCTTGGCTAAAATGCATCACAGAATATAAAATTCAGCAATCATCATGTGTGGGCACCTGAGAAATTTTGTTAACTGACACATGACAAAATATACTTTGGAGATTCGTATTGGTAAACATTGAAACTCGATATTTGATTGGCTCTGATTGACTGGCCTAAGGCACCATTATGAACCAGTCTGTCTAGTTAGAAGTTTAAAGGGCCCTGTTTTGTGGTTTCCTAGCACGAATTATTTTCATAATATCCCAACCCAGTCTAAGAAGAACTGGAGTTTTCATGGAATTGAGATTCCCTACAAAGTTGAAAAATTTGAAAACTCTAACCCCATATTAGATTTCGTAGGTCCTGTGCCTAAAAATATTAAAGATTTTGGCCCTGTTCATTGGTAGAGACAAAAATTGCAGACATGTTTATATAAAAAAGAATCGTTTCAAGATATTTGATTAGATGTTTCGACATTTTATCTTGAAATATCAACATGATTGGTGGAGTATCTTTGATTCATTCTTGAGAATCAACTTATCACCATCAGCACCATCTTAAACATAATTCTGATTAAAATGACATAGTTCTTCAAAAAACGTGTCTGAACTTCTTTTTGTCATCTCATATCTATTTCGTCGTTTTAATAGATATCATTTATTGACTTGCACTGTTAGCGAATTCATATAGAAGCTCGTGTTTTTAGGCTGCCCACAAATGCAGTGAGGTCCTCATAGAGAGGATGAAACCAGTAAAAGAGAAGAATCCAGGAGCTTCTTGGCTAGAGCTGGTGAAAGCTTGTGCTAAAGAAAAAGTTGAATTGTCTTGTCAATACATGTAAGTACGATTTTTAGCTTTTGTAGAGATACAAACTGGGTCAAGCTACGTTTACCTCCGCCATGCATGGAACATGAGAGTAGATGTGAAATCAGTAGCCATTAAATACATTGCTTTGAAGTTCTGTCGAGGAAAGCTCATTGAAGTTTCAGAAAGGAAGAAATGTACTGCAAGTTATAATTGCAGAAAAATACTGTCTTGTACATCCTCGTTTTAGTCAGCACAATCAAAGCATCAAGAGTGCTTGCTCAGGCCTCAAGCATTGGCACGAACAATTATCTAAACGCTGGCCTCTTGCCCACCCAACAACAATGATGACACTGGGTAGGCTTCAGAAAGGCAAATAGGACTGGGCATTCTGCTCTATCTTCCTGTTTTTCCAGAACTCGTGTCCCTCTACTAACAAGCACTTTCCTTACATAAAATCAAATAGCATTTTTGCCTATTTTTAAAGGCCACCGATACCTTAAGAATGACTTAAATTTTTACACTTAAAGAGGTATGGTCGCCCAGCATCCCATAAGGCTAAGGCACTTTTCTGACAGTTTAGCATACTTACTCAATTAGCCTCTGTTTCACTATTGCCTCGCTTTACGTATGCCATAACTCGCTTTCTTGCTCCTGTTTTAGCGTCCATAAAAGGCGGAAATGACGAAAACAATGCTTGTGGAGCAATCTTACCTGTATATTTGTTGTCGTGAAGCTGTCAAAGTATTTTCAAGATACGGAATCTATCTTATTTCAACGTTCTTACTTTCTTGTCTCAACGTTCCAGGTTCTTTGCTCCGGACAAGAAGTCATTTGCATACTCCAGTTACGGAGCAGCATGCTCTGAAGTTGAAATAGATGTGCTTACGGGGGAGCATTGGATATTGAGATCGGATATTATATTTGACTGCGGAGAAAGGTAAAATAAAATACAAAGATATGTTGTATTGTTTTTGATATCTTATCTTCATTTGATTAATTGCTCTAGCTACATTATCAATGAATGTTGTAATATTAATAAAGCGTAAATTTTTGTAGATTAGTTTGAACGCTGAAATTTATATGTAATTAGAAGATTCGCTGTTCAAACCAAGAACTACTTTTTACATTTTAAAACAAAAGGAGCAATCGAAGCATAAGTTTCAGTTCAGTTTCATTTTGTAATTTTAAAATTCCTCTACATACAAACATTTTCAAATAAGCTAATTAGGTGTAGATAAATATGAATACAAACAATAATAAAGATGTAAGGAAAAAAGTCATAATGTGTGCTCTTTTATTTGTTTTAGGATCCCCCTGTTATAACATTGAGCTTTATGAAAAAAACATTTGAATAGTTCACTTCATATCAAGTGAATTATTCAGAAAGATTTTTGCTTGTCTGTTTTTTTCAGTGTCAACCCCCAGATTGACATAGGTCAAATTGAAGGTGCTTTCGTAATGGGCATTGGCTATTGGTTCACTGAAAAGATTGCTTATGATGAAAAAACAGGGAAACAACTGACGACAAGTACTTGGGTAAGCCCAGTATCTTTACTATTTCTAAAGCTCAGCGCTATAACAGGTTTAGGCCAATCCCTGCATTGCTGAGAGGTAAATGAAGATAACTGTTTATCGGTCTGGCACAAAGTGCTCGATGTCGTATAGGTAAAGCATTACACGCTTTTTGTTTAAAGAACAGAACGGTTGTTAGTAGCTACTCCGAGTTTCATGCTTAATGCCATCATACAACGGTTGAAAGACCTTAATACAACAGCTGCCTAGTGTTCGAAACTCGGGGTTGCAACTTAGACATTCCTTAGTTCGCCAGCTTTGCTGCCTAATAGCGTAGTCACCAACATACTCCTTTTGAATCGCGTTTTCTTAAAGCATTCGTTTAAAAATGAGCTGTCTTTGATACACAGAACTACAAACCCCCGATGTCACAAGATATACCGAAAGATTTTAGAGTCAAATTGAATCATGATGCAGTTAACCCCATCGGGTACATCAGATCAAAAGGTAATTTCTCTTATTATCATAAAAAATAACAATACGTCACTAATGTTACATTCTATACACCACGAATGGCTCATACTTACAGGATTCGTCGTGGGTGTACACTTTAGTTTACTTTTGCTCATGTCATGTATACGAGCATCTCCTGTACGAAATCATGTATTCCCTAACAATCCTATCATAATCGAGATTTTGGCGTAATTTTCTACATGTATTAAATCATCTTATGCTACTGTTAAGCTTCTTTGAATCCTCTATTTAAGAGATGAAATTTACGTTTCTGTATCCAACCATGGTAATAGACGATAATATATAATCAAGAGCCTACTAGAAAAGCTTTTATGATTGAATGCACGCTATAAGTACTTTTTACGTTTTTGCTTTATTTCTTTTTTCATTAATACTTACATAGACTTTGAGCGTTCAATGAGCTTTGCAATTTCATTTTCAACCAGCGATTGGTGAGCCTGGAATTTGTATGGCGTCAACATGCCTATTTGCTGCTAAAAAAGCCATTGAAGCTGCCAGATCGGAACTTGGTAAATCCGCAGAGTATTTCCAGCTTGGTATGTAGTTAAGTATAGAATTATTTTTACAATTTCTAATCTCTAAACTGTTTTAACTCATTAAATTTCTACCCAGCACCTGCATTGTGACTAAAGACACTTGAATATTTGGCAGCGCCCTGATGCTTCCACTAAGTTGTGACTCCTCTCTCTTAAATTTTCAACAGTTAGCTGTTATAACTCTGAAATTTAGTTCAATCAGAAATTGAGTTGTCCTGTTTTCTTTATTGACAATTTTCAATAAGATTTGTATTTTTTTGTAGATAGTATTAAAGAGATTTTAGCTAGAATAAATTTAGTATTCTCAATTTTTGTTTGAAAATTAGGTCGATTTTTTCTAGATGGTCCTGCAACGGTGGATAGGATTCAAGCTATGTGTCAAGTTTGTCAGACAGATTTGACAATGTAGAGAAGAAATAAAGAGATGAAGTTAGTCGCTGATTTTTAATGGGAGCGTATATTTTTATAGTTGATCTTTATAACACTTGAAGATCGATGGTTTACAAAGTAACAATATTCCGCCCTAGCAGCGCAAAAAACGATCAAGAGTTTAGAAAAAATCTCAACCTTCCTCCGGATGAAATTTCCCCTTTTTGCTTTCCACAAAATTTCCTACTTTATTTTGAACAAAAGTTTCTTAGATTTGGTATTTAAGTAAAATCATCTATGCTTTGGCCTTTTTGCTTTGTCAGGAGAAACGAAAAGTTAAAGTACAACAGTAAATTCCGCTCATTGTATCCATTCTTATCAAGCTATGCATTGCCCTTCCTCAAAACTACTGCGTCGTTGGACAACCTTTCTTCGGCGCACATCCGTGAAACCGTTATGTTCCTGGGCTTTGAATGAAAACACTGTTATAGCTGATGTTACTTTGTTGCCAATTTTGAAACCTTTTTTAATTTATCTTTCTCATGTGTTCACGTAAACATTTTTCAACCGATTTTGCATTATAGGGACCATATTGCGTTTTTTATAATGATGAACGTGATATCGGTATATATGTAGTCCATTTGATATCAATCAAACTGCACAATTTTCATTTTTTCCTAGTTCCTTCTCTGTTTAGACCTAAAAAGCTCAATACTGATTCCAATATTTGACCAGTCATAATGTACAAATCTAACAGGACTTATAAGACCATTAGAGAATATATGCTAGCAGCATTTTCTATCTCTGAATGTAAGTATTGGGCTGAATTGCCGTTTAACTTAGATTCGGTTGTATATACAACGGCTGTGCAAGACACACTGTTTGTGGGACAAATTTAAAAATGCTATTTTGCAGCCACCGCACACCAATCTAATCGTTATTATAAAAGCTAGGGATCGTAATGCTTAAATTTGTGCTTTGCAACTAAAATTATCTTCTGTGCTGCTCAAAATTTTTCCAGAATGTTTGTTGGCTCCCCAAGTTTGCTTTGTGTGCCAGGCCAGGTGTATTAAGTTTATGGGGCCTCAGTTGGTTATTCCTATAAAATTTTGGCTATTTTGTTCCAATGTTTACATTAGGTTAGTTTTTTCGGCAGATAGCAGATGCTTTGAGGGCTTCAATTACCCGGAAATCTATTTCGTTCCTGCATCATGTTTGGGATATGGCACAAATTCATCTTTGTAGGACGGGGGGCGTTTTTGGAGTTCCCTTTTTACTACAAACAGCACTTTCTCTCGCACGGTGGGGCCACTCTCTTGTGATGACAAAAAAGACACATACGTGTTCACACCACTCCACCCACCTTCCCCCTTTTTCTGGGGGTTATCTTATTATAGAGGGAGTAAGGTGGTGTGTTGATGTATTGTATTGACAGCTTAACAGTGAGCAGTCTAATGGTATTAATGGTTGAAATTGTTGTTGCATAACATTGGTATGCCAGTCAGCTTCGTTTCAGCTTCAAATGAATTCAATAATGAACTGTGAACAGTGGTAGATTAAAGAACTCTCACGACTACAGTAAACTACGCTTGGATGTACAAAACCACTGAAAACTTTAAAAACGTCGTTATAATCAAGTTAAACTTGCAAGTACTATAAACTTTAAATCATATTTTCAAAAATGAAAATCATTAAATGTGACAAAAATGTACGACTAGCGTACGTACGTGTACGAAGATCTTATAAACATTATCTCTTATACGATACACCATCATATTATAACCTCGTTTATATGAACCTCGTTAAACGCAGTATCTTGTGGCTAATCTCCATTTAAGCTGAAATTTATTCTCTTTTTAAGAGGGTGGTTTAACCGATAAACAGCAAAATTCATCCGCAAAGAGTAGTTTTAGAGGGAGTTCCTAGCATCTTAAGAGCTAGAGAATCGAAAATGTTTACTGTTGGTGACAACGCGTGTATAATGAGACTTCACCAGCAACGTATCATTTAAATCATTAAATTCACAAGGTAATGGAAAACAGTTCTAACTGATCCTGAAATCCCTCTTTCTTTCCAAGTCTAGTATATTGAATACAGCGCCATAAATTTATACAAGTCACTTGGCGACAAATACTATCGCTTAGCTGTACATCATTCTATGTGTGAGATTATTATGGAATATTGAAGTGCGAATAAACACTGTAGCTTTCAAAGCAATGAGAGGTGTATTATTAGACTAATATAAGAATTTTAACTACATGCATTAAGATAAATGATTGTACATTGAGACACGTTACAAAGATTGCCGATATAAACAGAGATTACGACTAGCGTACATTATGAAATAACATTTCTATGAAATATTTTTGTGATCATAACGGTTTTGACTACAGATACATGATAGCTTGCCTATCAAAGTCACTTAACGATGCAGTATCACTTTAACACTATAATGTCACTTTGTAAGGACGGTAACATCTGTAGAAAAACGTTTTGTATAAAATCTATATAAAACGCGGTATAGAAAATAGCAACTGACTTGATCATCTGTTAAATTCTTTTTTAAATTGTCAAGTCTCTGACTTGAACTTGGCACGACGATTGGATTTTGTCAACAGTGGCAGGACCATCTGAAGAAGAAGTAGGTATTCCTTTAATTGAATGGATTTGACACTGGTAACTACAGTACTTCAACAAGTTTAAAATCTAAAGAGGTTCAAACAATCTGACTTATAGTAAATCTAGCTAGATTTATGGGCTTAAAATGTTAGGAATTGCTAATTATAATAATTTAACGTTTAAGTGTGTCTATAGGGCTGCCTATACACCAGATAGTGGACTTAGACAGTTCTATTCTAAATGGGATGTTATAAGGCTCATTTAAAGAGAAGAATCAACAACTTACCAACTTGCAGGTATTTTTGAGAATGCCCCAATTCTGATCGAGCAGCTTCAATTGCTTTTCTTGCAGCCAGCAAACAGGAAGTGGCCAAGCATATGCCAGGTTCACCAACGGCTGTTCAATATGCGTAGAATAATACAATGTTTACCAATTAGGACATAAGGCAAAATACAGTACATACAGGGTTGTGAAGTAGATAGTATTTCTACAACATTAAGTCAGTTAGACATAGAGTAGGACATTCTAATTATATTACGATGAGACAAAGTCATTTTTATTGCGAGTTGAGTTAGTCATTACAAGCAAATACGTCCACTATGGGTAAATGCCTTTTTAATTAGTATGATGCTTCAGAAAGCCTTCCAGTTAATAGACAGATCATATCTAAATGAGGTATCACTCTCGGAATGGCAGGGATCTTGAGAAAATGTATAGTAGTTACCTTTTGATCTGATGTACCCAATTGGGTTAACTACATCATGGTTCAATTTGACTCGAAAATCTTTCGGTATATCTTGAGACATCGGAGGCTTGTAGTTCTGTGTATAAAATAAAATAACTTGTTTACTTTTTCAATGGAACTTTGAAAACGTTCTTTTTTTATTCTGGAGCGGGTTCATCGCATGAAGATATAGATAAAGTGGCGTGGTCACTAGCAAAAGATAGGTATTAAGAAGTATATGGAAAAAAATTATAGGCTGGTGGCACAAGCACCCCTTCTCCCTTGCCCCCCTAAGTGGGTTCAGGCCTGGTCGCTAAACCATAGTTATAATTAGTTAAACCCCGAGAGGCTGTTCCTTTGGTCCCTCGGAGACCTAGGAAACGTTTTTATATCTTGATACTTCGAGTCTGAAGAATCGTGAATGCTCTGTTGTGAACTAAATACTCTGGAGATTCCCGAGTTTTGATCTCTGGGAATATGAGCTTCGCATAAGGCTTGGAGCATAATATTGTTTAGCGTCCTAAAACGTACCATCAGATACAAGGTAGAGAAACAAATGTCAACAGGAAATTATGAATTGCAGCTTTCAAGAACTGAAGGTAAATGTAATCAATTTTCACTTGCTGCTTGTGTTTATATTTCAGCTTGATACTTCCAAGATATGAAATAAGCTGTATAGCAGGACTCACCCATGTACTTGTCGTTAACTGTTCCCCTGATTCTTTATCATAAGCAACCTTTTCTGTGAACCAATAGCCAATGCCCATCACGAAAGCACCTTCAACTTGTCCAATATCAAGCCGGGGGTTAATACTATAACAAAAATGCTAGCATTTTAACTACATATAGGAAGCAATAAAAGTCATTTCATGAAGTAAATATTCATTCATATCGCTGTGTAAGATGAAATAACATAAGCGAGAGATTTCTGTTTGTTTTGAATCTACATGTTCATCTATAACATTCATGTGTTTTTTTACATTTTAATACATTATATCATATCTTACCTCTCTCCGCAGTCATAAATAACATCAGATCGCAATATCCAATGCTCCCCCGTTAGCACATCTATTTCAACTTCAGAGCACGATGCCCCGTAGCTCGAATAAGCAAACTTCTTCTTTTCTGGAGCATAATACCTATAAAAGGTAAGATCTTCTATTAGGAGGTTATTTGATGGTTCATTCATTTTGCATTCGTTCCTTAAAGTTTGCAAAATTTTTATCATGCTTTTTCTTCATATAATGTTCATATCTTGTAATGAACAGTTTATGGTATTTAAATAAAAGATTTCTGTTTAGTGTATAGTACCAGTATAGTTCTTAAGATTATTGTTAAACCAAATACAGATAATAGATCTTTAGAATAGACATTAAATGGTTGCGATTAGCGCCTCGTTGGGACTTGTAATAGCTGCCATATCATACCGTGATTAAAGAGGGGGGATTTGGAAAATAATCAAAAATTAAAGGGGTGTATCATTCTCTCCAAACGGCGTACGAGATTTTTGAAACATAAGGATTTTTCTAAAACTGAAGGGTTTTTGCCCAAGGTGTACTTGATATGGCCCTCGCAATTATCAATGATAATCAGAAGAAAGGGCTGTGACTGAAGTGTTCACCAATCTGAAAACTTACATGTATTGAGCAGATAAATCCACTCTTTCTTTGGCACATTCTTGTATCAGTTCTTGCCAAGATGCTTCTGCATATTTCTCTTTTAATGGCTGTATTCTGTTCTTTAGTATTTCACAGCATTTTTTGACTGCCTAAAAGGTTTTGAAATTACTGTTATTAATAAACAGAGATAAACAAATTTTCTCTGAAGAAATAGCAAGACGTTTATATGATTGAGAATTACTTATATACAAACATGTTCTGTGCGTGAGATGTTATTTTCTTGCAAATCCATTTTTTCCATAGCTTCATTAAGGTGCTAGTACGTCACTGGTAATGACAATTTTTGTTTCCAAGCAAGGCCAAAACTGTTGGTACTTGTTTATTTAGTATTTCAAAGCTATTTGAAGTTATAACCTGCCATTTTGTTCAAGGTCAATTAGAACAGTGAAGATGTCACTTCACAAATTTGGAGTTTCTAAAAGTAATTAAGGTAGCCTCAGTATTTAAGGATTGGTTATTTAGATCTTGTCAGAAACACATTTGATTTTATCTGAAATTGATTTAGCTTTTGAATTTACCATACAGTTGATCTCCGAAGAAATACTTGCTCCTGTTTCGTAAGCTGAAAAAACAGAAGTTTGCTTAATCATTTCTAGGATAAAGAGCAAGGTTTTGTTACTTTAAAATCCCTAGCCAAGGTACAAATCACTCTATGGAAGTCTCATACATCTTTTTTGGAGACCCCTTTGATTTATCAGAAAATCTTTGGAAATTCTTTTTTTGCGGAAATCTTCTATGTTAAATGGAAGATTGAATTGCCCCTCCTTCTTGGCAATATTGTAAATTGAATTACAGCATGGCATTTAAAAAGTATGAGTAAAGATATAAACGTCATCACCATCTTGTTATATGATAACTTGCAAGTCTTTTGGAATGTTTCAATTCTTCTGCTAAGAAGAATAAAATTCTGCTACTGTCAGTAATCAAGGAAGATATCACGCCTACAAGACGCTATGCAGTGAAATGTTCATACATACAATTAGGAGCCGTTATGGTTGAATGGTGCTTAATAGTGATTAGATCCATGGGTATCTGCAGCTGGGTGGCCACGACTTGACAAACCTTAAAAAATGAATATTGATCAACTATTTTGAGAGCAAAACAGATAGACGCTTTTGCACGAACAGAAGCCACACAATACTTGTTAATGGTTTGCGGGGGTGAAATGCCATTGCGATACACACTTTTTTAATTGTTTTTAGTTGCCTAACAAATAGATCCCTTCATCCTTTCCCAAATGAAAAATACTCTTAAAAACCCATGATGAATAAGAAAGCAAAGTTTGTCTTATCAAACACATAAACACCATTCTGACAGCCTCTTTTCTAATTCTTTAGTGACAGCCTCTGGGTCAAGGGCTACGCTTGGGGAAGAATAGGGGCTAAAGCTTCTCGTCAGAGCATGCTAGCGCCCTATTAGAAGGTCAAAAATCAAACTCGTTGTTATAAGTATGGGATGGGGAAGATATCATAGCCCTCTGTCAGAAAAACATCTAGGGATTGGGCAGATGATGTACATACAACCTATGATAGCTCAGATGTCACCAAAACTGTAGAAATTATAAGTTAATAAGCTGCAATCTTAAAATGCGAGTCATCACATTATGAATTTTGCAATGATTATAGGAAAGAATTCAAATTTAGATATAAGAAGCAAAAAAGTAAGCAAGATTTATTTCCAAAATCTTATATTTGAAAATGAATGATTCCATGTTGACGTATCAATTGCAGCTTACAAAAAATGCTTAAACTAAATATGAATGACGCTGTGGTAGAATAAAACAAGAGGCAAAATTTATTTATGTTAAGGTATAGCAACATACCCTTGAATTCATTCCTTGGCCCATCTCGATGCCTCCCACAGACACAGCAACTGTGCCATCTGCATAGTAAATCGAGACCATCGTGGTGAAGTTGAAAGTTGCATACGCCGTGTCATATTTCAAAGGCATCATTGAGATTCCTCTCTTCTTCCACCTGTTATCCTGAAATTAAACGTTTTAGTGCTGATGTTATAAATGTAAAATGGCCTCGACAATAGAGTACCGAAGTGTGACGTCATCAAAAATCTATTCTTAGAATTTCTTAAATTTGACCACATAATCTGAAAGAACGGCATAAAATACCTCTCATCATGCAAAATTAGTTAGATATGTTCCGAATCGGGCGAGATATAGCCAATGAAAGATTTCAAATTTGCTAACGGATTACTGTTATTCTGGCCTGGTTCAAAAAAGATATGAACCAAGACCAAATTACAGAGGTTTGATGGGTCAAGAGCTTGTGCTCAAGTGGCCATATCTCAGCTAATTCGTAATGGCTTTAACCGATTTTGCATATTTAGAGGAATTTCATGATGCTCTTTTAGGTTCTGGGATCAAAATTCAAAAATTATAAAAATAGATTCAAATGACGTCATCACTTCGGTACTCTATAAGGTATCAATCTCTTTTCAGCAAGAACAAGAAAGAAACGTTTTCAGATTGTAACCGATAAGCTTTCAAATCGTGAACCAAATACAAATGTAATTTTTTCAACCCGTCCCTGACAAAGTTGATGAGCCATCCTTAGCTAATTTGCCAGCAAGCTTGCACATTTTCCGACAAAGTACCCCTAGATGGCAAAATAATCCTCGTTTTGGCAATGGAAACTTTTTCAAACGGCATGTCACACCCCACGACACTCCCTTAGCGACGGGCCTGGTTTTCTAAAACTGTCGTGTTTTCCAAACTGAATTTTGGAATGTGACTATAGTGTTTAGAGATGGCGTTTGGTCGAATGTCCGGAATTTTGTTTATAGCAGGAAGTGGAATCGGCTTTGCTGTGTACAAAATTCTTTGAATGTTTCTTTTGTGATTTTCCAGGGGAAAAAAGGCATAAGAAGTCAAAAGCATTGAATTTATTCATTATATTCTTCAATGATCATTTCTACAACCTACAAAAGATAAAAATTATCAAAAACCTTGTTAAACTGATCAATCTTCTCGCGCCTCTCCTCGTAATTCGACATTATCTTCATGTCTACAGCAAAGAAAATACACGGTTATTTGATTCATACAATTCAATAAGTAAATAATTTTCACAATTGTAAGTAATTTTTTCGATACATCATATCCCAGCAAAAAAGTCTCGACAATGTGAAATTGGCCACCTTCCATCTATAAGTAATATTTATGGGACTTATCACATCACAATACTTCATATCACAGTGAATCATTAACAGTTGTGATCAATGAAGTCATAAGTCTGTGTTAAATTAAATATCAAGATAAAAAAACTAACCATTCCAAATATTGTTAAGCAAGCAGTTTGAGACCTCTATTCCATTATTAGCTATCTGTTAAAAGGAGAAAAATAACAAAATATGGAATTATTTGAGTTTGATAAGAAATTTTCGCAAAGGGAAATGGAAACGAAATCGCAGAAGCAAGAAGCTAGAGCATAGAAAGAAAGCTAGAGATTTAAACGCAGTTGAAAAGAGGTTATAAATGTAATTTTATAATATTATATTGAAAGTTACATTAAATACAATGTATTCTGATTGAACGTAACATACTTAATAAAATACTATTTTCCTCGAATTTTGTACTCACCAGTTTCATTTTAAAGTCCCTCTAATGTCAGAAAATGAATTAAGTTTTAATACTATATTTTACAATTGTGAACTCAATAGAGGAATAGGCCTAGAACTTGCAAGCATCGGAGAATTTGTGACGTAATTGGAGACCTAGAGCTACGTGGTTTTATCAACGAGAACAGCCACTGAGTTGGAGTTGACCACGATTTCAACGAAATGAGTTCTGATTTGTACATAGTATGGAATAAATGATCAAACCAAAATAAATCAATATTGATCTTCTTATGATTTGATACAAGTACCTGTCCATTTTTGTAGAAGTTTTGCTCTTTGATTACATCTGAATTTTCTTTTCCAAGAAATGATGCAACGTGTTCGATGATACTTTCACAAATAAATATGCCTTGAAAGTGCCCTAAAGATTTGGTAGATAAAATACAACATTTTGAAGTTATAGAACTGGTAGAGATAATAAAGCTTCTTCTCTAATGAGTGCACAAAATTGAAATAACCTAGCCCAAAAATTCAGTAGATAAAAAACAACATTTCGAAGTTTAAGAAATGGTAGAGATTATGCAACTTCTTCTTCTAATGAGTGTACAAAATTGAACTAACCTGGGGCACGGAAGAACGTATTAAACGGCGTATTTGTTTTGCAGTCCACGATATGAATGTTCCAGTTCGGGCAAAAGTAAGCTGTAAAAAAAGCTCTTGCTATCATTACCGTAGGAAGAAAGGCTTGAAGATATTTACATCATATAACTAATTACGACTGAAAATGTTTTGTATTTAATACAATTTACTAATAACTGTTATGAAGGTGTTATATTTCGTATGGAGTGGAGTGATGTGATAATATAACTATGATGGCTTTAAAATGTAAAATGAAATGGCTTCTGGTCGCGACTCCTATATATATATTTATTCTGGTCATTAACGAACAAGTTAAGTCAATGTAACTAAAAAACACATGTATCGCAGGTACCGTCCCATTGGCAAAATTAACATATATTACAGTTTACATTTCATAATGGGTGCCTGAAACTACCACTGATCTGAAAAAAGACTGGATCGAACAACCTATTGTTCTCCTACATCAGCACGATAAAGCTGATCGAGCCTCTCCATCTTGAGACCTCTCGCGCCTAAAGCTTTGGGCTGCCTTTGTTAAAACGGTGCACAAACAGTGCTGCGCCTTAAATTGTGCGTTAACCATTAAATTTGAAAATATTCTAAGATATGACAGGCCTAGGAAAATAAGTGAACAGTAAATTCTTTGCTACATAAGCTTAGTACTATGGCAAAAATGTTTAAAGCCCCTACGAATGATGCAAGTTTTTGTTTCAACGGTTACTTTAAATTTTGCTATGAAAAAGCAAGTTGAACTGAAACCAACATGATTGCTCTCTATTCTCTAGTCTCATACAACATAGCGAGGTCTCAAGATGGACGCTGCAATGTGGAATCAACGCTGGGCTGGAAAAGCTCGATCCAGACTTTTTTTGAGATCAGTGGAAACTACGGGGTCAATTGACATAAAATAAACTACATCGACCTTTGCAACCATTTCTATTTTGTTATAGGCAGTATTCTACTCTAAGAAATTTATACGCCATCTTACCATTCGCAACATGATTGGATGCGTAGAAACAGTCATGATTAGTATTCAAACTACCGCAATCGTTGAATAATGTAACATCGCATGCTTGTAGTACCCCTTCCTTTGAGAAACCAACCTTTAGGTACAGAACAGTAAAAAGCATCAACACTTCTACATGTGTATTACGTTATGTTTTAATCGGAAATAATATATTTGTATATTTCAATCAAGATTGAATATTGTTCATTTTAGAGACGTGCTTTGCATTCATCTAAAAAGCCAGTTAAACTGTTAATTAATCGCTGTTTCAGGGGGAGTGTTAATTACCCCCTTTTCCTTACTTTTATTAAACATGATCCTCACAATCTGTTTAAAAGCTACGAGACTGCAAGGAAATATAACACATATATCGGATAATTTCGTATGTTCTTATTGCGTATTCTCTTTGCAACCAGCTCAAAGACAAAGGAATATAAAAAAAAATTCCAAAGGAATTTACCTTGTATTTTCCGATAAAAGGGGCACGTTTGCCAACCAAGCTTAAGTTATCTGATAATGACATAATCATTCGTACCGGCCTGTAGAAACAAACATTTTCTTTCAAAAGTTGTTCTGACAATATAGGTATTATTGAAATTTTACCTAACGACAGTAATATATAATAAAGCCAATCAAAACACGTAACAGATTGAACTATGTGAATTCCCTAATACCTCAATAGAAAAAAGGCAGGGGGACCTCTGATATTGAAATTGTTCACAGCCATACCGTCTTTAACGCCTGCGATGCTCAATGGCCACTAAAAGTGCTTTTACATATAGCCTGTGAGCAGTCCCTACTGCTTCCATCACATCATTGAACTTAATCGCCCAAAACCAAGACATTCGATGATTAAATACAACGATCGGGCCCTAAGTATGTTCTGCACGCAGGCTAGCTTACAGGCCGAAGCCTCAATCCCTACAATGTATTAAGTGTATTTTTTTATTCTTCAGCAGTAAAATTATTATAGTGTTTGGTGCATTTAAAAAATATTCAGATGCAGATGAACGTCATTTATGACTAAATTGGTAGTGCTTTTTGTGCCAGCAATTACTTTTAATAGTGATAATAAAAGAACTTGAACCTGTTTAAAGAATGAGCAGCAACAGCAACAGCGCTTGCTATCTTGGCAGGGTATTCGAACTTGCCGCCAAAACCACCGCCAATACGAGGTACGTGAACATCAATGCTGGGTGAAAATGAATCCGTTTTAAAACTTCTTCCACAGCAAGTGCAAAATTCAAACTTTAATTTAGGTCAGGTTTAAATTCAGCACGATACAAATTCTATGAATTTAGGTAACAGCTTTTTGCATATTAGGCTAGCAAAGGTGTAACAAACTACAAATATTTAACAGGAAAGCAAGCAGTTTTATAAAGGCTTTTTAGACATTTTCGGCTTCTTGGTGAAATATACAATGCCTGCCAAATGGCTTGGAACACTGGCGTCAGTTTTCAAGGTCAAAATCAATCACCCCCTCTCCCCTACGGAACAATGTTGGTTTACTATGAAACGGGTTAGGGTTTTAGGAAGCACTTTCTTTTGCACTTCTTTTATGATATTTCTCTAAATTATCAACATTTTTCTAGGGGGAAGGGGGCGGAAATAGAAATATTTTCGGAAAAGGAATGAAAGATAGAAAAAGCAATGCAAATTGATGTGTGTTCCAAGTACTTTTGGCAGGCATTGTAGACAGGGATGGCGCTTTGGGGTGTCATGAGGGGGCAGCTGCCTCCCAAAGTTCCCAGTGATACCCCGTTGGCAGCCCAATATAAGTAAAGAGAAAAAACTGTCGGTACATTGAAACTGTTGAATGAGGAATTCACTTTTTTTAAAAGAACCGTTAAATTGAAGTTCAGGCTGGCTTTTTGACTTTCAGTAAAACCATTAAAACCAGTAGAACTATGAGGCTTGATTGTTCTTAACTTGTTCTTAAAACATAAGGGTGTAAGTAGTGCAACTGCCAAATATTGTGCTTAAGGTGAGTGTCCAGGCACCATTTGTAAACAAAGTTTGAAAAATTCAGCGTCAACTTGACCAACTTGAGTCAATTAAAATAAACAAATTTGGAGGGTTTTGTTTTTATCAAATGTCCTTTTGAGTAAATAGCCAATATCTGACAGGCATCAAATAGCCAGGGCCGCAAAGAAGGGGGCAAGGGGCAAAGGGGAAAATTTCCCTAGGGCTTCAAGGCTCTATGGGGCCTTTTAAAGTAATGAATTCAATGTTAAGAATGGAATTATTCAAGCATAAAAGAATTATGCCCAAGAAGAGTAAAACATTTAAAAAATGTCTTTTCAGCTTAACTAAAGAGCTGGTCGCAATTTTTTTCTGCTCGCTTCGCCCGCAGGGAAGTCTTTTCAAATGTCTTGCCCCAGGACTTGTGATATCTGTTGAATGCGTAGCCATTTTCACTGTCAACAAAATATTTCCATGATATTCAGTCAAAGAGGTGCAAGATGCTTGACCTTTACGTTGTCGTCAATCTTTTTGAAAGAAGGTATTCACGATTTGATTGACGGATCAAAACCTTTTTTTCATTCATTTTCAAAACATTTTAAGATTTGAAGATACTGTAAAGGGGAGTTCATGAAATATGTCGGCAACCATCTTTATAGTCATCGGCACTTTAATTTTTCTAAGATTGTCAGCACATAGTGGTTTGGTTTCTAGCGCCACCCCTGATTGTAGATTTATCCAACATACCTGCTTGCCTTCATTCCAAGAGCACCTGATACACACTCCTGGACTAGTTTGGAGCACTGAGTGGCGCTGTAGACCTTGTAACCAATATCATAAGGCACAACCAAACAGGTCTGAAAATCCAGTTTGAGAACAGTTAGAAAGGACAACGAATTCTAATTCACAATTTTAAGTAAAAATTCACAATCATAGCTAAAATAAAGAAAGACTGGGAAAATTCACCGTACTGCATGGATAAAATATTATAAGAATTATTCTTTTTTTACACAGAAGACATAAATCAAATGCGTTACTATCAAGATGTTAAAATGCATACCTGAGGCTCGATATAAAAATGATGCTGTGATCCACACTTAGCTTCACCTTCAAGTACATGATCACATTCTGCAAAAGCAGCTATAACAGAAATAATGGTAGCGCGTTAACAATGACTAGCTTTGATATACAACATTGTGGACAAAATGATTTTATCAAAGATGTGATCGATCTAGCGCTATATTTTATACTGGAGTGACTATGAGGATGATTAATGATGGTTGATTAACTGATTGAATGCTCAAGTGATTGATTTAATGACTAATGATAATAATATCCATGGTTGATGATTATGGATCATGACTGATAATGGTGGATTGACTGATTGATTGTGATTGATTGACTGTAGTGATTGACTGATGTGTAGTGATTGAGATTACGGTGATGGTCGATGAAGATGATGATTTATGATTATGATAGACAAATTGATTAAGTAACTGGCTGCTTTCTGATAAATTGAAGTAACTGATTGATTGATTGCTTGATTGTAGATGATTGGTGATGGAAGTGAAGATGATGATTAATTATGATAATTATGCAAGGCTTATTCTTATAATTCTCCTTCTTACTCTCGGTGTTTCCAACTTTAATGTCTGGAAAGCGGATTGGATAAAATAATTCTTTTTCAATCGCCTCCTCCAATGTCGTAACTGGCTTTTTCACATTACTGTATTTGACTTTAACCATTTTGGCAATAATTTCTGCATTTCTTTGTGAAGCTAAAGGAAAATATAATAAAATGTATTAGATACCGTGCATATATAAAATTTGATAAAATAAAATAACGACTTTGTAGAAGAAATAAATATTTGCTACAACGTTTCGAGCATAACTCTCCATCAGTTAAATAAAGACTTAACTATATGGAACGTAGTATGAATACGACGTAGAACGTAAGACGAGATGGAAATATGTGAGGGGTGGAAAGTATATAGATAAGATAAGGTGAAAGTAAATAATAGCTGGATTAGGAAAAAAACGAAAATTGTTTATTAAGACCATTAGCAATAAGAGTATCAAGATTAAAAATAATACGTTTTTTGAGGGTTTTGCGTTTAGTGTTGTTATGAGGTTCGTAGCAAAGTCCAGTGATTTTCATGTTGGCTGATGTATGGCCATCTTTGTAAAAATGAATTGAGACTGTGGCATCTGGGTCCACTCTTATTGATTCTTGAAGGTGTATTTTCTTCTCTCTCTACATTGTGGAGATGCTCACCAAAACGGGTATTTATCTGACGTGACGTCTCCCCAATGTAGTGAAGGTCGCATTTGGTGCAGCTGATACAGTAAATAAGGCAGGAAGATGTGCATGTGAAATGTGTCTTTATGTGGAAGAAGCTGTGGTGGTGGTTGGTAATCGTGATTGAAGTGTGAACATAGGAGCATGTGCGGCATTTTGGGTGGTGGCAAGGCGTTGTTTCAAAAGTGTCTGTTGTTATTTGTATCTTTGTGTGGTCAAGTATATCACCAATATTCTTGTCCTGTCAATAAGCCAGCCATAAGGGGTGGATGTTTGAAAATGTCTGAAGCTTCATGGTCATCAGTTAGCAGGTGGAAATTATTGTATAAAACTTGTTTGATCTGCTTGTTGAATGGATGGAAAGTAAGGGTGATTGGTATGCGTTCATTGGTTTTTTGTTTGTTGGCGGAATTCAAAGCGGTGCATTAATAGTTGACTCTATCATACCAACATTTTATCAGGACATGTTTGGACTTTTGTGATTGCATATGATAACAGGGAACTCAGTAAGCCTCGATCATTGTATTACATATCATAAGGCAGCTGTATCGTTCCAACTTTGGCTGGAATGAAGTCACATGAGCAAACTCTTTTGCTACAACTAATATTTTATACTTTTGTTTCAAGTTAGAATAAGTAGTTCAGAAAAATTAAACATGTTAAGACCTAATAAAACGTTTCATCTTTTCAAAGTTTAAAACTAAAAGTTTTAGTATGCCTCAAAATTTTTGGTTTTTTCAAAGCCATGTTTGGTTATATCTCAGCTAACTTAATTCAGATTTAACTAATTATGGACAAAGACATCTCTAATTTTATAATCCAAGTTGAAAAAAGTATCAAATATTTATTGCCAATTTTTCTTCTATAAGTCGAGAGATCTTTACATACTTGCAACAACAAGAGCAATTGGCTGACCATAGTAAGAAATCTCTTTGGTAGGAAAAATCTAGAAAAAGAATAGAACATGGTTTAGAGCTAAAAAAATCAGTATTCATTACAGTGACTTTATGATATTGATTTAACTACAAGAAATATCATGTATGAAGATTTTATCATTAGAAAGATGAAAAATAGATCTTAGCTCAGGCAAGCCCGAGCTAGAAGGCGGGGGGGGGGGGGGGGGGGACTGAACCATCAAAATGGCAACTAGACACGAGCAATGCTGTCCATACACTAGATTTTTGTTGCATGTGAAACTGGAGAAGCTAGGAGATACGTCATTAGCTACCCACCTCTTCAACGCCATATCTCCAGGAATTTACTCCAGGGACATCTTTAGCCGAAATGAACGCCACAAATCCTGGGTGGTTCTAAAACATTTACTTAATTGTCAGAGATTGGTGAAAATTTTCTTCAAAGGATACCAAGAAAATGATATCCTTTGCGTTCTTTGTAACAATATATATCATTTAAAGTTAATTATATAGCTTTAAAAATTTGAGTAACATATAGTTATTCTGAATAATCACTAATTCTGTCTATATTTTTGAGCAAACAATTTGTAATCTTAAATTTAAAACTTCTTATACTTTTTATTTTTACAAACTCCAATGAACCATACTCAAACCTGCAACTTGTTTGAATCAGTTGCAAGAATTTCTTCTTATTTAAGGCTTTGTGAAACAAACAGAACTTTGAAATAAATCAGTTAAGTCACTCCTATTTCGCTTTTTCATTCAAGCGATATTTGTAAGGGTAAACTTAAACAGAAAAATGTGTGAAATAGAAGCAATCATAGCAAGAAAACAGGGAATATAATCACAAAGAACTGAAAAGCAAGAAAGACTTTTTATCTTTAATAACGTTTTACCTTTGCCTCAGTCACATCAATCATATCCAAAGTCGCACTGCCCTGAAAATTGACGCACAAAGAACAGTTAAATCGAACTGTTTTAAATTATCCGTAGATATTACAGCAACATGCACAAGAATGGGTGCATCAGAAGTTATGTTTTTTTAGGAAAAAGAGGTGCATTGGAAGTAAGACGAATTTTCCGAAAAATTTTGATACGGAAGCAAATTTTTTAAAAAAACTTTCGAAAATTTGTTTATTCTTCTGCATCAATCTACACAAGAGAATTTTTATTTCGATTCAAATCAACATATGAGTTATGATAATTTTTTATATTTTTGCTAAACTAAGCAGCCATCTAAAATTGCTTTTCTCATTTCCATAGCTCTAGCAAATAAACATACTTCTTTGAAAGTAAATAAAGAAAAGAGGAATGAAAAAGAAAGTTATGATATATTAGGACAACAAACCACGGTTGACAGCACATATGCAGCATAAGCCTCGTTTTCGAAAGCAGGAATGTCTCCTACATACTGGTTTTCTCCTGATGCCTAAAGGATATGCGCAAAAAATGAAGAAACTTGTCAAAAATTATCTGTTTGCACTCATTTCCAATATTATAAATCAACCGTAGTATTTCAAAGCATTACCCTGTCGTCAGTTGGAAGTTTCTTTGCAACAGAAACCAACAGCACAGACTTTCTTACACAGCACATCAGATATCAGTGTATATTAAAAAAATAACACAGTATTCTGTTCTCCTTTGTTCATTTTTCCTTGTCCCTCTTACAAATTATAAGTCGCATTATTTCAGATTGTCACGCTTTGCTCTTTTATTCTTTTTTAAAAACTAAAATCAACAAACTTGATCACATCTTCCTCTCTTAGCCTAAAGCTTTGCTATAGGTCCCTAAGGCTCTCCTTAACATTACCAACTAGAATAATACTCGTGTTGAGCATCAAAAATCACAATACCTGGATTTTTCCTTCAATTCTGGCATAAGGTTTGTGAATAGACGAAGTTTCATCTTCCGAAACGTGAAAGGATTGTGTGCCGGATGAAACAGTTGGAACAAGACTTTCAATTGCATTCAGCAATCTCTTTGGCACTGTCTCTTTCCTCAAAAATAGCCAAAACTATGAAAAGGAAAGGATCATCTTTAAGAAAAGAAGAAAGCAGAAGGTTTTATGATCTTAACTTCGTCAATTTTAAATATTTTTCGATATTAGGTCTTTGACAAAATATTTCAAGTCATAACAATCTAGCTAGACTTTCAAATAAGACAGAAATGAGTATTAAGACCCCATTTCAAAAAGCTCTCAATATCACCTTTTTTATATATTAATTACTGGATACTTCCTTAAGGATTATATTGATAACAAACAGCACATAAAGTGAATAATACCTTGTAAAAAAGGTTTATTGCAACATTTTTGCAGTAATCAAAACCGACAAGTTTGTCCTCTGGATTCGCCTCCAAACACTTTTGCAGCAATTTAACGGCGTCTAGAGAAATCGAAAGAGTCTTTTAAATTACGTAGTTTTCAGTAATTCTTTAAAAAAAATCGAATAAAATGTTTAAACGACTTTCATTTTTACCATTGTTACCCAACCTGATAAAATCCCAGCCTCCTCTTGATGTGAATTCCAGAAGATGATTTGCAAGAGAGTTTGGATATCAACAAGCAAAGAAAACAAAGTGTACGCTTGTGATAATAAAAGAAGTATTAGTAGTATTTCCGGGAGACATAATTTTTGTATGAAATTTTATGCAACAGTTGCATTTACTTGGAGATTTATTTACGAAAACGTTATAGAGATCAAGTTTCAGATCTTGGCAAGCTCTTAATCTCTAAAACTTATCCTTAATATTTTACATTATTGTTCTGTTTACCAGGACTGCAGAATGTAGAACTATTGAAATCTAGGAGATTCTGTTTTTTTTTTCAAAGTAGGCCTGAGACAAAGCTTTTTAAAGCATTCAAGTAAAAAATTAAATAACTTGTCCCTTAGGTTGGATGAAAAAGGTGGCATGTCAACAGAGTTTGTTTCAGCCTATAGACATGTTTGTCTTTAGTGACTAAAAATCCTTAGATATATGTTTTTGAGAGTAATTTTTGAAAAGATATATCACTTATTACTATTGATGATATTTTTTTCATTTTAATGAAAAATTGACTTCATATTTTTTCATGACTTATTTAGAAGGTGGTGCAATATGAATCACGTTACTCGAGTATTTTACCCAAAGGAGAAACAAGTTAGAAAAAAGATTAACTACAAAGTTTTTATAGGCTCATCGACGAAAGCTTCTTTCAATTTTTTCGAAAAAGATCAGATCCTGCTCGGTTCTTTCTTGACATTCTGTACTTTATTGCCTATGATGAGCCCGAAAAGAAACATTTTGCTTGTTCTTTTTAAGAAAAAATTATTTTTAGCATTATTTTTTTAAAGCTTGATTCGTCGATAAGCATTAGTAGAGTGAGACTCTGATGACGGTGGCAAAAACCATAAAATGATAATAAAGAAAGAAAATGGTTTCTCTGTCAGCTACATCAGCTGTGTTACTCTCAACCTTCTCCAGATGAAATTCTTTACTTTGAGCTGTGTGAATCCCATCCAATTTGGAATTCCTTGCCAAAATTGATTGGTTTTTACGAGACTCTTGTATATGAATCTCATCCTTTCCAATTTTTTACTAGAATGAGCAAAGCTTCATGTTATATCATCCTTGACCTAAATCCAAGAGATAAATCTATTGCGCGTAGCATATAGAAGCTACGTATCTATGCCAGATATCCTGAAAAAGGCTCCAATAGCATTGCTGGAAGTGCCTTAAACGAAGACTTCTGAATGCTAGAGGATTTACAAAGCGTGATTATAAGGGACCGTTCTTGTAAAAAGGCAGTTGATGTTATGCATTAACTTGCTGCAGATAATTAAGCCAATAGGTCTCTTTGTACACCGTTGAAATTTGATTCTTGGTGATAACGAATAAAGGCTCTATAATAGAGAAGAGAGGATCACTCAACAACCGGGCATGCAGTGAGAACCTAAATAAACACGTGTAACTCTTTAGTCTGTTCTTGATCAACCGATATTATTTGTGATTTACTTTCAGAGACAAATCTAGCAAAAAGAGGAAATTTTTCAGCTAAGCTTTCAGATGATCGCAGAATAAGTAATTTGGAGGAACGTTTTTAGTGCTGTATTTCGAGTTGTCAATATGTATGCCCGGAAAGTTGAGTGCAGCCTTTAAGACACTAAAAAGAAAACGCCGAGACTAGCTGCTAGTGGAAGTTCTCTAAAGAGGTCTTTAGTTTTTGCTTAGAAAGATCGCCTAAAAAGGGATTTCTGGTAGATTTGGTTGATTGTATATTTTTAAATAGAAGCATCGCTCAGATCTTTATTCGCATTTGTTGTGTTCTCTGTTGATACCTAGGGACACAATCGTTACTGTATTCCTTGGCTGATTTTGTCTAGATCAATTGCAATAGGTATCTAAAAGTATTAAAGTCGAGCTTGAAAATGACGTAGTAAAATAAATATAGTTACCTGTAAAAACTTCGTTTACAGCTCTTTTTCCATCCAAAAAGTTTTCCAATTCAGTAGCTCTCACCTTAAACAAAATAAAAGATTTTCATTTTAAATTCAATCACATGATCGTTAATTAATAAGTCAGTCGATTGTTAGTCAATTGATCAATCGATTGTTAATCTAAAAATCAGTTGATCGTTGATCAATAAATCAGTCGATCGCTAATCAATAAATCAGTCGATCCTAAATCGCAAACACTGTTTAAGAAAACAGCTTACCATCGCAAGGCCAACTCCTCCAAAAACCAAGCGAGGCTTCTCAGTAAACAACATATTGCTTTTATCAAAAGCAGCGTAAAAACCAGCATTGACATAACCATAAGAATTCTAGAGAAAAATGATTGTCATTGATCAGTGGAGATTAGTAGAATACATAAGTCTCAAAATATCTCAATTTTGGAAACAGTTAGTGTATGCCTCATTTCTCAAATACCTCTATGATCCAATATTCCTGCTTGTCAATTTTTTGTGTTGATGCTCAACAGACGGTAAAGCGGGTATGTGCTTTGTTTAGATACAAAATCTTTACAGATGCAAAATTAGATACAAGTCAAACTTATTGATTACCAACCAACCAATAAACTATTTAACGACTGTTGCTTGAGATCAGAACTTTGTAGTAGGGTTCAAATACTGTTAACAATTTGTGAATAGTCCTGGTGCGAAGCTACTTAAAAGTTAATACGATGAAGAATATTTTGATACTTTCATCATATATTTAGAAAAACATTCTTTTGCTTTCAAAACATCTACAAGTACCAAAAAAATTAATTTATTAGATTTGGGTAGATTACCTGCTTCCTTGGCATAATTTTAAAAGTTTGAAATACTTCGTGATTTTCCAATACTGGCAAAGTTGCTGAAACGATTATCTAAAAGAGAATTTGAAAAAGGATGCATTGAATAGTGACTTTTTCTTAAAGCTTATTAGTGAAATTACCAAATGATTATAAAATAAGGTTTTCTAAATAACTTTTCAAGGTATAAGGTTTCCATTATTGAAGTCTTGTGCTTCTTTAAAATTTACCAACAGTTCATAATCTTACATTGATGACGTACATTGAGCTTTCATCGAAATAATCTAGCAACATCGATTCCTTCTTTGACTTCCAGAGAAACACACATTTAAAAGTAATGCATAATCTTTTATTAGTTTCATTCCTTCTTTTGACTTTCAGAGAAACACACATTTATAAGCAATGCACTATCTTCCAATATTATTTGTTTCTCGTTTGACTTAAAAGAAATTCTAAGGTTTCTGTGTTTGTCTGTGTATATCTAAGATTTCTGTGTATATCTCTCACACCACCTTGCCCAAACATGGTTTTTATCATTTCTGGATACTTCCATCATACAATTGAGTAAACTCTTAATTATTTTATACAATTCCGAATAGGATTTCTTGTTGTTTTGTACTCTCTTCCCCAGTTCAATGTAAATATCACTGCTATTAGAATAAATACGCCCCAACTTTGAATTGAGGGAAAGGGATAGATATTGGACTACACGTGCCTGCTTCTGGGCACGTATTTTAGAGTTTTCCTCATCACCCATGGACTGCTGAGCATGTTGAATATTGAGGGGGCTAAAAGCGTTTTGGGGGGGGGGCTAAACATGCCAAAACCAAGGACAGAGCGATTTATGTATGATTTTGAGTATATTTTGGAAAGTATCTATGGGGCTAAAGCACCCCTCCCCCGCTTCCACGGTCCCTGTCAACATTTCGGTCCAAGATTGTAGCTACCTATTGACCTTGATTACCTTAAATGACATGTCCGTGACAAAGAACTCCTCCATGCCTATGATTGTAGTCGAACCAGACGAGTCAGCTACGAGAAGAGCATTAATGGTCAGTTGACTAACAGCAACGTGCAGGCTAAGCTTTCATATGCATCGCAAATCTCAATTGAAATATTTTAAAAACAAGCACCTTTTAACAATTATTAAGATATACAACATATTGTGCAGTTGCCTGGTGATCAGTTGCCTGGTGATCTCATTAAGAGTGAAACTTGAAGAAACAACTTGGAACAGTCCTGTTCTATACACCAATGCAAATACAGCGTCATGTTATAAAACGGGCCGCTAAACTAGCAGTTATCACTTAATACCTTTTAAAAATTTTTCAATGCCAATTTTCAAAATTCATATACCACCTCTGGGCTGACTTACTTATCTGCAAATTGGCACCAATTGCACTGAATACCACAAAGACATCAGATGGAAAATATTTGTGACGGTTTATAAGCATAAGATTGCCTGCCCATGTCCCTACCTAGAAAATCAAACACATAACGGTAGAATCATTAAAGTACGAAGATCAAAGATAGTTTTGCAAATACTCATACCTCCGTTGAAATTCTGTTTTAAAACTCATACCTCCTTTGAAATATGTATCAAAACTATTCTTAACTGTATTTACCTGTCACGCTGTTAATCAAGGCAACAGAGTTCACAAATGATGACGTCACACAAACCATTTTTAGAATTTTTGAATTTGGATCTCATAACCTAAATGAAAATACCTCTCACTATTCAAAATCAGCTAAATGTGTTACGAATTGGCTGCGATATTGCCACATTAGCATTGGCTCATTCCCCATGAAACTTCTATCATTGTCTCTGTTCATAACTTTATGATAAGAGCCAAAATAACATAAATTTTCAAATCTTTCATTGGTCATATCTTATCCGGTTTTGACATACGTACATGATTAGAATATTTAAAAGTATTTTGTGACGTTCTTTTAGGTTACGTGGTCAAAATTCCAAAAATTTTAATACAGATTTCTATGACGTCACACTTCAGAACTCGTAAGAACTCGTAGAACGCTTGCTCAATTTTGCTGTTTAACGAAATTCAACTTAAAAAAGAGTAGTGGGCATTGTGATAATGTGTCTTTGAGATTATTGAAACTAGAAATCATTCGATTTCATTATTAGAAAGCAAAATTTGTTAAAGATCAGAAGTTGTTACAAAGTTGTGTCTCATAAAAACTCGGAACCACTTTCTTTTCTATGTAAAATGAAATTGTTACAAAAAGAGTCAGACCTTTTATTAAATTCCTATTTAAAAATGGAAGTTCAAAACCAAGTAAAACACGTTCAGGAGATTATATTTAAAAAGTGTTGGACAAATCAAAGGCTGGCAGAAAATCAACTAAACTTACATTTCGAACTGGAATTGAAGCAATCTGCAAAAGTAAATATTTCAATCAATCAAAAAATCTAGAACATTAATACGTAAAAAGAATCTAAAATGTTGCATTTTTTATAATGTTATGAGAGCTCCCGCTTAGGAGCATTAAAAATGGATTTGTTTATCTATATCCAATAGTGAGGGTAATGAAGGACCGTGGCTTAAAAGCCGCCCCTAACATAAACTTATGCATAAACAATTTTGACTGAGAACTTCCGATAACTATTGAAAGACAAGCCCAAAATTAACACGAAAGTCGATCTTTTCAATCTTTTTTGGGAGGATTAAATATAGCAGTGTAACTCCCAAATCGCAGGCCACGCAAAGGCCGTCAAATAGGCAGCTATAATTTGTTCATTAAAGTCTGATCGTGAGTTTGTTTATGGCCATACGACAACATTAATTTTAATAGGCATAGAATTCTACAAATCGTCTTTATCATTTTGTAAACATTCCTCCAGCCGTGCTATCTTATTTCATGTTGCATCGTTCTGAGATTTGTTGATATCTTTTGATTTGGTCGACATATTTTCATATTTAAAAGTCCTATTTCAGGTTTTTAGGAAATAAACATACTTTTTCTAAGTGCTGCACAACTGCCGCAAAGGCAGATGAATCTGGATAGCTTTTCTTCAGAAATATAATCAATTCCGAGAGGGTCACGCCAGCTCCTATTTCAATCTCGTTGTCAGATTTCTGCAAACATAGGAAAATAGATTATTCATTCAGTTAGAATCCCATTGCAATATAATAGGTTAGAAAAAAATTGAAAACAAACATATCACTTTGTATCAAAGTGTGAAGGCATTAAAAAATCTATTTTTGACCATATAACCTAATAGAAAGACATAAAATACTGCTAAATATGTAAAATATGTAAATATTTCATAAATAGGTTGAAAGATGGCCAATGAAAGATTTCACGTTTGCTAGCAGATTACGTCCTATCTGACTTGGCATGGTTCATAAATCACGAGCCAAGACCGAATTAAAGTGGTGGGGAAAAAACCAGTCATATGGTCACAACTCAGCCATATTCAACCGATTTTGCAGATTTAGAGGTATTTTACGACGCTTTGTGTTTTTGTGACACCATTTCTTTAGAAATCATTTACAATTAAGTTAGATTTAATTGGTGCTGGTTTGAAAAACGGAGGGCAACAAATGATGACGAGCAGTTGCTTTCTACAAGCCATGAGTGATTTTTCTTTTCGTTCATGTTCCTTCAATTTGCTGTTATATTTATTTAGGTTTTCCAAGTGTTTTGCAGGTTAAGCAGATTTCTCGCCGAAACGGCCATGCGCTGCACTACGTCAAGTTGTTCAATTAGAACATTACCCTTGTATTACCTTGCTCAGCAAAATTTCATTGTATCTGCCTAGCATTAGCAATATTTCTTAGATTCCCCGAACATTTTATAAGGACTTTTAAATTATGCTTTGATGTTTAAAACTGACATGTATTCACGAATCTTAGAATCGCGCAAAAAAAGAATAGCCACCTTAATTTCTTTCATCTCCTTCACTTTTCTTAGACTGACATAAGTAGCAAATGGGCCTTCATTCTTAAAAACGCCAATCCCAGTATTCCCTGCGGTAAGTTTGACCGGGTTGCCATTAATCTTTCTTCGCGTTGCAAAAAGATCATCAAGGCATTCCGGGCTGTACCATCGGTTGTTTGAAACTTTCTCTAAGCTGAGATCAACAATTTTTGGCTTCGGTTTCACACAGTTCTTTATGCAGCATTTGATCTTGTGAAAATCCTACAATAAATCAAAGGTTTGACTCAACTTCTTTACCAAACGTGAAAATTAAGATTGCCAAAATAATAAAGCTTCTTTCATAGTTTAGTATTCATAGCTAATTGATTCTTAAATGACATATAATGAAAATGCCATAAAGATATTGGGACATTGAATTACAAATAGGGAAAGGCAGAAGTTACTATATAAGAATTTCATGAAAATAATAGAGAACAGAGACGATTGACAAAATAGGACACAAGTGAAACCAGTAAGTGGAGAGAGGAGGTAGCAAAAGATACCCGATGAAATTTGGAAAGTGGCTGTAAAAGACAAAAAAAATGTTTTATATTTCAACTGCACCATCCTATCCATTTGCTGACCATGAAACAATGATAACATTTCTGATTGCGCCTATATAGAAGTAGACAGTAGATATGAAACATGATTTTATGTTGATGACGTATTTGAGATTCAACTCAATTTCGGAACCTAGAACCTGCTTCAAAAAGTCAATAATTACTTGTGGTTTTTGGGAAGATTATCTTCGTTTAATTGGTATTTATGTGCATCTACTTTACCTCAATGTCAGCTATGTCTTTTGAGAATGATTTCATTGCATCCAATATTGGTCTATAACCTAGAAGATAAATCAACGATGTATTGTACTGTAATTACTACTTAGCACCCGAAGGTAGTTTTAAGGACACTGAGAAGATATGCTTACAGAGCAGTGTCCTGGTCCTTCGTCTCGAGGTGACCATACCTAATGAATACTACGCCTGGAAACACGGAGAGCTTGCACCGGAGGAATTGCTAACAGTCCGCTTCAAATTTGAAGCAGAACAACTTTTTGTTTGTGGGGGAGCAGCTCCGATAAAGAAATGCAACAACAGCCATATTTTGCAAAATAAAAATGTTTTACTTATGCTACTTAAGTTTTTTTGGGGGGAGGGCCAAGGCCCCATTTTTTCGGTCTTTTGTTCAGTCATGAATAATGTTTTATCTTCAATTTATTCTCGATATTTTCTTACACTATGACCAGCTCCGTTGCTTACACCTTACAGTTTGGTAATCAAAAACAGGGGAGGATTTGAGTTAATTTTTTTCGAAAAATTAATAAGTGGGGCACACTCTCAATATCGACATTCAACCCTACTAGGTTATGTACTTTCCTACTTTATAGGTCTTATTCTCATCGTATATGGGAGTAAATCTCATGCACTTTTGTCAAGGGTGTTCCCGCGAGATATGTTTTTTTCACTTTTAGGCCATATAACAGAAGCATAAAGTACGACTTTGATTGAAGAATAATTTTTTTTTGTTTTTCTTTAGGTGGAATGAATTTTTAAAAATGAGAATATCGACTCAAATAAAGCATGTGCTATTCTTATTAAAATCATACTTTTATGACATTTTACGGTCAACATTGTCTTGTGCGGAAGTTTTGCTAATAGTGTTTGCGAGGACATTTCAAATTTCTAAACTTTAGTCGAACGCTTTCCTCGAAGGAACAGAAGGAGGCTGGAATAAAGAGTGGGGGATCTTCAAAAATTTCCGACCTCAGACGACAGTAATCAATTTATACCTGTGCAGCGGCAAATGTTTCCATCCAGTGTTTTTTCAATATCTTCCTTGCTTCTCCCATTCAAGTCGTTAGCAAGGTAGCTATTGGAAAGATTTAGGAATGATAAAACTATTGTATATGTCTGAAAGATTATCCTAATGAGAGAAAAATATCACAAACAAAGTAATCGAATAAAATTTCAACTATATTGCTGGCACACAAGTTTCAAAAAAGCTTTTTTCTAATATCATTGGATCTTTCAATTTGGCTCATGCTGTAGCTTTTATTACTTCAACAACTATAGACTAAATAGTCTTAAACCTCTAGTGTAATCCAAAACACTTTGACAAGGCAGTTGCTGGTTATATACAGCAATAAAGTTGACAATAAGGCTTCTTCTACCTGTAGAAATTGAAATTACCTGAAGCCATTCATTACAATTCCAGGAGTACAAAATCCGCATTGACTCGCAAAATATTCTGAGAATCTCTCTTGAATTTTGTGAAAACCTTTCCTTTTGCTACAAAACAAATCATGCATTTAAAGTTACTTTTCAGTTATGGCTGATTTGAAATATAATAATAGTGGCGTAACCAGAATATTCATTAAAGGGTGCAAGAATTTGTGTGGTCTTTGGGCCTCTAGTCTAGCCATTTTGAGGGTGCACCTTTAGCAGATTTCTAACGAAGAACACATTGTTAGGGAAGAGCATTCAAGATTCTCTATCGAAGGAACCTTTTTGATACAGCTACACGTGTCCAGGATTTTCGCTATCAGCAAGTTTTGTATTAGCCGACAATGATTGACTGAATGCAGAGAAAAAGTAGTGGGGGCAATCAAGCAATTTCTAAACACTTATAAGTAACCCACTCTGGTTACGCCACTTAACTAAACATTTTTTACAGTCAATATTTTAAGTGCTAGAATTTGCTAGCACCTTTATCTTAGGACTTGACTACATTAGAGTTTTCATCACAGAGCCATGATTTAAGCCCCCTAGCCCTCCAACACTGATCTCTGATGACATTGCATTCCGATTTTTTGAACGATTTCCAGCCCCAGGTTGCAACTCACGGAAAGGTTAGAATCTTAGCCCTCCCTGTTTCACTTGGGATAGAACTTTTAATACTCATTGCTGACCAAGAGATAACTAAGTTTAACAATTGTTCAGCCCTGTTGTAGAAATTGTCGTGTAATCGTAAATATTTTTACAATTGGAGGAGGGCTTAAATCCCAGCCATACAGTGAAAACTTTCATGTGATCAGACCCTTTTCTACAGAATCACACATCAAAGAAAATAATTATCTGAGATAGAAGTTGAACGTTACCTTCCAAGGGCTTCAACAGTTATAATGTGATATCCGTCAAGAGAGATTACAGGCTGAAGACACTACACAAAAACATATCAAACGTGTTTAGTACATTATGTTGTCAAATAACTTCATTTTCTTTACTTATATAAAACTGCTCTATTAATATTGATCTACACAAATTGTTTCCAAGCATTCAAAGAAGCATTTCTAATAAAAGCATTTTAAATCAGTGGAAAGCATTTTGATGGGTATGCTGCTTTTTATTAAAATGTTTTTTTCAGAATGTTCAGACTAAAGTCATCTAACTTTGAAGAATATTGTAAGAATATTGCTTAATCTCAGTACGCATCATTTGTGTCTCATCAGCAACTGCATTTTTTTCAATGTACATAAAATTTGCTATGTTTTGTTTGTAAGCATTTTGTAATTGTTTAAAACTTCATATTTCTTAAAAACATTCTTATTGTTATAATTGCTATAATTGTTCTTTCTTTCAATCATTTTTTCACAAGGACATGAAGTTTCATTTAACTACGTTCACTTGAAACGACATTAGATTTAAAAGATATGAAAAGTCTAAGACTATTTTCATGCTCAAGGCAACAATCTTTGTCAAAAGTCTAAGAATATCAAAGTTTGTCAAAATTTACAGTATTTTAATACAAGAAGTGCATTAAAGCCACATAAAAATTTGTAATTTTCATGTAAAGCTAGAGTAATTTCACCAAATACTAAATAGCTCATGAATAACAAAGAAAATATTTGGTATCAATCGATAAAAGTACTTGAAGAATTCCTTCATTTTTTTCATTAGAATTAGACGAAAAGTCTTTAAATGAAATGCTTTTCGTAATATTACAATATATCATCGAAGCATACAACATTCATTTAAAATCGCTTGCAAAATTTCAGAGTGCCCACGAGAGTCTTATCTTTTAAGAAACGAGTTTTTTAACAATAATTTGATGACAAATTGATCAACTAGTTTTAGAAAAGCTTTCTGAAAAATGGTTTAAATCTGCTTCATATAATTTGTATTTGTATATATCTCAATACAGTGAAAGACATTCTTCGTTATGATCAGATGCTTCAAAGCAATTTGTATTATGTAGATATTGCAACTTTAAATGTTTTCTTTGCAATTAACTGTAAACATGTGACCTTCGATAACTGAATTTTTGACTCAAGTAAGTCAATTTTCAAGTATCGATGAGCTTTGTAAAACAAATTGAAGACATACTGAATTGACAGCAACAATTGACTGTGGGTGAGCAATGGGATCATCTTTTGAAATTGCAACTATGCAGATACCACAGCCTCCTTCATTGCAAAGTTTCTTGACACCTACCAAGATGAGAATTAGAGCAGACGGTAATATGAATAAAGGAGATGCAAAATACATTTACGTGCAGGTTTTTGCGTGTTAGGCAGGGAAACTTAGAAAAGGTTCCGTATGATCTTTGAATTTTTGAATCTTTGTTATTTCAAATTTCATTCTTCCTTTAAATGCATGATGGCGATAAAAGTTGTAGCTACAATGCACTACAACATGATGCTATGTAAAAATTGCCTGTCTTTATCAGCATAATTTGTTAAACTTGATATTTTCTTGCCTCAAGTCTCTTAAGTTGGATGCACTTTATGATGACAATTATGATGATTTTATAAAAGATTCAAATATCCTTATTTAATCCACTTAGATCTCTTAAATGAGAAAAACTAGCTCTAAAGTCTTTATATCATCATTGCTGTATGCTGTATAGTAAATAACTGATATATCAAAAATTAAAGCTTTTGCAGGAATCTTCGTAATAGCAAAACATTAAGGATGGAAAATTTTTGAAAACACAAATAGCTACATCCATTTTTAGGTTGTGACCTGCTAATGACTATTTGTCAGACCTCTGAGATAGGTTCTCAACATGTTTTCATCTTAAAATTTTATTTGATGAAAGGAAACATATTTTTTAATTTTGATAATTTTGATGTATAAAATGGTCAAAATTTCGTGATTTTTCATTTCATTACATCCTTAAAATTATTTACTTTTTATTTCATAGTTATCGTTGTGAGATTTCAAAACTAGAGAAACAAACTGAATCGTTAGCTCCCAAATGTCTAATCTAAGGACAATATTCGATAAACATTTGCTATAGGCACATTTTATCAGAGAAAACTTCCAACAAAGATTCATTTCTCGTTGCTCCATCATAAAAAGATTAGTTCCTGCTCCAAGTTAACCTGATTCGTTGCAAGCCCCCTGTTCATAGTACCAATGCAACTCAAGCCACTGTCTGAATGACTTTTTCCAGGGATAGACACGAGCGCTTTTTTAAAGGAGTGCTACCCTATGTTTAAATAAAGCTCAAATTGTGTTTATTGATATCCAGGAGGACCTTTTAAGCTTGAAAATAAACATTCTTGAAATAATGTCTTATCGAAAATTCCACCTCAATTCATTATTATTCAGCAATTTAGCAAAAGTTTATCTGAGATCAGATTTAGAATCCAAAGCAAAGGTTATTTTCATGTTGGGTTTGGTTAGATTTCTATTCTTTGGTTATACCACAGCAAGAGCCACTCGTACCTTAAAAAGGCCAAGTAGAATTTGAATGACTTTTTGATTGGCTTTATTGTTTCAAAAACTTGACATGCCTAGAGGAATCAACCCCTGCTTTTCTGAGTTTAAACAGACAATTGAAGAATTTCGAAATTTTCTTTTGTCCACCTTCATAAAATTTATATCTTGTATATGTTGAATCTTGCGATTATTATGATCATTTCATATACGAAAACAATGGAGTAGTGACAATTCTAAAAGGATAGCCAACGATTTAAAGATCCTATCAAGCTGTTTACCTTTCAAGCTGTTAAGTCTATAGGAACATTGAGCATTGAAATAAAAGAGACAAAGATTTTCAGCATGACCAAAAGCAAACGTTTGCTGCAGCTTTCTTGTAAAGTTAGAAAACAAAGTTGTCTTCAATTCATGGATTTAAAGAGACCCATTATCCCATGAAGAATAAGTTATATCGAAAAACATTATTGTACTTTTTGTTTCTCTGAAAAATGCATGAAAAGCAAAATTTGACCGATGATTTTGAGTGATCTTCAAGTAAAAAGTCTCGTTTAATATATTTTACATAAATTTTCAAATGTAGAAGGCCAAAAAGCATTTTCTTACACTGTCTTGTAACGGTTGCCTGAGCCAACTCTTGAATTTGAAAGTTTATTGAGCATTTTTCAAACTAATTTCCTAAGTAGTTGTCCCACAAGGCTCATTCCTTGGCTCCATTTTGTTGTTTATTGCTAGCCTAAAGGTTTATGAGTCCAACCACTGAAGTCTTCACGGTATGTAATAAAAGTATCACAGTTAATTCCAAATTGAGCTTCTTTTACGCCTCTATAAATGAGTCAAAACAGGGGTCGATCGAAGTCATTATGGCTTAACACCAAAATGTTGCCAATACTCATGCTTTCTATATTACCTTCTAGAAACAGCAAACTAAGAGAACTTGTTATCAATTTTATGTATGAAATAGCTTTAGTTTTAAGAAAATATGGCCTAAATTAGATAATTGCAACATTTAAAAGCTATAAATGATTGCCGCTTTGTGGTCACGAAAGTCAAAATTTAGGTATATTGACAAGTATTTAGCAAATTTTCAATTTTTTTAAAAAACAAGGTATTCTTCACATGGTCCTTAACTTTTTGAACATCATTGTAAAAATATTGATCACATTTCAGTACTTGGTGACCAATGTGTGAGATTTGCATTGATTTCAGGGAAAACAGCCACTGTAGCTTAAAAATGCGTGTTATGGCAATCTGAATATATCATTTATCTTTAATTTGCTGCGTGCTCGACAATTACGCATATTCACAGAAATTTCAGCTCGTAGAGTCCAATTATCGTAGAGTTTAGCTCGTAGAGTCAAATGTCTGGAAATGAGGGCAGATGTATGATAGGGTGGAAATGAGGGCAAAAATATGCTCAATAAAATATATTTTATTTTGCTTTTCAACCAAAGCTCACCGTAAAGCCAACAGCCAGCACGCTACTGGTTAGAAATGGCATGAAGATGCTTCTTTTGAAGGGAGGGGGCTTCTGGGGTGGTGGGTGGTGTACTTATCGAACTCTGAATAATGCTGATGTATGGTTAGCTTGCTACCAAAAGCTTGCTTGATTTATAAGTCGTTTCATGATCATTTCTAACGTATATATGAAGCAGCTAAGAGATGCTGTTGTGTGAATGTTGCCTCTTTATGGGTTTAATGACTAGATAAACAGAACACAGAACTGAGGGTGTACGCAGGAAAAGAGGAGACGCTACAAATGTGTGATTGATAACGTGACTGTGGATACAGTGACAAGTGACAATGACACAATGCTGGATATGATTAGTGATCGAACTAGCAGCAAATCATATGTGGCAAAATTGTCGGAAAATATTTCTATAATCGTGTTTGTTACATGTTTGTTATAAAGTTGAGACATCCCTCGGAGAAATATTGCCCCAAAGCATGTGTCGTGACTAGCAAAAGATATCAGGTAGCAACTCGATACCACATCACACAGCAAGAATATATTCTCATACGTCTTACGCCTTTAAATACCACAAGATGATGTTTGGAATGCATAGTTTTGAAAGGGAAATCGAGCCTAACCTCATAGCTATTGCACAATTACTTTAGAGGCTCATTCTCATGAAACCAGTAATCCAACACTTGTGCTATCCCATTCGTTTAATGACAGCTAGCAACATAATAGAAAAACCGGTTTATATCTACTTTCAAGCTGCTCATTGCCGGACAAATGTATGAACTTATTACAGTTACAAATGCATTTATTCATTCAAATGAAAGTCTTGAAGAAACACAGATTCTAGAAAAAGTAGGATTGTTTGCAGAAGTCAGTGTTCCCCTGTTTCTATGAGCGTGGCTTTACCAAGAGCTTAAACAGTATAGTGTATATTTTCACAATATTCTGTACACTTTGCGAAAGAATATCAGACAATGTTGTAACACCAATGTAAATAAAGCTTTCGAAAATCATACGAATAAGTCGTCTGTAAACCAATTTTGTGGAAAATTTCCCTCTACATTTCCGTTTAAAAGGCGATCATCCTTGAGAAGCTGTAAATTTTGAAACTGCAACGATGTTCTGAAGCAATTCGTAAATTGTCTACTTGTATATTATTTTCTCATGACATGGCTGGAAATTTTTTTCGAATAGGATCATTTCTTCTCTACATAGTACCTCACTGTTGAGTTCTAGTTATTGTAAATCATCTATCATTTAAGTATCACATACGAACCCGTTATTTCTAAGTTAATCTAATAGACATTGCTCATAGGTATATAACATGATAACTGTCACCCTTAATTATATTGAAAAGTTCTCTGTCGTCGCTCTTAATGTTCCAAAGATATTCCCTGCTAAGCATTGTGCCACTCAAGGTGAATCCAGTTTGTTCTTCGTGCTGTTAGTTATGCCTGTTTAATTATCTTTTTACGTTAATTGTTTTCATAAACAATTCATAAAGAGTTGAGGAGCGAACACTCAGCATTGAAGAGAGCGAGTGATTCAGTGAACCGGTCAAAACGCATGTACCTTCTTGTGAGACAACATTTTGTGAGTCAGTTCAAGCAAAACAAACGACATTAACTTTGTTATGAACATGGAACTAATTAAAAAATTAACTTAAACTATATAAATTCATTCAAAGCAAGCAAATAAGCACAAAATAGTTTTTGAAAGAAGGACGGATTATGAATATGCCCAATTATCCCTACCCTATTCACTCACATATATGTGCATACGCTTCTAAGGATTCTTAAATTCAATACGCTACCATTCTTAAATTTTCAAGAAATCTGATAGATTTTCCACACGATAAAATTTTCTTCTGCATTTAATAATTTTATGCAAAGAATTGCTTATAAAGAAGAACTTAGTCAAGAAACTAAGAGACACCGGAGCACACATTTTAGAGTGGTGGGGGGCTCTAGAAAGGTGGAGGGCTCTTTGCGTAGTTTGCCACAGTTATTTTTGATGCCACAACCTTGACACTCGATCTAATTGCCCGAGGTTTTTTTGTCATCAATCTCTTCTTAAATTGAACTTTCAGACTTTCAAAACATGTGACGAGTGGGCAGCGGAACACCGCATGAATTATCACGGGGCCATAAATGTAATATGATTAGAGCTTTTAGTTAATTATTACTTGCAAAACAGTGAGATATTTTGACATCTGGTTTTCTTTATCTCTTTTAAATTTCCTTATCATATAGGCCTGTCTGTCTTTATTCCGATAAAGGCGCGTGCGCCTGCATACAAAGTGCACGTATATGCGAGGAAGAAAGGTATTTAGAAAAATTGCATTGTATTCTATTCAACTGCAACTTCTAATTTCTAGTGAGATTGGAAGTTAACTAGAATATAAAAATCAAGGGAGAGTTACAAAATATATGATATGTTAAATTTTTAGAGCACATATTGATTGTTTTCCTTCAATGTGAAACGTTCCTGAATGAGCTTGTTACAGGATATGTATTAATCTAATACTGGATTTAATATTTCTTGATAAGTTTTGGCCAATTTTAACAAAGAGAAAGCAGAAAAGTGACTGCGGAGAATTTCAAGGATGTTCAAAGAGGCAATCATAGTTCCCTGCTAGAAAGTATCAGACCTCCGTAAATAGCTTTGTAAAGTAATTTATAAACACAATAAATGCTCTTTCGTGGGTGCGTCCTTAAAAAGACTAGCTGTAAAGCCTGGCTTGATTTTTTTTCGATATTTGTCTTATCTTTTGAATCGATTCTCTCTGGATAGCACTCATTTGTTTTTGCTTTAAGAGGCAGAGCGATTTATCTATTGGTTCAAAAGTCTTTACTAAGGTGCTGTCTCGTTTCCATACTGCTCGACCTGATGACGTAACTAGTTTACCATAAAACCTAACCCTAACCCTAAACCTAACTCTAACCCTAACCCCAACCCTTTACTTGAAATGATTAATCATACTAATTTCTGACTATTAATCATGCTTATTTACGACTATTAGGTCGAGCAGTATGGTAAGAATTCTAGGAAAAGCATCTCAAGACATTAATTAAGAAACGCCTCTTGGCTGATCCCTCAGATTCTAGTGCTCACCCTGGGGCCTCTATAACAACCCTTTATCTTATTTTTCTAAATAAATTCAAAAAGCTACTGTCACGATGTTTCAGTATGCAATCTGAACTTGACCGTTCTGGGCATGGGTTAACCCAACGGTTAATCCTTTGGCCAGATCTAAATGACAGCAATCAGCATTCATAGGCCGATGTTATTCTGCAATGACAAAGAGGTACTGAATAAGAAACATTAAAATAGTGTTAGCAAGTTGTTGAAAGATGCGATCTTGTAAATAAAGTCAATTCTGAATTGTCTTGTGGACTCGTCGAGAAGTAAAAACCACGATAAATTTTAAAAAAAAAATTATATAGCTTTATTCTGAAAGATAAAATGTAACATCAGATTTTGAGAGGGAAGGGACATCAGCCTTCTTTGCAAATGGAGAAATAGATAGAGCATTGCTTGACGTAAATAGGGCCAGAGAAAAAGCTTGAAATTTTCCTTTTAATTTGAAAAAGGGTTTTCCTAAAGATAAGTTTCTTGTTCTGTTCAAAAAATGATAAACTCGTCTTGGTATGCCCGCCATCAAGGGACGTCAAATTGATTTGAATTGGTTGTTTGTTCAGTTTGTTTTCGTAACACCAAAAAATAATAATAAATAGTCTCGTTTTACTTTAGTCTCGTTATCTTTCAGTAATTGTAACGTTTTAAGGTGGTTCGACTGGCGAAAAAACCATACGCGACGTGATTACCCAATTTCTTGTGAGGAATTGTTCTTCCCGTACTGCCCTATCTTGTTTGGGGAGACAAACAAGCAAAGGTGCCTAGCAATGTGTAAAGCAACCCCCATTTTTGGAATCAAAAAGCATGCGTAAAAAACGACTTCCATGCGCATGCTCTTTCTTTCCAAGTTTCTTATGTATGCACGGAGGCTTACCTCACTACTTATAAGACTTTATTTAGGTCGTCTCCCGAACAATGTCCTGGTTCCTTTCTAAACGTCACAAAATAAAATCACTTTCAGTTCCAAAACTAACGACCTCATTCCTTTATGCCCCCCCCCTCCCAGCAAAAAGCTTTCCCTTCAATGCAGGTATTCTTGGTGTGATAAACGAGTACAGGGCCCCAACCCTGCATTGTAACTCGGTCTTATAGCTAGGGGACCCAGAACTGAAAGATCCTTAAGGGTCCCACCTGCCTCCGTTACGACGCTGCCTTGCAATTTTAATGGACTAAAAGCACACATTTCTGCTTGTCCCAAATGTCGAATCCCCGTCTTTTCTTTTTTTCTTGCTTCTTGTTTGCTATCTTGCTTTTCTATTTCTGCTTTCCTGGAAAATTCAAGGGACAGTCGGAACAGTCGTCTTAAGGGTAAGCGCATCAGCAGGGGGAAAAGTTTTGCTTTGGATACAGAGCGACTTTTTCTGCAAACAGTTATGTCTGGTGCACTCGCAAGCCCGATTTATGGGTGGGGTTTTCCAAAGATATTAAAAAATTCAAAGTCTTATGCATGATTAGGTAGCTTCAGTGGTTTGTCATTTTGAGGTTCGCGTATTTCTTTTGTATGTACGAATAAAGTGACCTACAGATGATTAAAGTAGCTGTTACTAGCGCACAGTTTGTCTTTTGTGACAGTATAATGTTGGTAGCGATTTCCGGAGCTGCAAAGAATTGGATTACAGATAAATCCTTCTCGGGAACTCTGAATGTGAATGCAGTCATCTCGCTTTCTCTTTCTTTCTGACATATTTTTTCAATAGTTTGTTGTTTAAAGCGCGGAAAGAAATTCTTCCAAGCAGAAAGGGAGAAGGAGCTGCTTGAACATCAAGAGTGGGGAATCTATCATTTCTTATAAAGAAACTTTTATGAAAATGATAGAGCATTGTGTTAAGATTTCAGGGGCGTTGGCACCAGCATCCTCCTTTTGTTGCACGGGGGCAAAAAAGCAAAGAGCAACCTAGCCCCCTTTTTTGTAATACTTTAGCTGAAGCTCTTTTAACTGTGGGTTGTGGTACAGTGTATTACTTCAAGTTGAAGGTTAATCTATACGAAAATTAACGATTATTCAAAGTTGTGTGGGCATGACCCGCAGCTTCAAGTTTCGTTCGCGGCCTATCGTTGGGTGCAGTACTGTAAAAGGCTTGATATTATTGTTGACATCTGCATTCTTTCGTGGAATGGGAACGCTGTCTAGATTTAGTTTGTTCAATTTACGATTTATCCACTATGTTAATATCGCTCACGGGTCAATAAACCATCTTTGTGGCATTGTTACGTAATGGATAATTTTACGATGCTGTTTAGGGAAAACCACTTGCTGTTTCTTTTTCTTAATTCAACGACCCTCTACCAGGGATTCATCGCCTCTATAATCTAAAAGAGGATACCTATGCAGCAAAATTCGCAAGAATGATTAAAAGTACCTTTTGTAAAGTTACAAATATTTTGTATTATGCAAAAAGTAGAATTGTTATTATGTTAACTTTTGGGTAAGGCACCGGTCGGTGTTTTCTATTTGTTGTCTTGGTTAATCAATTCTGCAGTGTTACACGATAATATAACCATGCAAAGAGAAAATTTAATTATTCTTGTTTGACCAATTTCCCTACCAAGGGGCCCAAACGTAGTGGTTATGATTCACGCAGTCACGCACTATTTTTTTACTTTTCACGCATCCACGCACTGCAAAATTGGATTTCCACGCTCACGCAAACAATAAATGTAATATCAGCTGTTGTTCATCAGAGCCCTGTTTGAGGGACTCCAACACCAACACTACTTTGAAACTATGAATACTAATTTGAGATTTAACTATTATTGGTTAATTACGAACTAAATTAAGGCAATTTTTTAAATTTTTATTCAAAATTTCATTAACGCATTAAAGGGACAGCTTGAACCTTTTCACGATATAACGCAAGGAAAACTCATGTTCACGCTTCACGTAGGAATCTTAATTCGCTTTCTTTTACATTTTGAAAGATAGACACAAAACAGAACAAAACGATTCGTCAAAGTCATTGTTTGTTAACTTAACATGTTTCTGTTGTAGTTTATGTCTCTTTTGGTATGACGCAAAAAGGAGAAGTGTAGAAGAAATAGAAAAACAGGAAGTGAATTATTTAAGTAAAAAAAGATTTTACAAACCTTTCAGGAATACTTTATCTCTCAGCCAGTCTGTAAGGTACAAATTCGGTTCAGGGTTGATGACGACATATTCTGTGCCATTGACAAACATTCGTACTTCTTTTACCAACTCCATCGTAAACTGGCTTGCTAAAGTCTGTGCTCCTCATCTCTAAATTGCCATGGTGTGACAAACAATTTGATTGGTGAACTAGAACAATTGAACATTGTTCTATCCATAAAACCTTTACCCTGTTTTTCAAGATTTTCAAGTTTTGCAAGTTTTGCTGAAGAAACAGGTTTGTATCAATTGATTTTAGCTTTGTGTCAGTAGATAAATGAATTGAACAAGTCTTTTCAGCCCAAGGTGAACAAAGACATCATAAGATCAAGGAGAACAATACCACAAAGCAACGAATGGACCTGAACATAAAGTATCAAATAACAGAGTTCTAAACATGGCAGGCCTTAAGGGTGTAAAAGCATTCTTGTTAATTTCAATTTGAATCGTTGCACAGTAGGTAACTTGGATTTAAAATGGAGCCTCCAGGCTTTTGAAATATTGGATGCTTGAACTCTTTAGAGTCTTAAGCCCCGGCAAAACGACTGGACATTTGCGCTGGTCACAAACTGGACATTGCTCACTTGTTTAGAGTATGGACATCAAAAAAATATTGGTGGTGGCAAAACGACTGAACATTGTCCAGTGAACTTTTTCCCTGTTGAAGAATGCGGGTGGGAAAACTGGCAACAGGGCATCTGTTTACCTTTGAAAATACACTTTTCATAGCCCTAACCGTGTTATCGTATGAATTAGAGTGTATTATTGACAAGTGGCTAGGACAGCTAGGTTTATCAAAATCACCGTACTCCTGCTCTCTGACATCGCTTTCCTTATCGGAACCAAAGCTAATCTGATCGGAAGACTCGTTGTTACTAATAAAATGCCTTTCTGCTATTGGTCGAATTGAATTTTCACGTTGTTTCCATTTCGTTCGCGGTGTTGACTAGGAAAGTTTGTTAAAGATTTGAATAATGGAAATAAATTCGAGCCAAATCCTATCCATTACATTCATTGCGCGTGCGCGAACTGGACAATGTTCAGTAGAGTGGCAAAACGACTGAACATTTCTCTACAACATCTACGAACAAAAGAATTTTAATCCTGTCCACTGAACATTTTTGACTACCTTCAAAATCGACTGAACAACACTCAACATCGCTGAACAAGACTGGACAAGGTGGCAAAACGACGCAACATTTACGCTGGACATTTGTCCAGTGCATGTTCAGTGAAAATGTCCAGTCGTTTTGCCGGGGCTTTAGAATTCACAACTGGTTGTACTCAAATTAGCGTACTCTTACAAAATATCATTAAGACATCACTTTATCTCGGTTTAGTTTTCTACTCTTTGTGGATTTTAATAAGCATTATCATTGATTCGCATTTTTAATAACTTAACTCCATTTGGAAGTGAGTTCCAAATCTTTGGAACCAAAAAGCTTATAGGCTTTTTATACTCAAGGAACAAACAATAGAGTTCTCAAATGTGACGTCTCAAAAAAACTTTTTTAGAATTCTTGAATTTTGATATCATAACGTGAAGTGCTCCCATACATGCAAAATCGGTTAAATTTGTCAAAAATCAGGTGAGCTATGGCCAATGAAAGATTTGAAATTAGCTAACAGATTACTGTTATTTTGGCTCAGTTCATAATGTTAGAGGTTTGATGAGGCCAGAGTTTGTGCTCATCTGGTCATTTCTAATCCAATACCTTTAACTGATTTTGCAGATTTGGGGGTATTCCATGATGCTCTTTCAGGATATGGGAACAAATTTAAAAAATTCTAAAAAGTAGATTTTTGTGACGTCATCACTTGAGAACTCTATTGTAACTTTTTGAGGATTACAGCTAGTCGATTTTGGAAGGAAAGAGTCTTTCAAAGAGGTTTGATTCAAGCTTAAAGGAGAACTGACACGCAAAAATAACTTTGGCTTATTCGATGCAAAATTTGTCGCTGATTTCAAATCTGGAAAAAGTTTTCTTCTTAGATTCGCTGTTTTTCTGATATTTGCACTTTTATCTGTCAATTACGTCACAGCCAGGACTCGGGAATTTCCCGAAGCGGAAACAAGATTATCGCCAGGAGTTGTTAAAATTCTCGGTTGACGTCACAAGTGACATGTTAACAATGCCGTTGTAAAGGTTTCACCGCATCGGTGAAAGTACAATGAAGTTTCGTGTTTTATTGAAAAAAGTCCGTGGTGAAAAGACAAAAAATTGTCAGGCATTTCATTTATAAGTATAAAGAAGCTAGAAAATCCTAGCTACATGTCTGCTAGGACGCTAATATCCACATAAAATTTATTTTTATAGCATGATATCTTCAAACCACATGCTTGGAAACATTGAAAGAGCCTCAAAGCCTGTGAAAAGAGGAGTCGACTTTGTTTGAAAACTGATACCGTTTCTTCAAAGTTTTTATTTTTATAATTATAAATAAAATCGAAGCATGGGGGTGGTTGAAGCAATAGCCAAAAGACAAACGAAATCTAGTGGAGACAGCGGTAAAAGCGATCCTGCAACCTGCTTTGGGTGCAGAAATATGAATTCAAGAAAGATTTTGGTTGATGGGAGCTGCGAGTGTGACTAAATAATAATTTAACTGAACTTGATTATTGTATTTTAACAGAGGTTAAGATACTAGGGAATAACCTAGTGTTGCAAAAAGACCATCCCCCACCCAAGTCAAAACTGCTTGCAAAAGAAGATAATGCGCTAGTTGATATTCCTATGACAGCTAAACAGCATTCTCTCCGACTAAGAAATCAAGTTCTTTGACTAAGAGCTAAGAGCCTATTTCGTAACTCCAGATTTTTCGACTGCCAGGTAACTTATCATTTCCCGAAACCCTTCACGCCCGGTGAAAATGGCATATAATCCGCACAAGTCGACTTTTAACCCGCCTTTACTATTTAATATCACGATACAGTTAACGCGTTTGAAACATTGAAAAACAATAATAGAATGCTACATTGATAATGAATAACTTGCAGCTCCGTTTAGGGCATCATAGGCATTTCAGCGAATTAGGCCATACAGACAAAGCAGTCTGAACAAAGACGCCTCAATCTGAAATGAAATTCTAGTTTTACGATACCTGATCTCATTTAGATTGTAGCAATAGCATTGTTTTTAATAGAAATTCCATATCAGTTTGTACTTCCAGTCTGTTCTTTGTTCATAACATCGTCAAGCCATGGAACGACTGTCTGCCCAAGCGGCAGCGATGGTAGCAAAAACTCAGACGGCTGCAATTCTCCATTTGTTTCGAAATCAGTGTAATAAAACTCCGATTCAGAGTCCCAAACCATTGAAAAAGTCAATAATGTGTCAAAAATGCAAAATTAGCTCCTTTCACACGCACAAAATAAACATTTGTCCGCAGCATTTTCTTAAAGGTTCTATAGAGAAACACGATACGTGCTGAGAACATGTCACTTGTGACGTCAAAGATGATCGCTCACTCGTGACGATTTTCGCCTCGAGTCTCAAGTTGTCGGAACAATTGTCGTTTCTCAACTTAAAACGCCTGTATTTCAAAAATGGTAACTATGGTTTAAAAATTTTTTCGATCCCGGAATTTGCTTGTCACAAACTACCGATTTAGCCCAACTTATTATTGCGTGTCAGTTCTCCTTTAAGTTTGTTATGTTCGAAGTTTTGACAGCTTAATAGACTGAATACGGATCGTGTAGATTCAGCTTTGGTTAGAAATATTACAATATGATAAAGTATAATAGAATAATAATGAGTAGTTAGATCGTTATCTATGCTTACATTATTCATGTTTCGTTATTTAAACCTCATTGCTTTGAAATTATTTAATAATTTCCCGATTACTAATGATTGGGATTTAGATGCATTAGCAGTCAGTTGACTTGAATAAAACCAGTCAATGCACTAATTGGCAGTGAGTCGAACTAAGCTATGAAAATTCATCAACATTGCAGCAATGATCGAAATCTGCAAAGTTACATACTTAATGGCATAGAGCTCTCATTAGTGACAATAAAAATATCATCGATAAAAAGTCTGAAAACAGTGGCTCAAGCATGTTACCTACATAAAATAAGATACCCGCTAAACTTTAGCGTTTGTTTCGTTTCCGTTCTGAAAAGTGAAGCCTCGTTTCCATTTTGTGGTAAGCGGGGATGCGACGGAGACGCTTGCGATGATACGGAAACATGTTTTTAGATCTGTCCCCGTCGACGCCGTCACGACGGTGATGGTTGAAAAATGTTGAAACATGTTAAACTTTTTTGGTCGACGCCGTTGCATCCCCGTCGCATCACCCCTGCTTGCCATGCATTGAGAACAAATTTTTCGATATGGGAACATGTTTTTGGTTCATCGGCGTTCGACAATGATACGACTATCCTACAATGCACTGCAAGCAAAACTCAAAATCTAAATCAAAAATGATTGCCGCAAATCAAAGTGTATATGGTATCATATGGTAATAGTACCGAACTTATAAAAGATCATGTTTACCTGAAGAAATACTCTCTGTCATGTATACTCAGTTCTCTGAAGAGAGTGTGGAATTGGCCTAGTTCTCGTCTCTTTTGAAGAAATTCTCGCATCCATATTCTATAACGTATTTTTTCACGAAACTTTTTTGTTCTTCTTCGTTTAACAAGGATAAGCATGTACACCAATTTGACTTGAGGCAGAAAACGTTTGTTTAATGTTGGCATTTTTCTTTATCAGGAATCGCGCGCTTGCGTCCCCATCGTCCCAGCACTTTTTTATATGGGAACGTGAACAACGCTGTCATGGCGCCGTCATGACGGGGACGCGTCCCGATGCTTTCGCTTACGACGATATGGAAGCTAGGCATAATGTCCAACTCGATAAGCATTTAGGCAGCCTTTCCTCTAGCCTGGGTTAAAACATATCCGGGTTAAAAGTTATCCGTTTTTAAAGCGAGTCAATGGAAACGGCATTTTTCTTCGACCCGTTTTTAATCCGTTTTTGATCGTTCCCACTAAGCCGGGTTAAAATGTATCCATGGTGAAAAGTTGTAAGAGAAATCAATATTTGCATCAATAATCCTTCAATTTCTATCGTTGTAGGTTAATGGAAGCAACATCGACATAGAGGATTTTGTTTCTTTTTGGCGCCATCTCAATATTCAAACGTTGCTGTTGTTGCAAGTGGGTCAGAAGTTATCCGGGTTTCGGCGTTTCCATTAACTCACAGGTGGGTCAAAAGATACCCGGGTAAAAACTGACCCACTTTGAGACCCGTTTTCAAACTTATCCGTCTGTCAAGTGGGTTAGTGGGAACGTGACGCAGAAACGGATAACTTTTAACTCGGATATGTTTTAACCCATGCTAGTGGAAAGGCTGCCTGAGTTTTCCAATTAAAATATTGACGAGAAGGCTGCGAAAGAAAGGTTTTGGAGAAAGATATGGGTACAACCGCAGGGTGTTTGTTTTCTTTTACACCAGTCTTCGAGACTTCTATTAGCACGCTAGGATGAGAACTGTTTTGGATAGGCTTTTAAGAAATTAGATAACTTTCTTTTTAGAAACTGGAAACAGGAGCGTTGCTAGCCACTAAGCTTTGAAGGGGGGGGGGGGGAAAAAACAAAATATCTTAGGCCATCGGGGGGGGGGGGGATAAAACAAAATATCTTAGGCCACGCCATTTTAAAGGTTAGAAGAAGCTCGTTTGCCAACAAAAAACACCAATTTCGCCAAAAAGAAAAGCCCATGACAAAATTCCCGGTCTCAACTATCTTTTTTATCAGCAAACATCAGTGACTCATTCTCCGACATCTTCTCATTTCAGTTCAGGGACGCCTGCAAAAGATAAGGGCAGAAGGGGCAGTGTTGGTGCCGAGGGCAAATCGTGGAATTTTTCTACTAACATAATCGAGTATTCCTGGGTGAGAGGGGGCGAGGTTGGGGTAACAAAATAAAATATTAACTTGAATACAGTGCCACCCATACAGCTGGGGTTTTTTACCATTGTAAAATGGAAGTCGCGAGAGATGATCCGACGATTAAAGAATGGCGGTTTCTTGCGAGCGGCTATACTTTTCCTTTCTGTAGGATTACCCCTCATTAGAATTACATCATGTTGCGTAGTCATTTGTTATATTGGGTAACATTGTATGCTTAGTTATGTATTTCTAGTATTTTCCTTGTACGTATAAATATACATAGTTAGATTCAAGGAGATTCGGAGAGAAATTCAGAAGGTATAGACATAACATCAGATAAAAACCAAACCGTTTCGCCCAAGAGGCTTGCGAAAGCTGTTGCGGCCCAGTTTGCATTTAGGACAGGCAGTGCTTGAGAAAGACTGTGCTGTGCCTCGTTATATATTTCATTTAATTTTTAGTATTAGAGTTCGTGGAGAATCGTCGTTGTTTATGTTAGCTGTTTAGATCAAAGTTTAGCCTAGGGGTGTTATAAGATGGAAATGGAAAGGAAAAGTATAGCCGTGCACAAGGAGGATATCCTAATAATCCACGCGTGCACAAGGGGGATATCCTAATAATCCACGTACGAAACCAAGTGAAATTGCTAAATTTAGCTCTATTACACCATCAAAAATTCTAAACATAGAGAAAATGTTAACAAAATTATCCATACATAAAAATGGGTATAAAATGGCTTTGTCACTATTCACAATATTTGGTTTCATAATAAATCATGGCTGTTATAAATAAGGCTGGTTGTAAAATTTTGATTGCCCGTTAAGTTTTTATATTATATGATTTATCCTCCTTAGGTTCCTGGAGTACTTCTAAGGGAACACGTCGTTTGTTTATCATCTATTATCTTTGTCGCTCTCCCTCTTGTGGTTGACCTTGTCACAGACAAACTTTTTATCCTTTGCGTTTTTGTGCTGGTGTTAACATCTTTCTAATATTTTCTAATAGATATTTACATAACGAGAGTGGTCAAAGTGGTGCCCCTCCAGCCCCCTGTGAAGGCGCCCCTGTTTCAGTTTACCACGATCCAATTTGGTCCGTAGACACCTCTCCTAATGGCAGCTGTCCTTGACTTTTTCATTCTATCATATCTGTTGCTATTGTGTTTTCCCAAAATTAAAAAAAGACGCAAAATCCCATATTGGAATTCATAAAATGATCTCAATCTTCATCTGAGATTTCTGGAAATTATCTGAAATTTTCCAAAAAGGGCCTTTCAGATAAAAAACAATAATCAGAGATCTTCCAAATAAAATCAATAGCAAGATTGTATCATTTCGAATAATAGGTACATCATAACAAAAGCCAGATGAAAACTAAATAATAGGTACATCATAACAAAAGCCGAATAATAGGTACATCATAACATTTCTCTGATGGGGGTAGGGGTGGGGACTGATGTTATCTACCAATTCTGTCTTCCGTCTGTCTCATCTTCAATTTCCTTCCATGAACAGCACCCCGATATGAACTTCGTTCCAACGGCACTGCACCTCAGTGGTGGCGCCAGGGGAGGGCTACAGCCGGAAGCATCTAGCCCCCCATCGGAGGAAATTTTAGGTTATTGTCGGAGCAAATTTGACAATATAACGTACGAAAACTGCTTATTTTAGTCATTTAGCCCCCCTGTCGGAAGCTCCAACCCCTCTGTCGGAAGATTTCTGGTGCCACCACTGCTGCACCTTCTATTGACGCCAACGCAACACTGTTACATTTTCTGATTAAATTTGGTACAATTGAGCTGACTTTTGCTTCTTTCTTTGTATGGAGCATGAAACTCAAATTTGCAATACACTAACTAAGGTATTTTGAGCTTTGCCAAAACGGTACCGATCTGTGGTATCATATGTAAGTGAGAGCCAAAGTTGGGGAATTTTCACAATTTTACTCTCCATGAGAAAATTACAGCAAAGGGATGGATAAACAAAACAATAGCATGGGTAAAGCCTTTTCAAGAGTAAAATAATTTTAAAAGGAACAGCATTACTAAAGCTTTTTCAAGAGTAAATTAATTTTAAAAGGAAAATTATTTCTTTTTTCTGCCTCTACAGCGATGAGCAAAAGAAGTAGTCTCGTTTTCAAGTTCTGCCGAGTTTCTGTTGAGTGTCCTAGCAACAAGGCCAATAGTGGCAACTGCTTTTGAGAATTGCTTTAGCCGCGAAATATTTGCAATGTTGTAGTTTAAAATTAATGTATTAGACCACATAGAAACGGAAAGTTAAAGTTGACATTGCTTTCATGAATTTTTGAAATTTGCTGTTGGGATTGTTATTGGACAGGAAAGTGTGTCAGGCCAGTAGGCCGCTGGTCTCAGCAAGAATACTTAGGCCTCTATAAAGCCATGTCTCGAATAGACCCGGAACAACTTAAAGCAAGGCTCGTTGCCAAACCAGAACTAGGACCAAGTCCAGGCTCTTTAAAGTTCACTAGACCAACACCTGTTCAACGCAAAAAGGTAATTACAAATCTTTAGCCGTCGAGAACTTGACTTTATTCTTCTGGTTTGACAAACAACATAATAGATATAAGATAGGACTGTCATGTATTAAGATTGCTAGCTGCTTTAATATGCCTTGTAGGCTACCAATGTAAAAATTTCACTACAGTTTCAAACAGAATACTGTACTTAAAATCGTTCATGGCATGTGCTTAAAATTTACAACAGAATTTGAAGATGCTCTAAAATCTATTAACTTTATTTTGTTTCTAAATCCCATGAGATTGTGATTTAATTTTAATCAATGAATCATTAGCTTGTTAACTGAATTTTCATCTAGTGAAGTGTAGTTTTCATCTGGCTTTGTTATGATGTACCTATTATTCGAAATGATACAATCTTGCTATTAATTTTGTTTTGAAGATCTCTGATTATTGTTTTTTATCTGAAAGGCCCTTTTTGGAAAATTTCAGATAATTTCCAGAAATCTCAGATGAAGATTGAGATAATTGTATGAATTCCAATATGGGATTTTGCGTCTTTTTTAATTTTGGAAAAACAGAATAGAAATTTTATCCATAGAGCTGGTCGGTTAGGTTAAGATGATCTTAGGCTTTGAGATTAATGCTAAGTCCTACTCTTCTTCGTTTTCTCTTAAAATTTGTGTGGGTCTGTTTCACATTGAATGTATGGTGACTTTAATGTGATTGACAGCCCATCCATCAAATCCGTAATATTGTGACAGCAAAGGTGCAGGGTTTTTGGGCAGTGGGGGCTTTTGGGGAAGACAATTGCGGCAACTGTGGTTGTCAGTGGTGTTCTCTCTACTGGGGCCTCTACGTCCCAGCACTGTCACCTGTGCTGGCCTGGCATCCAATGTGAAACAGATCCTAGTATGTTCCCAAACTTAATTGTATTTAATCATATTTGTCAGTAAGTTAGTTTAGTGTTTTATGATGACCCTTGGGATGTCATGGGTTCTTGCTTCCTGGGGCCATCGTTCTTGTTGTGTTGTCCAGTAGTTTGTAAAGTATCTTGTTTTTGTAAAATTTTTATATTGTGTAAAAAAATTCTTGTTTCTAATCATAGACATTAACTATAAAGGAGCATCTGGGGGATCTTCACATGTCTCTGTTTATAATGCCATCATAAATATGCTTATACTTATTTTTCTTTTGTAGGATGTGCCATCCCAAGTTGTTCTTGACCCGCTGGTATGTACAAGTTCATCAAAGTTTTATCAGTTTTTTCACCTGTCGAAACATTTTCAACATTTTAAGATTTTAAAATTGAGTTTTTTTTATTTTGAACTGTGGCTCCAAGGTATAATTGCCAAAATTTCAATGTCTCCTATTTCAACATGTCCCTCTATTTTTTTGAAATTTTCTTCATAGCCTCATTTGACAGAGTATCAAAGAAAGCAGAGAGAGAGGCCAAAGATTGAGGAGTTATTCGGTAAGCAAAATGCTGAACCATCAAACAAGAAGTTGAAGAGAAAGTCTTCTGTTGAACCACTTGATGACAGAGGATCCCCCTTGCCAAATCTACCAGATGATTTAAAGCAAAAGCAAGAGTGGATTGATCAAGCTGTTGGGAAAAAGAAACCTATGTCACCAACCCCTCCTCCTGAAAAGCCAGTCAGTCCAAATGGCATCTATCGTAATGGTGCAAGATATGTTAATGGAACTGGTAAAGGAAAGAAGCAATCAATTGAAGAAATTGTTGCCAAGGGCTTAAAAAATCCTTTAGAAATCATTCAATTGATGAGAGAGAGAAAAGATGTTGGTTTTTTATATATGGCTGCTGCAGTTCCAAGATCATCTATTGAGTACAATCCATACAATCTTAAGTAAGATCTAGTTAATTTTTTCCCAGATATTAAATGTACAACTCAACCAGTTATTTTGTTTTTTAAGTGTATTTTTACCTTATGGATTTTAATGTGCTAAATTCAGAGATTGAATCAATTTTATAATTACGTCCAGCTTTTGAAATTTTCATATTTTGCTTAAAATTTGGCTAAGGAGTTAGGTAGCAAGGCCTTTAGCCTGACAACTAAAATGCATACACCAGAATGGTATTTAGCTGAAGCAGCTAGCTTCTCATCTAAACTCATTAGTAAAAGAGCTTTTTTGATTCTGTGCCTCATTATCCCAAATTGAAGAATTCCTTGAGAAGCCTAAATTCATAGATATAGTTACACCACCATGTTTTGCTTATTCAATCAAAGATTTTACACAAGACACATTGCATTTTAATGAGAGTTGCCAACCTTTGCTTTTTAACATATTTAATGCTGAGTGCACCAAGGGTGCGAGCCCATGGCCTTTACATGCCTGATTCTAGAGGGGTGTCAAACTTGTTATTCATCAAATACAGCTAGAGTTTGAATTTTTGCTATTTTTTATTTGGTATGGATCTGTTCAATGAATTCTAGAACCCAGATATCCCACTTTCTTTCTCAAGAGCTAATTATGACTTTATATCTCAAGAGCTATTGCTCGATTTTCTTGAATTACAAATTTATGGTTTATTTTCCTTTTAATTCTAGGATTGTTCCTCACTCAGAGATTGATCCCAAAGATCACTACACTATAAGTTTGCAAGGCGTCACACACAATACTCCTGATGAAGTTGAGTTCACCAAACTCAGCAGATGGGAAAAAGAATATAAAGATTACCAACGTTTGATAAAGATCCCATCTTTTGCAAACTTTAGAAAATGGAAAGCATTTTATGTTTGGAGGAAAAATGTCAGAGGAAAGTATGTTTTTTTCATAATTTTCATTTTTTCATTACTGTATGCTAGTTGATACTTAAACATATTTTATCTTCACACAGATGCAAAAGGATTTTTCTGATAATAAAAGCACTTATTTGTTCAAAAGTTCATAGGCAAATACAGTACTATGTAGTATTGTACAGTGACCAAACTTAGAGCAAAAGTTTATACCATTGTATAGATTCAAAATCCAGTTGCATCAAACTGAAAATGATCTTGTTTACCCAATATATTTTTTCACCCACTTTTGACTATTCTTAATAATTTTTTAACGTTTAGAAGAGTCAGATTCTGTTTTTGCAGTTTAATGTTTACAACTGCCAATTAGCTACTTTCTTCTTAAGTATTTAAGTCCTGGTAATATTAGGCATGCGATTGCACATGCACACCTCCACACATGCCTAAAACTCCAGAGGTGTGCTTTTTATTGCACATGCAGTATCAGGTTACGACTTATGTAATGTTCTTTTTGTCTTTTGTTTCTTTTAATTTATTTTTTATTTTCTCTAAAATAATTTTTGGGGGAGGGGCCATTATAACTCTTTAGAGACTGGTGTCCATTTCTCAGTTTTCGTGATGTCTTCTTTTTATCGTTCGGTTTTTATTCATTTTATTGAATTGAATTGTTACTACGGCTTCTCAGTTTTGGTCAAAACGATAATATGGGTGTTCCCATTACTCCATTTTCAACAGTTTTCATATTCTTTTGTTCGAGCTCTTTTTGAAACTGGAGTGAATAACTGATAACTTTGTTTTCGATCATGTCTTCGCTGTTCCCGATTAAGTGACACGTTCTCAAATGATTCCGTTTACGAATGACTCCACTTTGAACAACGTTTGGGAATGTGTCCGGGTGTGTTTAAAATGACTCCGGTTATGAGCGCATTAATGGAACGCGAAATCTAAAACAGATTCATTTGAATCTGTTCTCATACGAAAACGGAGTAATGACAACATGGCCTTAAGAATTTTTATGCTTTTTGTTAAATTATTTTATTTTCAAGAAACTTCTTCCAAAATTCCGTAAAAACATTTGATTTTATGAAAACCTAATACCCTTTTTTCAAACAGTGAAACACCCCTTCAAATCTTTAAATACACATATGACATTTAAAAGGGTGTCAGGTCTTCCCTAAATATCGTAAGATCTCCATTTTATGGATCGCACACCATCACACACCATCACATGCCATTGCATGCCATCGCATGCCTAAACTTTCAAGGCGTGCAATTACCAGCACGCCAACAAATTTCATATTACCAGGACTGATATTTATCTGATGCACTTGGAGTATGTTGTTTAATCCTACACACTAATATCAGAGTATGCATATACATTAGCACAGTATTTGTACTCAACTACACTCTTTCCTTTGAGCAGATTGCATTGTTTTTAAAATAATGACACACGACCTTTTATATATCTTTTACAAGAGGCTTCACAGTAGAAAAAGCTATTTGCTATTTTTTATTTTCAAAATTTTGTGTCTGTAGCTGGAAAAAGTTTCTGTTTCCATTTTAATCATTATCTGATGCTCACGGTTCCAAGGAGTGTCTTGGAAGATTTTTGTTACAGTATGTAAACTGGGTAATTTTGAATGTTTTTAAAAATAAAATGTTTAAAAACCAAAGAAAGATATTGGGTATGATTTTTTCAAAGTTATCCTGTCATAATTGTTTTCGGTAAAGAAAGCCTCTTTAATTCACTATCTATATCTAAAATGTTTAATAAATACTTAAATGAAATTTTATTTAAGTGTATTTTTCTAATATTTCTTAAATGATCTTATCTTATATGACTTTAACATGCGTTCATTTTTTTCAAAAGGAAAATTATCATTTGCAAGAGCGCACTTCATAAAAATCTGTTCATTGTAAACCCAGTAAGTACACCTACAGAAATCTAGAAAATCTAGTACTTATGGATCCTTTATTACAATTGGCTAACAGTGACATTCGATGACAGATAACAGGGACAATAATTATTGCAAGAGGGGATGGATAACAAAATGAAAACCGTTGTTACGCCATTATTTTTTCCAGTAGCTCTAGCCTTCAATATGTAATAACCAATTCAATATGTCTTGAATATGTTATGATTAAATTAAGTTAACCGGTCTTCTAATGAATCATTCAGTACCGTGGCTTTTTAATACTTAGTTATGCAGCATTTTATAAGTATTCATTTTATTTCAATAAAAAATTGGTGTTGCTCAAAGCAGGGCCCTACCAAATTCAGACATAATGGCTAGGCCTCGCAGCTTTGCGAAGTAACGTTCGTACGAATGCATTTAAAGTCCAGAGGTAACGAAATGCCTTTTATCCACACATCCTTGTGTTGTATTTCAGGCCCTACGCCCTGCATTGCTAAGTGTGAGGGAAATGTGCTATCGAATCAGTGATATGGGCTTGTGCAGTGTGGAGAAAGGCAAGACATACACGCTGTCAGAATTCAGAAGTGCACAGTTTAGGCAGCTGCGTGAGGTATGGAGTTTTGCAGTAATTTTTTGACTTAAATAATTATGCATCAGTAGCACCTTTTTGGCATCTTCTTTGCTTTTCTTATTGAATTGGGGGTTGCCTTGATTGTTTTAATAAGATGATTATCTGGATTTTGTTGTTGTGTGTAATTAAGGAAAGAAGTTGTCACTAGGTAAAGAAAGATCTGGGCACAATCACTGATATTGTTTTAGTTTCGATCATCGTACCTAGGTAATTTGTCCTCAGTAAGTGAATAGCAGAATAAAGTTATAATGAATAACACTTAGTGGATTGCTACTTGCTCCATGGTTGGCTGTTCTCTGACATCTAAAGCTTTCTCTTGTTTTCAGGTTACCAATCGGCTGGCTGAGTTCCGTGAGCTAGTGAAAGAAGTTGTCCGAAGTGCGTGCCGGACTGCTTTGCTTGAAGCCGGGTTTGTTCCTGATGACCACTACCCTGACGCGGACAGTCAGTACGGAGGTGTGTGTTATCTTTATTGAATAGCTGTCTGTGACTTTCCTGATCTCTTTGTGATTATACTAAGCAAGGTAGACTGAATTTTCAACATCCAGCTTAGCAAATTATACTGGCAAATTGCATTTCTTCAAACGCTTTCATCAATTCAAATTATTTTTTAGATATGATGACAGGAGGCATGTTTGGAGACTCTGCCTATGGTATGCAGGGCTTTAATGATTATGATATGTACGAGGAGCCAGACAAAATGACATACACAGAACAAGCAAATAAACGAAGCAACTGTAAAAGACTAACGAGGTATATAAATAAATTGATAGATCGACTGCTATTTTTATAAATATATTCTCCATATCTGTTTACATTCCAATTTTTTCTTGGCAGTGGGTTTATATGCACAGCAAGTATACTTTTCATGACAAAATAAGTCGAATGGATTTACTCTAAGCTAAGTGGATTGAAAATTTCTCTAGCCTTTCTACTTAGCACTCTGTCTTAGCGTTACAACCATTTGTTTCCTTTAATCGTTTCTAAAATTATTCGTTATACAGTGGCTTTTCAGCATAGAAATGGACTATGCCATTTTTATCCTGTTACACACTTCTCCTAGTACCATTGCAGCATTAAACCCTTAACATTCTTTCGACAGCTTTATTCGACTTGCTGACTATCTCATTGTCAACACAATGCATGTGCTAGCTGTCAATTCAGTAACAACCTTACTCAATTATTTCATGGAACAACTGAGAGAAACTCCATCTTTGGACATTATACAAAGGCTCCAAGAGGACATCCTAGTGGCGTCAGATTCTAAGGTACCTGTGTATTTGATTGACAAGATCTACTGCCGTCCATGTTTAATGTAAAAGTCCCAAGAAAACCTATCCTTAAGCGATTTCCTAACCTATTAAAAACCTATTCTTAGTTTTGTTTTTTCTTAAGCGATTTCCCATTGGAATAAACCTTTAGGAATTTCTTAAAAGAATTTTCCAGTACGAAATATTTTGTTTCCTCTTGTCCTAGCAAAGGGTATCTTGTTAAAATGCCTTGTTAAAATTTCGTTTTTTAAACCAGTACAGTGGCAAAGGAATTCTACTGTACATCCCAAGCGTAACATTTATATTTCCATGTTTTAAGAGATCGTCTACATATACTAGAGTCTTAGGCTACCATTTATGCTGACAGAGTGGGCTAATATTTTCTTCGCCTTGAACTTGATTTTGATTTAGTTCTATTCTCTTAATGCAGGAAGACGGAATTCTGGCATCCCTGTTCAAAACCGAGCTTCTTCTTGAGCCCCAAGCACTGCTTTTTAGCCCCAATATGCACGATTTTCAGTCTGGTGTCAGTGAAGTTGTTGTCAGTTTTCAAGATACAGTTCTCAGTGTGGAAAATTTGGTTCCTGATCCATACTTCGACGCGTTCACAAGGTAAAAAGATGGCCCAGTTAATGAGCGCAATATACTTGATATGTAGCGGAAATCCTTTCTTGCAATAGTATTGCATGTATTAGCTAACAATATCAACCAAATGAACGTATTAATACATTGAGGATTGCCATAATTTGTGTGTTATTAGCCATTCAAGATGTAACCTTGATATCACTTTTGTAATAGCCAGTTGGCCATCCACCAAGCTAAGTAATGCAAAATCTTCTAAACTTACTGTACTATGCCTGACCTGATTTTGGAAAATGTTGATTAACATAGCTGCATTACATTTTCCTGTACTTTTCATAACTATTTGGAAAATTTCATTATTTTCTCGATATAAACTTCTTTATATATGTGGTAAAAAAATATCGCCCTATAAAGAAATTTTTGTGTCTTTAAAGGCAATATATAATCACATTAATTAGGATCGCTAAATAGGTCTCGTTCTAATCTTAAAATTTTTATATTCATAAAGGTTTCTCATTTTTGATTTTCCCCTAACATAAGTGATGCATAAAACGCTGGAGTTTCCTTTGAAGTCATCGAGTATCTTATTTCGTTCCATTAAAGGCCTATTATAAATGGAAAAGTCGAGGAGAAGACTTGCGGAGAAGGACCAAGCCTTTCCAATATGTTTGATGACGATCGACATCTGCAAGAGGTCATAAGCAATATTAAAGAATCTCTAGCAGCTGGCTTCGAGGCTGCATGGCATTATGCAAACACATTTGAAGTCTACCGAGAGTTCTACAGTGAAAACGAGAGACAAGATCTGGAGGCTCTCAGACAAGGGCAACACGGTATGTTCATGCATGTTACTTTTATCATCTTCCATCTATAGCCCTGTCTGATTACTCCGACTCTGTAGTCGGTGTCAGTGTCGGTGGATGTTCAACGGATTCATGCTCTTGTCATACAACATACCAACTTAATTATGGAGCCAACGCCTGCTGCCATCCACCCTTAATGTTACTAAACTATATTCGTGACTTGAATTTGCGAATTTTATCAATCTTTTCCATGTTTTTTTAGCAATTTTTATCAATAAGCCATAAGCAATATGCCATCTGATGCCGGTCACATCAAGTTCAGAAATTACTGTCACATCGGATCATAGAACATTCCAATCGATTATTCACAACAAATATATGATTGATCTTAGTTGCCCAAAGATACTCGTTTTGTCATTTTCAAGTTCGATTTTTCGACTTTATTTACGGTTATCCTTCCTTATCTAATACATCTTTAGAATCTGAATTTATTATAACGTTGGTCTTGCTTATTTTAGGTCTAAAGAGAATTTGATTATACTGTTGATTATACTGTCAGTATCGCGCAATGACACCTGTAAACACTCGAAAACAACAGGAGATATAACTGCATCTTTGTCTCAACGTGTTCATTTGCTCTATCGTAGATGTTCCCTTTTACTCTGAATCCCTTGCGAAATATACTCAGCAACATACAGTTGCACAGGGCATAAAAGAAGAGAGGTCTGTTGGAATGCTTCTTGTTGACGCTAGGAAGCTGAAAGAAGTTCTTATTCCTTCGCCACTAAAGTGCTTGAAGGTGTGTAAAGTTTATCAGCAAAATTATTCAGTAAAAGTCGATAATATTTGTTCCATTCCCTCTAAGAGAACTTATCTCAAGAGAACTTATCTTTATAATGTCATGTACAGCTTCATAACCGCATGTTCTTTCAGTATCAAGCAGATTGCTCTTTTTCTTTGCATTTTTTTAAAAATATCAAGCTATCAGATATCACTTGACAATCAAATTGAACTTGGCCTAATAATTGCATTAGGTGTGAAACACCGAGTTGCAACTTAGAGCTGTCCCAATTTGCCCATTCAAGCACGTGCAGAGCATTGCGCACTCTAAAACAAAAATCTTCAGGATTATCAACTCGTTATTCTTCTATCACAGGCCATTCATGAAAACCTTCCTGTCCTCGCGAAAGAGCGTGTTAGAAAACTCAATGAATTTGCGTCGAAAGCTCAGTCGAAACTTGAAGCAAAGCCTACGACAACAGAAGAGTTTGTTGAAAGTCTCAACTTCCTTGATTCAATCCAGGAGCACGTAAGCATAAAAATCACTTCCTTTATATTAATTCCTTGCGCTTCACTGTTCCTTCGTGATATATTTATATCATTACTCAATTCTGGAAAGGAATTGCCATCTTGTAAATTTTCTTCACGGTAAATCAGAACATTGGCTTTTAGTTTCATTTTTTTTTTAATTTCCAATATTTTACACCATGTTTTTAGACCCCAGTTAGATAAGTATATATTCTTTTTTGCCTTTTTATTCCATTACATTTTTATCGTTTTAGAGTAAGCGAATACTGATTCAATTTCTATTTTGTAATTATTTTCTGTTATTTTCAGAAGATTTTCTAGTGTAAGTAAACCCAAATGAGCTGAAAGACAAAGTTTTACCAGGAAATCGTTTTACAGTCCAATGTGACTCTATTTTTTCTTTTATTTGTTTATACATTGAGCTTACTAGATACCCACATCCTTGATGACAATAATAGTTAAAATGATATTTGCTGGTTCAATTCAGATTGACGAGAAAGAGCGTGATGCGGAGACTGTCAAGTCACTTTATGATCTGATTGATTTATACGAAGTGCCAACTCCACCTGAAGACCTTGCAGAGTATCAGGTATTTCAAAAGCCTTTTTGATGTTTTTTCTTTGCCGGATGGAAAAAAGTGTTAGCTGTACTGTCATTATTTCAACCTACGGCTCACTGACCGTCATTCACAGATTGTATACAGTTTTTGTTATTCAATGTATTCAGGTTTTGAAATACAATTTTCCACTGAATTAAATATGTTTGATCTCAAATTTGCAAAACTGCCTTTTTTCCCTATTTCAGCCGTCTTTAATGTATTTTAACATACGTTTTAATGCTGTTTGTTAGACTATTGTTAGAACCTAAGTCACCATTAATATGCATGTTCAAAAGTCTATCACAACCCTTCACAACAGTAGGATATTTTTTAATTGTAAGTAACTTTGTTAATTAACAATAATGTACAATCAACGACTAAATGTGTATTTTTTTGTCCTGGATTTCTAGATGAAGGTAGATGATGATTTACTAATCATCATAAAAAATTATTCTAAGAGTTTTTCTTCGACGTAAAATCAAATAAATATTATAAGAGTAGCTAGATTGTTTTGTCTTTGCTGTTAGTGATCATGGAGATGTTATTTCGCACTGTTTTTGGTATCTTGTAGACTCTACGGCCATCAATGACTGGTGTAAGGAATGCCATTGATAAATCGCTTGCTGAACGCGACTCAAACATTGACAGGTTCTGCACTTCACTTGATAAAGATATTGCTATATTGAGCAAAGAAGTCAAGAAAGTGAAGCAAGAGGCGCAGGTAGGCTTGAAGAAGGGTCGTACTCTTTTTGTTGGATAGCACTATTCTGCCCGTTTATAGCATTCTTCTATTCACAATTTTTATTACAATGTGCAAGGACAACGTCTCTGTTATTTCTTCTTCAGAACCCAGAGATACTTGATGCAACTGCAAAGATGGATAAGACGATTCCCTTGCTTACCGACCTGTATGAGCGCGTTGATGAACTAACTAAAAGATCCTTGAAGTATAAAGGGTATCAGAAGAACTTTAAAGTCGAAGTTACGAAATTTGAAGAGTTGGAAGAAGTTTTTGCAGAAATAAAGCTAAAACAGCTCTTATGGGATTCATTAGCGAACTGGGATGAGGCACATGAAAATTGGCTCCAGGTAACTTGAAAACATGACTTTGAACAGTTTTTAAAATGATTAATATTAACATTCAACTCGTAAAAGATGGCGAACATGTTTAGAAGTTTATCCTTTATGTATTTTTTGTCTTTTAGACTCCTTTCGATAATCTTGACCCGGAAAATCTTAATGCTGACGTCATGAAATACGTGAAAGATACTCTTAAGCTTGAGAAGGGTTTGCCTCCCAATGGTGTTGTCCCAATATTGAAAGAAAAAGTCGAAGACATGAGGTTGAAGGTAAGGCCATTATATTAATTTTTTCAATGATTAAGGAATAATTCTTCAAGACGGTTTTTGACAATTAAAGATATTAAAATCTGAGCAAAACGTTGCTTTACATATAATTTGTTTTAAAATTCTATTCTGCAATTTATCTTGTCGTCGTGTGGCGTTGTCCCTGCCTATCTCTTTACATCTCTCTTTGCAAGATTCACAGAATCCAGTGAAAAGCCTATCTTGCATATTTTCTTCTGACATACAAAACGTACTTTGATTGGTCCTGCAAGTTCTTGGTACCCTAGGCATGCTCCTTTATCAAATGATGAGACCCTATATGCCAGAGAAAAACATATATTTTGGTATCGATTTACATTTTGATATTGCTGTCTTTTTTATGCTTTTCGTGTCTTTTTCGTGTTTCTGCGCTCTTTTGCTAATACATTCCGTTTTCTTTCCTGTTACTAAGATATCTTTCATGCAAAATTATCGATGTATTCATTTATGCGAGCTATTTTAACCCTTTACTTTAGGTTAAGTGGATGAGATTTTTTAGAATAGGCATTTAAATCGTAATTTTGATTTTATCAAGTTAGTGTTTTCTTAAGCTAGATAGTGCCAAAAACTGTAATGGCGATATGTTTCGAATTATTGATAGAGCCCGGTCGCTGCTCCAACTAGCAGTTATAGAATCTATCTACATAGAAATGAGAAAATGCTATTGTGTAAACAGCAGGAGTTCGTTTTCACCTTAGGACTCCATTGCAATCTTTTGAAAAGGGAAGCGACACTGATTGGGCAACCTCAACTATTATGTGCTCGCGTTTCTGATTAGCCTATTTCGATCCACAACTGATTATATATATTCCCTAGCTGAGAAGATTCGATCTATATTCTGTCGTTTCATACTCTGAAGAGTGTCAGACGAAAAGCTTGAGTACGTTTCAAAATGTGTGCTTCCTCAAAGTCTTTGTACTTCGACTATTAAAATTTGATGTAAACAAAAACAAATGAAAGCATTATCTTCTTGTTTTAGCTGCCTGTAGTATCAGACATGCGAAATCCTTCATTGAAGCAAAGACATTGGGATGCTATTGAGCATGTTGTTGATTACATTTTTAAAGAAGATGAACCAATCACACTTGGTCTTCTTGTACAAATTGGCGCTTTTGACCATTCAGAGAAGATTCAAGAGATATCTGCACAAGCATCGAGTGAGGCATCACTGGAAGGTATCCTCAAAAAGGTAATTAAGCTTATAAACCGCTGTGTTTTTCGTTCAATTTCCATGAAAAACGCTTCGTTGAAATGTTTAAGATCCTTAGTTTTCTTTAAGACATATGTTGCTAAAATCAAAAACATTTTTTATAAGTTCAGTAAAAGTTTTGCTCGCCCTTTAATTTTTTAAAGACATTTCAAATTCTTTGAGTTTCTGCGAGATAAAAATTCTTGTACAATTTTTCAATCATTTTGTTATGTTGTTTGATCTAACCAAGCTTTGATATCAACAGCAAAGTCAAATTTTGATTCCATTTCTATAGGTGGAGGATTCTTGGAAATCAACCGAATTCATTGTACTTCCGCATCGTGACTCTAAGGATGTCTTCATACTTGGCGGCATTGATGACATACAAGCTTTGCTTGATGATAGCCAAGTCAGTAAATTTCTCTGGTGTCTTATTGTTATGTCTTATCAATAGCCTTGTATTTCTTGTAAGAGATAATCGATACATTGCTTGAACATTCATCCTATCGAATGCTATTTTGGTTTTCTCGAATGTACACGAAGAGCAGTATTTCACTGAAGCGGATTGAATCATTCTATTAAAGTAGAAATTGCTAATGGAGCTCAAAACACTTTTAAACATATTGCTGAAACCGTCTCTTATATTGCTTCATTTAAAACTCTATCACGTCTTCAGGTCAACATCTCAACAATTGCTAGCTCGCGCCATGTTGGACCAATCAGAGGGAAGGTCGAGGAGTGGGTCAAACAATTGGCTCTTTTTAATCAAACTTTAGTAAGTCACTGTTGTTTTTCTGCAATCTTTTAACAATTAAGCTCATTTTGGCTCACTGATGAGAAGACAATACACATTGACATTTTGAATTTTCCAACTTAAAATTTGGCAAAATCTTCATTTTCAAACCAACTATTAATTCGCTATATGATATTTTACAGCCCTTCTTAAGTAAAATATCTTTTGTCATTTATCATCAATAATGTTTCAATATTGTTTTTAAACCGATAAACTTCAAAAGCAAATTTTTCTATAAGAATTTCCGGAATATCACATCATCATCTTTGTAGGATGAATGGATGACATGTCAGAGAAACTGGCTTTACCTAGAAAGCATTTTCAGCGCACCAGATATAGTCCGGCAATTACCTGCAGAAGCAAAAATGTTCATGCAAGTTGACAAATCATGGAAAGATGTGATGAGAAAAGTTTACAGACTGCCAAACGCACTCCGGGCAGCAACCACTCCGGGTTTGCTGGAAACATTTCAAAACAATAACTCTTTGCTGGATCAAATTCAAAAGTGCCTTGAGGCATATCTTGAATCAAAGTGTATTATTTTTCCAAGGTAGGTTCTAACTTGCATTTGTATTTGATTTGGTGATTGTTTGTCGCTGTAGAGGTGAATATGGAAGATCAGATTCAAAATGAAAAATTTCTGTATTCTCTGATCCGGGTGATTTTTATCTTCACATTTTGCAAAAGTGGATCATAGAATTGGAATCTTCATGTTAAAATTGATCTGTGCCGAAAATTTCAAGTTGTGTGGGCCGTCAAACTGCGAATTAACCCATTTTCAAAATTTAGCTTTTCCTATACATTTCAATGAAATTTGTTGCTGTAGTAAAATTCTTTCACTGCAGCAGCAAATTACGGTCAGATCTAAAGAAGTATCTAAATATTCAAAACAAAGTAACTCGCGACCGAACGGTCCAAACAACATGATTTTTTCATTATAAACTAATTTAAAGATGAAGATTTCAATTCTGAAGCCCATTTTTGAGAAAAATCCACAGGTAGCGAGTTACAAAATTGATGACATCAGGCCGAAACCGAGAATTGGACATTTTATCATCTTGACATCATTAAAAAATAACTATCCCTGCACTAGCTGTCGCACAGAAGATCGCTTGCATTGACGGAGAGATATATTTTTGCGTTATCCTCAATTCCAAAATTTTTAGTTTTGTTGTCTGTCTCTCTTTAATAGCCTTGTGCTTTTGAAGCTAATTGTATTCTGAAGATGAAGCATAGAACTGCTTTGTAACGTTAGTTTTGAAAGGATTAGCCTAGACCGGAATTAGTCGATGATTTTTCTCACAATATTTTTATTGAAATGTTGTTACCATGAATTTGTCTATTTTAGATTTGCCTTTTTTGGAATTTGGCTTGAAAGACTGAATAATGACATTTGATTATCTTCGCAATTTTCGTTCTCCTTCTACTCAAATGAAAACTTCCAGAGCGTTTAGCGACCCTACGCAGTGTCTAGAGTCTAGCAAGATAGAGCTAGATAGGAAGCTAAAAAGCTACCACACGGTCCAGTTTACAATGCTTAAAATCGAAGTTATCAATATAAGTTTGGATTACTTTGTATTTGAATTCTTGCCTTACTGCTTTTTTTAATTGTTGGATTTCTTATCAGAGCATTATTCCTCTTTAATTTTTTGTTATGCTTGAACGAATTTTGTTCAATTTTCAGATTTTACTTTCTATCCAACGATGAGCTTTTGGAAATCCTGTCACAAACGAGAAACCCACACGCAGTGCAGCCTCATTTGCAAAAATGTTTTGATGCTATTTCAAAGTGAGTGTGGCTTAATATTTCTTCGTTTGTTTCCTTAGCATTTTATGGTTCTTATTAAGTTTGGTGAAATTTCTAATTTCGTGTTTGACCAATCAGCGCCAACAGCAAAAAACAATTTTTAAGGAGATAATAAAATTAGATTTTTTGGTGGTAAGCAGTAAATTTACCAACAGACCATAAATTCTAGAGATTCAATTCATTTGAATAACATTCATCATTTTTCCTATATACTACATTCTAGCCTTTCTTTCGTAACATATTTCGGTTTTGCTTTGCAGACTGGAATTTGGAACTTTGCAGCAAACGTCTCAGACGCCCGAAAAGCCAGGAACCTCATCAGGAGAAAGACGTAAGGGAAACTAAAGATTTCTCTGATTTTGGTAGAAATTGTCATTATATGCCTCATATTGCATAAAACATCCAAATTATGTGGCAGTTGCATTACTGACTTTTGCAAGTTAAAATAAACATACAATATTTTCTGAGAATTGCCAGAGCATCGTAATATTCGAGTCTTAAAGTTTACGAACCCAGTAATTAATTAAATCCCTAAGCTATCAATGCTGCAGCAAAAGTCCTTGTCATCCTTCCTCCCGCTTAGTGTTGATTATACAGACCCCATTTTTGATCCGTGCTAGCGGAAACAGAATCAAAAATAGGTATGGATCCACAGCAGCTCACGTTTACCCTGGGACTTTGCTGGAAGGGCTCCATTAAATTGCCTCCTTTGAGAGCTTGAAGCATTTGAGGTTTAGTTGCATCTAGTCGTCGTTTGAAGAGCATTTTCTGATATTTTAAAAGAGTTAATTTCTGAAAGTGACATTAATGAATATACTTTTTTGGGCATCTATAAACAAATGAAGCGCGTTGAGTGCGAACGACTCAGTCAAAGAGTTTATATTTGGTTCTCGTGTAATGTATTTCTCTAAATTTTGTCTCAGGTTGAAGTTAAATTTTTAAAGACTTGAGTTGATAGACCTAATTTCAATGATCGTGTTTTTCTATTTTTGAATAACTTGCTACTTTCTTGTTGATATTTAGCGCATTCTCCAACCAAAAATGTTGAAGCCAAGAGTAATGATATTATTGCAATGATCTCACCGGAAGGAGAGCGAGTCAATCTTGGAAAGGTTTGTTTTTGAGAATTTTTTAGTACGGCAAAAACGCCAAATTTTTCATCTAGAAATTATTTAGAAGGCTCATTTTTTTTAATATTGTGTTAAAAAACGGAACAACATAAAAAGTTACTATTTCGTAAGAGGCTATTTAAAAGAAGATTGACTTTTTTGGTAAAGAAGCCGTTAGAATAAGTTTTCATCTAAAGTCATTTTATTTGCAAGCATTTTTGAGAATTTTTTAAATTTCTTTATTCACACAGAAAAAATCTTTTATTTACAAGATTCCTCATCTATGATTGTTTGTTGTTTTTACGAAACGATGAAATTTGATCAAATCTGTTACTCGGCTCTTGCAGGGTTTAAAGGCACGTGGGAACGTCGAAGAGTGGCTTGGGAAAGTTGAAGACTCGATGTTTACGTCACTAAGGAAACTGACGAAAGGATCTCTTGCTGAATATGAACTAAAGCCGAGAGAGGAATGGGTGACAGAACACCCCAGCCAGGTAATTTTGACTCACCTTTGAAACTGCAGATGTTAATTTTTGTGCGGAAAGATGAATGTCTCTTTTCGTAGCATCAAAATACGTGTTGTGTTATTTCGGTCCAGTTTTTAACTTTCTTTAATTGAGTGCAACACTTCTTCAAGCCAGAAGACAACAAAGAATCGTTATTTCATGTTAAAATATAAATCCTTCCTTTATTCCTCTTATTTTTATATTTGTATTGCATTCAAGCGACCTTAAAGCCTATTAAACTATTAAGTAAAACTATTAAGCTTGAAGCCTATTCAAATAAAAAAAATTGACTATATCATAATCATCATTTTTCTTCTGCAGGTTATTCTAACAGTCTCACAAACCATGTGGTGTCGTGATGTCACTGAAATACTCACGATGGAAGGAGACAGAAATGCAGCATTAAAAGTTTTTGAAGACAAATGTTTCAAAGTGAATATTTATTTCGATATATGACAATATTTAAAAATAAAGAAGAAACAATGATTGTAGAAAACGTAGTTTTGAGAAAGTCTTTTGGCAGCCTAACATCCACATTCTCCCTGTCATTTCGTGAAGGTGAAAGCGACGATCTTCGCTAGGTGAAATCCATCACCATATTGATTGGATACTCAGAATTCCTCTATGTGTGTGAGGATCTTTACGTTACATATGTCTTGTCTGAGGCTGCTTTAAGCAGTTTCCATTAATTTCAAAACTTTTACGTTCTTGGTCAAAGCTAGAAGCATTTTCCTGCCAGTTGTCTTTTACTCAAATTCTTTTGTCAAGTTGAAGATGAAGAAAATATTTTCTTTGTCTTTGTGAGAACTTTTTGTCTGTATAGTACAGTTTCCGTTTCTTAGACATAAAACCTATACGGTAATCTAATGATATTGTAATTTATCTATTGTAGAATCTGAACCAGCTTGCAGCTCTTGTACGTGGTGAACTGCCAAAGCTAGCTAGAAGCACGCTCTGTGCTTTGATCACAATCGATGTCCATGCCAGAGACATTATCACCGAAATGGTCCACTCAAAGGTATGTTTGTTTACCATTTCCAAAAAGGATTTTAAATTAACATTTTTATAAGCAGTTTCCTGGCTGCCGATCCTTGATAAGATCAGATAGGATAACGATTTAGGTATTCTAGAAGAAAGTTAGAATTTCATATTTGGATAGGGATTGAGTTGTATCCAAGTTCTTGATTCTATAGAATATCTACGATGTCACCCAAAAGCCTCGGAACGCCAACAGCATGTTGCCTGTTTGCCATATAAAAACACTATTCGAACCTAAATGTTTATTTTGAAACAAGGATGGCTGTGGTGCACTTCCAAAAATTGTTTGGGGAAAGAGGGAAAATTAGCCATTTTTTGGACGTAAATGGAAAATAGACCAAATTGACTGAAACTGCGTGGCTGTTCCAAACACTTTCTTTCTGGTGAAATGTTTATAATGATTAGCTGCCTATTTGTACATGTAGCGATCGTCATGTTCGTGTACGTTGATCCTCCTTAACCATTTAAAACTGCTGTAACTAAACGCTTTATTCTCTATAAACTTCTTTGAGGTTTTAAATGGATAGGTATCTAGAGGAGAAGAGATTTTGTTTGTAAAACTTTGCATGAATGCATATTAACAGTTGTTTTTATTTCTTGAAAGTTCTGTATACATTTCTTTCTGTTTCATTTCTCACATTGTTTGCTTCCATGTTAAATTTATTTACAAATTCCAGGTGAATGATTCAAATAATTTCGAGTGGCTGAAACAGCTTCGTTACTACTGGGACAGTGACCTCGATAACTGTATCGTGCGCATGTCAAATTCTACATATGTGTATGGCTACGAATACCTGGGCGCTTCTCCACGCCTTGTCATCACCCCCTTGACTGATCGTTGCTACTTGTGTTTAATGGGAGCATTGCAACTGAATCTCGGGGGTGCCCCTGCTGGACCTGCTGGTACAGGAAAGACAGAGACTACAAAGGTATAATCTCAGCTTTTTTTTTGCTTATCGTGTATTATTCCTCTTAGGACGAATCACTTCATTGTATTTACAGATTTTTTATGAATATGTTTTAATATCCTCAACTTTTATGTATTTGCTCAAATAATTGTCTTTTGTATCAACTTTTGGCCAGAAAGTTTCATTCTTGTTTACTGTGCATGAGTTTCTTATAAAGACCTATATGCTTGGGAGAAATATTTATGGTTAAAATTGAAACGATAATCCAGAAAAGCAATGAAAAATTAAATATATTTATATTCTTGATGTTATTTTCTACTTCATTATTTTATTCTTCCTCTAGTGGCGTTGTTTCTTCTCGCTGCTTATCAATTTCACGTCTTCTCTGATTTCTTCAATTGATCTTTTCAGGATTTGGCAAAAGCCTTAGCCAAACAGTGTGTTGTTTTCAATTGCTCTGAAGGTCTTGACTACAAGGTACTGTTTACGTTCATTTTTAGCACTGCTTCCTCGATGTATCAAAATTGTACAAAATTTCCATAGACTTTTTATTGTCTTTTGTATTATCAGACCTTCCGGCAGAACGTTTTTCGCCCGATTGCTTAGCTACGAAAATTCGTGGCTTCTCATTCTAAGAGGGGTGTGTATTGCCTATTGGTTTGACATTCCTTGTTGCGGAGAGTAAAAAAATGGCGGTTGCACTGCTGACGATCTTGATGAGGTTTTAGACATTAAATGAATTGTTGCTGCCAGTCGAAAATCGGCCTTGTTTTTACTGGTTTCCTAGGGAGGTTTTTGAAGCTAAAGATTTTTTCAGAGAGGGATGTGTTTCTGGGTAATTCTAAGTCTTCCCGAGCTAAGTGACATGTACCCATTAGGTGTTGGGCCAATAAAAGTTCATTTATTTCCTTCTCTGTTAATGCATTTCGTTTTGATTGACAATTGCTCTTTTTACAGATGATGGGAAGATTCTTCTCTGGGCTGGCACAGTCAGGTGCTTGGTGTTGTTTTGATGAATTCAACAGGATAGACATCGAAGTCTTATCTGTCATTGCTCAACAGCTCCTGACCATAAGGAATGCAAAAATTGCCAAGGTACATGATTTGATTTTTGACACTCTCTATTTCGTGTTGGAATTAGCAAGGATTTTATCAAATTCACAACCCTTTTAATTTCATCCTAATAGATATTGTGACTTTTTCGGCAAAAATCATCGTTTATTTTAACAATTGAAATAATAGATTGAGATTTCGGAAAACGCAGCTTAATAATGAAATTAATAACCAGTATAACGACAAAGAAAAAAAACATCATGTATTCGTCAACTTCTTGCTACATCGTAGACAATTCTAATTTTGACATATCCATTAAGACATTAAGACAGTTCCAATTTAGGCATTACGACAAGTCCATTAAATTAAATTAAATAATGTTTCGACTCTGGCTAGAGTCATTTTCAGTATAATTACTGGCGAGAAAAAATCAGCTTAAATACGAAAGAGCTAAACAAAGGGGATCAAAGGGGCTACATTTCGCTCTTTTTATTGAGTTATTTAGTTTTTTTGTATTTCTGACAGTTATTTTCACCGTGAAATGTACCTATGACTGATCTATAGTGTTTTCCTAGTATAAAAACCTCTTAACCTTTCTTATCTTGTATCTTGTCCTTGGTTCGAAGTAGATTCTGCTACTATGATATCCAATGTTTTCTTTTAGGCTGCGCGGTTCATGTTTGAGGGACGTGAGATCCGATTGATACCAACATGTGCAGCGTTCATAACAATGAATCCTGGATATGCAGGCAGAACAGAGCTGCCTGATAACCTGAAAGCTTTATTCAGACCTATGGCCATGATGGTTCCTGATTATGGTAATAGAAAAACTATTGTTGTTTCATGATAGTGGCAGTCAAGTTTTAAACTCCAAATTTCTCGAAGTCAAGGAATAACATTATTTATTTTAAAGGGCTTTGTTTAAACATAGTAAACAGAGCATGGTTCGCGGGACAGTCTGCGTGTGTATGGGATCGTGCGGGATAGCGTGTGCGCGGGATAATAATTCTGTAGTTAAAACATATATAACCGTTATGGATCAGATAATGAACGGTACACGGTAGATGTAAATACATTATACAATTACATATACACCTTAAATCCAGCATTACGTTCCTAATGTTAAAGAGTTGTTTCTGCCTCGCGAAAAGTAAAACACTCTTCTCGATGTCCATCAATTGATTTTCAACAAAATGTTACTTCGATTACTCTCAGCTTCATTTTCCCGGAAACCAATATGCAGTCGTGCCCCTCCAAACAAATCTATATTGTAGTATAGCTTTAAAGATTCACTCAACATAAAAGTCATTCCGAAATTGATTCATAAAGTATAGTCAATCAGATAATTGATTACGTTATACTTCAAGTTTCCTTATTCGAAATTTTAACTCATTTTCCTTGACAGTGATAAGTACTGGACAATGACTCTAAAACTAAAATTGCTGATAACTAACAAATCTAGGCTATTAGACCAATAAAGCTGGGACAGGGCATTGTTAGGTCAAATAGGCTATTGTTAAGTTATAGGATATGCTTAAAGTCTTGAAGTTTGAATAAGCAATGCATCTTTATAGTATCATCTCATGATCCTTTTTATCCCTAGCCTTTTCTAGCATTAGTGGTCTATTTTTTCACAAAATATCTCTCTTTTAGCTTTGATTGCCGAGGTAATCCTGTACTCAGAAGGTTTTGAGTCCTCTCGCGTGCTCGCTAGAAAAATGGTACAGATGTATCAGCTCTGCTCTGAGCAGCTTTCACAACAAGATCATTATGACTTTGGTATGCGTGCAGTCAAATCAGTGCTTGTTATGGCTGGTGCCTTGAAGAGAGACAACCCAACGTTGCCTGAGAATGTTGTACTTATCAGAGCCTTGCGAGATAGCAATCTGCCAAAGTTTCTATCCCAAGATGCAGTTCTGTTCAGGGTAAGCGTAGTCAAATCATCTTCTTGGCCGAAGTAGTATTTTGCTTTGTTTATCTAGCCTTTCCCGAGACTAGGCCATTTTTCTATGCGTTATAGTTTTTCTGAGGACCTTCCACTATTTTGTAACTCTTATTCTTCACACGATTAGATGACAACAAAGTTTTCCAATGATTGCGATTAAAAAGATGGGTTAGATACTACACACGAAAGATGCCTGTACTTAATTTAAACTGAATTTCAAGCAGGGATTTGTTATTACTTCAGCCCTTGAGGTTCGCCAATGCACGCCGAATGCATTCGTTTTTATGTCTTCTCTCCAGGCTATACTGCAGGATCTGTTCCCTGGTGTACAGATTCCAGATCATGACTATGGAAGGCTTCAATCTGCTATTGAGGACGCCCTCATCGCAAAGGGATTACAGGTAACGACTTTTGCTACTTTGACTTCATCATAGGCGCTGACCCTTTTTTTTCCAGAGGTGGCTCAAAATTTCAAATGTGAAATATTGTTATGACGAAGGGATGGCTAGATCATAAGAAACAAGTTACATTTTATATGGCTGGCCTTCTGTCGTCGCCTTATCAAATAACATATTTTCTACAATTCAGGCCAGGAAGGTTATCCAGAGGTTCATCGGAATGTTTGCCCCAACATGCCCAAAAAATAAATAGTATCCAGGGGGTGGAGCCCCGCGAGATATTCTGTGCTGATCATTTACTTGCCCAGAGACATAATTGCCTACTTTAACATGACTCGCAATTCTCAACTATTCTTAGTTTTCACATGGTCGTTTTGTATTAAAACTAATAAGCCCCAAGATTTATGCAAAATCTCAAGATTTGAGTGAAAGCGGAGCACCGTTATTGCTCACTTATAGGTGTAAACTTAAAGATCAATATCTTGATTTCAAGCTTACTTTCTACTCGATGTTGTACACCCTAAGGATGGGTAATTTATTGTTTCAGCATGCAATTGTATCCTAATTTTTTGTACAATGCTATAATTTTTCTTCAGAATTATGATATAACAAAAATCTTGAAACATAATTTAGCTCATTCGTGAATGTATTTTTGTTCCAGTCGTTGCCTTCTATGGTGCGCAAGACAATCCAACTTTACGAGACAATGATAGTTCGTCATGGAGTTATGTGCGTTGGACCAACAGGAGGTGGCAAATCGTCAAGCTATGAGGTATCTGCTCGTTGTAAAGCAGAATGCTTATAGACTTCTTTGCTAGCTTACATGAAACATCCTGAATGACCTGGTTTTCATTTCTTTTAATGTTTTATTGCATTTTCCAGGTTCTAAAGGATGCTTTGACAAATCTATTCAAAGATGGCCTTGACAACCCATTTTATAGGCCTGTAAACACATTTGTACTCAACCCCAAGGTAAGCATCTTTAGCCCTTAGTACTTTCGTCCAAATTAAGCTTAGCTTTTGGAAAATATAATTTTTTATTGATGCATTAAAAAATTTCCAACCGATATTGGAGTCCTGCAGAAACTAATCTACATTGAATTAGCTTACAATTTGATTGCGTAGAGTAGTAAAAAGTATGATTTCCTATTTTCTTTGCATTTTTCCAATTCTTCTTTGTTCTTATTTCTTTAAAAGGTGTATTTTTGTTTATTTTTATTTATTTTTGTTTTTTGGAAATTCTGCTTCAAATTGTACTTTGTAGTACCAGAATAGATAATGTTATGTATTAACGATATTAATCACAAGCAGTTGACTTAAATACAGTAAAGATATTGTAATTGTATATACCTGTTTATGAACTCTTGGCTGATTTTATTAAGATTTGAAATCCTAACTATTTGAAGGTCCTTCTGACTCCGCCATGTTTTCTAGCTGTTCTTGTTCTACTCGCTGTAAACCTTGAGATATCAAGTTAAATTTATTGCAAGGAGACCTTTTCGTGGGCTTACTGCAAAGCTTTTTCTTACAGTCAATAACAATGGGCGAACTTTACGGAGAAGTGAATAAACTTACGATGGAATGGAAGGACGGTCTTATGGCAATGACAGTTAGGCAGTGTGTTCAGGTAAAATGCCAAAGCTTGCTATCTTTTCAACGACTTCTAGAGCTTTACAAATGTTTTTAGAATAGCTTTTTGACTCAAAATGTTGCTACCTACTGGAGATCTATAGAGAACCCTCCAAAGCTTTGATTCAAACCTAGATTTGCCGGATACTTTTTCAGACCAGCTTCACATACTACAGAGAATAGTCAAGTTTAGCTTTGCAGTTTTTCTTGACTTCTAAATTAATGATTACCTTGTTGATAGAAAAGGGTCTTCAAATCGTTGTATGTTCCAGTCTTTATAATACCTGCCTTGCATAGGTCGAAATAACTTGATTTCATTTATCCCTCTCGTCCAACTTAGAACCGTAGATTTTTCAAGTCAAATCATAGTCTTTCAAGATACAACATGGCTTATCTTTTGCAATTTTCTGATATAGGAAACAAACGAAAATCATAAATGGATTGTCTGCGATGGACCTGTTGATGCCCTTTGGATTGAAAACATGAACACAGTCCTGGATGACAACAAAATGCTTTGTCTTGCTAACAGCGAGCGTATCAAACTCAACAATACAATTCACATGCTTTTTGAAGTGCAAGATTTGGCAGTGGCATCTCCTGCAACTGTCAGTCGGTAAGCCAAGTTAATAGATAATTAAGTAAAGCCAATATGTTACATGTCATCACTTAAACCTACAGGTATCTTCCATTAGGGAGTTTCTAAATGCTCTGATATGTTTTCAGTGCTATTCACTGAAACATTTTTTGTAACCCTAAATTTTCAATGAATCAGGAACTTTGTGTAAACAATTTAAAAGCTAATCAAAAATAATCGTTCAATCATTATTGTTTTTCCTCATTTTGCAATGAAATAGCAAATTGAATAGGATGAATCCAATAATATCATCATCATGTCATATATTACCAAATAAGCGATTCAAGTACATTTCAAAAGCCATCAAGAATTTTGTAGCACCTTGAGTATTATATTTGGAAATGTGTGTTTTTCAAGAGTAAAAAAAAATTTGTTAAGAGCCCTTATGTTGTGGTTCAGATGTTTATATCTATCAGATACTTCTGCTAACCGGGGCTTGGTGATAGGGGCTCTGCTAAACGAGGGTCTGTTAAACGGGATTAAGGGGGACTATCCTCTCTTAAAATGGGATTGGTTTGGGCTCTACTGAATGGATACTACAAAAAGGGAGTTATGCTAGAAGAGGACTCTTTGCTCAAAATGAATCTGCTTAGTGTCTCTGGCAAAAGTGGCTCCTTCGAAGACAGCTCTGTAAAGGTAGTTCTGTAATGTGATGTTTTCATTGGCAGATGTGGAATGGTTTACTATGATCCTGGAGACCTTGGTTGGAGACCATATGTGCAGTCGTGGTTGCAGAAAGTTGGGCATCGATACAAAGAGGAAACAAGAGTATGTTACCTAGGGTTTTATGAATTTTATAAAATGTGGATACTTTTAAAAACGACTATTTTTTTCTTTTGAAATACTTCAACCATATTTTCAAATTATGATATAAGATAAGACAGGTTTTGTCTTTTTTGTCTCGATGTCATTGTTAAAGTAAAGATTGCATTTATGTTATTAATGTTTTGATGTTACCGAGCATTATCCAAGGACAGTTTTTGCAAAAACTGTCTAAAAAAGAGATCGTATGATTTGGTGGAGTGTGCTTTACATCGTTCTTTGCCCTCTTCCGATATTATGAGCTTGATCTAATTTATAGAAGAATTTGTTTATTTATCATTAACTTTAGCAAAAGATTGTCTCCCACTTTTCGAAGGGAATCTTATTTGAATGCACGTGATTGATATGTTTGAAAAGCATTTTTCTTTAATTTTATTGTATTTTAATGTTTAGAACTACTCATACATCTTCTTTGATTTTGCAGGATTATATGATGCGACTTTTTGAGCAATATATTGATAATGGCCTGAAGATTGCAAGAAAGAAATGTGTTCAAGCCATACCACAGGTGAATAACGACCAAAATTTTGATTGGAAGAAGTTAACTTTTTCTAAACATGGTCCTATACTGTTTTAAAATTTGTAGAGGCAGATAAAAGTTTCTTATGTCCTTACTTTTAATGACGAGATACAAAGTAGGATGGATTTAGACCTGCGGATAAGGTCAACGACTTTGGATAAGTACAAACTGTTAGACAAACTCGCATAGATTTTAGAACCAGGTGGGCAAAGAGGAAGTATAGGTCTGGTTAATATTAAGATTTAGCTTGTCCATGCTTGGAGAGTCATGTTACAGTAATATTTATCGCAATACCTTAAAAAAATTCACAGTAAAATATATCATAGTTTCGTTATATTGCAAAATATTATCTTTAAACTATTTAAATACCCATCAGCTTATGGTTTAATTATTCTTCCGCCATTAGCTTTGGTTCTTCTGTTGCTAAATCCTCAACTAGTTTGTCACGCTGTTTTCACTATCATCGTGTCTCATCATTCAGGTTGATATAAGCAAAGTCAGCACTCTATGTGCGCTGCTTGAAAGTCTAATCTTCCAAGATGAAGGACCACCAGATCCGAAGATGGACCCTGTCAGGCTGCATCCCTTGATTTGCACTGTCTTTGTGTTTTGCTACGCTTGGGCTATTGGTGGCAACCTGGTCGAAAGCAGTATAGATATTTTTGATTCCGCCTTGCGGGAGATGTTTCAAGATAACAATGATGTTAGGGTGAGTTTATCTTATGAGCCAAAGTCCTTGTGAAAAGTGCTTGCAACAATCTAAAGAAACTAACAGTTTAGTGATAAAAATAACTGACACAGCACCGCATCTTTCCCAAAATAATGTTTTTGGTAGAGTTTGTTTGGTATCTAAATTAAAAACTAATTGAAAGGAATGAATTTGACAAGTTTTGAAAAGTGTTGAAGACAACATTGCTTGAACGATGAGATTAGGATGGCATAAGCAGTATATTATAATCAAATTTGTTATGTCAAGGCGTTTTGCAGACTTTAATACATGCAAGTTTGCAACCCCTCTTTGCTCTGTCTGATGACTTTCCACTTGCTGTAAGGTAGAATTTCCATGTATGCGATGCTAGAGAAAAGTGTACAAAATGGAAAAATGAAATTTTTGCGATTGCAATTGTGAACAAAATTGTTCCACGAGACTTTGAAAGCAATTTTTATCAGCCTGTGACAGCAAAGCTTAACGTCACATTCCATTTAAAATTTTATCATGGTGGAATTTTATATTCATAATTATAATTCTGCATATTGTTGTTTTAAGACTCTGCATCGATAAATTGCTTGAAAATTCTTGAAAGCTGAATTTCTTCTTGGTTTATCTCACAGCAACCTGCCTCTGGTGACATGTTTGGCTATTATGTAGATCTTGACACAAGGCGATTTGAGCCGTGGGAGAAGATCGTTCCATCATTTCAATACAACCCAAAGGTAACATTAAATAATCTTTGAATGAAACTATTGAAATTTTGCTTTAGCTTGCGTCTTTTTCAAAGTTATTCTTCGTTAACGCATAATTGACTCTATTTTCAATGCAAAAATTGTTCAGACTACTCTGACGTTTTAGCCCAAACGTCGTTGATGGTAAATAAATCCTTCTCTAAATTTAGGCAACTGTTTTTCATGAGATTTTTTATCTATAACATTTAATTTTAATCAAAGTAGGCTTAAATTGCATCTATTTTTCTGAATAATTTTCAGATATCCATGTTTAAACTATTTTCTGTCAGCTTTGACTGTAATACAGAACCAATAGTTATATGAAATTAAAGAATGAAAGGTTGATCAACAACTTACAAATGGTTAAGGAATCAAGAAAACAGGAAATTATTCTAATCAATGGCATTTAAAATTTATTACTTAATTGGCTTGTATAAATATTTTCTTAGAGTGTTTATAACTAACCAGGTGTATGTTATTTGATGTCCTATTTACTTACATATTCTAATCAATTTACAGATGCCGTATTTTGATATCTTGGTTCCAACTGTTGATACTGTGCGGTTTGGATATCTTATGGAGAAACTGCTCTCAACAAGACGTTCTGTTCTTTACACAGGCACGACTGGCGTTGGCAAGGTAAATTGATTTATTTGATTGTTTAGGCTTACGTTCTAAATGCTATATACCTAATGAAATGAAAACTCAGTTTGCCAATGTTCTTTAAAGCTCTTCTATGTTTTGGATTATAAAGAAAGTGTACAGAGTTTGGTCTTTTTCGAATTCTTTTGCTTTCGTTGAGGATGAGATACTTTGAATATCAAGTGTGTATCTACTTAATCCTATAGATGTACATTCATCGATCCTAAATCGTTTGCCATTCTTTGGGCTGAATATGATAAGTTATACTTTAGTTATTTCTCATCACTGCTGACTCAGTCCCTCTTTCAAATTTTTCTTCTTTAGTCTGTGATTGCCCGTGGGTTGCTTGGAGAAATTGCAGACAAATACAACTATGTACCTGTGTTCATGAACTTCTCAGCGCAGACAAGCAGCATGAGAAGTCAGGAAATGATCGAATCAAAGCTAGAAAAGAAAAGAAAAAACATTTTAGGTATGCTAGATTTTCTCATGTTTCTCCTTGACTCTTCTTTTTAATTACCTAGTTGAAAACTTGCAATTGATTTTGCACACATCGAAGCGCTCGTTATTGCAGAGGACATCGTCAAATGCTATGGTATGTTAGATGGCATACTGGACGGTATTACTGTTCCTGTAAGTAAACAGGTAATTTCCCGCACTACAATCAGCTATTAATGGACAACGCTCTATTTCTAATGCCGTTTTGCCTAGGGACTTTACAGCCTGTATGAGAGTTCCTTAAGGTTGGGATTGGAGATGACAAAGTTATTTATGACATCATTTAGTGAAAACGTTATGACACCATCAGTAACGTTAATTTATGTGTTAATAATGAATTTTTTTCATATAAATTTGAATCTAAGGTGCACCTGTTGGAAAAAGAGTTATAATTTTTGTCGATGACTTAAATATGCCAAAACTCGATACCTATGGATCTCAACCACCAATAGAGCTGCTGCGACAGTACCAGGTAAATTTTTCTGCATTAAGCTCTGAGCCAGAGACAAAATTTTCTCATTTCTCCTTATCTATTTGCTTTTATTTCGTATTGGTACTTTCTAACTAGTTCGTGTGTGAGTAATAATATATTGATGGCTAAATCGCTTTGCCCGCTTTTAAGCTGTGTTCATTTTAGCTTGACAGATCGGTACTGAACTTCCAGCTATTGAGATTTTTCTTGTGTCTTATTATTGGACTGGCGCATTTACCCGTTTAGTAGCCATTTAAGTTTTAGAAAAATAAAGGATTTGTAGATATTTTTGTTTAATTATTTTTCACAATGGTATTCTTTATGTTACGTTTAACTTTGGCGTACAAACTGCCAGTAGAAACCCATGTTTATTCCTAGAGGGAGGGGGTATTGAATCTTAATGTCCTTTTTATTCACATCTATCTCGATTCCCTTTTTTATCTTTTAGGATTTCGGAGGATTTTATGACAGAGAAAAGCTTTTCTGGAAGCAGTTACAGGTGGGTTAATTTGTTTTTAATTGGAGTTTTCTAACGATCTATGTTTCTTGTTTCAGTTTACTTGTAAAACAAATTGATCAATCAAAGTTTTCTTGGTGTTTTATTCGAATGGGGCAATTTTGCTCTCTAGAGATTTTTTTTATGGTGCCAATAATGGTTTTCCTCATTGACATTTTCCTTTAACCAAAATATGTATAATAACAAAAAATAGTATAGTATAAAAGCAAGTAATTGCAATAGTATAAAAAATTTGAAATATGTGAAATAGCACTATATATTTTTTGCCAATTATTTTTGAATAAACATTCTTACCAGTAGAATCGTTGTTTATGTATCAATAAATGCGATGGTTATGAAAAAGAAATTTTCAGATTTCAAGACGGTAAGTTGTATCTTGTTCCATTGTAACGAACAAAAATTGATTCTCATGCTCTTAAAATTCTATTCAATCTTCACAGGATGTCACAATAAGTGCAGCATGTGCTCCTCCTGGCGGTGGACGAAATCCCGTCACGCCACGGTTCATTCGACATTTCAGCATGTTCTCAATACCTTCCTCAAGTGACCACACACTGAAGCATATTTTCAAGGTAAAGTCATTCTTAAATGCTTTACCTACATAATCAGAAACACCAAGTGAGAGTTCTTTTAAGCACTGGGCAAAACAGTTGCCTAGTGATTGCATTAAGTGTGAAACTGGTTGTCGAACTTAGAGCCGTCCGTGTTCAATTTGGCAAACAGTTATACATTAGACATTCAGCTGTGGCTTTTGCTTACCTATTTGATTATCAGTACATTTTCTGTATTTTAGCAAAATTTTACACATTCGATGTTCTCCTTTGTTGGGACCTGAGGTCCCATTTCTGATTTAATTGTCAGAATACTGTTTGCCAAGTGTTCTGGAACTTTGAAATGGAAACTGATTCAATCGGATTCCTCTTAAATTGAATTTTAATATCTCATTGGGCCTTCTGTGATGACTATACATTTGTTGCTAATTTTCTTTCATTTTCAACGCTTTATTCCTGTTTATACTTTTGTAATTTTAGGAGGATGAGATTGATATTTCTCACCAGAATCCTTAAAATTTTCGCTTCTTTCTCAAGTTATCTCTTCTTACTCATGTTGCGAATTTCTACGATGAAAATCTTTATCATATCCATTTTTACAGTCAATTTTGAAAGGATTTCTCTTGGATTTCCCAAGTGCTGTTAAGGAAATGGCTAAAGCAATTGTCAGTGCAAGGTATCTACTTTGATATAATCCTATAGAGTTTTGCAAATAAACGAAATCAGCAATAATTGATGTCATACTAACTGCGAAGATAGATCCTTGATCTTAGATCATCGCTTTTATTATGACGTCATGGTCTGCTGTTGCACAGTTTGCTAATCTTTTGTATGTATTCTTATCTGTCTCAGTTAGCTCAGAGGTTTTTTCAGATTATATATTTGCATAATTATTTCAAGAGATCATATTTTCATTTAAACATTCTTAAAGAGAAACTCGCATACAGAAAGTGGACAAAACAAATGATCTAGTACAGTTGCCCTTCAATATCTGTTTTTAAGACTATCATGGAGCTTCAACGTGTTTAATTCTTGTGAATTTTTTCTCTTTTTATTAACGGTGCGTATATTGTTTGTCCTAGTGTGGAAATCTACTGTCAGATGAGCACAGACCTATTGCCAACTCCAGCCAAATCTCATTACGTCTTTAACCTTCGAGATTTGTCCAAATGCATCCAAGGTTAGTATTGTTATCTTGATCATCAATTGTATGTATTGATCCTTTCTACAAGTCTTATAGGCGTCTCAGTTTCCAAAAGCTATATTTCCCTGACCCATAGATAATATTTACTGCCTTTTAGCCATTAAGACAAGAGAAGGCTGCTAAACATTTTCCAGGGACGCAAATTATCTGTAGCTACAGCTAATCTGCAGATCTAATGATATTTTCCCGGTACTTTGTTATTTATCGTGTATAGATTTTAAAAAACGGTAGAAACTCAGCCAAAAACCTATCTTGATGTCGTTGCTACACCCCCTGTCTTTATTGCATTCAATTCCTTCTGAAGTCCTTACTTCTCGAACCTCTAATTTTCAGGTGTCTTGCAAGCTGATCCAGGCATCATCAGGGACAAGGAACAGATTTTCCGCCTCTTCTGCCACGAGGCTCAGCGTGTGTTCCATGACCGTTTGATCAATAACGAAGATAAGAGCTACTTCAACACTATGCTCTCAGAAATGGCACAGAAGCATTTCTCGATAGTAGGAACATCCAGATTTACCTAATGTCTTTCTATATTTATTTAACGTTTATTATTCATAGTATGCTTTCTAGGCATTTTAATGTTACGTATTGTCTATCAAATGCCATGGAAATTTCATACATTTCATTAAAGCTCTTATTCAATTGTATGGTCGAAGAACTTAATCATTTTTTTGAATTTGATGATAAATTAACATTCAGCGTGGTATGTCATGGTATTATTTTGCAAATTCTAGTAAATCTTTGATTCGATTTTCGCTATAACTTGCGAATAACTTGATTATTTGTCCTTTTAGTCAACAAACGCAGAGTATTTTGAAACTGACCCGATTCTGTATGGCGATTTCATGAAAATGGGTGCTGATCCATCAGATCGAATGTACGAAGAACTGTCCAACGTGACAAAGTTGAAGACTGTTTTGTCTGATGTGAGTATCTTAAGATAGATAAGAAAATGCCCTATCAAGAATGTCACCAATTGGGTTAACTTTACTATACACAGGATAGGAAGCAGAGATATGGGATTTAGTCAGTCAATGATTTCAATCCCGAAGCATTGATTAATGCTGTGCTTCTTACATTACTTAGATTCACAGGCGACATTCGAATATTGTTGAGATGTTAACAAGGTTTACATATTTAAATACTTCACTGTTACATATTCCAAATAAGTAATACATCAGCATAAGAGTTTTTGCACCGTTTGCTAATACCAGTGGCTATGTTCATATCGCCACTATGCTTCTATTAACTAACCTCATACATTCTCTCGTGTTTATTTTGTAGTATCTTGATGATTACAACATGTCATCATCTAAGGAAATGAAACTCGTCTTCTTTATGGATGCTACCCAGCATTTATCAAGGTAGGTTATTTCTGATTGCTGTTAGAAAAAAATTTGCCTTTCAATCTATTTAATTTTGATGCTTTCTATAGAAGAAGCAATTTTATTCAGTGATTTCAAGAATTAGCAGTATATTCACAATTTCTAGAAGATTGATAAGTATGTTCATCAAGCTCTTTCTCTATCCAAATAAAAGTGAAACGCCGCTAGTTCGTTTTTGAGTGCAAAGTTCTGTTTCTTTGCGCAGGATTGCTCGAATGATTCGACAGCCACGTGGAAACGCCCTTCTTGTAGGAGTTGGTGGAACAGGAAAACAAAGCTTAACAAGGTATGACGCGTCATTTTTGTGAAATATTGCCTTATCTTTTGGCGAAATATAGCCGTATTTTTCTAAGTGAAGCTTATTTTCTATTCAACGGATTATTGACTGGATGCTTTCTGGTTAAGGACATCTTATATTGCCACTGACATCTTTCTAGTCGTAAAATACACTTGTTAGTTATTAGAGAGACGAGTGAACGGAAATCTTTCGTTCTTGTGTCATGCAATCCTTTGTCCTTGAGTCAAAGAGCATGCGTAATAATGACTTTTTCTATGCGCATGCTCTTTAGCTTCAGGACGGAGGGTGGCCTCACGCATTAAAAACTTTCTCTTGTTCATCTCCTCAACAAACACATACACACAAGCAGGTATAAAGTGTGCTCTCTTTTTTGGGATCCACCGCAAGATCACTCACAAATTTCAATCAGTGAAAAAAATTTAATTTATGAAATCGCTGCTATGTAATTGTTAGTTCTAACTCATAGAACTTGTCATTTTTTATAGATTAGCCTGTCATATGTCTGGCTACAGATGCTTCCAAATTGAGTTGACTAGAGGTTATGATTATTCATCGTTCAGAGACGATCTCAAGAAACTCTACACCTTTGCTGGTGTTAATGGACAAAACACAGTCTTTCTTTTCTCTGACACTCAGGTCAGTTTTTTTAATCCATTTTCCAGTCAATCGTCGTAGTAGATATAACATTTAATTCGTAGATTGAGACTTTCCATTTTTTTATCAGTTAATTTATGCATAATATTCGTCCCTGTTGTGTAGTGGATAAAACTAATACCTATCACCACAGTGAAGAAATATTGTTGAAGTGAAATATATTTTTTGTGAAAATATCTCTCATTTTAAAGTTTTAATTTGATATTTTTTGCTAGATCGTTGTGGAGGAGTTTTTGGAGGACATCAACAATATACTTAACTCCGGAGAGGTAAGTAACTCTCTTTTCCCAGAAAATCCGATAATTTACCACTCTGTCTTCTTGTTCACCTTTAATGCTGGTTATAGAGTTGATGAAACATGAGCCTTTTTGTAAAATCTCACTTCGTTTCATATACTTTTTACTGTATTAATTAAAAATATCTTCAAGCACCATGATGATTATTTGTGTAATTTTTTGTATCCCAGGTGCCAAATTTATTTGAGCCAGAAGAATATGCAGCATTAATAAATGGCGTTAGACCCCATGCAAAGGAAGCTGGAGTTCCAGAACATGATAGGTGAGAAAGCCTGGCCACTTTTCAAAATGCAGAATTATTATGCAGATTTTTGCTGTCAAACATTATCGATACCAGTTTAGTATCCAGGCATTGTCATGAACTGCTTGGTATTTCAATGTATGCTGAAACATGTCCTAGATTGATATTCCTCTTTATTGCTCTTTTTTCACTTTTTCAAACAGAGATGCCGTGTACAACCATTTGATCAACCGTGTGCGAGAGAATCTCCATATCGTCTTATGCATGAGTCCAGTTGGTGAGGCATTCAGGACTCGATGCCGTATGTTCCCGTCTCTTGTTAACTGTTGCACCATTGACTGGTTCTCCGAATGGCCAAGGTATATTCAGTAATATTTTGTCTTTATGCAGCGACTTTATCAAATAACGTGATCTTAAAACCTTATGTATTCTCATGTTTATTTGGAATTCTATTTTTGTTTGTCTTTTAATATCCCAGAAGGCCTGTTTATTTATTTGTTTTGAAGCTATTTTGTGATAGTCCATATTCAAGCAGCTAACTTTCATTTTATTTATTAAATTCGCTCGATGATCTCATGATTGTGTTCATCTTTGTAGAGAGGCATTGCTTTCCGTCTCCAAAAACTTTTTCGAAGAGATTGACCTTGGCGAAGATGGAATTAAGGTGAAAAATTACTTTGCTATCTCCCTTACCAATCGCATTTTTTGTATACTGCCTTGTCATGGATTTTACTCAAAAATACGTATAGTTTTGTTTTTCCATCATATTTATTTGATCATACCATCATAAGTGGTTATGATTAAGATTGTTCAGATTCTTGTTCAGATTTTATCGTTGATCACCCAAACAGTCTAAGATTTATTTGTCTGATGCAAATTATTTTGTATAACAGGAAAATATAGCAGAAATGTGTGTCGAGATTCACACCAGTGTTACATCAATGGCTGATCGATATTACAACGAGCTGAAACGACGATACTACACAACGCCAACGAGTTATTTGGAGCTGATCAACCTGTACCTTTCGATGTTGGAAGATAAACGACGGTATATTTGATTTTAAATAATTATAGATTATGAATGAGATACCAAGTTTTCTTTAATTATTTAATGTTACCACAAGGTTCTTTCATTTCTCATTATCAGTTGATCATACTCTCGTTTAAAATTGGGGTGCTTCTTTCTTATAGACCTTGAAATTCCGTTCTTCTTTCTAACCGTTGCCAGTTTGAATGTGGTGGCTGCAAACTTTGTTAAGTCGATTATTTCTTGGATTTTACTTATTTATCGTCATAAAGGCTTCTTTCTTTTACAGACAACTGGTTACAGCAAGAGATCGTGTCAAAAATGGTTTGAAAAAGTTGCTGGAAACAAATGAACTTGTTGATACGATGCAGGTTTGTTGTACTCATCATTTTTTAGAGCTAAACACATCTTCATTTGTCATATGATAAATTGCATTGCGATAAGGGTGACCTCAAAGGCTGGCGGTAATTCGAAACCAAGCATTGGATATCGCCACATCTAGCTTCTGTTAACATTTGAAATAGATGGATTCACCGCTCCTCAAGATATTTTGCCTCTACTTTGCACCAAACAGAGTTCTTTGGTCAATATAATCATCGCCGTTCTTATCATGATTATCATCAAAATTGCATTTCGTGACTTATAGGTCGATACAAACGACTACGCCAAATAACATCAAGATCAATTTTTCTTGAATCTGAAGTTGCTTGCTCAGTTATATTGATAATCAACAGTCATTGATTCTGCAGAAAACTGAATATCAATACCAAAATAAAAAGTATATTTTTGTGTTAATGAGCTGCGTTTTTTCATGTAGGTAGAATTAGTTGCATTGGAACCTGAACTGAAACAGAAGTCTTTAGATACGGAGAAGCTCATGGAGAGGCTCCAGGTTGACCAAGAGGAGGCTGACAAGGTAAGAATTGCTGGTTATGCATTTATTGTTCGTTAGTGAAACAGGAACGGTGATTTATAATCAAAGCTATTCCGAAGGTTTCTCGAATCTTTCTTTAAGACAGAATTATTGATAGATGATAGAATTATTTAAGACAAATGACAACAGCATGATTTGACCACGGGATCAGATCCTTTCCACGCTGTATTTTGCAGTCCCCATCTTGTTATTGGGTATCAATTTAGAACTTCAAAAGCCGTTTCTAAGGAATCTTTCAACATTACAAGAAAGGCCATACTAATTTCTTGTAAGGTGATGGGCTACATATTAACATGCATTTTTGTTACAAAATTTGAAAATGGTGAGATGATGCAATTACATTCCACATACCCGAAAAATCGTTTCTTCAGTCATTTCTCAGAGTAAAGAACGTCAGAAATGCCTAAAATTGAACAGAAATTGGTATGACGTACAGAGTTGCTGGTCATGGGTTTGATTCCTGTCCTGATCATTTCACTCACTCACATTATCTCTCAGTTTAAATTCACATCTAACTTTGCATGAAAATTACTGTTAACCAGTCTGTCGTCAAGTACTCGATACTGTATAGGCAGACCTATAGACGCTTTTGGTGTACAGAACCGTTCTGTTCTATGTATGGATCGAAAGAAACGAGCATATGTGTTTTGTTCCTTGATTGAGGCGTATTTCTGTACGGCTGCGTGCTATAAGGCAATTGGTCTTAATCTATTCAGCCTTGAAGATACAGTGCAAAAAAGTGCAATGGAAAAGCACAATTTCAAGACAATATGAGATTGTCTTTCTAATAACTAACGAGATGGCAAGACTTTTGTATCCTCCTAGAATTCTGAATTCATACCTATTCAATTTGTCTGAAAAACTGTTTATGAAGAAATGTCCAAGTCACATCTTTGCTTTTGGTTTTTTTTCACAATTTGTAACCATGTTGAGATTCCTTTTTAACAAACGTATTGTATCAATTTTAACTTTTAAACCGATTGTGTAAATTTTCAGGTAAGGAAAGTAGTGATGGCAGATGAAACTGTTGCCCGTGAAAAAGCCAAAGAAACTGAATCTATAGCTGAAGATGCACAAAGAGATCTTGATGAGGCATTGCCTGCTTTAGAAGCTGCAAATAAGGTTTGAGTCTTTGCCAGTTTTAAAGCATCATGAGGCAATATTCTCCGCGAATTGCAATATTCTGACTTGGTTTTAAAATATAACTTGATTTTTCTTCTTTTGTAACTATAGGGTTGTTTCGATCTACATTCTACTAAAAATTTTGAATCTCAAGCCAGTTTGAACAGATACTCACCCCTTTTTGTGGTGCAATGAAATTTTCTAGTGTATTCTAATTAGTTGAACTGACATATGTTTTTCCAATGTGCTAAATGTGCTACGTCTATTCAATATTATCGGTATCATCTGAATGCTCTCCAGCTTTAAAGTTTAGGCAGCAGTCATTTGCTAAATTTTAATCCCTTTGGTCACAAACCTGCTCTTAACATCGTTGCCTTTACCTTTATAGGCACTAGATGCGTTGGACAAAGCTGATATTTCTGAAATTCGAGTCTTCAATAAACCACCAGATATGGTCATGACTGTCATGGAGGCCGTTTGTATTCTTCTTAACACAAAGTATGTCTTTAAAATTTCTAATTTTCAAATACAGGAGCAAACTGTGTCACTGTCTCTTTCAGATGTTCCATTTGATTAGTAAATACCCTTTCTGCTGTTATAATCTGTTTAAACGCCCATCATAACACCGTCTTTAAATGACGTACCTTTTCCTTCGACGGTAATTAGTGCCTCTTTCAAACAAAATTGTTTTGAACCATTGAATGTGGCTCTCAAAATTCTTGGTTATGTCGTGATCCTGGAATCTTGGAAACTAAAAGTGTTTTTAGCTACTCAAGTTCATTACGTCTTGATTTGTAAACAAAATCATATATTCAAGTGCTTAGGGTTAGTCATACGAAACACACTGACCTAGATGAACTTAGATTGGATTTTAGCAATAACCTAAGCAGAAATCAGTGATTAAAATAATTTTCGCGTTTGAAATTTGTTTCAAACATCATCGTGGTGCTTAAAGCTACGCTGATTTATTATCTCTGTTAATTTTGTTATACCCATCACTTCGTTTCCCGATTGATACATCCAAATGCCCTGTTTTTAATTCTGATGTCACACTTCTTCTAGACCCGACTGGCCGTCTGCAAAGACGCTTCTTGGTGATCAGAACTTTCTCAAGAGGCTTGTCGACTTCGATAAGGTACACTGAGATGTCGAGTTATTATTTTGATTGGCCTAAAGTTAGATTTTTTATCAATGCCGGTGTTATTACTTCGGTAGTACAAAATCCTGTTATGTGTGTGCTAGTTTTTTGCAACATCTTGCAATTACAATATCAAAAAAGGTCTTAATAAATTGTTCTTCAGACCGTTTATTTCTTTGGCGATTGGCTCCTTTAAATAGGTGTCGAATTATCAATGCACTTTTCTTTATTGTAAATGATAAGTATGCAGTTTACTGTACTTAGCGATGACAGTTTTGACTATCACTAGCAGAGGCAATTAAACAATTCGCTAACTCTTTCGCACAATTCAATTATGCTTCAACTTCGAGCTGTTTTCACTAGCCTGTATCAGATAAAGTTCAGTTCTATCTTAACTATTTTGCTTCTGATACATTTTGAGAAATTTTTATCTGTGAACGGCTTTCGTGGCATTCAGTAATGCTAAAATTAATTTTTTTTCTGTTCAGGACAACATCCCTGACTCTGTTTTGAAGAAACTCAAGAAGTACATTGACAATCCAAAGTTCATTCCAGAGATCGTAGAGAAAACGTCAAAGGTGTTTTTTCTTCACTTTTTTTTCATTACTTCCCACTTTTTATTGCAGCAAACTATTTGCTGACTATCAAATCAAATGTTGACTATCTTTGATAATACGCTTCGGTGTCTCGATCAGGACTGTTCTAACTTGAAACTCCAACTTTCCAAACAACGAAAACTGTAAAGCTCTGTCTACATGGAATTGAGCAACATATAAAGACCTGTTTCTAGTAATCTTTAAGACTAGTTTAAACTATATCTAATACTAGATTCAAGAACGATTATCTATAAAAAAGGCAAGCCTTGGAATATTTTTCCGTTAAATTCATTTTTACCTGATCCTAACAATATAATTGTTGTTTTTCAATATGTCATGTAGTATTATGTAGTATTGTTTTTCAATATTTCATGTAGTATTGTTTAGCATTATTTTTCAGTATTTCATGTAGTATTATGTAAGACTTTCACTGTGCTTTTTATATTGACGCTTCCTGATTGACGGATTTTAAATAAGAAGTAACAAGAATGGTGTCGCTATTATTTTCACCCTCTAGATCTTTATTCCCATTTGCCATGCTCTGTATCCATTCTCTTTTCTGCAGGCTTGTAAATCAATGTGCATGTGGGCTAGAGCGTGTGACTTGTATGCTAAAGTCTACAAGACGGTCGAACCAAAAAGACAAAGGTTTGGATTTATGTTGCTTGCCTACAATCATTGCCAAAAGTACTTAGAACACCAAGCAATTTGCGTTGTGTCATTTTTTTTTTATTCTTTTCCCGGATACTCCTATTTCCACACCCCCTTCCCTTTGAAACAATGTTGATAATTTAGAAAAATACCATAGGAGTCGCGGAAAAAATCGTACTTCCTAATCCTCTACGTATTGTTCAAAGGGGGGAAGGGGAATGGCTGAATTTGCCCTTGAAAACTGACGTTAGTGTAACAAGACTTTTGACAAGCATTGTGGCATTAACTTTTCCTTTCGTGAATTGCTCGACACACTAACTATTTTCTCTTGTTAACATACATGTAATATCATATCATAATTTTTTTATAGACTTGCACAAGCAGAAAGTGAATTGCAAGCAACTATGGCGACACTCAAGGCAAAGCAAGAGAAACTGGCAGAAGTCGAGAATAAGGTAAAAGTTGTTTATAAACCGTTAGATAAAATAACAGTGTATTTGTACCAAACATTTTTAAGTCCAGTGATTGCACTGACTTCTGTCGGAATAAGTGCAACTTTTGCCTTCTGCAGAAACAGATGCAAATTCAGATATTTTAAAATCTCTCTGAGCTCCGGCAGTGTCTTTTATTTCACTTTTTTCATAAAAGTTCCTTTAAACCTTTCTTGACTCCAGCCTCTCTTTTTCGTAGATTGCTGAGCTACAAGCCTCTTATGACCAAAGTATTGCTGAGAAGGACAGACTCACTAAGAATATCGCCCAGACGGCTGCTAGGCTGAAGAGGGCTTCGAAACTAACGACAGCACTGGGAGACGAACAGGGAAGATGGACTGAAAATGTGGCTGTATGTTTTCACTATTAGTCCAAAAAAGAATCAATCTTAATTTGTGATTTTAGTAGTTACCTAAGGCCCATACATTGTCATGATTTTGCTAAAAGAGGAATTGGCTCAAAAGGCGAAGAGACAATCGAAAGAAGGGGAGCGTCACTTGAAGCATCCGATCATAGCTAACTTATAATATTGGTACCGTGACCATGATGAAATGATTCAAGGTGCTGTGTGTTCACAGGAAAGATTTACTTGAAGGAGACTGTGAAAAATATTCTTTAAGAGAATTGATATGCTACAGCTTTGTTAGACAAATATTTCGGTAGCGAGGTAAAGTGCAAAGGACTCTAAGAAACAGAAACTCTTGCTAGTTTCATAAAACAGTTTTTTATTTCACTTTCATTGTACACTCTATTATCGCCTTTTGAAATACCTAAACGCATCAATCTTTTCAGGCTTTCGAGGTTGATATTGGGAATGTTGTTGGCAACGTTTTCGTGGCAGCTGCATGCGTGGCTTATTTTGGTGCATTCACAAGCTTGTATCGGCATGAGGTAAGTAGTCTTTCTTTGTATATTTTTATACTGAATTCATAAGCTTGTCAATTTTTTCTAAACGACAAGTTTTTGACTGGACAGAGTTCCCAATAGCAGTCAATAAATTTGCTATTTAGAAATCTTATTTTTCTCGATATTTTGTATAAGAAAGTCAAGAAAAATGAGCATTTAACACTATGATTTATCATCTTTGAGTTATTATGTCCTTTATACAATACATCAACTTGTGGTAAGACAATCAATTTTGTGGTCTTGAATAACAACTTTTCTGCTTCTTTCAAATATTTGGATAACGTGTGTTTTATGATCCTTTTCATTTATGAATTATTTATTTTAAGCTTGTCACTTCCTGGGTAGCGAGATGTAAGGAATTGGACATCCCAGTGACAGATGACTTTAGCCTCATCCACGTCCTAGCAGATCCATACGAGATTAGACAGTGGAATTCAGATGGCCTACCACGTGATACTGTGAGAATGTTTTTATTAACGTTGCATATGAAGTGCCATTGTACCGACCAAGAGAAATTATCAATTGCCTAGCTTCTCTGCTATCTACACCTTGGTCAAGGAATTTCAGTTGATTTTCAACGCTGATATAATGACCTGGTTCCTATGTCTATTATTTAGCAATGTTTTTGTTACCAGTAATTGTCTATTACGCATGTCTATAATGCCTATAATTGAATTACGTTTGGTGTTGATGGTAAATTCTGCAAAAATGTTCGAACTCTTAGTGGTTTCTTCGTGTCTAGCTTTTTGGAAGTAATTTATGTATTTTGGTCATTTTGTTTGGTTTTAACACTTTTGGCTTAAAGCAATAATACGAGGTGTATTCTATCAGTATAAAATATAGAATCTAAGACACTTCCATGGTGGAAATTCATTTTTCAGGTAGGGGGGGGGGGCAGTGCCCACAAAAACAAGCAATTTTGCCGACTAATGACATAATTTACCGACAAAAGCGTGTCTTAACCGACAATTTAGCAAAACTTGGGGGTGCTTGCCCCACAATCTTGTTGGTATCAATTTAATTTGATAGTAGCCTCAGTGGCCTTGGTTCTTTGTACAAATATAATTATTTCATCTTTTTCTCTATAATCTATTCAAGGTTTCTATTGAGAATGCTGTACTGGTAACAAGAGGCAGGCGTTGGCCATTGATGATTGATCCGCAAGACCAAGCCAATAGATGGATCAGGCAGAAGGAGTCAAAGAATAGCTTAAAAGTCATCAAGCTGACGGATCCAAACTTCTTGCGAACACTTGAAAATTGTATACGAATTGGCATGCCTGTGCTACTCGAGGAGATTGGTGAATCACTGGATCCTTCTCTCGAGCCTGTGTTGTTGAAACAGACGTTTATTTCCGGTGGAAGAATGCTGATACGGCTTGGAGATAATGACATCGAATATGATAAAAACTTCAGGTACATATCTTGTATCTTACATTATAAATCTGTTTGTGTTTTGATCATAGCTGACGACTACACCTAATTTCATTTTTGTTCATCTTTTATTATTTAGCTACCCTATCCCTTGCTTGAGATATCCGTGTATTTAATCGATTCGTCGTATTAGATTAATATTAAATAAATTCGTGATTTATCATATATTTTAAATTTCCTTCTGAGAAATTCTTTGGCTCCTTGTTCTGGTGTAGCTGTCTTAGGTTCCGAAGTGTTCTAATAAGCAACAGATATATCTATAGGTAATAAAAAATGATTTTCTCAAATTTGACATGAATAGAAAAGTTTGATTCAAAGATGCCAGATGCAATATTTTTGCTTTGGATGTTGACTGATTTTTGAAGACCTATTGTTCAACCTCGTTTGTAATTTTTTGTAGATTTTACATGACTACGAAACTGGCCAATCCTCACTATTTGCCGGAGGTTTGCATCAAGGTGACAATCATCAACTTCACGGTGACAACATCAGGACTGGAGGATCAACTTTTAGGGTTAGAGAAGTTTTTATTCATTCTAGCATTCATTTTATTCACCTAATCCTTATTTAGTTTAACTTTTAATTTAACGAATAAGAGCGTGTTGATAGTGTCAAATCAGTTTTTTAGGAAAATCAGTTACAAGCTCGAAAAAGTTGTCCAACTACCAAGTTTTTCAGGAAAATTGCTTGCTATCTTAAACCCACCTAAAATTTTTGCATTTATTATAGTTTCTTGTTTATTCGTGTTTTCGAAATGTTGCCTTTTGGTCCTTTTACTTTTTTAAGTCAGTTAAGTCAGTTTGATATCAACTAAATATATCCACTTTTATTTTGCAGTGATGTAGTAAGGCTAGAGCGTCCAGACTTGGAGGAGCAACGAAATCAGTTGATTGTGCGGATTAACACTGACAAGAATCAGTTAAAAGCGATCGAGGATCGAATTCTTAAGTTGCTGTTCACATCCGAAGGAAATATTTTGGATGATGAAGTACTAATCAACACTTTGAATGAATCCAAAGTAAGTTGAAGATAAAAGATTTTGATATTTTTGTTCTTTTCATTACCGCGTGTTTATAAATAAAACTTTTTTCTTTGTCACATTAATTTCTAAACTGTTTATGCATAGGGTTTTAATTTCAAAACCTCTAATTCTAAATTTAATTTGATTGTAGATTGATTATCTTTTTTTTATTTGTATATCTTCCTTTTAGGTAACATCTGGTGTCATAACAACGCGTCTAAAAGAGGCTGAAACAACAGAGGAGAAAATAAGCACTGCCCGAGAAAAGTATCGTCCAGTGGCAACAAGAGGCTCCGTGATGTATTTCGTAGTAGCCTCTCTTGCAGAAATAGATCCGATGTATCAATATTCATTGAAGTACTTTAAACAGGTAAATGTTTTCTCACAAGCTGCGGTAGCATTTTCTGACAGCAATTGTTCCGATTGCAAGGCACTGTTGCATACCTATCGTTAATTGTAGACACCTTTTACATTAGGATCAAACAGAACATGAAACATGTTTTTAATAGAAGTTTGATTCACAATATGCGGATGACTAGACGTTGAATTTTAACGTTCAGTGATTTGTTGGCCTTACCTTTGCTGAAGTACAGTTTTGATTAAAGTTCCATCAACCGTAGTTTTTCGATGAAGTAAAATATTAGCTTTTATAAACCTATTGGCTTCTATCGAGTTTCTATACTTTTTCACAGCTCTTCAACACCTGCATAGATAACAGCCCTCCTGCCGAAGATCTTGATGAAAGGCTAAAAATTCTGCTAAAGAATTGCACTGAAGCAGTCTACGCTAATGTTGCAAGGTAAAGTGTTTAATGTTGCAACTCTTTGTTTTCTAACAGACATAATGTATAGATGAGTAATAAACATAATGAAGATTAAAACTAGGTTGCTGAGATTTGTCGTTCTTTTAAAATTTTTTCAGATGTTTTGTGTAAGAGTTTTGCTTACGTTTTCTCACTTATAGGGGTCTGTTTGAGAAAGATAAGCTTGTTTACTCATTCATGATGTGTGCTGATATAAAGAAAGAGAAAAAAGAAATTTCTGATGCCGAATGGAATTTTCTCCTGCGAGGAAGTGGCAGTATTGAAAAGGTATCATGTTAGTTACCACTGATTTTTAAGTTTCACTAATAGTATTATTTTGTTTCTATATATTATGATTATTAACAGTGATTTATATCATACTCTAGAAGGCTTTAAACACATCAATCAAACATAGATGGCCTGAATGACAAATTGTCGGTTTATAAGATAGGGCTCAAATTTTGACTCCTAATTGCCTATGGAGTAATTTGATGAGAGATGCTCTTTATCAATATGTAATATGATAAACTATAAAGATCTCTACATTCTTAAGTGAAACTTTCAATCGATAAAAAAGGGTTTTATTACACTGGCACCAGTGCTTGGGATGATACTCCAGTTCATATAAGAGAACTGTCATCGCTACGTCTCTTCTTAATGCATTTGATAAGCCTTTACAATCCCCCCCCCCCCCCCCCCCCCAAGATCTACTTGCTGGAAAACAGTTTTACCAGTATCTTTACATCAGTATCATTTTCTAGATTTGTATTTTTTGTTACTTTTATTTTTTACTGAAAGATATCGTTAAAAATGAGTCATGGTTAACTGGTTTAGAGCATATATGAAGTCACGTGGCCTCTCTCGCCGCTAAGCCAATGATAGCCCCAGAACATTTCGACAAAATTAGGCTAAGGCAAACATTTGGGCATCTGTGCCAACCTCCGTATATAATACAACGTCTACAGTTTACATGTTGCATTCAGGTGTTCAGTTTTTTGCGCAAGATAATATTTTTATGATCTTTTCATTCATAATAATAATGTCAATTTGTGCAGGATTACCCGCCAAAACCATCCGCCCCATGGCTCAGTGAGCATGACTGGCAATCCTGTTGTAATTTAGAGGTTTGTTGTCATCTCATTTATGAATTCGTGTATGTTATCAATCTCAAATAATTGTTTAATGCCAATGCTAACACCATGTTATATAACTACTCTATGCAATTCTACCGACAACGAAGTTGCAGTTATTGCAACTTGAAGAATACAGCTTAGCATCGACATTGCTACCATAATAGATGAAGAGACGGACGAAGAAGGAAAGCGAAAGCACCACTGCTCTCCTTTGCCGCCAAAATATGAACAACTCATAAATTAAACAGTTCGAGTAAATTTGATACGGTCACCATTATTGTCAAGTGTAGGTGTTGGGGCACTCACTGAAGTAGGATCAGGTACAAACTGGGAATTCTAGGCAAAATATGCAAAAAGTGCCATATTCCTTGACGAAAGCCTATAATAAGAAAAGAGTTAGGGGAAAGATAGAAAAAGGATGCAAAAGATAGAACGAATCAGTTACCAAAAGTCTTTGTGCTAGTACCTATTTATCTTTCTTTGTTTTTTCTATTTATCCAATGTTTTCTTTATAGGAGCAGATTCCAGAACTTAAAGGCATAAAATCTTTAATAGCAACTCGCCATATCAGCATTCAGCTTGGAAACTTGAAGGTATAGAAATTCCAAACTGTAACTTTATATTTGAAGCGTAAATTTATTTCAGCTCTAAACAAGATTCTTTCTTTTCTTTATCTATATTAATTCCCTGCCCTAACAATTAACAATATGCAGTTATCAATATAAAAGCATCTCATGTATCTGTAATGGATAACTAGCTGATGAATGTGAGATTAATTTGGGTTTTCAGTTTTTTTCCTACGAATTGTATATATAGTATTTTGCCAGTGTTTAAACCACCGCAAACTTTAAGTAGAATAAAAGTAAAGCCTTTTCTTGTTACCTCCCGATTCAAAAATACAAAGCTATAAAGAAAAATGCAGCAGGCTTGGCTTGAAAGTTTTTTTCAAGCTCTGCAACTGGCCGTCCTTAACAACATTTAAATCTTTGCGGATTTTTTATTTCAGATTTCCCTGAATCCAGAGAACTGGGAAGGATATAAGAAAGAAGGTGATATGAAGGAGGACTTTGAGGCGCAGCTTTCATCCTTTCAAAGACTTATGTTGATTAAGTGTTTCAAGGAAGAAAAAGTAAATACTTTTGCAATTTCTTCATGTATTTTTATTCATTTCTCAGAATCTCATTTAACCACCTTTTAGTTTTCAAATTCAGTTTTATAGCGAGAAACATGTGAGTAATGAGCTTTGTAAAATAAACGCCAAATATCGGCATTAATGATGGCATTTTTAAGTATAGTAGATTACCGAGATTAAGTTTGTTTAAACTTCTTATGTTTATGATATTAGCCAATCGAGCTCATAGCCTTCAAGTTCATTAGGATAGTGTACATAGTTCTAGAAATTCAGCTAGACTGAAATGTATACGCTGCTGTATTTAATAGACAGAATTCTTAACATGATTTGTAGAATAAAACAAGAACGCGAACCAGTAAAATCATAAAAGTGTTGCAGAAAATCTTGATATACACTCAAAGCATTTGCTAATATGTCATAATACTCAATAAGTGACCTTAGCTTCCACTGCTTTTCATCGTTGTTTATATCTGCTTTTTTCAATTACAGGTGACTCATGCTGTTACGGAATTTGTGTGTGAAAATCTTGGCAAGTCATTCGTCGAAAGCCCAGCAACAGACCTTCGAATCTTGTATGCTGACATGTCTTCTGTCATTCCTTTGGTGTTTGTTCTCTCTACCGGGTCAGATCCAATGAACGCCTTCCAAAGATTCGCCAAGGAAATGGATTACAGCCATCGGTAGGTGAAATCCAATCCAGCCAGTATATCCAATCTTTAAATCCTTTTAATCAACAGGTTTCTAAAGGACACACGAGAATAAATTTTACTGCATGGTCCACTGATAGCTTCCATGAAGACGATTAATCGATTTTTAATTTCATCTACAAATCTGTTCGGTTTAATAAAGACATATTGTAGATCACGTAGTAGGCCGCTATTTGTAGATCCCAAATGTCAATGTTATTTGTTTTCCGTTTATCTGTAGCGTGTTGTACATTTAAGGTAGCCTAGTCCTATCTTTATTTTGTTATGATTCAAGGACAGTCCTTGTCTTTGGCTCAATATGATATTGCCTTTTTATGATTTACGATGATTTGTCTGTTATACTTGGCGTAGCCTGAGCTGCTATTTAATTTGATTATGTATACAAAACATTGCAAAATTTTCTACATCTTAATTGCGATCCAAGCAAAATCAAAATTATTTATCCCATCATAAACCCTTACCATGTTTACATTGTTTTGTTTCAAACCCACTAACACTTTTTTTAAATGCTGTTTTATAGAGTGCAAGCCATTTCGCTTGGTCAAGGTCAAGGCCCCGTCGCAGAAAAGATGATATCCACAGCTGTACAAGAGGGTGACTGGGTGTTTTTGCAGGTAAATGATCTCTTGTATTTTGAAAGTACCCCTATTGCAAGCTTGAATCTTTCATTGGGCATATCTCACCCGATTTTTGAGGTATGTAAGTGATTTTGCAAGCGTAGAAGAACACACGATTATTATGCCAGATAACATAAGCTGCAGCTTGTTAAGGATTTTTGGCAATGCAAGGTTTTTCATCGTGTTTTTTCGGACCCTGATTCTGACGTTTTATGCTCTGAGGAGTGTAAGACGAAAAAGCTTTTAGTATGTTGTAAAATGTTTGTTTTTTCAAAGCAATTTTCAAATTCTGTACCGCAAAAAAAATTGTTAATGCAAGGTTTGTTAACTACCTATGGTATTTAAGATGGTGAAAATGTTGCATCTATTTTAATCTGCCATGAAATGTTTCATACATTAAAGTGACTAAGGAACTAAGAAAGGACCCAGTTAACATTGTCTGGAAATAAAGAGCATTTATACCAAAGTTCTATTCGGGAAAATTCAATTTTATCTGAAATGCTTCTTCTTTATCTAATACTGTTTTCTTGCACAGAACTGTCATTTGGCTGCTTCCTGGATGCTTTCCATGGAGGGTATTGTCAAGAAAATATCATCTGGTGAAACTGAAGTCCATCCTGACTTTAGGCTGTTCTTAAGCTCCATGCCTACTAGTATGTTCCCTGTCACAGTTTTGCAAAACAGCATCAAAGTGACCAACGAACCGCCTAAAGGCTTGAGAGCTAATGTGAAGAGAGCGTTCAATGAATTGTCCATAGATCCTTTTGAAACTCACAGTAAGTGCTGTAAAATTCATGATTATCTTGTGCACTTATAGTTAAAACAAATTTTTGAAAGAAAATGTCAACAGAATAGCACCTTAAAATTTGTCAGTTTTCTTTACTCGGGCTATGACAGTCATCTTTCATTACTCAAGTTTTTAATTGTAAATTTGAAGCTACTTCAAGTGTGTAAAAACTTAAACTTTTGTTGATATTTTATAGACAACAATGCCTTTTTTAGCTTACTAATTTGTACAAAAAGAACTGAATTTAGACATTTGCACAAAGGCAGTTTGGATCCTTGCCATGATTGTTGAAACACTTAACAGAAACTTGTCTCACTCTACTAAAGCTTGCCCTTCATTTGCTACAACAAATTTGATATTCTATCATTATCAATATATATCATTTCCATAAGTTTTATGCAATCATTTACCGATATCCAGCATTGTGCCGAGAAAGTTAATAACCATAAAAATCGAACACTTCCTATAGCTTTTGAATGTTCTTCAATTATATTTGCATTTAACTTGTAAAAATAATGCTACTTTATTCACTGAACTTTGAATGTAACAGATAGCTTAAAGCCAATATTCCTGACAATAAACATTGTTATCGCTTCAAACTGAGCTACAATTCAAGTTAATATATATTTTCTATCGTTAGCTTTGGGTGTTGTCTGGCGTCGCCTTGTCTTTGGTTTGTGTTTCTTCCATGCCGTCATCCAAGAGAGAAAGAAATTTGGTCCTCTTGGTTGGAATATCAAGGTTTGCTAACTTCACATTTGCTCGAATTTATTGAGGAGAGGAATGAGCCCCTTCGTGGTATTGGCTAAAATGAAAATTTTATTTGTAATAAGGAGAATAATTTTATGCAATGGCGTGAATATTTATACTATTTGAAAGTAGAATGATATTCAAGGAATTCTACCGTAATACTTTTTTAGTGTTTTTAGCGTTTAATCTTTGCATTTAAGCATTAAATGCAAAGATAAGAAACAGGAACGTGAGTTAAAAAAGTGAACATATGATTGAACACATGCAGAAAACACTCCCCAAATCCCTTTTTGTCCTGCATGTTCTTTTATTGCTTTTGGCGTTGATTTTTGAAGATACCACATCTCCAATTCTTATTTCGTGAATGAAGCCATACTAAAATTCAAGACCTGTTAGCTTGTGATATGTATTAACTGTAGTATTTTTCCAATATTCCTGTCTGAGTTCATTGGATTGGTTTGATGTATTACCTTCAATGTTATATTTTCAATATTTCAGTATGAGTTCAACGATTCAGACAGAGAATGTGCTTTAGATAATTTGAAGATATTTCTTCAAGATGGAAAAATACCATGGGATGCATTGATATTCATAGCTGGAGAGGTCAGTATTTTTCTTACTTCCTTGGTTATTGCAAGATCATCCTACTTCTTCTAGTACGTAAAGAAAATTCTTCTATCAATCTTTATTTTCACTGAAGTGTAAATGTTTGATGCATTATGTTACAAACTAACAGTAACGATGAAACACTACCCAGCTACATTCGTTGAACTGAAGTGTATCATTTGCAGATCACCTATGGTGGAAGAGTCACTGATTCGTGGGACCAAAGGTGTCTTCGGACAATATTAAAAAGGTTCTTTGCTCCTGAAACTTTAAAGGAGGAATACCAATTCTCTGATTCTGGTATGTCTAATGAAAGATGAATACCATAATTGCTTTTTTTTATATTTTCTTTACCAAGTTGATCTTAAAGCTCAATTATATTGATTTTAATGACTGGAATTATATGAAGACTGAAATTTTTGAAAAAGAGTACATTTCGTGAATGGAATAAAGTTGTGACTTTGAAATGTTTACGAAATTGTTACTGTGGCGTCTTGTCGTATTATATTGTGTTGTTTATAAATCTGCTGTACACACCGAATTTAAGGTTTTAATATGTTAGCAGTTTGATAGAACAATATTGCTGATTATAGATTAATCCCCCCCTAATGACCCCGCTAGTATTCTTAATTTCTTGTTCCTGAATATACCATCGGCAACTATATTGGCAGACTTTTGAAACATTCTAATTCAAAGCCAGGCAGGACATAAATCAGGGTCCTATATAGGCACCATTCTATAGGAACCCCAAAGAAAGACACCATGCATTCCTCTTAACTCATTCAAATCTATTGATAGGTATTGCTTTTCTGTATAAAAAGGCATATAATTGTGTGCTGTTTCCAATATATAAAAGCTGTTTCCATCTTCAGGTGTGTACTTTGCACCAAGTAAAGATCTGCTTGAGGATTATCGTCAATACATTGAGAATTTGCCAATGAGTGATGAGCCAGAAATATTTGGTATGCATGAAAATGCCAACATTGCTTTCCAGGTAAACTCTTGTCAATTCCTGGTTTACGTGTTCATGCAGAAACTTGTTTTGAAGAAACAAATCTTAACCGTGTTATATTCTCACTGTAAACTGAAAATATCTACCGTCAAAAATATCAGTAAAAACTAGAATATCATTTTGCAATTTAATGCTCTCTATGGTACATTTTCTATTTTATTCGATTCAAAGTCGTCAATCTATTTAACTTCCGAGTTGATAAAGCTCTTACTGTGATCATTGAAACCTTTCTAATAAATAATGTTGGTATAATTGTTCAATGTTTACCAACGACACTTTGCCATCTCGCTAGTTGACTGCAGTATCCATAACCTAGATCTTTAGAACTGTATCTGACATAAATGTATTAAAGCTTCTGGTTTTTAAACTCAATCTAGATTCAAGAAACAAATACACTGATACGGTCAGTACTGGAGGTACAGCCCCGAATGTCTAGTGGTGGTAGTGGCAAAACAAGTGATGAGATCGTTTACGAGTTAGCAGAAAGTATCCTCGGCAAACTGCCTGATATTCTCGACATGGAAAATGCACAAAAAGACCTGTTCAAGGTAAAGATCAAATTTATTTTCCTATACATTCAAAGTTTTTGGCAGCCTTTTCTCCTACGTCTCAGCTCAGTGATGCTTGAAGCGTTAGAATATGTTACTGTATAACATAAAAGTCATTGTTGAATGCCAATCCATAGACAGAAGAGTTAAGGATACGTGTATTTAACGCTTAGAATATAAATTAAAGAATTAGGACCTACGTAAATCGTGAGAAAGGATGATATCCAAACATCACTTAAGACTTTACTGTCCAGCCTCTTAGATAAACATAACTGATCAAAAGTTTATGATTTGCATAATTATATGAACCCCATTACTGCTAATGGATTTATTCTTCATTTCTTTTTCAATCACATCAAATCGTCAATTACTATAAATTACATTTTCTACCTTTTTAACGCGTACCTTAACAATTTGTCCTAGACTGATTCAAAGGGTCGACTGAATTCTCTCACAACTGTACTCGGACAAGAGGTTGACAGATTCAACAATTTGCTGAAAGTCATCAAGGTTAGTAGATATAGTGGCATTCACCTTTACTGTTTTCTTTCAATGTGAAATTACCGTAATCTTTACTTTTGTACAGTGTTGCTCGGGTTTTCTTCTATTGTAAACCCTTTTCATGTCTCAGAACTTTACTGTTAATTTGTGTCTGTCATTGCATGTTGTTTGCTGTAACTTTTGTCGCTTTTTCCTGTCTTTTTCCTGTCGTTTGATCTTTGTAAGCTACAGATAAACTTATAATTTAATTAAGTTACTCGGAAAACATTTTATCTTAAACAGCGAGTTTTATAAAATTATTATACACTCCATTTGCACAAACAAACAACATCAGATTTTATATTTATTTTGCAGACTTCACTGAAGCAGCTTCAGAAGGCGATTAAAGGCTTAGTTGTCATGTCCCTCGAGCTGGACAAAGTCTACACAAGCTTTTTGAATAATCAGGTAATTCCTACTATTCAAGAAAAAGGATTTTGCATTGAAATTCCAATATTTGACTGAACAAAATTATCGAATTTGAAGGCCTTTTAAACAGAATCAATTGAGTCTGGAATTATTTTTCCTTGTCCAAATGTTATAGGAATTTTCTGCAAAATATTTTACCAAATGCAGCCGCCCATCATTTCACGAAACAACTTTTTCAATTTAAACCTTACCGCAACATTTTATGAATGTTGATAAGATGAAAGGGGTAAATAATTATTTCTCTTGGCAATTAGGGAAAGAGTGATTAAGCTCGAACTGCATTCGATTTTTATCAGTTTCTTCAAGCATGTTTGGTTCTAAGAAAATTTTTGTTATTTTTCCTGAATTCTGTGAGCAATAAACCTGGAGTAATCCTTTTCTAGGTTCCCACCTTGTGGGAGAGTGCTGCCTACCCATCTTTGAAGCCACTTGCTTCCTGGGTGAAAGATTTGGTTCTCAGAATCAGCTTTATCGAGGTATTTTCAATAATTTTATCTCTTTCTGGTTATTCTCAGATATGGTAGATTCTGTTCCTTTTCAAATCTTTTATCTCAAGCCTATTGCTGTGTGAGAACCAGATAAAAAGACAGCACCGCTGTATAATTCTGTGTTAAATACGTTTCCAGCTAATGCTTGATTTGCCTATTTGCAGAAATGGATAGTCCACGGCCAACCAAAGTCGTTCTGGATTTCTGGATTCTTTTTCCCACAAGGTATGAGATCTTTTTTTTCGACATCGCTTTGCATGCTTCTACCTACTGGTTAATTGATTTTGCATCAAAATAATCATGCTGCAATCCTTTAATTTCTTATACATAAAAACATAAGCATTTAACGTGAAGCTATCATTTCTTATTTCTAGCTTCCTTGCCAAACTCTATGTATAATTCTTTAATATATTTTCATGCTGCAAAGTAGCTTGAAACCGTGTGATTTATATGCAAATTCTTAAAAACAGTTTTGCTTGAATTCCATCCGTCTACCTACTATCGAAGTTTTAAAAAATGTGTTGCCGGTGATAATCATTTTTCAAAGACTTATTCATTTTTCAAATAGGTATACGGTCAATTAATAAACCTATCGCATTCTGTTGCATTTTTTCAATTTTTCTTTTTATTTTGTCGCATTTTGTCGTTTGTAGTCCTTTTTTATCGTATTTCAATCGTGAGATAGAAAATTAATTTCTAGGGATAAGTTAAGATGAAGTGGAATGAAATGCCACTCATTTTTTAAATATAATTGGAAATCTTATGCCGAGAAATATGTTAGAATTGTAGAGACAGTGTGTGTTTCGAGCCGCATATGTTAATTAGAATCGTGTTTCTCGAGTTTTCCTTACTTTACCAATTAACAAATCCACATTGATCTTAGGTTTTCTGACGGGAACACTTCAAAATCACGCCCGCAAGTATGACCAACCGATTGATCAGCTTTCATTTGGATACAAAGTCTTACCAAAGTACCGTAACCAAGAGGAAGTAGCCGAGGCCATGGCAAAGATGCAACATGGAGACACACTTGAGCTTGACAATGAATTGCCGTCACCAGATGATGGGGTTCTGGTGCATGGGTTGTTTATTGAGGCAGCTAGGTGGGATGATGACAAAATGCAGCTGGCTGATGCTCTACCTGGTCAGATGACAAGCGTAAGTCTGCAATTAACTAGCTTTATACTCAAACTCTACTCTCTTTCTTCTAAGAAAATTCTTCTGTAACATTCACACTGTACGAAGCTTGAAAATAATTTCCTTTTAAAAAAACAGCTCTTTTAAAAGTGAAAAATCTGTGACGAGCTTTTATAGCAAGATGATAGTGGGATTAATTGTAAGGGCTGCTAGATTTTTATCTTAACAAAGGGCTGCTATCAGGCAGTTTTTGCTTCAAGCGCAGAATTTTTCGTGCCATAGGTTAGAAGAGTTGGTTATTTTTATCACGGTACCCAGCGTAACCAAAATTTGATCTACAGTAAAGAGAAGTTTCTATAGTTTTTGCCTGAAGCAAAGCTTTCCACGAAAATTTAACTTTTTACTAAAGAAATGGCCAACACTTCCCTCACAGAAAATCTTGTTTTTGTGTCTGTGTCCCAATGTCTCTTTTTGATTTTATTGATGCGAGTGACATTTTTACATTAATTGTTCTGCCGAACAGAAGTTTGTGGCTTAATGTTAACACAACTTTTTTTGAAAATCACACTTAAAAGCAAAATAAAAAGAGTAAAAAGTACCTGTGAGTTGCAAATTTGTTACTTTCTCAGAGCCTCTCTTTAAAGCAGCACGTTTTCTTCGTGCCACGGTTTATATGACTAATGATTGCGTTTCACAATAGAACCTTCCCGTCATGCACATGGAGCCTGGCATCAGTTTAACACCGGACCCAAAAATGTATCGCAGTCCACTTTACAAAACCTCCACTAGAGCTGGTGTATTGTCGACAACAGGTAATATTATATTGTGCACATTATTTTTGTTAAGGATAACGTTAAAGGAAATCTCTTAGTTATGTATGATTTATATGATCTTTCCGTGTTAATCTGAACTGGTTTCAGGTAATCTGAGTTACTGTCCGGTATAGCTTTTTCAAATAGTGAGAACTGGTTTTCAATATTCGTCGAGGGTGTGAGTTTTCAAAAGGCTTGTTGTGAAACAGAGGGAAAGCCTCAATTTTAAGTGGTTACAGATGCCCATAAACACTATGTCTTTGTACTTATGTCGAGAAACATTGAGATTAAAGACCTCCATTTGACTTTCCACTGGAGGGAGGAGGACAAGGCTTTTGTGCTGGTGTTCTGATAATTTTTGCAAGGATTGTAAATGCTCTGTACTTTTAACAATATGCATCATGTCTAGGTTACCAAGTTGTTAAAACGGAAAAGTGGCTGCTGAATTCGACCTCCTAAATTAGCACTATGTGTTTCAACACATTTTGTCATGATTGTAGCTGTTAAGGCCCATTCTTTGCTTCTATTGGCTAAGTAATTTATTTCTTCCATAGGACATTCAACAAACTTTGTTGTCGCCGTCTATCTACCAACTGACTTGGAGCAAGATTACTGGATCTCCAAAGGCACTGCGCTCTTGTGCCAACTGAATGACTAGAAAACAAAACTGTAAAACGTAGCTTCTGTGAATAAAATATTTTTGTGCTATCTTTGGATTAAGATGTACGTATTCCATTGCTTTGCCACGCCGTTACTTTCCATTTTAAACTCAAGCTTATTGAGTAGTTCATATCTGATACAAAATCTTTAGATAATGAAACCGAAAGCAAAATTATAACAAATGCTGCATTTCAGATAAATGATTTGGCTTCATTGAGCTTAGGTTTTACTGTGTAAATATTTCGGTGCATTTTGGGCGTTCAATATGACTTTCTTATTGATATTACACATTTCCATTGATTACATTATTGCGTATTAGGTTTTTTGCTGTAAATAAATGTTATCTGTAAAGGTTGTCAATAAATCTAAATACCTGATTGTTAAACTCTTTGTCTTTTTTGTCTTCAATTCACATGTCCATTATTACACCGTGAATTTCCCATCAGATAGCTTTTGGCTAGCTGGTGCTCAACTTCTTCCTGAAACATTGAAAAAATTAATCATGTAGAAAAGCTCTTTGTTCAAAACAACATTGAAAAAAGTGTCTTGGGCGTTAAATCTAAAGTTACTGAAATTTATTTGCTCTAAGTCAGAGCCTCTGACTTCGAGATTCCGTTTATAGTCATATTCTAGTCAGCTGTACACATGATTTGACAAAGTAGCAGTTTTGAAATAAATGTCATGATCAAGCCCCAACTTGCAGAACAGTGTGATAAATTCTGCCTGCGGCTTAGAGAAGAGTTATTACCTATTCCCACACCTATTTTATTTACAACTCTTCTTCGTTATGGTATTAACTGGTGGTGCTTTACCTTTTCGCCAATTTTTTCCTCCATTAAGCTACCAAAAAGAGCATTCCTAGCGTTTGCTTTGAAAGACTACAATGTATGCAGAGCCTGGCGATCGCGCACTCAGGATGCAGACATATTTAGGGCGCACCTAAAAACTAGATATATTAAATTTTTTATCTAGAAAAACTTATTGCTCTGGTGCACCTGAGATTTTCAACCGATTTTGTGCAGCTGAAACTGAGATACAGGGGTGCTAGCGTGCCCCTCGTGGCTATCGTGTATGTAGTAGCGAATAAAAACACTTGCTACATAATCTCTTCGCGAAAAAAGGAAGATTATATTCATACTAACATAAAAGCTTTATTGTTCGGAAACCAGTGTTGAGAAACATACCACTGCCTCAATTCCAATCAGAGGTTCTCTTCAAGAAAATGGCGTCCACAAACCAAGCTGTGTCGAAAGATGAGAAATCATTCTCATTTAAGATTGGAAAATCAAAGAAAACATCAGCTCTTTCGTTAGAAAATCACAATTCTACTTTTAAAGAAAAGAAAGAAGATCAGGATGATGTAGATTATGTCGTTTCAGCCGAAGGAAAGCAATTTAAAAGGTATTGTTTTTGTAGTTTCATTCAAAAGAGGCTTTTTATGGTGATTTATGTGTAAAATACTGCAATTGTACGCCCATGGTTTGATGAATATATTAATTACACACTTAAAAACAATGGTAGAACCTCTTTCTAATCCCTGAGTATTGGCAAAAGATGGAAATATTTTTCTTCTAAGCAATGCAATAAGAAGTTAAATATCTGTGAAAGGTCTGGTCAAATCTAGATCAACTAATGGGCTTAAGAAACATTGAAACGAGTCTTCTGTCTAAATTATATAAGCAATCAAAGAAAAATGCTGAAGTAATTTTTTGCATAGCTCATAAACTGTTGGTCCTCTCCAGCATGGCTGCATGGTGGGCATTTATTTCATCCTGTTTGCTGGGGTGCATTTCATGTAAACCTCACTCCAGAGGTAAACAAAGGGAAATTAAAGGAAGGAAAGGAAGGGGTACACCAAAGGTTCACAATCATGCTGACCAACCCCCTCCCCAAATTTCTAAGGCATTTTATTGATACATTGGCAATGATGCTGTAGTATGCATAATGAATCACAAAAAAAGCTTTGTGCTGCAACACTGTGTCATGTCACCAAAATTACAGTTTATGCCACATGCCTAAAGAATCTTATTTCAAGCACCATGTCAAGTAATGCCACTCCACTTTGAAGTTCTTCTGGATTTGCTACATGGATGGAATACACTCTTGCTGATTAAAACTTTTGTTTCTGGCATTGACAAAGTCGCTTTGAAAATCTGGCACAGCCAATAATTTGTGGTGTTAATAATGGTGAATGTTATTAACTAGGGATTCTGCATAAGCACTGGCCTGTCAAGTTTCAGTTTGAAACAGTGGCGAACATCTGAGTGTGCGGGGGGGGGGGGCACACACCCCCAATACTTTAGAGGATAAGGGTCTTTTGTTCTAAAACAATGGAAAATGTGTTGTCATTTTATTAAGACAATAGGATTGCCCCCCCCCCCAATATTTAACCAAGTGTCCACCCCTGGTTTGAAAGTGTGTTAGTTTTGGGAAGAGGTGGGGAGAATGTTGGGTATTCTCAAGGCCAGGGGCTAATGCAGAATTAACCCTGACTGTCACACAAGTGAAAAAGGTGTGGGGGTGCCTCCCTTTAATATTTTTTGTTTGCCATGCCTTCTAGATCTTCAGTAATGCCAACTTCAAGGGCCTCTTTATCTGAGACATGGCGCCTCCTTTTACCTGTGCCCCTTCTTACCTGTGCCCATCAAACTTCAAAATGCTTCTAAAATTTTTCATAAAAATTTGATAATTATTTATTGACTTATTGATACTTGAGAATTTTCTTAGCTGCTAAGATAGCTAAGGTTTCAATTTGGTTAACCTTATTTTCTATAAAATAATTAATCTCTTGATTTCTATTTTGATTAGTGTGAAACCAAAAGAGGAGAAAAAGAAACTTATAATTCCACTGTCAGGCAGTGACTTTATTGGTAAATCAGAAGATCAAGAAGCTGCTAAAGAAATTCTCAGAGGTATGCCTTCTTATAATTGTTAAAGTTCCTCTGCCATTGATAATCAAAATTTTGTTTAAGTCATTTCTTAGGCTGTACACAGTACTGAATCTATTCATGCAGATACTTTTTCAAAATATTTGGCATAAGTTCATTTTGGGGGGGGGCGGTAAAAAGAGGTTTCTCAAAAACAGTCTGTCGAGTAGTACATATTCTAGTATGTTTCTGACCAAAACTCCACAGAGCATAGGGAATGTGCAGTAAGAAATAAAGCCTCCCTCTCTGTATATTAAAGCTTGATCTTAATTTTAAAAGCTTATAAAATAAAGTATGGCATGTTTTTTCTACTTCATTTGAGTCTTTCATTGACCCACAGTTGAACATTGTCTACTAAGTTTTATTTATATTTATTGTCATATTTATTATATTAATCTGGGAACTTTGTTCTAAAAAATATAATCAAAGTAAAGAGAGTGACTTTCAACCAGAACTTGTCTGTTGGATCACTACAACATTATTTTTCATGATGTGATTTGACCTTAGTGTAGCGGAAATGTCAACAAAATACAAAGAGGTACAAAATGTCTCAAAACCTCAGCTCATTCTTAAGAAAATAAGACGGATTAAATGCTTGATAAAGCATATCACAGAACATAGAAATTTTGAACAAGTTATCATAGATTAGCATGTTTTATCTGCAGACCTTGACGATGACATCAAAGCAGAGTCAAACAGCAAAAGTGCTGCTATACCACTATTGATGAGAAGCAAACTGCCAGTGAAATTAGGAGACAATGATGGTGAAAAGTTAGATGTCTCTTTAATGCCAAGTGAGGTATAGCTTCACAAAATGAAGATATTTTAAATTCAAAACCCTTCTGCAAATCCTTTTGCTTTTTTATAGACAGAGAAAAAAAATTGGTTTCTTTAATATGTATCTTTTGATAATTATTTTTTCCAGGATGATTTGTTGTTCTTTCACTCTTCACAAATTCTGAATTGTTTTTAAATTTCATTTTGAGCAGCATTAATAACATTGCTACCAATGTAAGTCATACATTACCCTGCAGTTGGTATTGATGTAGTTCGAACAATCAGACCTTTGACACAATAACATTTTAAAACTGGCATTTAAGGCTATTTTCCCTCTTTGCTGTGTTATCATGTTTCCGCTGTCACTTTTTGCTAGTATCAGGATTTAAGTTCTTGTCAGTTTGATAGCCATGTAGACTGCCTGCGCTCTATGTCACTGCCAGCTTAAAAGATTTGGAAAATATCCAGAAACAAAGTAACATGTTGCTTCAGGTACTGCGATAGATTTCTTGAGATAGTAGAATAAGTATTCAGCCAAGCTTAAATGATGAAATAGCCTGATGTCACATGAAGAAATGATGAAATAGCCTGATGTCACATAAAGAAATGATGAAATAGCCTGATGTCACATAAAGGGATTGCTGAACTGAGCAAACAACAAATTTATTTTCCAAAGTAGAAAAATACTGGATTTTCTGGGTTAAATATCGTATCCAGAATACTTTGAGAGATATAAAGAAAATTGTTTAAATGTGCTTGCATTCTGGCAATTTCCTAGAAATTGGCTCTCTGTACCCCATACAGCAAAACATTTCAGAAAATGGGGTAGATATAATTTACCATATTTCTAGTTTACCAGTTTACCATGTTACTATGGTATCAGCAAAAACTGGTCCCTTTGCCTTTAAAGGTACATGGAACTTAACTTGTTCATAAATGAGTGGCAAATTATTTACCAACAATGGTGAATCTTCTTCCTTTTGTAACCTCTCATAACCTTTTATAATTACAGTTTAGATATAGAAGCATGTTTCACTTCATTGTTCAATTTTCTTTTTAGAGTACTAGAGATGATTATGAAGATATACCAGTCACTGCTTTTGGGGCAGCAATGCTACGAGGAATGGGTTGGAGGGAAGGAGAAGCCATTGGACTGACAAATAAAGGGTATCTACATATAAAGCCATTGCACTTTGTAGTTTTTTCTCAACATTACATTCCCACATTTTTAGGGAAGGAAGCACAAACAATTCATAAAAAAAAGATTATCTTGCAATTATATGTAGCTATCTTTCAAAGAAATCTGTCTGTGTTTCTGTGTATAGTACCGCTAGGAATCTATTTTGCCATCTTCCACAGTTGTCAGGACATTTATCCAAAATGCACTGATTCCTATAAAAACCTTAATATTAACTTTTGACAGATTTGCAGCTTTTATTTTATCGAATTTTGTTTCATCTAATGTTTCAATTAGTCTTTCAGAGCCAATCGAGTTTATACCAAGACACAAAGGATTGGGTTTGGGAGCGGAGAAAAGACAGGAGGAAATGAAAGCAAAAAGGAGGAAATTGGGCGAATCTACTGACCCTAAGGTGTGTTGAATGCTCACATCGAACAGAGTCTAGAAGCATTTGCAGCCCATTAATAAAATCTTTTTCTAAATATACCTCTGCTACTGCAAATGGTTAACAGATAGAAATATAACAATGTTCTAATTTTTACCCTTTCTATGGTAGTCAGTTTAAAACTGTATACGTATTGTAAGAATTTTGATAAGTGTCCATGACGTTAAATGTTTTTTTGTACACCCGACGCAAGGACGATAGCTTTTAAGGATTTTCCTCTTTGTGGAGTCCCCCGTCTAATATTACAATATTAATCAGATTTTTCTCTTTGATATATATCTTTAGTATGTGTTAAAGTTTTAAGCATGTCAGTGTATTGTTCATTACTTCTTTTGCTATGTGTTTTTCAGAATCTTAAGTTTTATCCTGTAAATTTCTGACTCCGTTACTAGAATCTGTAAGAAAGGCAATAACTTGATACCGTCTCACAGATTCTCTTCAATGGAGGTTAATCACATTTCATTTAAATAAAATACCTTGAAAATTTCGTCTTGAGCTCAGAAATTGAGCATGCATCGATTAAGCAGCAAACATATCCATCACAAATCTTTTACACATTTATTAATACTGTTTTTTATATTTGTAGCGAAATGGTCCAATTGTAGAAAAGGATGGAAAAGTTAGGCATTATAAGGGTGTGGGAGAAACAGTATACCAACACCCGCAAGGTAAGAATTTTTATTATTTTTTCACAAGTTCTTGCGTTGCTAGAAAGTATAAAAGAAACTGCACACGGTCACAAAGTATGAATTTGTTCTGGTATTCTCACAATATTTTGTTTTTATTATTTTTATGTTTTGTAAATGTTTTTAACTCAAAATGTGAACTTTTTGCTTTCTGGGAACTTTACTTTACATCGCAGCTATTGCTGTTCTGTTTATCTTAGCTCTGGAATTTTTTATTTACGTTTTAGAAACTGTAGAATTTTGGAATTGTAGAATTGTAACTTTTTCCTTAAGGATTTGCCAAGGGTGCATACTGTCTCGTGGAAAAAGGTCCTCACAAAGGATTATATGGCGTGGTAGGTTTTGCTAAAGATTATATCCCTTTCAATTGCTTCGTGTTTTTCTTGCTTGCATACTGTCTCTGTATTTTATCAGTGCGGCAAATGTCAGTTCTTTATCCATGCTAGATATAAGCTTGTTATAAGTTACTTACCTCTTTGACCCACTTTAGAAAGTTTACTTTTATTGATACCACAGTCCAGTTAAATCTCCCAATATGACATAACTTGCTTGTTTTTGACGTTCGCAAACTGTTTCAGTTATACTATATTAGTTTTTGCTGTTTTGAGAACTCTTTATTTTTTACAGATCGTAGCAATTGACGAGGATAATGCGCGGGTGACAGCAAAATTAGCGCTGGGCGCCCAGGTATTGGCTTGTTTACATTTTTATTTTAAATTTGCTTTTTAATAAACACTTCACCTATCCTATCTATTGCTACCTACGGTTTCTATTTTTCCACTCCATTGAATCTTTAGCTGTTGCCGTTCAAATCAATTTTTGCTTTGATTCACTGTTGCTAGATTCATCGATTTATTCATCCTAGAGAACTAAAAATTGTTTTTTGACAATTTCATAAAGAGTTTCATTGATATTTTGTTAGGTACAGTACTGACAGAATTGCTTTACTCTACACTATTTAGACAGTACCACAAAGAGCAAACCACTGTGAATGCCTTGCGGCCATAACATAAAGTTATATGCTACAACAATACATGTAGCTGATAAAATGAAAAGTTAGCAAACATAAGTTATTTAAACGCTCTTTGGTGTATAAACATAGACGGTTCTAAGTTGCTACTGCGAACACTTAACGACAAACCGGTAAACAGTAATTTTCAATAAATTATAAAGAGTATGACATTTATATTTGATACGTAAATATATTAAAATATGTGATTTTTATACTTAAGCCATTTGATTGCCCAACGGTTATAGTTTATGATTATGGCTTTTTGCCATTCTTTTATGTCTACTGGGCTAGTAAAACCGTTTGCTTATTCTAAAGTATCATAATCAAAATTTTCATATGTAAAATTAATTTTGATTCGATTCTGGGCATTGATTCGATTTTGTTTCAGCAAATAACAATGAGTCAATACAACATGACAGTCGTTAGTGAAGATGAATATCGTTCAAATTCGACAGGTTGGCCCAGTTTTCGTCTAATCTACATCCTTTTCAGCGATGTGTAAGGGAAGAGGGTCGAATTTGGCATTTTACTACTTAAAAATGTTTACAAAGCGAAACGACTTGAATCGTTTAACTGACAAATCGTTCAACCGAGAATTTCTAGAAGACAATATAGGGCATTTTTGCAATCTATTAGATTTGAAGAGAGTGGTTTATCTTGCGTTTTATTAAAGTTTTTCTTGACGTTGTTAAGGTGTAGCTTGGATGGTAGAAGCTCGTTACTAACAGTTCATTAGAGCTTAAGGGGAAAGATATTGAATCTGCCTTGAATTTCTTTTTACTGTCAGTGGTGTAGATCTCATTAATGGTAAATTGCATTTACAAGCCTTATCATTGAACAATCAAAGCAAGGCGAAGTCCAAAGTAAGCCAGATAGGTTGCTTTCAAAACAACACTGTAATGCTTCTTTGGTATAACTTCATTTCGTTGTGCATTTCTCTATTAAAGTCTGTTGGGATATTTTGAGCGAAAATTATGTGAGAGTTGCAAATTTATGCAGTTTAAAGGTCTAGGGTCACAGATTTTTTTAAATTTTCCTTTCAGTGCTGCTTTGTATAACCTGTGTATTGTTCCAGGAAAACGGAAACATCCAACTGGTGACAACAGCCCGTCCTTCAAGAAGCCTCGAGATACAATCGAGAGTATCAAGTAAGTTAAAGGCAATCTGTCACGACGTTGATTGGTTATAAGAACAAAGGGATTTTTATTGTTTCCAGTCCCCCTTTAATTTATCGCATTGTAAAAAAATATGGCGGAGCGCTGGAATCGTGTTTAGGCCATTGTTCCAGCTATTTTTCTCGTTAACCAATCCACAACGAGACAGATTGCCTTTAACCAAAGGGAATCTGTGATATACTCTGGCAATATAGTTCTTCAGTGGTGACGCACAAAATTCTTTTATTAGGAAAAATTTCAATTTGAGTCACATTGCCTGAAGGAGCATCATTGAATACCTCTAGATGTGCAAAATCAGCTATACGAGTTACAAATTTGCTGATATAGGGTCACACAAGCACCGCGTCTTTCACAATCAAGTTGCTTAAATTTGGTCTCGGTTCTAGGCTTAACGAATCAAGCCAAATTAACAGCAATTCGCTAGCAAAAGTCAAATATTGCACTGGCCATATATGAACTAATCGTTAACATATTAAATTTATTTTGCTTATTTAGACATATTTCGTAGTCTTCTTATTTCAAAGTCAAAAAAAGACTTTAAAGTTACTGAATTTTTATATCTGATAGTATCATAAATAATTTTTTTTCCAGTTTTGGAAACCTTACTTTTCTTTCGAAAGTCTTTTGTACTTTTTCGCATTTCGTTTGCTCAACAGATCCACCACTTTGTTGCTATGTAACCAAAACTTGTTTTTTGTCTTTTAGAACTAAATACGAAAAAGAAGGTAGAAATGATACAAAAACGCACTGCTGGCTTGCACCAAAGATAAGAGTTCGCATAATCAGTAAATCGTTCAAAAAAGGGTTTTATTATAACAAAAAGGTAAGGCACCATAGTAAATGCCTTCTCGAGTTAGCTTTTCGTTAGAAACTTTACAAGTAACTTTCCTTCCTCTAAAAGTCCGCTTATAAAATGCTCCCACGCTGGAATAGTTTATTCATCAGCAAATATAGACAAAATAAAGAGGGAGCTTGGAAATCGCCAGCTATTCAGTCATTGCAGTTTATTGTGAACAGAAATGTTTAGGTAGAATCCTATTTTTTATCTTAACGTAGCTGTGGAAACCGGTTTTCTTCTTAAACGTTGGATATCGTCAAGTATTTCCTTTTCAGTAATGCATAAATTATATTCTGTTTTGGTGTTTATAACAGGACAGTTTCAAAATGCAACACCAAGTATCCCTCTTAACTCAATCATCAGGCAATATATTCTATTTAGGACATTTCTCGGCCATAGTTTTCTGAAGTGGTTTGTGTTAATGACTTTAATGAGCTTCTTTCCGTGTACGGATATTCTAAAGGGATTATTCCTAAGGGTAATTTGGATGTTGGAGCATCATTAGCTGCAGTTTTGTAATTTTTAGATGTCCTCTCTCGCGGCGGTACTGGTTAAGTGGTCTCGATGGCTGCAATTTGTTTCGACCTATCGTTTAGGACGCAAAATGGAATCTACTTTCTTATTGTAAAGCTGCCCTTGGTCCCTTGATTCGACCAGCTCGTTTCTGCTGGTCTGTTCTTTAGCAACAGGACTATCTTGATCCCTACACTTTCGTTCAAAGGTAGCTTCAAGCAAGTTGATTCACTAATAAATGCTAATATTTAATTCAAAAGGTACCTCTCCAATGATGTGTTTACAGGCTTGAGATTCTTTTTTTGCAAGAATCCAGTCGACATCATTAAAATGTGATGATTGCTTGTTGCATTAAGTCAGACTGAAAAACTTTTGAATGTCTATTCTTTGATTTCTTTCAATTCATCGTTTTTTGATGGACCCTATCTTGTTAGTCTGTCAATTTTGATGCTTTGAAGCACCAGAATGCAAAAAGTTTATTCATTTTTCCAGGTTGAAATAGTTGATGTCGTAAGTAGAAAAATGTGCACGTGTAGAACAGATGAAGGGCGATTATTAGAAGGTAGAGTATTTTGGTTCTGTTCATTAACATTTTCGCCCATCAGATAATGGAGACCATACTATCTGTCATGAATAAATCCACAACTTAAGCCAACGATTCCTGTCCTTATTCCCATGAAGAAGATTCAGGAACTTAGGTCCTTCGGGAGTTTTTGGACAAAAAGCTTTTCTAGGATATGCATATTTTTCGCTTCTTGGAGTGCAATGATAACTTAATTTTGTTCCCTCATATTTTCTGTAGCCACATTCATTAGGCTCCTCACCAAGAAAAGTGTTAATTTCAATATCATTTAATCCACGAAAAAAATAAACTGTGCATTAATGCTATGGGATATAATGAAATGCTTTCACCTCCTATATATTTTTTCTGTCTTTATTTTTTTCTGTTCTGATTTTAAGCAATTTTAAGGCAATTTGTAGATATTTTGAGGCAATTCTTTTCTGTTCTAATTTAGGCATTGAACAAAGCGATTTGGAAACAGTTATACCGAAAAAGTCGAATGCTTTGGTGTTTGTTGTCGAAGGAAAGTACAAAGGACAGGTTAGTTAGTTTTCATTTTCAGCTTTGTTGCAAGCTTTTGTACTGGTTAAAATTGACTGACTTAAGAGTCCGGGTTTCAGAGTGAGCACCTTTCTTAAAGAAATTTGATGCCTGGGTCAAAATCTTCCTTAATGTTATCAAGAGGTTGGGATATTTGAGGGTCAACAGTTATGTAAATTGATAACTTTATGCATAAGGGTTACAATCTGTATAGTAAAAAAAGCTATGAACGGGAAGAAAGTAACCTTAAACTCAGAAGTAGCCTCTTATTCCCTAACCTCTAAAAAATGGACTAATTGACGATTTCATTAAAATATATGGAAATTGTAAGCGGAGAAAACACTTGGAATAACCTCCTTATACGAAGAATCAGTTACAACTGCAGCAATTTGCAGAGGTACAGCTATTGAAAGAACTTATATTTGCTCACCTATTTCTACTCGATTCATAAGTTTTAGAACCAAGATCAAATTACACTAATTGAAAGGGGGACAGAGCTGTAAACATTTGGCTGTATCTTAGCCAACTGCTGATAAATTAAAAAAAAACTCGTACAGTAGAAACCCGTTTAAAAGAACTTTTTTTAGGATTATGTTCATAGAAAAGTGATCCCTTTTAAATGCTCTTTTTAGGTTTCTAGCAGGTCATCTTGGGCTTTCATTCCTTGTTTTAGGAGTTAGCAAATTATTTTGCGCTACTTTTATATACACTATAGAATCTTAATCGTGTTTAAATAGGAACCTTTTTTGGAAACTAGTGTAATGATGGATCTAAATTGTCGCTTATTTGCATACAGGCTCCTGCTCCTGTTGCGAAGTTATCTAGGTTAAAAGTCGTCATCAGTTCTACAAACACGAGCATAGCGGAATAATCTTTTGATTGGCTGAAGCGCTACCATTTTGAATTTATGCAAATTATATAATACTATAGAAATCAATGGGGAAGCTGCGGCCGAGGGGTGCAGGGCGAAAATCGACAGTTGAAGACAACCCAGCGAAGGCAAATCTACAACTTTGTTGTTGGGATTTTTTGTTCATCGTCTAGATCTCAAGATATTTACCATTTTCAAACGCATCAATTTAGGCCTATTTAACAGCATGTGCTGCAGCCAATCAAAATATTATTCTGCTATGCTACAAACACGTAGTATCTTCATTGTCTTTATAAATTTAATAACCTGTTTTGCAGATAGGCAAGTTGCTTGAAAGGGACCATGAAAAATGCAGGGCGCATGTGCAGCTGTTGTCTAATAAGCATATTACTAAACTGGTCTATGATGCAATGTCTGAATACCTTGGGACTCCTGGTGACGATGATTTTCTGTAGCTGTGAGTCAATTCTATGGGATTGCTTCTTAATGAATTGTAAATAATTTCATCGTAACAAATGATATTTGTTTACTATACTAATATTTGGTAATATTGTTTCACAAATTGTTCATATGTATAAGAATGCAGTTCACCACTAAAATATTCTGTCCAACAAGCTTGCACACGATGTCTCTGGCCTTAGAAGTAGCACAAAATGTTAACTGTTTTATTCCAAAAATTGTTTTCTTCCACGTCATTATTGATGCGTGTATAAAGTAGGCCGTGTACTGGGCTTTTTGTCTGCTTCTACATTCCTACTGTACTTTAAAGCTGCCTGCTTCTACATTTGCTTGTTCGTTATAAAATCTAAGTTTCCAATCCAATTTTAATTTCTATAAATCCATAAACAAAAGGGGTTTCCTGGAAATAAAAAAAGGTGAAATAAATTGTACTTTATTTTGTTTTTTTATGCATACGTAAGAAGACAGCTAATTTGTATGACATTTGAGTGTAATGACAGAATTTTGTTGGTTCGTTACAAAAATAAGGTTGCAAGAAAATAACAAACTATAGCAGAAGAAATGTGTTGGTGCTGTTCTTCGCTGCAGCCAAACATTGAATTCAGTGTGATTCAGAATATCCCCTTCTCCCCTTACATAATCAACTGTTTATTCGCCGGACTGTACTATTAAGCAGCTTCTAAGAAACAAAAATTCCCCGCAAAGAGAGTCTAACAGCCTCTAATATCTTGTAGGTCTAGCGTTTTTCTAACTGGCCTGTTTCGATCCACAAATGGGTTTCTATTTTCATCTTTGTTCTTTTTTAATCTTATTCTGGCGTTTCATACTCTGAGGAGTGTCAGACGAAAAAGTTTTAAATATGCTGTATAATGTTTGATTTCTCAAAGCAATTTTCAAATTTTGTACCGGCGAGATATTTTTTACATAAATATAAACGTTAAAGCAAAATTCATTACCAAGCAGTCGTAAAATTGAAATGAAAGGTCTGTTTGATTTCCACAACGCTTTTCATTTTAACTAGTTCTAGAAAATTGTTCGGGTTATAGTTCTAAATATCTTTAGGGTTTTATGAAAACCATTACAGAGAATGATTATACAATGTTCTTTGTCGAATGTCCCCGACTGTCTCTTCCCATCAATGATCATTTCTTCACTTTTGATGACATCATATTTCCCATACCTAAAAACAGATAAACAGCAACAGAGTTCTTATATGTGACGTCATAAAAACCTATTTTTAGCTAGTAAGCTAAAAGACGCCATGGGATCGTCCAAATCTTGTTAAATAATTAGTTGTGATATGGCCACTAAAATATTTTATGTTCTTTACCGGATCTTTGTTATTTAGGATTAGTTCATGTTTTTAAAATTTGTAGTTAAGGAAAAAAGACTTTTGTGATTTCAGATTATGGATAATGGTTAACATACTTACCCAAAATTTTTATGATCTTCTTGTTTTCCACATTAAATTTCTGTAAGGCCGTTATTTGTGAATCCAACTTTTCTGAATATACATCAAACAAGGTGAGGTTATACTTGATCTCGTTTATTGTCGCCTGCCTGTTGTATATAGGCCCATCTCCACTTTGCTTAAGAATAAAATCGGTCCACCCCTGGGAATGTGTTTTTACTTTCTGCAAAAGGTTGACAACTGGCAGCGTTTTTTCTATTGTCTCCCTGAACTTTAAAGGCTCTACCTGAAATATTATGCAAAAAGAAACAATCAGGTTTAAGTTTTACGTAGTTACTATTGGAGCGGAGTAATTCTTACCCCGGGCTTGTTTTGCGGTAGCAGTTACGCTACGACGATTCGCTTGCTCAAACGCCTGCACTACTCTCCTAAACTTTTTGTTCAAAATGCCGTGTTTTTTTACAATCTTATGCGTAAAGTACACCAGATCTAATTATTTGATGATCTTATGAAAGCTACATGCTGTTATAATTTGTTATTATTAAATACTGCATGCGCGAAAACATCCCTGAAAATCGCGTTGCTATCGGAGTGAAATCTAAATACGAAACTGTTCAGACGATTTTCGGTGAACATTATCTAACAGCTATTCCATCAGGCAATTACTCAACGCTCCGCTATGGTGTAACTCTGTAGTGATTTTCATAGCACCTTCAAAGGATAGTGTTTTTACTCCGCTAATCACAGCATTGTTCACTGGATCGATACAGTGTACTGTAACTCCTATCTATTTAAATGTTTACATTTACATTTTTAATTATTTGGGCACGGCAGCCCCGTCAGTCCACGAGAACTGCTTTTCGGGGGACCGTAACAAAAACATTAATAAGTAAGAAGATAAATACTACGAAATAGGAATGGTTGTTCATAGTTAGTTTTTGAATCTTCTCTTAAAGGTGGCAAGGGAAGCTCATCCGATATGAAAGTTACTCTGCTACGATAGCCATTCGGTATACTGTCACTGGCACCCAACTGTTTTATCAGTGGTAGCCCAGTATAGAACAGTGGTATAGAACACTTTTCATTCAGTGCTCGGAGTAAGCGTAAATCTCGGAGTTACAACATAAAACTGTTCTGCTCTATATTCCAAAGCGTTTACACCTCTGGCTATACGATATCGGGGTATTAGCGTCAGACCGATAGAACAGTAATTTTCAATATTTATTTATTTATATTTATATAAAATATGTACCGTGTTCTTTTTTGCATTCCCGCCCTCTCTAATATTCCCGCCTCTCTAATAATCCCACCTTTGCTTTATTGTTTTAGATTAATCCCGCCTCTCTGATAATCCCGCATGCGGGTTTGATGCAGGTTCGATGCGGGTTTGATGCGGGTTTGATGCGGGTTTGATGCAGGTTTGATGCGGGTTTGATGCAGGTTTGATGCGGGTTTGATGCGGGTTTGATGGAAGAAAGAAGCAAATCCTTTGAAAATATGCTAAGAGCTTTGAAGGATTTTTGGACATTCAGCGTAGTGCCTTGTCGTCTTTATTTTATGACAGCAAGGGTAAAAAATGTTTCAGCCAATCAGCTTCAACTTTCCAACCAACTTTCCTCAACTTTCTTCACAATTTACATGCAATGTTTCCGCACCAAATCACAAGAGAACAGGTTGATAATTCAAGCCCACATTCAAAAAGCACGTTGAAAAGCTAATCTCGCCTTTCTAATAATCCCGCAATAGCTTAGGAGTTTCTTGCGTTATCCTTCTTTCTTTATACAGGGTCTTATATTCTTCAGCAGACTTTTCCATATGCCCCCGGGCTAAGCGTACTCTGCAGGGACGAAAACAAGTTGCTAATTTTGGGGGGGCGTGGAAGGATGAAAATTCCAATCTAAGTAAGAAATTTTTCATTTGACCAGTAAATCTACTGTACCTACTAGATTGATATTTGTAAATAGCCCGAACACCATAGTTCTATTTTCTTTATAATTACCAAAACTTTACTCAATAATTAGCCTAAAGCATAAAAGTAAAAGCCTAATCTCTAAAATTTGAATCAACATGAAACAGACATTTTAACTTAACAGTAAGAAGTAATAGCAACATTTAAGCAAAACCAGTATTAGATATACTTAATGATTAGAAGTATTCTTTTTAGATCAATTAATCAATTGGCGCAGATAAATCTTATCAAAATACATTTTTTCACGATATAGAAGCACCAAATTTGAGCCTTTAATTTTTGTTCTTTGATCGAAGAAAATACTAACAAATTTTCAGAGGCCAAATGCCTTTTCATTCATTACAATTGAAATGATGATTTGAAGAACAAACTTTGCATATGCTGATCCGAAAGATGAAACACTCTTCTTTGATCAAATACTTTCACTGCAATTTTTGCAATGTGTTCTTGCTTCGACAGCAGTTTTGTTCATAGGAATTTATGATAAGGAGTCAAGGGCGTTAACAAATACAGGGGGTGTTTAGCATAAAACCGTTTTTATAAGAAGCGTTGAGAATTTTTAGTACTGAAAGATTATTATCTTTTAATTGAATTAACTCCTCGTATTTCTTAAAAAAACTCCCTCTAATAATTCTAATCAATACGGGAATTTTATTCCAAACTGTAAGTTTCAAGTTTCTTATCCGAGAATTCACCTTGCCTGTTCGTAATTTGATTCAACCTCTCCGTCAGAAAGAAAGCAAACAGGGCAATTGTGCAATTTGGATCCAGTGGAGGACGGGTCAGCTTCAGCCTGTGAATTTATTATGTTTAGAATTTTACATTTAAAATAAAAAACTTTCTAAAATATAAAATTCACAAGTTTGGTCCTAAGAAAAAATTCCAAGTCAACCGTTATGTTTGTCCAACTGTAACTGGATTTCTCAAACTTTGGGGGGGCGTCACGCCCCCACCCCCCTATTATATTACGTGCCTGGTACTCTGTTCTATCGATCTAGACTTAAAGCTCCCTAAATGAAAAAGGTAAATTTAGAACTTAGAAAGTGTACAAGAATAATTGCGCTGAATTGGTGCAATACTACCAGTTTTGCTTTGGAAAGAGGGTTTCGTTCTTCCTAAAGACCATCTCCCGTTCTAAATCTGAACGCTACATTTCAATGTCAGAGACCTCAATATTGTAGTGGGAAAAAAGTTGTAAAAATATCAGCACTTTTTCCAGAATGGAAGTAAGGATGAAGTCATACCCGAGCACCCCTTCCCCATAACCCTCCTTAAAACCATCTTGGGCAAATTGACTCACCAGTGGATTGCAAAACGACTGCATGTGGTTTTCTGAACTTTTCTATTGTTGTTCTTTTGATCAATCTGTCACACAGAATCACTGTCTTAGCCTGCTCTAACAAGGCATATTTCTCCAGCATCTTTGTGCACCCTTGCAAATAGATTCGACATTAAGGCGATAAAAAAGGTTCAGCAACACCAAAGACATGACAAGATAATATATGCAAACATAAAGCTCCCCAATCACGGGCATCGATCACAACCAATGCTTCATTGGAATCCTACACCACATGTGGAGTCCAGACCTGTATATCTGCAATTAAACAGAAAATGTTTTTCATAAACATTGTGCTTTGGCGAGATGGCCCTTACCGTTATTTAAATCGAGCTGTAATTGTCTACATTAAAATTGAAACTAATAAAAACTTAATCATAGTTAACAATGATAGAAGTATATATTAAACGTTACATTTCCTAAAGCGAATAAGTGAATAAGTTATTAAGTAGCCTACTAAAAAATCATGAACGAAGCAATTTAAACATAAATTTTTAACGCTTTCTGTCGTGTGTTCAAGAACATGATCACAATAATTTGCTTTTCATTCTAAGACAGTTTAAGACAATTGACAGATGACTTAAGTTACCTAAACTCTCGTTAATCAATTACAGCCAATCATAGAGCGTATGAGCGGTATCATGCTCACTGATTGGCCAATTGTTGATTGAAAGATGACATAAGCCACTTCAGTATTTATCGTTAGCAGATGCCAGTCATCCAAATTCCTAAAACAGTGTGCCTATACCTTCCTGCTACATTGAAAAGAATTTTTTGAAAACCTTTCATAAATGAAACAACAACATATATTAAAGCTCTTGCGCAACCAGGCAGCTTAGCGGCTGTGTTTTCTATTTTCTGTAGTACGATATTAGGTAGATTTTGTTTATTTAGTGTAAAGCTGCGTGCGACAAAACTTAACATATTGAATGTTTGCATCATAAGTGGAAAGTTTTTTCCATTTCCAGCAAGCTTCTTTCAAACCTTGAACAAAGCACAAATTAATTTTGTTACCAAACTTATAATAATTTTGCTTGACTCTGATGAGAGCTGTTTTGTTTAGTTATTCTATTTTCGCCCCCAGTTGGTTGTATGCCTGTATCAACTCACCACATCATTCAAGTTTTCAAAATGCCTCTTGCTAAATGTTGGTATCGCTCGCCAATTATTTTGCCCATTTTCTTTCCTCCAAAGAATATCCAGAATGCACGTTGAATGGAATGAAGAAGAGAAAGAAAAGGAATGCAAACTGACCAAGGGCGTAGACGACGTTTCCTGTAAGTAAACAACATTGTTAAATATTGTATTGGTGCAAACTGGAATAGATTTACCGGGTGTGGGGTGCGACGTCCCCCTCCCCCATATTTCTGTGCTCTTCGGTAAAATTTTGCTTCAATTCAAAAATCATTTTTTCAGTAGTCAGTGATAAAAATTAATGCAGAAAAGTTGCTTTACTTAAATCTTAGTCTTAAAGTTGAAAACATTGTTTTTTGAAATGGGCGTGTTCATTCAGTTTTCCAGCCACCTAAAGGGTGTGGCACAAAATCACCAATCATTATGTATCAATGCCCAACACTTGTCCGCTCAAATCTGTCCCTGGTGTGCAAAACCTGACTGGTTTCACCTGAACATCAGGAAATGAAAATTCAGTTAAAATTGTTATTATTTTGTTATTTTTCAAAAAACCTAAAATATACTTTTACTCAATGTAATTATTCCTAGCGATGAATATTTCAATTTGTGTTGATTATATAATATCTTTGTATGATAAGATGGAAAATCAAAAAGGTCAAGGTCCAAAATGGTAGCTCACATCTTTCTCTTGTCTATGTTAAACACTCGTGCCCGGAGCATCTTAACAAGTTTTATTTTATTGTTAATTGTAACTGTATCGTCCTTTAATTAGCGTGACTTTTGAAATTATATTTTCGTCCACAATCTTCCCTTTTGTATAGTCTTTTCAAAAGGCTTTTGCGCAACCGGCATGCTTAGCGGCAGGTGTCTTGAATATATTGTGTTTTTTTTGTATTTATCATAGACGATATTAGGCCGGTTTTGAAAATATTGTCGCAAAGCATGCCGTGGTATTGCGCAGGAGCCTTTAAAGGTGGAAATTAATGTAAGATATATGAATATATAATCTATATTTTTCTCTGGATCTCTTTTGGAAGAAATGCTACACCACAGATGGCAATGTATGTCCAGCCAATTATGTACATTCTGCAAGCCTTTAAAAACTTTATAAAATTCAGCACAATACAATGATCATCAAGATCTTGCATATGACTGTGTGCGTATGCGTATTTTGATTAGTTTCCGAATAGTGTCCATTGCAGAGGAAATATTCCAGCTTACTGCCGCTACAAATATTATCCACTCGAAGATATGTCCAGAAATTTTTATAAATAGTCACTCAACCATTTGGAGTATCGCCGATTTGTAGCTTCAATGAACTTTCTGTATCGTTTGGCCATTGTGGATGACAGATAACGAAGGTCTTCTGCAGACTTTCAATTCTGTACAAATTCAGTTGTTCTCGATTTCTGGACTGCTCTACCCAAAAATACGCTGTAAAAAGAATTAAATGGCTATTAATGGTTTGAGTTCAAAGGATGCGTCAACTTCTAAATATTGTTAGAACCAGAATCATGTAGTGGTATGACTCTTTTTCATAAAGACCATTATAACCTTTTGATAACTTCGTATTTAAGATATTCACACAGGTGAGCACAAGGTTTCCCCACTTTTTCGCTACCTAAAAGACTGCAAAAGTATTTACAAAGCATAAAAACTTAGTTACAGACAAATACAATTGAACCAAAGTCAAACACAAGTAAAAAAGCTCGGCAAGGAATTCAGCTTGTTGGCTTGAGGGGAAGGGAGAGGAAACTCTCTTGAAATCGCTGCCCCTCCATTTGCGGATCAGTGTGCAGACCCTGAATTTATACTAGTTTTCGGATACTCGATCCTTTAGCGAGTTTTTATATAAAGAGCATGAGTCTAAAGAATGAATTATGAATGTGCTTACACAGTTCGGTAACTGTGTGCAACTGTCAGATGATAACGATTTAATAGGGAATAGTAGGAAATGTTTTGGCGATCAAATTTTCTTGTAAAGGTCCATAAAAGGCTACCAGAGCAAAAGAAAGTGGCCTAGAATTTTGTTTTTTCCGGAAGAATCCTCAGAACCACATTAACACTGCACATTTTATGCCCCTCCCTTCCACAACGCTTCGTCTTAGGGTACGCTCTTAACTATAGCGTGTACGGTGCATGACGTTTGGAGGCTTAGTATACTTTTTCCAGAGTAATTGTTGCTTCGCTGAGTATGCAATTGTCCAGAATGGACCTGAAATTCGATAAATTTCGCCTGAGCCCATGTCTCTTACCCTTGTAGCTCTTTACCCCCAGATTAACTATGATGGCACGCGCATCATATCAGTATTACGGTGACCTTGACTAGCTGTTCGGGAAATTACTTTTTCTTTAACGTTCTCCAGAGCTCCCCCATTCACTTTCACACAACAAGGTGATCGATCTAACAGGCCCCAAGAAATCTACGCAATGTCATCTGGAATGTGATTGAGCATTGCTGTTCAGAGTCAAATAACTTTAGAATCACCTCAATTGCAGCTGCCAGCGTTAGAAGAAGCACAAGAAGTGCTAAAGCAACTTTCCAGAAATTGTCTTTGCTCCAATGAAAAGGCTCGGTTTTTGCTGACATCAGAATACTCATGTGCACCATAGCAAGACATACACGTATTGAGATAAGTATAATAGCAGATACGATCTGGCATACAGCTTGTTTCAAGTGTAAATCTCCTATCACATGGATGCTGTAGTAAGTCCATTTCTTTGTATTTGACAATCATCTTCAAATAAAAGAAAACTTACTTTAACAAAAAATAAACTTGTCATATAAAATTCAACTTAAGCAAAAATTACACAATCCCACTATCCATGCAACAAATTTGCAATTGGGGTTGTTTGCATGAAACCTTAGAAATGTCATCATAAAGAAAAGCAACTGCTTGATTTGTCCATGGTCTATTTCTTGCAGCACAAGATAAAATAGGAAGAATAATTCTCCTTAATCTTGGATTATGGTTAGGCTCAAGTCAGTGCATTTTTGTACCAATTTGATTGCGAAAAAAAGTGGCAATTGATGTGACTGGGCTCAAATTCCTAAAAATCTGGCACAGCCTATACGAAGCAAAAAATACAGTTATATGCATCTCTTCT